AGAGAGAGAGGCACACACAGAGGAAGAGCAGGGAATGCACATAGAAATATAGATAGATAGAGAGAGAGAGAGAGAGAGAGAGAGAGAGAGAGAGAGAGAGAGAGATGAGGGAATGCAGATAAAAAGGTAGATATATCCAGCGAGAGAGAGAGGGCGGTGTTACAACAAACTCTTAGACACCAGGTGGAATCCTTAGTGTGGCGGTGGGGAGTGTTAACGGTTAGTCATCACTCCGCAGGCTCTCATGATCTTGTGCAGATTGTCACTTATTGCCGATGCAGCATCATCAAGATTCTCATCACTTCGACGGCCATTATCGTCTCCATTCGTGGGAAAATCCTCTAGAAAAGAACAATTCACTCCACGATTAATGGCCATTCGAGAACCTTGTGAATCTTGATGATGCTCCGCCGGCAAACAGCAACTGGGCTCACTTCGGCGTGATCATTGTCTTCATTGCCGTTGAGGAGAAACACCATGCACAGCGAGAGAGAGAGAGAGAGTTGGGGGGGGGGGTGGGGGGGGTGGGGGGGTGACGACTACAGCCACTGGAAACCCTAGTTTGAGAGTTTCGCGAACGAAGTGCAATGGACAGCTACAGATCGCCAAGATCAACAGAAACCAAGCCGCAGAGACCGTGGATAGGTACAAGAAAGCTGCCTAGAAAGAATGGGAGAGGCGAGGACAAGAGAGAAGATGAGCCTCACTACGTAAAAACCAGCTCGGAGAGAAGCAGTGAAGGCCAAGGAGGAAGCTGGGGAAGGCCGTGCATAAATACAGGGTTTCCGGTGGTGGGGGTGGCGGGGCAGTGGGGTAATGAATACGATTGCTGTGAGTTGGAGTGAGATGAGGAGAGAAAAGATGGGGCTGTGTCAGTAGGGTTAGGGAGAGGGGAGAGCGGAGGGGGGAGAGGGGGGAGAGGGGGGGAGAGAGAGAGAGAGAGAGAGAGAGAGAGAGAGAGAGAAACTTCCGCAAGGCTACCAGTAGGTTACACATCGCCATCCCGGAGTCCGAAAGGTACCAGGGATTCAATACCTCCTGACCTGGGCTACCTGCCAGAGATGGATCCCAACAGGAAATGGCAAACCAGGAACAAACTCTGCACTCTCCAACAGAGTAATGATTCTCTCACCTCCTCTCCTCCCCCGTGGGTAATGTCCAGGTTCGAGGGGGGAAGATCTGCTTCCCTCTGCAAGGATTTTAACGTTGGGAAGAATTGACAGATGCATACCTAGGGTTTTCTGCCCTCTTCCAGATCCTCGTCCTCTGTGATCTTCTGGGTTCTACTCAGCAATTCATGAGGGTACGACCAAACCTCATCGTCCCCATCGTCTGTCTAACACGATCCTAAGCTACAGTGGTTCTCGCCTCGGCCATGGCGTGGAATACACGCAATGGTGAGTTCAGGTCTGCCGGGTGGGGACTAAGGGCTTCGTATCCCTCACCGTTCAGCGGAGAGTGGCAACGAATTGCACGATCGTTATCTGAGAGAATTTATCTCTTCAGGTCGGCCGCAGATGGAGTAGTTTTCTGAGAAGTTTTAGGAGCACTGAACCAGTGATCCCTAGCCTTCGGCGGTTTGACCGGCGACCTGTTCATATGGTCTGAGAGCAAGCGGCCGAAGGACTTTTAGAAGGTTATAAGCCCCAGAGCCATTTTCTTTCCTGTTGTCATCTTCTGTTCCATCCCTGCTTGCCACACATATTTCCCGTGTCTTCGGTCTCAGAAGTAGAGAGAGGGAGAGATAGAGCGCGAAGGGCAACGGGAGGGTCACCTCCGGCCTGCGACGGCGCGAGGGAACAGCGCGGATGGGGCGGGCGAAAAATGGGACGAGACGTTGACGTCCCTCGTAGCGTACGACGTGACTCCCGCAGAGGGGCCAGCTCTTCTCGAAGGAGAGAGAGAGAAAGAGAGAGGGAGGCAGAGAGAGATCCAGATAATCGGAGAGAGGTAGACATATAGAGATAGAGAGAGAGATAGAGAGAGGTAGACAGATCGAGATAGATATATAAATATAGAGATATCAAGAGCGAGAGGGGTAGACAGAAAGAGAGAGAGAGAGAGATGGACGGAGGAGAGGGACGGAGAGGGACAGAGGAAGGCCTCCCCTTCCAGTCCTCTGCACGGTGGTTTCTTCTGGGGCTGTTGTCCTTAGAAACTGTGGTGGTGCAATTATAGTGAGAGAGCTCTGTCATGACCGGGGGGAGGGGGGCGGGCTACCACTCGCCTTTACTACCGAGTTCATTCCCCTCCATCATCACCATTCCTTCTTCCAGCCCTCGCTTGCACCGGAGGAGCTTCCCCCCGCCAGAGCCTGCAGCATCCCTCATTCGTAGGGAGAGAGAGAGAGAGGAGGAGAAGAGCGTCATGGCGAAGCATTTCAGGAACTGTGATTCCCAGTGAACCCTGATGGGTTTGCCCTCTCTCCCGTCCTCTGCTGCAAGGAGCCTGCTTTCAGTGGAAAAACCTACGGGTCTCTTGAATGGAGCAGTCTCTAGGGGAGCTGCGTACATCGTCTACGTGTCTTTTCAATAGGCAGGCAGAGAAGCACCTCCCTCTCCCCCCCTCCTTCCCGTCTCTACGCATACTCTCTCTCCCTCCGCCCTTTCTCTCTGGAGTGAATAGCAACAAAGGAGAGGAGACGTCAGTAGAAATGTTAGTCACCGCATACCCCGTAGCGACATCGACGTCACACTAGCAGAGAGAGAGAGAGAGAGAGAGAGAGAGAGAGAGAGGGAGGGAGAGTTTGGCTAGTGGGCCCGGGAAAGCGTCTGGCCCAGTTACCCTTTCTTTGATAAACGAGGTTGGGCTCCTTTCGACTGCGGGTAATCTTCCGATAGTAGATCGCCCTTTTTATAGCGAGCGGCCCATTATCTTCTCGCGCACGCAGTTCCTTCTTCCGGAGGTGGACGCGGTTCCATCTTCTCCATCGATGCCGCAACGGACGGTGGATGCCACCAGAAAAAGGGACCCACAGTAAGAAAGCGTAGCCTCGAGGACTGCGCCGGTGAACCACGCATCCGTTGGGTGATAGGATGCATACTGGGCCAGACCCATATGAAATTTGGGCCTTTATTGGGCTTATCCAGGCCCTAAGGTCACCTGGCCACTAGCTATGTACGTTACAGGATCTCTCTCAACAGGGTGGAGAGAGCGAGATAGAGAGTGAGAGAGAGAGAGAGGGTTAGTTCCCAATTCGAAATGGGCTACTTCTGCTTTTGGGCCTTGACGTCTCTTTTCTTTATGGGCCGTTCTGGTATTTGGGCTTATTCAGACATGGGCTGCTTCCGTTTCGGACCTTCAAGTCTCTTTCATATCGGGCTGCGCTTAAAATCATATAAGAGATTAATAAGTTTCGTAAAAAATCATATAAAATAAAAAACCTAATATTATTAAGATATATTGGATGTGTCCATTTTTCACACGTTCCGGCTAGCCAGTAAGTAACTGTACTGTGATTTCTGTAATACGAATCTTGCGAAAAGGGTCTAATCTAATTCAGAATAACTGAAGGCTTAATTAAAAGTATATTGGAGATATTGTCAATTTCTATAATTTTTTTATAATGATTTTACCGAAATTTATTTTCGTATTATCCAATTGAACAGAGATTTATTAGGAAGAAAATACCCTCACCAGGCATGTGGCTTTTTGGAGGAGGAAACATCTGATGCATCTCGACTCCAGTTCGGCGCAGTAGGAAGGATGGAGACCAGCTCTGGAGGAAGAAGCTGCTCGGTCTGCGGCGGAGGGTCGGTTTTCTCTTTTCAGATTTTCTCCCAGATGATGGCGGCAAGTGATATGTGTCGAGGTAGAGACCCCTCTCTGGTGTGCTTTCTTCAAAGCTTCTCTGGTTCCTGGCTAGGTTTTTTCGCGCTCCAGGGACAGATGCTATCCCCGATTGGGGGTTTTAGGAAGAGGGATCGTAGAAGGCCGCGATTTCTCGGCAGCTGCATATTCTGGCCGCATCCATGGACCATATGGATGATTGCAGACGATTCTAGCTGGTGCCAGTGCCTCAGCGCAGGAGGATCTGGACCTTCTCTTCTGGTGGCAGGCCGCCGCGCACTTACTGAGACCGAAAATGTGGCCGGTTGGTCTGAGGACCTGTGCAGATCCATGGCTCTGATGCCTTGCTCTGGGGAAGAGGGGGGCGCTGTTACGGCTTCAAGCGTCTGCAATCCATAGAAGCCGGGAACTACTGCGGATCACATACAGTTTTTGCCAGGAATCATAGATATTATTCTACGAATGGGTAGGAGCGTAGGAAGCAGGTGTGACCGTGACACTGTTGGAGCGACGCTCTGACGCAAGGAAAGATTCCGGTGAGGATGGATGGCTTCGCAGGGACATGACCCCAAGGAGAGCCTAACGAGGAGTGCTCTCTCGTGGAAAGCAGCAGATTCCTGTGCGTCAGGAATCCTGCCACAGGGGGAGCCTCGGCAGCTCTGTACGTTGGGCGCGCTGTGCATCTGGCACAGGGGATCAGTAGTCATTGCAGACGGAGGAAATGAGGAGCAGCAGCCAGTAATTTTATTACCTCCAGAGTTGAACCATAAACGAAGATGCAACAAGGATTACTGGATTTCCTAGATAAATGGTGCATAATCTGGACGCAATGGCCGAAGAGAAATGCAAGGCATGGACTAGGGTTTATTGCTTCTCTCCTCTAACATGGCGGGGTTTAGGGTTTTGCAGTTGAGAGAGGGAAACCACATGGCACCATGGAAGGAAAGTTAAACCCCATGTACAATGCAGAGGACGGCAATGAGAAGAAGAAGAATGGGAAAGAAAGCAGATATATATATTCTCGATGAAAAACCCTAACATCTCTGGTGCGCCTGCACCGCTACCACTACTTCCATCGTTACAAGCATGTTACATACAGGGAGAGGAGCCCAAACACATCCCCCTCGAAATCCTCGACGAGTACAGAGCGTATCTACAAGCACGCCCACTGCACCGTCCTCCGCTTAGCTCTCTTATGGGGCGCTGCGATCTCAGGAAGCGCAGGAGGTTTCCCTCCTCGGCAACAGCGAGAAGAGCATCTCCAGGTCAGGCGGCTGGAAGTACCCGTTCTTCGGCGGCTCCCTTCTCTTCGCGAAGACGACCGGAGATTTCTTCCTCGGCGGCGGCGGACACGGGAAAGCCGCCGGAATCCGGCATTCCATCCTTCGCGGCGTCTGCCACCCTTCCTCTCCTCCCCCACAGGCTTCTATATCCATCCTCCCTCTCCTCCCTCTCTCCCTCTCCCTCTCTCTCTCTCTCTCTCTCTCTCTCTACCTCCGCCGGAGCTTGCTTGTCTCTGGAGCAGAGGCTTTTCGAAGTGGGAACGCGAGGGAAATCTCCAGGGAGGGGTTTTCTAGAGGGGCGGGCGTGTTTTATCTTCGTAGGGAAGATTCCAGGGAGCGGCATGGAGCTGATGCGGTTCACGTGTCTGTTTTCTATTGGATTTCAGGGGACACCGTGGCCGCCGCCTCTCCTCGCGCCCGTCGATCTCCGCCGCGGGGGAAAAACGGCGGGAAACCACCCGATTTGAGGGCGGGAAAATTTGGGCGAAGCTAGTAGGCTGGACTCTCTAATGGGCAAATTTAAATGGGCCTACAGGTATAATTTGAGGCCCAACTATGCGTGCACGTGAAGTACACGTGACACCCCCCGGCCTCCCCCAAGGCCGGGGGATCGTCTTCCTCAACAGACGGCAAGCGGAAGATGTTTCGAGGGCTGAAAGAGGTACTCTCCGGCCACAAGGCAGCGGTTGAAGGAAACAGAGAGAGAGTGGGCACGGGGTAGGGCGAGGTGTACAGAAGACCAGAGATGTCGTCGCGAGTGACTCGCCCTTCGCGGCAGCGCGACTACCACCGCTTCTCGCCGGACTCTCCCATCGTCATTGACAACGGCAGTTCCTGCTTCCGAATTGGGTGCGATTCCGTTGGCATCTGGGCGAAGAAACCCTATTTTTGTTTGGTCGTATCGATTTGGTTTTGCATCCCTTCGTTTTTGTTTGATAATCTCTTCTCCAAAACAGGTGGGCCGGCGAGACGGAACCCCGTCTATCTTTCCGCAATGTCGTGCAGAGGCCGCGTCACAAGGCTTCTGGTAAATGATATCCTCCATTGATTTTTCTGCATTACCTTCCCTGATTTCAATTTTTTTCTATAGAAGCTACAGTTTGATGTTATTGGGTGACCTCTCATTCTCCTCCACCCTGTGTTGCAGGTGAGACGGTGACGATCGTCGGCGACTATGATCCATCCTTAATGAAGTATTTTGATTGCACTCGTTCGTCATTTCGCAGTGCCTTCGACAACAACGTCGTTTACCAGTTTGAAGTCATGGAATATGTAAGTCTTTACTGTTTCATCTGTCGAATGATTCCTCGAGTTAACTTTTTATAAGTCCCTCCCACATCACAACCACGCTACTTATCTCAGTGCTGGCCGATCAGCTGATGAAGATGATGCTGTGAAAAATTCGGATTTTGGAGAGTAACCTGACGAATTTGTGGAAGGTGATTCGTAATTTCCTGGGGCTGCCTTCAGAAAGATTTCGCAGGATCGGGCATAAAATAAGAAGATGAGGAAGGAGAGAGATGAGGCGAGCTGTGGCGTTGACGGGGAAGATGGGAAGACCGAGGAGACTGTGTCAAAGATGGTGGAATTTTAGTCTACCAGCTGAGGGAGTGGATGGAGAAAGATACGCCTAGCCCATGATATTATAGCTGTGTTGGGCCTTATGGGGTTGAATGGCACCGAATCCTCGGTGTTTGTTTGGTTCAAAGGTTGGGAAGTTGATGGGAGACCATCTTGCTGTGAGGACGCTGTCTCTTTGTTTCTCTGGTTACTTTTCAAACTTATCAATTGGGGTTGTCCACAGCAAGCCTTTAAATGGGGTTGGGAGGGTGGGGGGGTGGTTACTCTGCGTACTTTGGTTGGTCTCTCAAAACCAACGATTAGACTTTTTCCTTCAGCGGCCACAACATTCTAATGACTTTTTCCTTTAGGGAATGCCACCCGTGTCAAAAATCTAAAACTTTTTATATTGATGAATTGAACTTGAGTTTGGAGACAATTTTTAAGGATTGGCGATGATGCTATCTGTTCATTGATATCGTCTTATACACAAAAGGGTCCATTTAACGACGTGGATAATCTTTAAATGCAATGCACAAGCATTTTAGAATAATCCGTGTTGTACAGATTGTCAATTAGAAAGAGTTTCTCTTTCAGTGATATTTGTCCCCTATGCTTTTGCCGCTGAATGACCTGCCAAACATCACTCTAAGATAAGCCTGCCAAGATAAACGTGCCAAAAGTATCTATCCTCTTCTGTTTCCTTCAGACCCAAAGATGTTCGTCAAAATATCGAATTCAATCTTTAGCACTAACAGCACAAAAACTTTCGTTTATAATTTTTTTCAGACGGTGCTGATTGTACATGATTTCCTACTATTTTATCAAATCTCTCTCCACACTTTATTGCTGATCCTGGCTTTTTGATTAATGCGGTCTGTTTTTAGCACAAATATCTCGTCACCTTGTGTCCTGGATATCATTATGGGATCATAAATATTTTATCGGCATGATATTTGTGCACTGTTGTTTAAATCTTCCCAGGTTCTTGACTATGGTTTTGAGCGACTGGGAGCAGGTGGCTCAGAGGTAAATCGGATATTCCTTTTCTTTTGCAATAGTTGCATTTCTAGGAAATTTATCTGTTCAAATGAAGATATCAGTGACCGACTCATACTTCGGAACAAAGCTGTAATCGTGATATTTCTGGAGTATATAACACTAAAGTGACTCCAACTAATATGATGCAGTGATAACGCCATATAACGCTTGTTTTCCGCAGAAGTGTCCGCTGTGACGCATCTAACGTCCTCACATGTTTATGGTCTGTGTGCCAAAAAAAATTTCCCTGAACAGGTCAATCATCCGATTTTAATGACAGAATGTGTGTGCAATCCAGTAGCTTCTCGCAGCAAAATGGCAGAGCTTCTTTTTGAAACTTACGGCGTGCCATCTGTCGGTATGAGTCTTGGCCATATGACTCTTTCTTTGTGGGTGGATGCTTTTCTTTTTTTAATTTCTTCGCTCGTTATTTTCTGACACGTTGATCATGGATTTTAGCATTCGGCATTGATGCTGCATTCAGTTACAAATATAATCAGCATCTTGGAATCTGCAATGATGACGGCCTTGCTATATGCACTGGATTAACAACCAGCCATGTTATCCCAGTAAGTTACTAGTTGCGAAAGGCAATTATAAACCTTTGCATTCCCCAGAAGTCATTTTGTGTAATGTTGCTGCATTGCTGCCCGCTATATGTGGTATTCTGGTGAGAATGTAGTCGCGTTTTCATGGGCTCAACTCTTACCGTGGTAGTTGACCTAAGTTGATTGCAATCTTGGCTTTCTCTGCCCAGCCCCACCACCACCACCACTATTCAGGAGGTTTTACCGAAAACATAATCTGCAATAGCGGAATAAAGGTTTCTGTTAGCTCCTTTTTCTCTTTAATGGGCATTCGTCTTCTTCTTCCTTTCATCTTGCGAGAAGAATAGAAGGATTTAACTAGTTTTGGAATAAAAATATACACTGTTAGATGGATCTATTGGAGTATAAGATGGGCTTGACTGTGAAAATCAGACGATCTTTTTTCTTTTTAGTGCTGCTGATGACTCGTATGATGTAAATGAATTGATGTTGTAAACAATTTTGACAATCTCTCTCCTTTGATATATTTTTTTTCTTCTCTCTCGCTCTCTCTCTCCCTATCTCATTCTACGTGATTTCTTCCATCGTTTTCTTATTTTCCTTCCATTGATCTCTTGGGGGCGTGAACAGGAACAAAAGGCCCGAGTGAAACCCTGTCCTGGGCATGTAAGCTTCATTGCAATTGACCAGACTGTGCTCATGAGAAAATATCGGGGCCTGGGATGGAGAACTAGCATCCTTGGCCCGGCCAACTATGGAAGAATCTGACCAACTAGCAAATGATTTCCCGTGAACCTGACCCATCAAAATAGTTTGCCAACCTCCTGAACTTAATAAATAAAAAATGTAGCTTTTGGTTCATGTGCATGTTTGTGCTTAGAGAGGATGGTGACTAAACTAGGATCTGGGCTAGGCTTGTGATTTGGTGGACTTCAGTGATTTGGGCTTTGACCAGAGATGGACTCGGAAGTCAGACCCGTTTACCATATCGTTCCTAACAGTTTTCTTCAATCACAGTTTGTTCACGGGGAGCCTGTCGTAGAAGCGTGCTGCAGAACAAACGTAGGCGGGCAAAACATCACCGAGTATCTGAAGCAACTTCTTTCACTCAAATACCCGCTCCACACGTGAGTCTCCGGGATCATTATTTTTGTTTAATGTGTGCCATGCTCGTGCCACACAGGACTCTGACCTGGCTGTGTACACACAATAGGAATAGCATCACGTTGGAGAAAGCTGAAGATCTCAAGAAGGAGCACTGCTACATCGCTGCGGATTATTGCTCAGAACTGAAGTTGTTTCAGGTGAAAGACAGTCATCTTCTCTCTCTAGAATTCACAGACGTTGACTTTTCTACTGAACTTTATTTCCATAAATTTGGATTTCCTTCTAAAATGGTCAACCCGAGCCACCCTCTGAACCTATAGTTGTGATGATTTCATCACAACTGTAGGCAAGCTGGGAACGTATGCAAGATTTTAAGGCACCATGATGAACTGATGAACTGTTTTCTTCTCGAGCTTTTTTTTAAAAATTTTGTGCTACCATGATTGCTCAAGCTTGCTCAAGCTTGCTCAAGCTTGCTCAAGCTTGCTCAAGTTTTTCTTTTACCTTTTTTTAATTTTAAGAAATGGTCATTTCTGGTTAATTTCAGAGAGAGACGAAGGAAGCAGAAGAGAAGACCAGATGCTGGCAGCTTCCCTTCGTCCCTCCTCCTCAAGAGGAGCCACCTTCCGAAGAAGAACTAGCCAGAAAGGCCGCTTTGAGGGAACGACAAGCTCAAAGGCTGCGCGAAATGGCGGCTGCGAAGAGATTGTCCAAAATAGCAGACCTGGAAGCCGACCTTAATGCCCTGGAGAATCTTATGAGCCAACTTGACGCCGCCGAAGAAGACGAGATCCCCGCAATACTGTATCAAAGAGGCTACGCCTCTCGGGAAGAGATCGAGTCAGCAGCTTCCAAAGCCGCTCAATCTCTGCGTAAAGTGAAGGGCGAGCCCGTGGACGCCGAGGAGAAAGCCGAAGTTTCCTTGGAAGAGAAGTATTATTTGGTCAATGTTCCCGACAACATGTTGACTCCCGAGCAGGTGATCGTTGACCCGGATCCCCTGATATATCCACGTCGGCTGCTGCGGGCTGCATTGCTGTTTTTCCTTTCTAATCCGTTGACTTCAGCTCCACGCCGTCTACTGACCGTTCTTCCTTATTTGCCTGCGTCGGTCAGATGAAGGAGAAGAAGAAGCAGATATTTCTGAAGACGACTTACGAGGGGCGGATGCGCGCCAAACAGAGGAAGTTTGAGGAGGAGTTGCAGAGGGAGAGGCAGAATCAGCTGGAGGAAGAGCGGAGGCTGTATGTTCTCACCTGCCTGATAAGATCTCCAATGCTCCTTTTTTTCCTTTTTTTAGAAAAGAAAATAACTTGGCTGGCTCATCGCAGGGAGAACCCGGAGCTGTACCTGGAGCAGCTCCGCACCAGGTACAAGGAGCTCTCGGAGAAAGTGGAGCAGCGGAAGAGGCCGAAGACCAACGGCTCCCACACCAACGGCAACGGCAGCGTGGGCCGCGGCGAGCGTCTGAACGCGGCCCAGAGAGAGAGAATGCGGCTCCTGACGACGGCGGCGCTGGACCGGGGCAAGGGCGAGGACACATTCGGCGCCCGTGAGGAGGACTGGCAGCTCTACAAGCTCATGAGCAGGGACAACGACGACGACGACGACAACGAGCGCGACGAGGAGGAGGCCGAGTTAGCCCGCGTCGCCTCCAAGCTCCAGGTCCCCTTCTTCGCCGCCCGTCCAGGGCCGAGCTTCATGCAAAAAATCCCGTCTCCACTCATAATTTCGTTTCTCCTTGTTGCAGGAGATCGACCCGACCTTCGTGGCGACGACCGACGGCGGGGCCCTGCAGGGGGGCAGCGGCGGCGCCGCAGCCGACGCCGCCCGGGGCCGCCCGCTGACCGCCGAGGACTTCAAGATCTCGCTGGGCGTGGAGCGGTTCCGCTGCCCGGAGGTTCTCTTCCGGCCGGCCATGATCGGCGTGGACCAGGCGGGGCTGGACGAGATGGCCGGCGTCTCACTCCGCCGGCTCTCGGCGGCGGAGGAGGTCCTCGAGGGGCTGTGCCGGTCGATCTTGCTGACCGGCGGCGGGTGCCTCGTGCCGGGCATGGGGCGTCGCCTGGAGGTCGACGTGAGGAAGATCCGGCCCTTCCTCTCCGCCATAAACGTGGTGACGGCGGCCGACCCAGTCCTCGACGCCTGGAGGGGCGCCGCCGCCTGCGCCGCGAGCTCCGGTTTCCCCCAGCAAGTGTTCACCAGGGAGGATTACCTCGAGAAGGGCGAGGACTGGCTCCGCAGGTACAGGATGAGCTACATTCTATGATTCTGACTGCACGGAAGATGTTCGACGAATCTCCCAGCGAGTAACGTATCATCGACGAGGAGGAGGAGGTGGGAATCTACCGGTTGGCCTCACGGATCAGACGGCCGCTGATGGGCCGTTGCGCTGGGGCCTAGTGACCTTCTGGATGGTCAATGGTCAATCGAACTTCCCCCATGGGGTTGCGACGTTATATTGAGGTGCTGGAGCGTTCCAACGGCTGTGATTCCGATTTTTAACTCGCAAGCCGAAAAAAAATCTCTTCATCATCGTGCTTCGGTAACGTTACCTGGTTCATAATTTGTGATTATTTCACGCTGTGCGCTGTGACCCCGATGCCTTAAAAAAATGAGGAGAGCGGTAACTTTAACGAGCGTGACGAGATCCAGGGTATATCAACGTGTACAGAACCAGGTCTCGCCGTCAGGTCTCGCCCACGTTTTTCGTTGTCCCTCGTCCAGCATCTGCCCCTCTCCTTTCACCTCTCGGGGAAGGCCGGATATATCCGATTCCTCCCAGTCCTCTCGCCGGCCCCATTTGGGTAAGGAAAGCTAGAAATCTTCAGGGAGCTCTCCCAGCTGTTCAGCTTCACCTCTTCGCTTGCCGAGATTCGTCTGGGGGCTGTCTTTCTAGGGCTCAGGAAACGGGTGGAAATCATTTGTCGGTTGATGCGCTTGTTCGCTATAGAACAATGATCTTTTCCAGGCTCAGCCGGTCTCTGTCGCGATCGGCCCGCTCTAGGATCGAAAGTGTAAGTCTCTCTGCATGTGTCCGACGCTCGCATGTCGGTCTTGGTCTTTTGCCGCCGTTTTGGTTCCTTATTCTGTTTATTTTCTGTTGTGCAGGGAGCACACTTAGGTACAAATGTGGCGAGAAGTGCTCTTTCCGGTGAGACGCTTCTGAACTCATCGTCCTCTCTCCAAGGAAATGGTGGGCTGGGCTTCCTTAGGAGTTATTTGACAGTCGCCGGTGCTAGGGGTACCTTTGTGCCAAAGTCTCGTATTTTGGAGTGGAATTATCTGTTGGCAAATCCTAGATTTTGGCGGCTTTTCTCCAGCGATTCCCAGGATAAGAAGAGTAAGATTAACATTTGGAGATATATATACATCTGTTTTTTTGAACGTTTATTGGTTGGCTGCAAGAACTTCCTTCTGATACTCTTTTTAATAATGTGAACATTTTAGATTACGAGAATTATTACCCAAAGGATAGAAAAGAAATCCCGAAGGAAAAAGAGGATAACAAGTCGGATTCGAAAGGTAAGCTGTTTTTATGTTGTTGTATATTAACTTCTCAAGTCATGAAGAATTCTGGTTGATTATTTCACGGTTTTTCATATTATGTTCAGGAATAATGACTATTTTCAACTTTAATCTGTTGTTTGGGATTTATCTTCGTATTTTGAACATTATGCTAAGTAATTATTTCACACAGTCGTTTGCTTCTACCTTTGATCCTGTTTTTTCTTTTTACTTGTTCCATGTATGCATCATAAATTATCTACTTTTAATCCAGTTTGGTTTTTCGTCTCATTTGATATATTTGTGGTATCAGATCTATAAGTGAAGAAAAGTTGATTTTTAGACTAAACAAAACATTCTTTTTTTTGCTGTATAATTTTCCATGTATTTGTGTATGGTTTTTCAAGTAATCAATGTGATGATTGGGGTAATTTCACAACCTTTTGGCTGTTATTTGACCCATCATTGTGACCTTGTGACGAAGCTAGAGTTGTATGATGAAGAAACATCATCCTTGAATCAACAAGACAAGAAATTCAAACAAGGAAACCACGTCCTAAATCCACATAACTTGGAACCTTCAATTTTTGAATCCTCAAAGACTTGTTGGAGCGATCCTTGAATCCACAATGATCAAAATATTCCCTTTAATTTACGAGGAGGTGTTTGAGTCCACATGCAGATAGAGGGGACATGTCAAAAAGAGAAAATTCCTACTAACTCATAATGTCTTGGGACTCTAACGTGGGGTCTTTTGAAGACTGAATTTTGATTGGGCTGCCCTTAGAAAGGTAGATAAGTTATAATTGCGTTTTAAAAATGATTTTTGACGCCTTATAACCACTCATAAAACAATGCTTTAAAAGCTTTAAAACAGCATTTAATAATGTTCTTTTTACATAATAAAAGTGCAAAAATTAAATTAACTAATATCTGACAAGTTTCTCACACGTTTAATATTGGATTGTCCTGTTCTTGTAGTCCATATTTCTAGTTTCAAAGATGTCGAATCCACTAGTGCTGGACTGTATATGTCCTTCATGGGTTTTTCTTACTTGAAAAGAACTTGCTGTCAAGTCTTAATGTGGTTCTAGATAATAATAATAATATATTTATAATATTAAAGGTGGAATATATATTTATTTTCTCTGGTGAATAAATGACATAGGGATTGTCATTAATATTTTGGAAGATTTTGAATGATCTATATTGCCATGCCATTAACTTGTTATAAGTACTAGATGAGAACCTTTCTTTCTGCAAATATATCATAACCAAATCACCAACTTCAAAAGTTGTTTTCTACCTCTTATTATCAGTTGCTTCTACATAATTATTATAATTGGTTGAAGAATTTTTCTTGATCTTTTTTTGAAACTGTTTTGACATTCTTTGTCATCTTGTTACTTGCAATGTTTGTTCATGTTTATTTTGGTAAATGTGCAAATTCTAGAGGAAGACAATGAACAATAGAAAATAAGACTGACTAGTTGAGTGACTAACCATAAAATTGTAAGCAGACTCTTCTTGAGTCAAAAATATAATCTCATTGTCTTAATTTATCTCCAAAAATACAAAGAATCAAATTGTCGAGTGTCATGTTTACTACTTTTGTTGGACCACCTATTTGAGGGTGACTGGTATTACTAAATTTTAAGTAATAATCAAACATTTTCCCAAGAGTATCCAAAAAATGTGACAAACATATTTAATCTTAATCTAATGACTAACTGGACTTTGAAGCTTCATGCAAACAAACTATTATATTAATTAATAAGTGGACTGCTTGTACTACATTATTCGTCATCTTATATAAAATAAAATGCACCATTTTAGAAAAGTAATCAATAATCACAAAAATAAAATTACTCCTTTGTGTTCATGGCAATTATAAGGTAAAGTCTAAATATATGGTAGCTGAGGGGTTTCTTCAAATTGACAATGGAGTATATTATCCAATATTTTTGCAATGCTTTTTATTAACGAAACATCCCTTTTCAACTGTCATCAATAGTATCACACTCTATATTTGTGGTTGTGGATTGTTTATAAAAAATGGTGTATTTTATTTCGTGCAATAAGACAAATAATGTAATATGAGTAGTCAACTTATTCTCAAAGTTTCTATCATACTTTTTATAAACTTGTTAGAAAAAGTTTGATTCTTAAAATTTAGTAGCATCAGTCACCTTCAAACGTTTTTGGTCAAACAGAAGTAATAGAAATGACACTCATCAACTTGACTCCTTGTGTTTTAAGAGATAAATTAAGACAATGAGATTATACTTTGACTTAAGCATAGCTTGGTTATAGTTATATAGTAGTCACTCTATTATTTAATCTCATTTTTTATTGTTTATTGTTTTCCTCTAAAGCTTCCTCTAGATTTGATACATTTACTAAAATAAACAAGAACAAGTATTGCAGCTAACAAGATGGCAGAGCATATCAAAACAGTTCATAAAAGCATCAAGAAAAATCTTTTAACTAATTACAATAATTATAAAGAAGCAATTGGCAGAAAGAGGCTTTTTTTTCCCTTAAGTTGGTGATTTTGTTATGGTATACTTGCGGAAAGAAAGGTTCCCATCTGGTGCTTATAAAAAGTTAATGGCAAAGAAATATGGGCGATTCAAAGTCTCACAAAAGATTAATGGTAATGCTTATACATTAACTTACTGAAGAAAATTGGTATATCTTCAACCTTCAATGTTATGATTACTATCTAGAGCCACGTGAAGATTTGAGGGTGAATTCTTTTCAAGCAAAAAAGACCCCTGTAGCATATATATAGTCCAACACAAATGGATCAGACACCATTGAATTTATATGCTACAAGTTTCCTTGTTTTTCATCATTGATCTTGATATGTTCAAGAAATCGTTCAGTTTTGGCCAATCAATCTAGATATTCTTCTATGCACAAATTGTCATTAAAACTTGGTAAATCAATTTTCATTCAAAATCTGTAGGAATATCTTCCTCAGATCTACTGCTATTTCTAGGTACAGATAAAGAACAATTATTAGAGTCAATAATGTTTTTGTTAGTTGGTTGCCTTTGTGCAGTATGCATCAAATCATGTCGTTCTATCCAATATTGACACATTAACTTTCTAATCGTTCTATCCAATGTTTCATACTTATCTTGAAATTTTTGACTAATACTTTGTTGGAACTTTTAAAAAAAAATTCCCCTGATAAGGGGCCAACCTCACAGACCACCTACTTGTTTTATTTTTATTTGTGCTTGTATTTTGCAATTTGCCTTGACAAGCTGATCCTTCTCATACATGTCTATCTATTACAAAAGAGAGACGTAGAGGGAATATTCTGATGAATTCATATCTAAAGAATTGCCCCTATTTGTAGATTAGAGAAACGCCATAAAATTCGTGTAGTGTTTTTGAAGATTTAATGCGCTGTTGGTGTTGTCAGATTAACCATATGATAATCACTATATTGTGGAAGGAATATAAGAATATACATTGTTTTGTGGTGTGATTTTGAAGTGTTTCAGTCAAGGTACTTGGAGCAGCTGTATGTCGAGCAGCAATTTCCTTACTGATAAAGTTATAGTGGATAGGTTCTGTTGCATCTTTTATTGGGGGCATTAGACGCATAAACAAGTAGCATACGAGACCAGGGCAGTTACACTAAAAGAATCTGATTTCCATTTGTCCCTTAGAAAATCATTTGGCTTGCTTCACAAAAGTCCTTCTAGAATAAGCTGAAGACTCTGAGCCTCTTAGGGGAGATGTCTTGAAAGCAGATAGTCAGAATCTTGATGCACGCCAACAGGACGAACTAACACTCAGAAATCTGCAGGACTTTGGATGGGAGAAAATGAAAGCAAAGGAAGCACTTTATATTATCATGACGTTTCCTTGGTCGTGGAGTAAACACACTTTAAATTGAAGTCTTCAACCGCACTAGTGATAGGCTCAAGGCACTTGGATAATGTTTGGAGGGGTTTAAGGCTTCGTCTATGTTATTTTTGTAAGGAAATTTATGTTCTCATTTAGGTTTTTCCTTTTTTTATGGTTTTTGGTTTTTGTTTCTTTGGGGAGGCATTAGGATTGCATTCTAAGTTGTTTTTTGGTCCCAATTCGTTATGAACGTCTTGGGAAAATCTAAGTTGAAATATTTTTGACAAATTGGGGTTGATAGTCTTACCATTTGCTTGGGACTTCTAATGATAAAACGTATGCCTCTTGCTATTCTTACGTAGATGATTCGAGGTACTCATTTATACACGTTCCTCACCAGAAAGCAATTACCTCCCTTAGTTCATTTTTCTGGTCGTTTCTTGCTTTCCCTTTTAGAAGTAATTTCTGTTGATTGAAACTTGTTCGTAAATTTCGTATGCATTTTTTTTCTACTTCTCTTAGAGAACCTGACTCTTTATCCTATTTTCTAGAGGAATCGAGTACAGATAATCAGGGAAACTTTCAAGAAAATTTGATCAAGCAGTTGCAGAATTATGTCACTCCTCTGATCCTTTTTGGCCTATTATTTTCTTCTTTTTCATCATCTTCTGACCAGAAAGAGGTCAGTGCCTCCACCTCTGTAATATTTATTACTTTTCTCTATAGAATTCATTGTTGCTTCTTTTCGATATTTATAGGTGTGCGTGATTTATGATTTCATAATATTATTCGAATAGAGTAATGTAAGTCCATTTCTGGACTTGGGTTGGCCAATTTCATGCATTCCACGGATCACTTAGTAATGCATTCATTTTGTTAATTGACTCATTGAATTTAATTGCTTACCAATTCGAAAAAGGTAGAGTTTTATGGAAGTCTTTCTGATTATGTTAGTCGCCTTTTTCACCTAAGGTTCACTGACCTGTACTTGTGAATTTTAGCCTGTTTTTTATTATCTGGTGATTACAATATGAAAGCTATTCGGTGTCTCAGTTAGGTAATGATGATGATGATTAGAGAAGAGTGGTTGTGATCCACTGGGTAAAAAAAACAAAAGATTGAATGAAACTAACATGCTACTTAAAAGGAAAACCGATCAGCATGGTAGGTTGAGAGGTATCGTACAAAACCAGAGTTGAGAGGGCATTGGATTATAATTTATGTTGCATACTGAAGAGAGATCATCACCACTCCCTGCTGGGTTTTCTTATGTTTCCTGAGTAAGCTCCTCTACTATTTAACCTCATGGGAGTACATCACAGCTGGCTATTTTTTTAGTCCACCACGTGTACTGCCTTGGCAGGACGAGAGTACTGAAGTGAAATAATTGATGGGAGTGCTGGACCATTGTAACCTTCTGCAATTCAGTTTTTCACTAGGGCATAGAGTGTTCTGTACTCTTGTTCTCTTAGATGCCTGTGTTGTAATTACTTAAATAATGACTCAAACAGACCTATATGTGAACTTGGTGCGAAAATCTAATTGAATCCATCTAATTATGTGACTTGAAAAAGGGGGTTTCTGTGGCCCTCTTCTCGCTAGAATCTATGTTCAGTGATTCTATCGATCTTTCCATCTTTTACATGGAAACGCCCTGCCACCATGCGTTCAATTTATGGTCTGACGGTCTCCTCTTCATGGTCGTTCTAATTGGCTAGAGGATCTTCCCTTCAGTCCGTGGGTTTTTCTCTATTTAGCTGCTGGCTTAAGTACATGTCTTCTAGGTATGATTTAGCCCCTCTTTTTTTCAGTCCGTTCTTTAGTCAAGTGCGGAGAGATTTCAACTTAAACAACCACTAAATGTCTATTATTTTTAATTTTTTAATATTCCGTCATGTAGATGCTAATTCATATCCATAGCCTAGTTCATTGCCTCCCAGCATGCCGTCCTTCCTACCTGTGCCTTGACTCATTCTTTGGAGACGTTTGACTTTCCAGATCAGCTTCCAGGAGTTCAAGAACAAGCTACTGGAACCGGGTTTAGTCGATCGTATCGTGGTCTCCAATAGGTCAGTTGCAAAAGTCTACGTGAGGAACACTCCTAAAATCAGCGGTCAAAGCAGTGACACAGATATCCAAGCTCCCAGAGCAGACGCTCCTACCGTGGGCAGATACAAGTACTACTTCAATATTGGGAGTGTCGAGTCATTTGAGCAGAAGCTGGAGGAGGCCCAGGATTCGTTGGGGGTTGACCCGCATGACTTTGTTCCTGTGACCTTCGTCTCGGAGGTCCTGTGGTTCCAGGAGCTCATAAAGTTCGCTCCGACAGCCCTCCTTCTGGGGCTCATCTATGTTGTGGGCCGTAGGATGCAGGGTGGGCTCGGCATCGGTGGGAGCCCCGGGAGGGGGGGCGGTAGAGGCATATTCAATATCGGCAAAGCTCAAGTGACAAGAATGGACAAGAACTCGAAGAACAAGGTCAACCCCTGCTCCTTTTCCTCTTGCAGTGTTTTGCCTCGGTCGTCCATGCATGCGTGCTACATCTCAATCTTATTTCGCCCATCGTCTCTCGTCAACCCTGTTCTCGGATTGTGAATGAAATTCAAAGGATGTGTGGAAAATCAGATCTTTTTCAAGGACGTGGCCGGCTGCGACGAAGCGAAGCAGGAGATCATGGAGTTCGTGCATTTCCTCCGGAACCCGAAGAAGTACGAGGACCTAGGCGCCAAGATCCCCAAGGGCGCCCTCCTCGTCGGGCCCCCCGGCACGGGGAAGACGCTTCTTGCCAAGGCCACTGCAGGCGAGTCCGGCGTGCCCTTCCTCTCCATCTCCGGCTCCGACTTCATGGAGATGTTCGTCGGCGTCGGGCCCGCCCGGGTGAGGAGCCTCTTCCAGGAGGCCAGGAGTAGCGCCCCTAGCATCATCTTCATCGACGAGATCGACGCCATCGGCCGCGCCAGGGGACGCGGGGGATTCTCTGGCTCCAACGACGAGCGCGAGAGTACCCTGAACCAGCTGCTCGTGGAGATGGACGGCTTCGGCACCACCGCCGGCGTGGTCGTCCTCGCTGGCACCAACCGGCCCGACATCCTCGACAAGGCCCTGCTCCGGCCGGGAAGGTTCGATCGCCAGATCGCCATCGACAAGCCCGACATCAAGGGCCGCGATCAGATTTTCAAGATCTATCTGAAGAAGCTCAAGCTGGACAACGAACCCTCCTTCTACTCCCAGCGGCTGGCAGCGCTCACCCCCGGCTTCGCCGGCGCCGACATCGCGAACGTCTGCAACGAGGCCGCTCTCATCGCCGCCCGCCGTGAGCAGGTGAAGATCACCATGGAGCATTTCGAAGCCGCCATCGACCGGGTCATCGGCGGCCTGGAGAAGAAGAACAAGGTGATCCAGAGAGATGACTAATCATCCATCATCCATTCTCTTCTTGATTCTTATGAACGATTCCTGAGCTGGGTTTTCTTCGATCCGCAGGTGATCAGCAAGCAGGAGCGGCGGACGGTGGCGTACCACGAGTCGGGCCACGCCGTGGCGGGATGGTTCCTGGAGCACGCGGAGCCGCTGCTCAAGGTCACCATTGTCCCGCGAGGCACCGCCGCCCTGGGTTTCGCTCAGTACGTCCCCAATGAGAACCTCCTCATGACCAAGGAGCAGCTCTTCGACATGACCTGCATGACCCTCGGCGGCCGCGCCTCCGAAGAGGTTCCATATATATACATAATCCATCGTCTGTCTTCTACCTCTGTTCTTTGTCTCTGTCTGTCTGTAACTCTCTTTGTCTGTGTCTGTAACGCGCAGGTGATGCTGGGGAAGATCTCAACGGGGGCGCAGAACGACCTGGAGAAGGTGACGAAGATGACGTACGCGCAAGTGGCGGTGTACGGTTTCAGTGACAAGGTTGGACTGCTGTCCTTCCCGCAGAGGGAGGACTCGATGGAGATGACGAAGCCGTACAGCAGCAAGACCGGCGCCCTCATCGACGGCGAGGTCAGGGAGTGGGTGGCCAAGGCCTACGACCGCACGCTGGAGCTCATCAGGGAGCACCGGGACCAGGTGGCGCAGATCGCCGAGCTCCTGCTCGAGAAGGAGGTGCTGCACCAGGAGGACCTGGTCCGAGTCCTCGGCGAGCGCCCCTTCACCTTGAGCGAGCCCTCCAACTACGACGTCTTCAAGCGGGGCTTCCAGAGTGAGGATGCCGCCGCCGACGCCGCCGGCGGCGAGGCCAAGCCGGCGTCGTCGCCGCCGCCGATCGACGGCGAGGTCGTCGTCCCCGCGTAGTTCTCCGCTGTACATCCATCCAAGATCTCCATCCTTCCCTGTTCGAGATTCCCCCTTTTACTGCTTGTTCACGTTTATAACAGATGCATTGTACAGGACGAGCGCCGCCTGCCGCCGCCGCCGCCTCTGAGACACTCGATTATCTTACTACCATGAGGAATGTTACAACCTCGGTCGTTCTTTCGCCACTTCCCTCGCAGCTACGTCATGGGTATCGTGAATGACGTGAATTGAAAAGTAAATTGAGCACGTCTGGCATAGGGATCCCCTGATTGCGGAAGAAGCTCCTGGCTGGGCGTCTGACACGTGGAACGACAATGAACCGTCGCAGTCAACGCTCTCTTGGGGTAGGGCAGTGGTCGTGACTGCACCAGACGTCGTCGGTGACAGCATCAGACGGGGGTTAAAAATATCGGTATTTTCGTAATTAAGATAAAGTTTTGGGGGGTAATTGTTAGGTGTATTCGTAGTTATGTCAAATGTGGGGGGCTTTAGTTTAATTAACAACACGTTGGAGTAGGACGGTGGTGGATGGAGCCTACGTCAGTTGAGAAGAATGGGTAGGTGACTGACGGCCCCGCACAGCAGTTAATCGTCTCGTGGTCTATTTAAACTTCTTCTTCCCCCTCTCGGCTCCTTCCCCCCATCCCCGCTGGCTTCAGGTCTCCCATCCAGCAGGACGATCGATCCCCCTTCCTTCTCTGCATTCCCCTCCCGACCTTCATAGCCGAGTCAGTCGGTAAGCTCTCATCTATGGAGTGTCTCTTAAGGGTGTTGCGTCGAGATTACGTCGCTCCGGGGTTGTGATCTACGTCCAGAATGTTTTCACCGGTTCGGCGACTCGATAGGGATATCGCGTGATTCCGCTTTTCTAAGTTTCCTGGATCGATAATGCCGCTTTCGGTTTCCAGGATCGGCGACTCGGAGACATGGTTTGGCCCTCTCCAGGCCTGTGCTATGCATCCGAGGCGACTGTGGTTCGTTCTGTTCGATTTTCTGATTTCTTCTCTGGCCCTCTCCGGGCCCTGTGCTCCGCATTTGCGATTCCGGTGTCTCCGCCTTTGAACTCATCATCATCGCGAGAAAGTCATCGACTATTGCCTCTATCGTGGGGTGAATTCACATGACGATTGGTTCGTATTGTTTTCAGCCGAGCCGAGCGGAAGGAGATCGGATTGGTCGAACAGTGCAGGAAGCAGGAAATTGGACGGAGCAGAAACCGTCTAACTTCATTCTATTAATTGGACGATATCAGCGTTTGAAGATTTTCCGATCAAAATGGAATTGGACGGTCGGTATGTGCTGGATCTGAACAACAGATACAGTTGCCTTCTCTTCGGTAAGTTTACATCCCTCTTTTTTTCTCCGAGTAATCTGTTATGGTTCTTCCTACGAAGCATCCCTGATACGATTTACCCCAGAAATCTACAGATCTCGATGACACTCTCTACCCCCTGAGCCTTGGAATTGCAACCGCATGCCGTGACAATATCAGAGGTACTTCACTCAAAAGTTTCTACGGCTTTGAGAGCCTACCTAATTCATCTCGAGGTCTAATTACTCTCTCTCTCTCTCTCTCTCCCTCCAGATTACATGATCGAAAGGCTTGGAATCGATGAGACCAAGGTGCCGGATCTATGTTTTTTATTATACAAGCACTACGGCACAACAATGGCTGGACTGAGGGTGAGAACCGGTTTCTAGCTGATGACGTTAATTACCAAGGCGATGTAATCATCGATGTGCTGATAATTCTGTGGGATTTCATCTTCTTATCAACTCATGGCTTTCTTGTTCCTGAAAATTACCATGGCGCAGGCAATCGGTTACGAATTCGACTATGATGATTACCACCGCTTCGTTCATGGAAGGTTGCCCTACGACAGCCTGAAGCGTGACCCCGTCCTGAGGACCCTGCTGCAGAGCCTCCCGATTCGGAAAGTCGTAAGATCCCATCCATGACTCTAAATGAAAAGAATCATTGCCTGCATGGTGATCCTTCAAACTAATTCAGCCACCGTTTCTTCGTTTTTCCTCCGCCGGTGTAGATCTTCACGAATGGGGACGAAGTCCACGCTGCTAGATCTTCACGATGGGATCATCTGCTTCGAGACCGTAAATCCGCCGGCGTCACCGTCTCCATCTTACGATCCAATAAATCCCGCCAATATATTCGACATTGTAGAGCACTTATCTCGACCCGACTCCGGTGCTGACCACCTACCTGAGACTCCAATTCTCTGCAAACCATCCGAAGACGCAATGGAGCAGGCCCTGAAGATCGCCGGCATCAACCCTCGCACAGCGGTAAGTCAGATCTTCTTTCCTGTCATCTCCCGAGACAGAAGAATCTCTTATCCCCACACCAATCGTTTCACACTCTCGATGCCTGAATGTCTCTGTGCAGATGTTCTTCGACGACAGTGCCCGCAACATCCTCGCCGGCAAGCGGATCGGTCTACACACCGTCCTGGTGAGCCCTCTGAGACCACCTCGCCGGGTTCCGCTTCCGCCGAGAGAAAATCTGATCGGCTCCCACTGATCATCCTCTTCTTCTCTTTGACCCTCATCAGATTGGATCTTCCCACAGAAGCGCAGGCGCAGACCACGCATTGGAGAGCATCCACAACATAAGGGAGGCTCTGCCAGAGCTCTGGGAAGGCGCCGAGAGAGCGGAAGACGTCGTCCACCCTGCCAAGGTCGCAATCGAGACAACCGTCAGAGCGTAGCTTCTGCAGAACGGCTCCTTCTCAGAATGTGGAGAGCAGAGAGAAAGATATATATTCGCCCGTATGTAAAATAACCATTTCTCACTCTTATTTGTATTAGGGATATTATATACGTCACGTGTATTATATAAATAAATGTATTATATACTTGCATCTTGAATCCAAAATAATAATGTGGTAATTTCCTGGATGAAAATCTTGAGTATTGAAGAAGCTTCTCATAGTTTGGCGTACATTGATTATGTAAAAGCAGTATGAGATGAATTGAAGGGTAGATTCTGACAAATAAGTGGTACAATAATTTTTCACTTGAAACAAGAGTTGGTGAATATTCGACAAAAAAATATTATATTACATTTTATTTTATAAAACTAAAGATCATATGGGAGGAAATAAATGATTTCAAACCTTTATGCACTTGTAAGAGCACGTGTTAACCTTAAGATGATGGAAGAATATTACCAAGTAAATTATGTTATATCTTCTTGATAGGTCCAAATGAGTCATATGCTCAAGTATGTACTCAAATATTATTACATGAACCAACCTCACATATCGGCAATTTTTTTATCATTTCTTTATGAAAAAAATAGCAATAAATTCAAATTCATATATTCAATTGCCTACTAATATAGACTCTTTTTCCATTGTATTTGATGCAAAAACAAATAATTCAAAAGGCTCAAGTTCTTATTGTACAAATTTAAGACAAATCAGAAATTATATATTTTACAATCTAAATGGGCATAAAATTGATAAGTATTATATGTTTCATAGGTACCCTCTTAGCTACAAATTTAAATCAAAGAAAAATTATATTTTAGCCAATCAAATTTCTGCTTGAATTGTCTTTATAAGATTAAAAATTTAGAAAAGTAAATATTTCTTGCAAAGTCTTGATGTGAATTAATATCATTCTATATTATTTAACGTTTAACTTCATCTATTGTAATCAATAATTTGAAGAATGAGACTTCTTTCTCTTGCACTTCAAGTACTTGCCTTTTAGTCAAAGTGCATTTTATCAATGTACATTTTTTCAGTTACCAAATTATAGATTTCTCATTTAGTCATATTAAAACATCTATTTATATATTCTATTTAGGCCGATAATAAGTTCTCAAGACATCCTACTATACAACATTATTTTTTTAGTTACTTTGGTTGGCGAGAACTATAGTTGTTTCTCAAATTAATACTTAAGGCATTCTTTTTGTTCATTAATTCATATAAAATTGACCATCTATGAGTGATTGTCTTATGGGAAACAAATTGGATTATTTTAACATTCAGAACACACATTGAAAAGTCAATATTGACAAGGTAAACTAGAGTAAAAGAACTCCACATATTGGATGTCAATCACATAAATTTTGGGTTAATGAGTTATTCAATTATTGTCATTTGTTAATAAATTTTGTTTCATACATGACACTATAGATTAGGTTATTTGATTTGTAAAGTGATGAAAATCTTACACAAATAATTGTTAGTTTATTCAATTTGTATAAATGATAATATTTATTTTGTGACTTTTAACAAAACAAAAGAGGTTAACCTTTTTAAGTGTTGGAAGTTCTAGGTTGTAAGAAAATAATCTAAAAGATTAAGAATATTTTGGGCAATTGTCTAGGATTACTCTTCATATAAAAGACATTATAGTTGAATGAAGGGTGAGGTAAGTGTTCATCATTCTTCTTTCTATCCTCTGTAATAGAGGTCATTGTCCTTATTATTTAGATTATCGACATAGTATTATAGTCTGGTTAGGGTTTCAAACCCTTATTAAGCATCATCAACATTTTCTACTATCATTTGCTGAATTTATTAACATCATACTACTTTCTAGTGAGGTCTTCTGCCTCTGTCAAGTATTTTTTCGGTGATGGTTTCTACTTATGTGATGTTACTTTTTTGGTAATTTCTTCTACCTCTACCAAATATCTTTCTAGCAATAGTTTTTACCTTTATTATGTTACTTTCTAGTTATGCCTTTTGCCTCCACTTATTATCCTTCAAATAAAGGTTTCTACCTTCACCATGTTACTTTTCGACAAAGTCTTATATTTCTACTAAATGTATTTCCAATGAGGGTTTCTACCTCTATTGTGCTGCTTTTTTTACAATACCTTTCACCTTTGTTAAGTATATGTCTAATAAAAGGGTTTTCACTTGTACCATGCTGCTTTTTAGTGAGGTATTCTACTTTCATCAAATATCCTTCTGGCATCCTTCTTTTTAATCATATGTTGGGTGTTGTCTTAATCTAGTGCATATCTTATGTCCAATTATGTTCAGCACTAGTGTCCTTGTACGGCATTGTCCTTCCTCCCTCTAGTGTCATCTTTTTTCTAAGGTATGTCTGGTGTCTAATGTCATCTTGTGTCCTCTTCAATCCATCTCCTTCTATCCTAAATTAGTTTAACATTCTTCTTAGTATGGTGACTAAAATCTCCCACAATTCATGTCACTTTCCTTGATACCAGCTAAAGTTATTCATATCACTTTCCTTATTATTCACTTGTCCAACATAATTCTCTCTCTAGTGCAATGTCAAATGTGTCAAGGTCATCTCTCATCATTTGACATCATCATGCATACTCCCGCACAATTTGACACCATCTCATATAATCTAATGTCAAAAGGCATCATTGTCCTATAACTTAATAAAATAGTAACTTTTCGGCAATGTAACATAGAGAGTTGTTACCACAATTGATCATCATCATCATAAGTTTGTTTTCTACCATGGGAATGTTCATCAACAACTTAGTTAAGGTGAATTTTTCTAAAGTTCATCTTGAGGGGGGGGAGTGTTGGAAGTTTTAGGTTGTAAGGAAATAATAAAAAAGATTAAAGATATTTTGGAACAATTATTTTCGATTCGTCTCTATATAAAGGGTATTATAAGTGAATGGAGGGTAGAGTTTGTTCTCTCCTATGGCTTATATGATAGAGGTTATTACCTTTGTTGCTTTGATTATTAATAGTGATGTACACTTGTTGTTGTGTTTAAATATCTATTATCTAATAATTAAGACTTAATAAAATATTATTATAGATGTAAGTCTTAAGTAAAACATAGATAAATTAAGTAATCCTTCTTGAAAAATTAATATATTTTATATAAAAATTGATTTAAATATTTTATCACTATTTCATAAAAATAATAAAATAGAAAGGGGAGGTAAGAAGAATAAAGAAAAGGAAGTAGAGAAAATGAGGAAAAGAAAGAGAGAAGAAATAGCTCTCACAAAAGTGAGAAAGAGAAACAGAAGGAGAGGGAAAAATCTCACATGAGATGAAGAGAGAGAAAAGTCTCACAAGAGAGAGGGAGAGAGAGGGAGAGAGAGAAATAAGATGATAATAAAGATAGAGAAAAATATGATCAATTCGTTTTTATAGTGACCATGATTTTCAGATGAATGAGTACTCGAGAATTCACACACATGATTTGAGGTTAGTCATCAATTACTCCATCTTGTTTTAACAATTCAATGCTCATAAATTAACCTTTAGTCTCGCTGATTTGTTTTCAAAAATAAAAAAATACTCATTATTTGTGGAATGTCAAGAACATAAATATTTTAAGATTCGACTATGAAAATCAATAGAAAACAAGTTGAACATAAACTTAGTTTGATCTTAGATGAGTTTTGAAATATTCAGAAAAAGAATGAAGATCATTCATCAGAATTTGAATTAATTCTACTCATTTCAATCGAAACATATATAAAATATAAATAATTTTCTATAAAATATAAATAAATAATAAATTATGTAAATAAATACTGAAAAATTGTGACTCCTAAGCAACTGGAGACACTAGTGTGGTGGCTTAGTTTTATTTGGATATGTCACACCAAGTCAAAAGTCACAAAAGTATTATTTAGAAATGTTGTGCCGCTTGTCAGATAGATCTACCGAAAACACATTGAAGGAAAGAGTTGACCACTCATTGAAAGCTTTGAGTACAATTGGGAAGGAGGAAAAGAACTTGTCAATCTCAAGAAGTGTTGATTGTGTAAAATAAAGAAAGAATAGATTGTTGTAGAGTTTTTTAAAATAATCAATAATATATATATTAGATAATAATTGATTATTGTCTTTATGATACATGCAAAAACTTAAGTTTCTAATATCATGACACTTCATGTGTTGCTGGATGAGATGTGCTTGGTCATGTTGTGTGCTAAGCGACACATGATTAACTTTTCACAAATTGTTGTCGACTGAAAACCTAAGTCCTTAGTACTATGGCACTTTGCTTGCCATCAAATCACTATTTCTAGTCATGTACATGCTGAGCAATGTAGGATTCGTGAACCATCAATGGATTGCTTTACACTTTTGGCATCATAGGACATGGCAAGAGAGTGAAGCAAAAATGTACGAAGCGAGTCCTTCATCACTCAAGCCTAGTTTGTGGCTCCTCTAGTCTAAAAATAAAATAATAAAATTATTCAAACATCAAGATTCTAGCTTTAACAAACAAATTGTAAGTAATAATTATTTTGTTAATATATATTTGATCTTGTTCATTGTAATATTTGAAAACCATTTCATATTAATGGGCATTCTAGTCAACAACACTTTTTGACTTTAGTTGAAGATTCCACACATTTTAGTTTGGTATTTATAATAAAATAAAAATAAGGTGCTAAAACTATTATTCTAATTTTTTTTTATTGTGGTTAGAACTCAATTTTATAATCAAATTAAATTATAATTTAAATCTTCTACTATTTACAAATTTGACTTTAGCATTTTTTGAAAGAGTCTCATGCATCAATTATCATAAGTGAAAACGTTACAACTAAATTCTATTGTGGGGGAGAAAACATCCTTTTTCAGTCAAATATTTTAGTACAATTTTTAACTGATTGTGTGTTAACTACTTTTATTATTGACATATTGTTATCTCCATTACTCAATGATAAGAGTTCATTTGAATTACTTCATAAAAGATTAGTAGATTATTCTATAAATTTTATTTTTTGTTGCTTGGTATTTACTTTTATATTAGCTATAACTTAAACCAAAATTACTCTATAACCTAGAACATGTATCTTTATTAGATATTTGTCATGAATCAAAAGTTATATAATTATCTTCTATTTTTTAGTTATCAGATTCTTTAACCAATATTTTTTTTCTTTTTTTATCTATTAGGTTTCAAGTCACGCTTTGATCAAGAGAGAGTGGTCAAATTAATCAACCCTAATTCTTTTCTTTGATTAAATTTTTGTGACTCTTCTAAACTTTTCATTTAGATCCTAACATCTTGATGTTATCTGATCTAATGCTATAACTAAGATTTTTTATAGTGGCCTGTCCACTTGCCTATGTTCATTCAATGTTTCCAAAGAATGACATTGACTTGTGGTTTGTTCAAAAATGAAGAGGATGATGCTTTACACTTGAATTTTTTTCTTCTCTCCACATAAGTATAATAGCTGTGGTTGGAAGATATTGCACCTTTGATTTGGTTGAAGATAGTTGTTAAATATTTGAATAATACTCATCAACTTAATAACTTCATTAGTTTGATCAATTAGTAAAAAAACTTAAAATTTCTCTTAGATTTTTCTACATACAAACTTAATACAATTATTGAGCTTGTGGAAAGGATGATTGTAATTAGTCAATAGAAAGGTATTGTATTTATAGAGAAATTATACTCAATATCATGTTTTGTTTTTCATCATTTACAATAATTATAATTTTCAAAGATAATTTAAAATTTAAATATTTGGAAAACCAATACAGTGTGTTATATATAGGTTGGTATATCCTTATGAGAAATAAATGAATTGATTTTTTAAAGTGATATATATATATTTGAATTATATGAGGTCAATCAAAATCAATAAATATTTAATAATATTAAAATATTGGTAATAATATAGATATAAATAAAATGATCATGTAATTATCAAATCTTATTCAAATCACCTCAAATAAAATGTGATCATCAAGTAGACATCTTCAATTATGATCTAAATATTTATAATCATAGTTTTAATGATTCAAGATATATAAAATGAATTTAGAAAATATATTACTTAATATCTAGAAAATTATATTTAAATGTAAATTCAATCAATTATTTTGATTTTAAAGTTATATGAAATTTATAATATAATATCAAGAGTACAAACTACGTAAGCTTTCATACCCCGATTTTCTTTATGAAATCTCATTCATTTATTAGTATTAATTATTATTTTCTTACTATGACATATTATGTAAGTATTAACATTTTTCATAATAACATGTAACATGAAAATTTCATGCAATGAAATCAGCTAAAGACATAAATTTATCATTACTAGTTATAAATATGTTCAATGAGTTTTTATTTAAATATTTAATACTAATACATTAACTTCTATAAAATCAATTTCATGTTCAACCTCATAGAAAGTGTATTTGTGATAAGGTATAATTCAATCTTCTAATTTATCTTATGAATATTTGTCATCATCAAAGCATTATATATTCAATGCTCCAACATTATCAAAAGTGAAATATGATACTAATGGATATGCTTCTCCCCCTATCAATCTTTCACATATAGTTGAAACTTTGTCTCTCATTATTAATGACTTATGTCACATCACTAACGTATCATCCTTTATTGAACCTCTTTTTCTCATTATTGATTCATATTCTCTCATAAATCTTCCACTACAAATTCAATTGCTCTTGTCATCTACCCTCTTATCTTCAAGATTTTCATTGCAATATATTTTGTACTAATTCTTCCACTCTATATCTATTATCCATTATCTATTTTCAGTACAACTCCATATCTATTATCTTAATACCTATCATTGTATTATTTTTATTACTCATAAAAAAAATTATGAATATCTCCACTAATTATGATTCTCAAATTATCATCAAATGATTAAATTTATAAATTAGTGCAATATAATAAAATATAAATCAAACCCTATGACTTCTAATTTTATGAAGGTAATTCTTCCTTTACATCTAGAAAAGCTTTATATTGGTTGTTGTTGGATTTTAAAAAACCAAATAAAACTCTAATATATTGCAATGAAGACATCAATTTCTTTGAAACTCATTCTCATGTGAAAAACTCATCAATTATTAAACTTTTATTTTATCTTACATCTAAGAAAAATTAACATCTCACCCAGTTCAATGTGAATAATAATATATACATGGATTGTCTACCATGATTTCATATTTGAGACATGGGGGTCTAATTAGTATAGTAAAGTAAATTTGCTTACATATTACACAAATCAATTTCTGACTTTAACCAAGTTTTGTGTCAATGTTATTTTAAACTCTCCACTTTTCTTATTGAGTTTGGATTTATTAAATCCAATTCTGATTATTCATAACTTACACAAAGTCATAAAGATTAACTTGTGATAGTACTTGTGTATGTTGACAAGATAGTTATTGGTGATCCCGATATGTCTATCACTGATGAGTTAAAATATTTTTTCACACTTATGTTCAATTCAAGGATCTTAATATCTTATGATGTTTTTTTAGAATCAAAATTACATCTTCCTCAAGAATTATTTTATTTTGAGATTATTATACTTTACAATTTATGAGGATACTAGATTTCTTACATCCATACCTATAGTTGTTTCCATTAGGCCCTAAAGTTAAATTTAGTGCAAATGATGAAAAATTAGTTAAAGATCCATCTCAATATCAATGTTTAATTAGGTGACTTGAATATTCAAAACTATTTTGCCTTAATATTTCATTTATAGTATAGAAATTGAGTCAATTCATTTTTCAACCACATTGTCCACACTTACCAACTAACATTATACCCTTATTTGAAATATGCATTAGGTTAGGGCACCTCATCTCTATAACCTATTATTTTCATATTAAAGTATTTTCTAGTGTTGATTGGGCATCTTTTGTTGATTCACCCAAATCAATAATTGATTTTTTATTTTTCTTGGAGATTCACTAATTTCTTGAAAGTTAAACAACAATCAACCATCTCTGTGTCTTTAGTGGAAGATAAATATCAAGCTTTGACAACTATTACTACAAAGATTTTATTTTTTACAACAAAATTAAATAATTATTACATTTCATCATCATTTCTATCACTTGTGCATTGCAGTGATCATACAAATCTTTATATAACATCAAATTGAGATGAACAAAGTGAGATCAATAGTCATTCTATTTTAGACAGTCACTGATGTCTAACATCAATATATTTGAACAATATTAACTTGTTAATGTTCTCACATAACCCATTTAAGTATTTAACTTATAGTGATATTATCTAAGATACTTATCAAAAGCATTTTAAGTCTCTCTTGAGGGAAGTATTAAAGGTACCATAGAAGTATTAATGGGCCTCCTATATGTTGAAAGCTCCACTCTATGTTTTCAGGGATTATCTTAAAATGATCCCAGGCTCAGTTAGAAGGCCGTAAGCATAGGCCGGCCCAATTGCGCCGCACAGAAAGACGAGTCTCCTTGAATGAACCTTAAAAGTCGGTCCACGCCCTTCACTTTCCGGCCCAGTTTGTATATATGGGCCAGGTTTTCCAGCCCATTATGAATCCCTTGTATAATACTGCGGTAAACATCGCTACTTATCAACTGGACCGTCGGTGGTTTGTTTGGGCCGCCAGCCCATCATTATAATTTATTTATTCTTTATTCCTTCTGGTTACTCGAAACCTAAGGAGAGGGAGTTGCATAACAAGAGCCTGCGTGCGTTCTTCCTTCCCCGACGTCCGGAACCCCACCCCTTCTTCCCTCTTCCCTACTCGTAGGCTTCTGCGTTTCTGGCTCCCCGTCTCTTGGTCAAATCAGAGCTCCTGTTTCCTCTATCGGACGGAAAGATTGTGGTGATCTGCGGCGACAAATCGTGGTACTCGTAATGGCGAAGCGTGAGCTATCCAGCACACTGAAGAATTTGAAGGTAAACAGGCTGAGTTCCGGGGCTGCCTTTTCCCTCTAGAAAGGTGTATTTAATTTTTAGTGTTGCCTCTTCTCTTCAATTACTCTAGTTCATGCAAAGAGCTTCTCCGAAAGTGGAGAAACCTAAAGAGGAAGAGGTCAAGTTGAAACCAGACGATGGCTTTAGTTCGCTCGCTTCTGTCAGCAGAAAGTGGTACGAATCGCCGAAGCTGGACTTCGTATCAGCATTCTTGAATATTCTCTCCTCCAACTAGTCTTTGATTTGCTCTTCAGAAATTCCGAGAGATAAATATTTTATTGTTAGTTTTTCACGGTTAATTATTTTCTTTTTAATGCAAACTGCAGATGAGGTTCATTTTTCATACCAGAAAATTATACTGCTTAACCGATTCCTAACCCATTGGTATATCCTCAGTTTTTTTAATAATCGTGTTATGGCAAAAACAATTGCATCGTTTCAAATTTTAAATGATATTATTTTTATTCCAGCTGAAGACAAAAAGGACGTATGTTATCAAGATAAGCCCCTTAAAAACTTGCCAAGCAGAGGTAAAACAAAATGAGTTATATATTTGGTAATTTCGTTGGAGACCTTTATATAACCCCAATCCATGATGCGAATCAGTTAGGGGGAGATTTTACTCCCCAAACTCAGAGAGATATCTAGGAATTGGGAACGGGACAGATGTGGGAGAAGATTTTGTCAGGAAAGTGTAGCCTATATAGCTGATGCATGATGCGTAATAGACTTTGCAATTAAACAGCAGTCGAAGACAGGACGTTTTAGTGGTTGACTCTGCACGCCAGAGACAATACGTCACAGTAAATATTATGTACTAGCGGTTTCTTTTATCTGAACTGTGTAGGAGAGGAGGTCACACACTCACGTGGAGAGGATAATTAGATTGCAAGAGCTCATAAAATATGTTGACATTTTCTTTTGATTTTCAGGGATTTGGCAGTGTGACATAATAGTGCATCTGTCCCAAACAAAACCTTTAAGAGGAAACATAGTTTTCTAATTACTAAGCTACTGCACGTGGAAAATTAGACGGAATGGATGTGAATAATGCGCCTCATAATTACTCTTTACTATTCAATGATGTCAGCCTGTTGCTGGTCTGTTCCATATACAAGGATTAGACTGAAATTCTCAGAAGAGATGAAACCGAGGAGATAAAGTTAATATTCAATTGGAGAATAATTTGGCGCTTATCAGACTATTAATGAGAAAAGAAACTAAAAAGTTAATGAAGTGGCGTCCAATCCTTTCCTGTGTGCTGATCCCTTTTATTTTGCTGCTTTTTTGCATGGTCCGTCTGTTGTTCTGTTTTTATGATTATAAGAACAATGCATTTTTTATACTTGTCAGTTTTCATACTATTGTCTTCTTGTCACACCATTTAAAGACTCGTTTGCTTGTCGAACTGTTGACTGGGTGTTACGGTCTACATTTGACGATAACACTCTTGCAACTTCTCATTCTGAAAATTGCCAGGGAAGGAAGTCAGAAAAAGTAATAGCACTTTTTTTCTACCTTCTTCATATGACATTGTGCATGGTAGATTATTTGTAATCTTACTTGCCGTTCAAAATATGCGGACTTCTTTGATGGACTTGTTTTCATCGTACTGAGAGAATCTGTCAAGTACTAAGCAGTGTATAATTTATCTCCTTGATGGTCCATTTGTTGTTTTTATACGTTGTCTTATTTTATTCTTCAAAATCGCACGGAATATTTGCAAATGATAGGTCATTTGCAATTCTGCGTCTATGTTTTAGGTCAAGTACGAAGCCTTATTGTACATTTGCCTTTTCTTTTCTTTTACTACGTGAACATTTAATTAAATAAGTTTTCCTACTTACCAGTCTTCTGTGGCATTCAAGTCTTTGTGAAATATTCTTCACAATTGTTTTCCCTTTGAATTGATCATCAGGAATCATACATGTTGCATTCAGCCTTACTTTGCTCTTCACTTTGCAGCATAGTAATTACAGAGGGAAACCCCTATCAAGGGGAAGCAAAGGGAAGAATGTCGTTCCAGAATTTCAATCCTTCAGTTGATGTGAGTTGGAGGACGATAATTTAAGTGATTGTAGAGCCACTATAGATTCCTGGCAATCAACTCATCCTTCTTATATGAGCCTTGTCTTTTAGAGAATGTACCAAGGGGCTGCAGCTACACCGAGTCAGAGCACTTCGGGAAATGAGAATCAGAACATGGCAGCTTCAGAAAGGTGAAAGCCTGAGCGTTTCCTCTATTACTAGAAAGTATTGGTCACCTTTGTTGTTATTCAGCTGTTTTTACATTTGTGCATTATTTTGACCCATGACGATGATTATATATTTCTGTGAGCATTATTGGTGATTGCTTCCTTTCTTTGGATGCCCCAGGGCGCTGTGCTCAGGTAGGCCCATGTAATTAATTGTATTTGACCTACTATACAGATTAGTCATCCTCTGTGTATTACGATTATTTTTTCGTGCGCACGAATTCATCCATTCATGCTTTTCTTGCAACATCCGAGGTACATTTCAGTTAATGTTCAGTAGGTATTGATTCTTTGTCTTCTTGTCCTGTTCGGCAGTGCTGATTGTCGAGCCATGAACTTAACCTCGCTAGATTTTCTTTCTTTTTTTGTTTTTCCGTTAATGTCAGTATTCTAAGCTGTTATAAAATTGGTTTAAATTCTATGATTCTACTTCACATAAATCTTGAGCTGTTAGATGAAAACTATCCAGTAGAAAACATAAATTCTTAGGGCAACCATCTTACTATTTCCTGAGGTGGAATTTAATTCTGAATCATTAATTATTATCCGCAAAAACATTTTTGGCATTAATTTGCCTGCTCTGACGATACTATATTCTCATGTTTCAATCCCATTTTCATAATTAATAATCCGCTACACTTGATTTTGACAAGCTGCAATGGTTTATTTCATTTTGATTCTGAATACTAGCTGTGATCAAGTGCTCCAATCGGGGGGGCGCACATCACTCTGAAAAAAGTCAACAGTAATCCTTACAATAATATGGGTGATACCCATATTCTGCATAGTTATGGCAGAGTTGACTTCAGGCACTGCCCGTGTAAACTCAAGTACAAATCTAGGCTACCAGGAACCGAAGAGAGCATCGAGATTCTGATTCCGAGCTATTTCATCATATTCTCTTAGTTTTTTTACCAGTCAGTCAACTGGTGGTGTGGGCTTGCAATGCCTGCCGAGGAAATGGCCCGGATCTATCTCCCATGCATTTATTCTTTTGCTTGGTGGGCAAGAAGAATGATTCTTTGTTCTTCTGCTACTGCAGAGAGAATGGAGATCCGTCAGAGGACATGATCGCAGGAAGCCCCAAGAACGGTCCCGCCGCTGACCTTAAAAGGAAGCAACCGGACGTGGACGGCGTTGACTCCCTTGGCCATAAATCTCTCGGAAATCCGAGCGGAGACGGCAACGGGCAGGCCTCGTCGCGTGGTAACGGGAAAGGCTCCCACAAGCAGCAGAAGCGGGATAAAAGGCTCGATTGGAACGTCCTCAGGCCGCCCAAACTTCAGGCCAGGCGGAGTGGAAACCACTGATACCCGGTACTCCTCTCTCTCTCTCTCTCTCTCTCTCTCTCTCTCTCTCTCTCGATTCCTGTTTTAGTAGTTGGGCTCTGGACGGTGAAGAAATTCACCGTGCCCACCATTCTTATTCTTATCAAAAGATTATTATTGTTGCTGTTTCTGGGAATCACTGTGAACTCCTTTGCGGATAAAATCTCTACCGAGCTCTTGATTAATTATTTCCATCTGTAGTTTTCTGAGGCTGCTGTAGGGGAGAGGGGCTCTGCCTGACGGCAGATGAGGAGCAACCGGCTGATGGAGAGAGAGAGAGAGAGCCTGGGCCCGTGTGGGGGAACAGGGATTTCGGCGCTGGGTCAACCTTGACCCGGCGGGGCTGAGGTAGCGGCCCACGTTAGAGTTGACCTTGGTCCACCCCCACGGCTCATCACCCTCAAGGTCCTGCCTGGATCGCAGCACTTGAAAGCATCCCTGATTGAGGTTTGGACGCTCGGCATCGTTGGGTCAATGACTCGCCCTTTTAGTCAACACCAGAGTCGCAAGGGTGGTCAACCCATCCCCCTTGAATTCTAACCCTGTATTTCGATCACCAGTGTCAACCATTTTACCACTAGTCGTGTCACCTTCAGGATGGGGGGGTCAAACACGAACCAGCACCTTGGGTGACATTCGGTCCCTGAAAATGTGGAAAATTATATAAATGTCTGCGAGTCTCTTAATGCTACGAGGTCGGTCATAATCTGACGAAGAAGTTACCTTGGGGTTTACCTCTCGAGCACACGCGTGATGGTTGACTTGACGCACGGGTCTGGGAAACGTCGACTGACTGGGTCGCTATTTTAGGTAAAAGTCCGAAGTGCCCAATACAGCCTCAGGAGGTCAACCCAACCTAGAGATGGTTGCTTGCCCTTACACGCCCGGCAGAAAAATGACGGCGGACCAAGTGGGCCACGTGCAGGGACAGATGGATTATCTCATCCCGTGTCTTCTAACTATTGTCCCCCGCTATCTGGTTTATTTTATTCGCATTAATGCGTCATTGTTCTAGAAGCGCCCGCCCTCGATCTCCCGACCTCCACACGCCTGGACCACAATTTTTCATCCCTATTTGTCTTGTCTCATCAAGAAAAGGAAACGCACTCTCTCTCTCTCTCTCTCTCTCTCTCTCTCTCTCTCTCTCTCTCTTTCTATCTCCTCTCTTGTCCTCTCGCCCGTCGTAACCTGCCAGACCCCCCCCCACCTCACATATCCATCTTCTACCTCCGGGCCCAACGAATCTCCTCCCTCTGCGGCTCTCCCTGTCGCTGTCTCCCTCTGGATGTACGATCGGAAACTGGGACTGCCGCCCAAATCATGAGGGCAAGAAGAGAGGAAGAGAGTAGAGAAAGGATACGGAGGGGGTGGGCCTTTTGGGATTGACCAATAGGGGTTGGGGACGAATGTTAGTTGGTTCGGAAGAGAAGAGACGCCTACTTACTACTGAACAGACTACAAGAGAGGAAATAATAAGCAAAAGTTGACCGCCGCCGCCATGGCGACCAGACTTCCACAGTGGAACAGATGTGGATGGTCTTCAAAATGACCATCGAGCCAGTGAGCGATCGCCTAGCAGAGAGAGAGAGAGAGAGAGGGAGAGAGGAGGTACCGTCGTCGTCGTCGTCGTCGTTATCGGTGGTGCATCAGGAGGAAGAGGAGAAGCCGAGGAGCTGGCGATTGGGGCGCCAGGTGGAAAGAGCGTAGATGATGCGGCCCTTCCATCCCTGCAGCAGCCAGCCGCTGTCCTCGTCGACGAGGAAGTCCTTGTTGTAGCAGGAGGTCACCTTGTCCCTGGACTTCTTCATGATGTCCCTGTTGGGCTTCACCTGCACGAAGCCCGCCCTGAGATTCCTCCCCTGCCACTGCTTGTACGTCTCCGGCCTCTCCACCCTCTCCGACCCTTCGCAGGCGATGACGTTGACCGCCTCCGGCCCGAAGATCTCCCGCTCGATCAGCAGCCGCTCCGGGTGCTCCCTCGGCACTGTCGTCTCCAGCATGTCGAACAGCGCCGAGAAGTGGAACAGCGCCTCCCTGAACCGCGTCAGGAAGAAGGGCGCCCCGTAGGACCCGTTGAGCACCCCCTGGACGAACACGTCCGGGTTCATCTTCCTGATGCTCCGGAGCACCTGGTCCCTCGGGCTCCCCGCCTCCACCGTCTCGTCCGCCAGGTGCCTGAACCTGTACAGGCAGTTGACCACCAGCACCTCCTCGGGCTCCCTGTCAATCTGCAGATCCTCCAGGCGGATGGCCTCCCACTTGGCGGCGATGGGGTGGTACTCGAAGGGCACGTTGAACATCTCCGCGTAGGCCTGGAGCCGCCTCCCCGTCTCCACCACCCGCTCGTTGGGCCGGAAGCCCGGCTGCGGGGACTCGATGCCAGTGATCCGCAGCTTCGGGGGGCCTCCGGGCCGCATGGACAGCCGCTGGATTAGGCAGGGCCACTGGAAGCCAAAGTAGATGCCGAAGTCAATGATGTGGAGCCGGCTCGAGCCCTCCGCCGCGTTGAGGATCGTCTGGTTGGAATAGAAATGGGAGATCTTCTTGAAGGGGCAGGCGGCGAGGTACAGATGGTAGGCCTTCAAGATGGCCGCCGCCGACTGGCTCTTCGCCGAGAGAGCGTGGTACATCTCTATCCCCGTGCCGGTGAGCCGGGCTTCAATACCGTCGGCGAAGCAGATGGCGAGCCTCTGCGAGCCGTCCCCGAGACGAGAAGCGTGGCTCCGTATCTGCTTCAGAAGCTCCTGGGCCGTGCGGCGGTCGTCGGCGGCGACGGCTTGGGCGCAGTGGATCAGGAGGGTCCTCAGATCGACGACCTCCTTCTTGGGTTGCTGCTGCTGCCTCCTGCCGCGGGCCTTGCCGCCATGCTGCCCACCGCCGCCGCCCTTGAAGTTGCCGTTGTTCTTGGAGGCTTTGCTCACCTCGCTCTGCAGGACCTTGCGGAGGGCGGATATGGCGTCGTTGGGCCTGCCCTGAGGGCAGAGCAGCACCCTGTCGAACATCTCCGATGGGACGTCTTCGTCCTCGGAGTAGACCGCCGACTGCTTGGTGCTCCGCTCTTCTTCCGGACTCAGAAAACCATCGCGGTGCGGGTTCTTCCTCGTCCTCGAGCTTTCGAGGAACGAGTAGCTGCTGCTCTTCTCTTCCTTCTCTACCTTCACCTCCACCGTGAGCCCACCTGGTCGCGGCGGGTGATCTTTTTCTCCTTCTTTGTACGACGGGGGGGAGCTGCTGGCCTCGAGATCGATCACCATTCTGTTCTGATCTGGGAGGAACTTGCTGGCCTCCTCCACGCCTCTCCTGTACTCCCGGGCGGGCTGGATTTCCTCGTACGAGTTGGTTTCGATCTCTGATCCAAACTGGTGCTGGTGCTGGTTCTCGTCTATGCCATGGATGATGTCGCTAATGCTGTCCGAGGGGCTGAACGAAGTCCGGGAATCGTAATTGGCAGAGGCGGCGCCGATCGTCGGGGGTGGATGATCTCCCATTTCATATGGGCAGCCGACGTCGAACAGTAGCCGCTCCATGTGAGCTTCGGAGGTGGTGACAGAGTCGGTTCCGTGTCCAGAACTATCTTCTGGAGAGGTATCGGCATACAGGGGAAATCCATCGGAGGAGGAGAGGCTCTTCTCGCCGAGCACGTCGAGGAAGAAGGGCTCGACAATGGCGTCCAGAGCCGAGACCCCCTCGCCGATGCAGAGCTTGTCATCCATCTCCTCCTCCATGAGCATCTCGCTGATGTAAGAGAGGGCGATGTCGGAGAAGATCTCGGAATCCTCCGGAGAATATCCCTGTGGGCTGGCGCTCGCCGGAGGCGTCTGGTTGCTGCTGCCATTGGCGACGGCGGATACGAAAAATGGGAGGTTGACGAGGTTGTCTTGACTGAGGAAATCCGCTTGATCCTCTGATTTCAAGCCATTATTCATGACTCCCTGCTCGCACGGATGATCTCCAGGTGTGAGCCCGTCGATCATGGCGGGCAACTCTCGGGTTCCCCTATCCATGACCATTGAATCTATTGCTTCGTCTCCAGATCGGTCAGCTCCCTGCTCGTCAAAATCAGACAAATAAACTGGCGAAACCAGTCAGAGATGGATAGATAGATATTCGACCTACCACCAGCGCGGCGAATTCGAGAAAAGAGGGAGCGGCAAAAGCATCGAGGCCAGACTGGATCTATCCTCCCCGGTCCTGCCTGACGTAACTGGCTCACAGAGAGAGAGAGAGAGAGAGAGAGAGAGAGAGAGAGAGAGAGATCGGAAGCACAAAACCGATAAGCCACCGCAGAAGGAATCGAAGAAACCAGGCCGCGGAGGATCTATCTTCCACAATCATAGGCAAGAATCACCTGTCGCCACGCCCTGCGCACGAATATATCTCTGCAAAGAGACGGGAACTCTCCCGATGATCGCGACTCCGGAAGAAATCCAGGCCGCAGGCAGACGAAGAAGAACCGACCCCACTGGACTGGGGCGGCGGCCGCAGCAGTGCCGTCGAGGAGAAGGGGAAAGGGTTCGCTTCCCTTATCGTAATCCAGACGGCGGACAATCGCCGAGAGAGAAAGGGGGAGAGAGAGTTGCAGATATCTTCTTCCGCAGCCGGCTCAGTCGAGATAAAGACGAGCTTTGCATCTTCCGGGAAGATGCTTTGACCGGTGATCACCAGTCGAACCGGTCAGCCGAGAGACAACCTCACCAAGATCTCAGCAGGAGCTGCTATCTACCGGTGGCCCCCGGTCACATGCGGCTCCGTCCGTTCCCCATCGGCGCTCCAGGGATGTTCCGTGACACGTGTCATTCAACGAAAGACTACAGATCAGAGCAGCCCGCGCCGAGGAAAATAAAAAACGGGCGAACTAGAACAGAGCACGTACCCTCTTTCCTCAAAAGCAAAGTAGCGCACGGATTCCCGGTCGTCTTACCATTAACCAATCAGCGTGCAGCGTCTGTAGCGCTGACGAGACAGTAATTTTTAAGGCCTGAGTTAGACTGAGCGCCCTCAATCGATGTACGCTGGCCCACACAGGCAAACCTGGCCGCCGTCCCTTCCCCCCGGGGGGGACCACTTGCGGGCTCGGCGAATTTCGGGAGAGAAGTCGGGTCCCGCCCGATCCGCCCTCCTGAGGCAAATGCGGATTCGCCCGATGAATCGAATATTTTTTTTTATTAAAAAAAATGATTTATCGGAGGAGGAAGTGAATAATCTGGGGGAAAAAATCCCATTGAAATAGGCATTAAATAAATCGAAAATAGCACGATAAAATGGGCCTTGCAAACCTCAGACCGGGCCTCATGGGAAACTCTCCCAAGTGGGCCTGGAATTCATTGCGGACCGATAACCAGCCCATTAACGTGCTAGCCATCCACCGGACGCGGAGAGGGGGCTACCACCGGCAAATATCTACGTAAGGAGGGCCCCCACGTTCAGACATTCATCCATCGTTTTTATGGCAAGGAACCGGCAGATCCGGGTGGTTAGCTATGGACAAATGAAGAAACCCCCACCCCTCTTCCTCCGCCGGTCTGTCGTCGTGCGTGATGGACGGCTCAGTCGACCGCTGGCACAGGTAAATCCCCCCTGTCTCCCATCACAGCCCAAGCATTTCCTAAAATAAAATAATAAAAGGATATGATAAACTGATGGAGATAGATATCTTGCAAATGGCTTCCAAGAAAATGAGCCTTGAAATTCCTGTCTACCAATAACTTTACTACACGCGGTCGTTCCTCGCCCGGCACTGGGCCCGCTTCTTCGCCTCTGTCAATACTGCTCGCGGTCGTAAAGGTCAACGCGCCCGAGAGAAACGTTCCATCCGCCCCCATTTTGCCCACGGAAGAGATAGAGATAACAGGTAGAGGTAGAGATAGAGGTAGCGAGAGAGAGAGAGGAGATAGAAGATACTCTCCTTCCTCTTCCGTGATTCGGGGGTTGCTGAAGCGGCGCAGCGGCTCCTCTGTTCAGAATTCGAGGAGAAGAGATCCAAGTGGGCCCCTGTGTTCAGGTCAAAACCGACAGATGGTCCCCGCATTGATAAAACTGAGACCTTCATATGGAGTTAATGTCAACGGTCACTTTGGAGAAGATGTGGGCCCCATAGCACTTCAATCGCCATCGTTCTAATTTCTGTGCCACCGAGAAGGGGGGACCCGATCGTTCTAGAAGAAAATCGGGCGAAACCGGCGGCTATATTTGCGAAACCATAAGCGGTTTTCCCGGGAGCGGAGACTTCCGAGACGGACGACTCAACCGGGTTGAACCGATCCGGATGACGTTGCCAAATTTGGGCACAGAATCTGGTGATTTTGTCAAAAGGGGAAGTAGCTACAGTGGAACTGGCCGGGGCCTTAATGGGCCGTGAAATAGACGGACTGCTACATGACTGAGAGGCCCAGTCTGATAGCTTTCCAATTGACCCCCCTGGACACCATCCAAGTTTTCCGTTGTCCACCGAGACGACCGGCCGTTGGCTCTCTCAATGGACTGTAGATTCCATATCTTATCGCAAAGATGGGCCAGCAGCTAACGCACGACCGGGCCCAGGTTTCTCCAATTTCTACAGAAATCGGAGAATGATATACCGCGTTCTGTAGGACTCACGACTATTGGGCCCATCTTACTATTTTGGGGCTGACGAGTAGGCCCATACCCTCTCTCTCTCTCTCTCTCTCTCTCTCTCTCTCTGGCCAAACCCAGATTGTTGCAAGTGGGCCGTTTGACCACCAGCTGCGAGTTACTAATGCGCACCTCACAGTCTCACCGGTTCCCCTGCTTGAGGGCCCGACTGGTCCACACGGTGACAATAACTCCTACATCCACCGCCTTCTCTCAAAGTCGGCGGATTGAAAGACCCACCTGCTCAAACCCATTCCAACACGCGTCCAAAGGAAGCTACCGAGAACGTGCAATCGAAGGCGGCGCCGTCACGCAAGCGCAGTCGACGCCATGCGAGATAGGACCGGAATCAAAGAGAAGGGATCATTGCTAATCATGGAATGGAATTAAGCAAATAGACCAGATCAGAAGTGGGGAACAAATCTTTTGGGGAGGGGGTCAGCTGGGGGTGGTGGTGGATGGGAGAGGGGGAGAAGGGGGGAGGTGGTCTTTTTCTTATTCTTCTTCTCGCTCCTCTCTCTACACCAGGGTACATGTACAAGAGGCACCGGAGATCCTCCCTTCTCCTCTCTGAAGATCGACGGGGGAAGGGAGGGAGGAAGGGGGGACCGGGCTAAGAATCATGGTAAGTAAGGCTTAATATTACAGAAAAAAAAGGAAAAAAGAAAAATCAATCATCATCTGTCGTCTCGTCCGTTTATCGTTGACTTTGTACACGGGCGGCGGGGACTTGATCGGACGTTGACCCGTCCCCCCTTCCTCCTCCGCTGACCGAGCGAGACCCACCACTCCTCTCTGACTTCCTGGTGAGGAGACGGAGCAGTGTGCGTGTGGTGGGCTCAGGTGAGGCGGGGACAGGGCTCGGCCTTGGCCTGCTGCTGGGACCAATAGGCGTGGGCCGAGAGCACCCTGTCCAGAAGCTCCTGAGGGACCGGCTCGCCCCTCCGACGCTGAGGCGAGATCCTCGCCGTATGCACCAGCGTCTTCCACTTGTCCTGCTCATCCCAGTCCATCACATCAGGCTTTTAACACCTCCACACAGGCGGATAGAGAGATAGATAGATAGAGAGAGAGAGAGAGAGAGAGAGAGAGAGGCCCTCACACGCTGGTGGACTTTGAAGAAACCCACGTGCAGAGGCAACCCACCCCAAGACGGTTTTTTTCCCGTGGATCGGTGGGGGGGGGGGGCCAAGGTGTTCGATTAAGTACAGAAGAAAAAAATCAACACGTGGATTATCGGTCCTCGCATTTGTACTTACTTTGAGGTCGACGTAGGTACGATGCTTCGCGCTGTCAAATGCGCAGATCTTGACGTCGCGCCACCTGCGGGAAGCGCCATCGATAAAAACGCACATTTTTAATCTCCCATCGAAGAGAGCAGGCAGGCAGGTAAGGTGATAAAGAAAAATAGCCACCTTCCGGTTCCGAGCTTCTCAACGGCGTGGACGAGGGCCTCCACCTCGGAGACGGAGAAGGGTCGCCTGACGCGGCGCTGACCCGTCTCCGACCGCCTCGATTTGCCGTGAAGCGGGAAGACGGCCAGCGCCTCCGCATCGGCAGCGGGGACGGGGACAAGAGCTTTAGAATCCGGGGGGCTCTGCCTCTCCGCCGGCGGAGTGGTGGGCCCCCTGCGAGGAGAGTTGACCCGGCTGGGATCCCCGGCGGCGAGCGGCGGGCGGTGGCGCTTTGGGGAAGAGTCGCCGCCGGTGACGGCAATCGGTGGGAGCCTGGTGCACCACCATCGAGCTTAGGATATATACGAAGGAATTCGAAAGACCCATTGCAGAAAAAAAAGAGACGATCCGCAGATAATGAGATCCGATAAAGAAAGGAGACGATTTGATGCTATTTATTATACCTTTTAAGAGGTTCGGGGGAGTCACAGATGGGCAGGAGTGGAGCGTCTTCGTTGTTGGAAATCAGCGGTTTTGGGGACTGCAGGGAATTGGGCTCCAGAGTAAATCGCAGGCTCTCCAGCTCGTCGCTGTGGGATATTCCAGCTTGGAGTAGCGTTTTGCTGTCGTCTCTGACCTTCTTCCCTTGGAGATGGACGCCGATCCGTAGACCACCTCCAAGTATGGCAGTCACTGCCTCCATTACCGTCCTCTGTGGAAAGCCAAGCACATAAGGGCGATCATTAGGACATGAACTGAAGGATTATCCTGAATTTAGCAGGGAAGGGGTGTATACTATCACTCAGGCAAAAATAACAAGCACAGATGAAGAATATTTATTTAATAAACGATTTTCCCCGATAAAAAGAAAAAATAGCAAGCACAGATGAAGAATGTTTTATTTTTATTTCTAGGCTGACATAAATTGAGATAAGTCTCGCGTGGGAAAAGATTGCTAATATCCACATACAAATAGAGTACTTTCGAGATAGGATGAGAATTTTATCATATAATTGATTCCTCAGACAACTGAATGTAATCCAGTGTTGCCTCACTGCATTCGACGCTCTTCAATGTATAATTATAGTTCTTACAATCCAGACCGAGGTCCATTTCAGGTATGACTGGAAGATGATTGATGTCACAGATCACACACCTTAAGAGAACCGATTGTAGCAGTTTCGGGTATCTCAATAAATAACTCTGGCACCTTGAAAGACTTGATACTCAGTTTCACTGTGCAATAGAAAAAGTGATCCTCAGGATCTTAGGATGCTCGAAAACAAAAATTCCCAAGTAATTTAATATAAAGGCCAATTGAGACAACGTCGAATGCGATCATACCGTGGTAGTCATCTGAGTCAAATGCGAATTTCTGAGCACCGGGCGACGAAGATGTCCCATTTCCTGGGGAGAGCAAAATGAAGCTTGGGGTTGGAAAGGATGAGGAGGAGAAAAAGAGAGAAAAGTGCTGGACAACATATTATAAATACCTCCATGGACCCCCGTTTCAGAAGAGCTTGCTTCTCCCTTGATGTGGATTTCGGGGGAACAAGACAAACCTTCACCATTATATGGCAGATCACACGAAGATATGGAGCCCCTCTGGAAAAGTTTCTTACGCTTGAAAGAAAATTTCTGAGTCCTTTGGCGCTTGTAACACATTTTCCTGCTGTAAAAGAGCGGTTTCACATCCTCATCTGTCACATCATAGAGATTTGTCAAGAAGATGGCTCATACAAACCAATTTTTTTCCATTTTTGGTTTATCCTAAGCAGTAGACACAACAGGACAGAAAGAGAATGAACATCAACGGCATTTAACAAGAATATCAACAAAAAAAATAAATCAGAGAAGCATGATACCCACCTTTGTCAGAAAAATCCCCATCTTTGAGCAATGTCGGGCCTACTTTCCAGAATTTGGATGCCAACAACTTCCTTATCCTTCTGTCAACAATTCGCTGTGGCCTAAAGGGCTTAGATGTCATGTTGCACGTCTGATTGCAGCTAGAAGACTTTTCATAGTCAGCTATACCTGCTGCATATTCCATGTGACTGCCAGACTTGGGAGATGTCTCAATAGAACTGCTTGAGCTCACCAGGGGAGGAGGTTTAATATCTACTTCCATCAAGTCTTCTGAAAAGCATGGGGAAGGAACTATTCCATCTGCATTCTTTTGGCGCTCGAATTGAGGTGGAGTCGGAATCCTATCCTCCACTTTCCCACGATAGGATCCTGGAGAAAGAGGAGAATGAACCTTGACACTGAATTTCCCTTGATCAGGTCTTGGACTCCTTGCAAATTCGCTCTTATTTCTGCTGAACACAGATTCTTCGGCAAAAGTCACCTTTTCAGATGGATCAGAAATTATGACTATTGAACTAGGATGCAAGCATTCAGTGAATATACAGCCATGTTCCTGACCCTGGAAACCAATCTTAGAGGCCCGGGAAACATGATCACAGCTCTTCTGGCCGCGAAGCTCGTCTTCATAAGAATTCAATCCATCGTCTTGCTCCTCCTTGACTTTGTCCTTTGAAAACATAGGATTAGAACCTCCCGTTATTGTGTCACTTTGAGCCGGGGAACTTTCCTTTCCTAGCAGTAATTCACCAGCCACAGAGGCTAGCAACTCAAATGCACACATGTCATTTTCCACAACTCTCTTTCGAACACAACGCTTTCCCTGAGAATAAGAAGGGAGAAAACTTAAACATATTTATCACTGCAAGAATAATAAAACAATGGCAAGAATAAGTTCGGGCAGTGGCAAACGTACCCGTGTTGACCTTGAGCCACGGGGCACATTAGGAACCTGGTAGCCATTGAATTCATAACCTAGCCTCTTCTGCAGCACCATATTTCAAGGATTCGCCAAAAGTGACTTATTCGGTAAGAAGCATACCACCTTGGGTCTTAATGCGTCACAACATCGTATATCAAAACTCCATCGGTGCGTAAACTGGATGCGATGTTTCTTCCGGTAAAATCCTGTGAAAGAATAAAAAAAAATAAACACCACAAATTAAAAACTTTCAAAGGAAGCTTTGTCATTGGTCACTAGATTCAAGTATGATGTTACACCCAGATAGCATAGTAAAGGCCGCTTGAGGCTCGAGAGAAAAATGGTCCGGGTGGCAGTTCGAGAAACAAGTCTGGTGGCGTTGCCATATTTGTTACTGAGGCCTGATATTTGGGAGAGAAGAGGGACAGATGGGAAATATAGTATCTGAAAAAATTGACCGGAAAAAGAAGTTCCAGAAGAGGAAATTAATGATAGCCGCGGTATACATGAGAGGCGAGGAATTTGATCATGTAAACCCAAACGCCGGAGTTGTCCTCTCGATTCGAACGGGAAGCCAATCAGGGGTTGAACTGCGGCTACGGAAGCCAAGGGAAAAAAATAAATCCAAACGGAAATATTGCAAGAGAAGCAAAAAATTCGATATTGTGAACAACTCAATACCGAAGCCCCATCCACCATTGAGATCATGCAAAAATCCGCACGCAAACCACGCATGGATTAACTTTTTCACATTGAGAATCCTCGGAGGCTTGGATATGCTTATGACAGAACAAATCGGTCGGCCAGCCGACGATCTTACGCATTTTCAGGGGAAATCACAGTACAAGGGCGAGATATGATAGGAGAAACTTCCTGAATTCCAAAACTACAGCCGAAACCATCGACAAGGATGAAAATGATATTCAATTTCTTCGGGATAAATAATATAAAAGGGAAAGGATGTAGATCTTAAACCCGTACGATCGGAGGGATCGGTACAGAATGTCTCCACAAGAGCAAGGCGTGCCTCACGTTCAGGGATCCAAACTAGATCGGCATTTCGAAATTCAGAAGATTCCGTCCGCGTAGGAGATTCAGAAAAAAGCAGTCACCGGGCAACGATCCGATCTCATTTTCTTCACCAAAAGAACCAGAAATCCAGGGGAAATTTTCCAACGAGAAAACTCGAGCTCAATTCAGAAGATCCAGAATGAAAGCCGGTGCCGATTCGCAGAACCCTGGAAAAACCCGCAACTGCAGAATGAAATGCCCGGAATGAGACGGAACCCGATCCGTTCGTCTCTGCTCACCTCCGAGAGAACTGATTCCTTTGCGCAAAATCCTTCTCGAACCCGCCAGGCACGGGATCGGAGAGATCGCTCCAAGGGGAGGCGGAATTCCGAGAAATTGTGCGTCTCCGAGGAGAGAGAAGTCGTCGATCTCTCAACAGCAGCCTAGGAAATTTAGAATTCCATTCCCGCACGCCTTCTTAGTCTCTCCACGAGAAGATCCTCTCCCAGACGCCTTCACCGCCTTCTTCTTTCTTCTTTCTTCTTTCTTCCTCTCCTTCACCGCTCTCTCTCTCTCTCTCTCTCTCTCCTCCCTCTTCCCGTGGAAAACCAAAACCCCCCCACGCCTGCAAATAACCCCCCCGGCTTAAACCCCAGTTCTTATAGCGTTGACCCCCTGTAACCGGACCAGTCGGTAACCTACCCCTCCCCTGCGATCTGAACGTCCCGTTTCCCACCCACCACGTTCCCTGACACACGTTCGATGTTCCGACCACACTGTTGACCGGTTCTAACCGTCGGCTCGTCTGGTAAATACCCTGCCGCCCATCTTTTCCTTCGATTTTACGCAAGGTTCAGGCCAGCAAAGCATGCACAACCGTCCGATCCATTTCTCAACTCATCTCCACCCTTCATCTTGACCCCGTCTTTTACTGCAGAATCAGCGCGCCAGAATTAAGCCCATCGAAAACCGACTCCTCTCGATTTCTAACTGATCTGCTTGCAAAAGTGGATAAGATCTCGTAGATTACACGCACCCGCGGAGGACCGGAAACCGAAACGTGTCGATGCCATTCGGTAAACGGACCGTTCGCAATCCGCGGACGTACGAAGGTGGAGTACGAGGGGTCCTTTTAACTGCGAAATCATAGCCAGTCGATCGGTTTCCACGTAGGACGGGCGGAGTGGCCTGGGTTTTCCGGGGGGTTATCTGGTCTCGCGGTCCGGAATCGCGAGGAACCTAAGACGGGGAGGCCGCGGGGAGTCGCTTTCGGCCCGGACCAGGACGCCACGTGGCCGGACGGGGGGGATAATCGATCCATCGATCGAGGGGGGTCTCCGATTTCCGAGGAAAATGCTGCCCTTTTTGTGCGGTTTATCATGTCCCGGGGGGAGTGGACCGGAGCGGTTACAACCGTCGGGCCGTGGCCCTGAGCCGGGCAACCCGGTCGGGGAAGGTGAGCGGTGGCGCGGCCAGGTGACGGCAGAAGGCGATAATGTGGGCCCTGCGTAAAGTTACAGGTCCGATAAGGCGACTCGGGGCTTTTCCGCCGGTTTCCTGTTGAGGAGAGAGAGAGAGAGAGAGAGAGAGAGGGGCGGGAGGGGGTTTCCTTGGATTGCAAGGGAAGAGGGGGGGGGGAGGAGAGAATGCAAGGTGTTTCGGGGATGTGCCAGCTGGTGGATCGGCGAGGGAGATCGGCTTTTCTGAACGCCGGGCGGCAGAAGCAACGTCGGAGGCGTGGGACGGAGATGCCGGCCGATCGTTGGGGATTGGGGACGAGATCTGGCATCAGCCGGATGCATTATGCCGAGATTCCAGCATTTAAAACAAAATGCCTTCCAGATTCCGGGATTTCCCTTTGCCTCCACCTCGATTATTAGGACGCCGGCTAGGGAGGGAGAGGAAGAGCGGCTGCCATTCACATGGGATCTGCTTTGGCGAGGTAGCCGGTCACGTGATCCGACGAGCCATCCTTCGGCAGAGCTGTGGCACATGAACGAGAGCCTGGCATCGCCTCTCATTCCTTTCCCTTCTCTTCAGCCGAGAAAGGGAGATGCGGACAAGTCGGGGGAGAGAAAGAGAGAGAGAGAGAGAGAGAGAGAGAGAGCAGACCTGAAGTGTCGGAGGAGCCGTAGAGAGAACCGTGTGGAGGGAGCTTCTCTCTCTGTCTCCCTCTCTCTCTCTCTCTCTTGCGCGCTCCCGGCCAGTGGGATCGTCCATTGATTGCTCCGTCGGCGATGCTCCCAGGGGCCACGAGGCGACCACGTTGGACATTTTAAATGCCTACCGAAAGCGAGAGCCCCGCGCGAGAACCATATGGGATTAAACAAAGGGCCTTAGGGACGGTGGCGAGCTGTAGCTATTGGGGGGGCCGGCAGGGGGGACCACACGTCTCGCTCGCGTGACGTCACCGTGCCGGGGCCCACCACGACTGGTACCCGAGACTTTCGCTAGTGGGGTCTGTCCTCTTATTCGGTATGTTCTCTGAGCAATGGGCCCCACCGGGGGGTCCCCCGGGGGCAGCTGTCACTATTGGCGCCGAAGAAAGGCTTTGGGGTTAGGGAAGCCTGGCCCATTGGTGGCCCAACTGGACACCAGTCCACTTGAGCTCCCCCGCCATCGGACGGCTCCCCCGATCGGGTAAGAGTGTGATTATCGGCGCTAAGTGCAGTTTAGCGTCAGTGGTCGTCGTCGACACCGCATTGCCCGTCTACTTCTTTGCCTCTCTTGTCGGCAAGACCCACCACGGTCTCTCTCTCTCTCTCTCTCTCTCTCTCCATCTCTATCCCTAACTCTATCTAAAACTGTTTACAATTTTTTAGGAGGAGTTGGTAAAGTCAACGAGTCGAGACTGCCGTCCTTGCCAGAGCTCAGTCCACGACCTAAAGAAAAGTCTACAAAGTAAACTAGGTGACGTTACCCAGATGGTGTTGGGGCTGGGTATGGCATTTCATGTGTTCGTGTGTGTGTGTGTGTGAGAGAGAGAGAGAGAGAGAGAGAGAGGCAGATTGAATGGTCAAGCAGGCCAAGGTCCATATTCCATTTTCAGGCCCAGACTCAGGGGTGACCTTCCCATAAGGTTTCTAAGCAATATTCAGAGGTAGATATGTTTGCATGTAAAATGCTTAGTGCAAGGCCAGAAATAAAAGTTTCAAAGTACCCATCCACTTGCATTCCTTTTAGTCAAATAACAAGAAGAAAGAACAGATTTGTTATAGCTAGTTGACTAGCAAAAATAGTGCATTGGCTCAAGTAATAGTGCATGGTTGGAAGTCATGTAACAATAGCGAATGCATCAGCGGTGTGTTGTTGGCTTTAAGTAGATGATTTGTAACCCTTTATCTACACTCAACACTAAACATTATGGGTTGTGGGTGCTGAGAAAGATAGAGATGCTTCTTAGTGAGCTGCTTCGTATGAGAATATATCTCTTTCAATATGGAATACTATAAGTTTTTAGATAATGTAATGCACTTGTATATATGTAGGACTTCAAATCAAAGTTAATGGGGCAAAACTCTTGAAGTGGTAGGAATGGGTGATGGTCAATCCCAAATGTATAACTGTTAGACAACAAATATGAGAAATAATTTTCATGAGAAAAAAATTGCCATAAAAATTAGTGCATATATGTTTAATTGTCCATCTTGACATGGAAAAAATGTGAAATTAATATATGATCATATTTTTTGAAAATAAAGATATTGGTATGTTATCAATCTCAAACCATCATTCTTGAATAATTGCCATACTATGTGACCTTAGCTAAAAATAATGATGATTTTGATTATTACTTAAGACTCGTTGAATAATGTATCAGACTACTAATGTACAGCATAAAGTAAACATGAAAAAATATGATGGAATTACCAAATACCTCAAGGCAATTGGATATATATGAAAAAAAGATTGGTAATATTGAGAAATATAATGATATTCACGTTGGAATTACCAAAGGCCCCAAGAAAAATATGTTATATTGACTAATATGATGATATTACTCTTGAGTCAACTCAGGATTTTTATCCATTGATAATAGCAAGGTCTACTCTCCAATTTTCATGACTAGTCAACTGGATGTGAAAATGATATTTTTAAATGTAGATTAACGAGAAAATTCATTTACATTAGTCATAGAGATCAATCTTGTTGACTTTGGGAGCCTTAGTGATTAGGATAACAACAAAAATGAGTAGAATGGTCAAATGATAATTTTACACAAGCAAAGTTATACAAATATATTACATTTTTTTTTTTGAGAATATTTCCTTAAATCCTTAGAATAGACCAAAGTGATTTTGAGACTAATTGCATAACAAGAGTGCATCTTTCAATTCTTAAGGAAAGGAGTTGCCTCAAGAGTTAGACTCACCCAACTAAATTAGTCATGCACTTATGGTTAGAATAACAGTCTAAAAGGGAATATGTTAATTCTAGAACATTATGATTACCGTACCTATTCGGTAAATAATATTATATTAGAACATATATCAACATTAAGGAAAACACACGAAATAATAAATATTAATTTTATATTACCAAATATTCAAATATGTTTATAACTCTTGAAAGTGCATGATCATGTTGCAAGTTGTCTAATATGATTTATATACTGTTTAAAATATTTTTAAATATATTTTAAGGAATATTTAGTTTTTTATTCACAAAATGAAATGAGTCGAACTCAAGAGATAGCAAACGTTAAACCTGCCCTAAGCATGCATTCGAGAAGATTGCACCGGGTGGACGACCGACAATTCCCTATGAGACGCCGGCGGACGAGAAGAACGAGGGCCTCTCCAACTTCCTCACCCGATCCTGCCGCCGCGCGGAGAGCTCGTCGTCTCCGGCGAGATGGTGAAGTCCTTCCTTGAAGTGCTAAGGGCTGGGCTCCACGAGCATTGAGATGTTCTTAGCCTCCGCCAGGAAGAGGAGCTCGTTATCCCAGTCGGTGCCGGCGGCCGTGGAGCCGCCGGAAGCCCCACCCGATTCTGAGGAAATGGTCTCTGCCTCCAATGGCGTTCCACTGGGGCGTACCCCTCCGCCGCTTGACGAGTTTCAGAGAGGCAGCGTCGCCTACCGACGTGCTATGGTTCCAGAGATAGCTGGAGACGTCCTGTCCGGCGAGGAAGAAGGGCACGACGACGGCCGAGGCACAAAACGTACTGCTTCATCCGGCTGTAGAATATGACGTCGAGGACGATCTGGTAGGTTGCGTACCAGTCGGAGGCGGCGGCGACTGAAGTAACTGCCACATCCTCCTTGTCCTAGGACGCAGTAGTGGCATCAGCGGCGGTGGGGTGGGACGGTTCCCGTGGGCTCATCTGGCATCTGGAGGAAGGAGGAAAGAGGAGGGGAGGCGAATTTTCCGGTCGACGGCGCCGGGGAAGGGCAAGGCGAGGGGCCTTCTCGGACACATGGCTGATTCTCGTTTCCCGGATGCTCCACTCGTTTGCCGCACGTCAGGCGAATCGGCTTCGCATTTTTATGATTTTATGTTAGTCACAAAATATCATCTACGAGAATTTTCCCATAAAGTAATTATTCTCCTGATATGTTGCATTGCGAGAGAGAGAGAGAGAGAGAGAGAGAGAGAGAGAGAGAGAGAGAGGAGCCTATCAGCTAGAAAGGGAGCATTGATGTCGGTCATACTTATCATGGGAATGGCTTCTCCCAGCGTAAAGGGTGGGGCTGGCGTGGGGGTGGTGCAGGTGAGTTCATGTGAAGTACGTTGAAACCACGGGGCCGATCCAGAAGAACATCCCCGTCCGAAAGCTTCCTCCAACCATCTTCTTGGATCTTCGGCCACCTCCCTCGCGCGCCCTCAAGCTTTTTCACCGAATTGGTTAAATGACTACGCCTTCCCGGTCTATCAATACCTCCCGCTCCGCCGCCGCGCCACCGCTGCCCAAAAGACTCTCATTTAAGCTTCCTCATCCCTTCCTGGGAAACCGTAATGAAGTTGGAGGACTTTCTCATGCAGAGGCAGGAGGAGCACCGGAGGAGATGCGAACTAGAGGAGGAGGTGAGGCCGGGGAAGCCGCCGGAGATCTTCCGAGCATGAACATGCACGGGTTCTGTGAAAAAATTGCGGAGTTCTGAAGTTTGTGATCATCTGCAGGTGGCTGAGTTGCACGGGGTTCTGGAGAAAGAACAGAAGCTAAATGGAGTTCTTCAATGCGCCCTCCACGGCCCCCTTGTCTCTCGTTCGAGCGTTTCTTCTATGCTTCCACTTCAGGTACCTCCGGCCTCTGTAGTACGCTGTAGAGAATGCTGAAATAAATATGGTGGGAGCCATGGAATTGTAGTGTAGAGTTATGCAACTGGGCTTCTGGCGCAGGTTCAGGTGCTTCTCGCAGAATTGGCGATGGTGGAGGAAGAGATAGCCTATCTGGAGGGAAAAGTGAAGGAGCTGAGGCTGTGCTTATACGAGGAGGGGAGACAGACTGAGGAACTGAAGCTGCACCACCAGGAGAGATGGCTCCGGCGCCGGAGGGGTCGATTCTTCCCCAGATTCAGTCGGACAAAGGAGATCGAAGAGGCCCTGTATCAACCTCCAATACTTGACAGGAACGCAAGAAGACGGCGCCGCCTGATCAGAGGAAGACAGATGCCTCTAGGATCGATCTCAGAAGCGACTGGCAGCGGTAAGATCCCTCCGTTTCCTCCACTAAATTACTCACTACCATTTCGTTGACTGTTTTCTTTTTGTGCCCTCCCACGCAATCAACCAGATTCCGACACAGAGAGCTCCAAACAATTCTCTGGGCGAAGTCAAACCATGGTCAACTCTGACGAGGAAACCTGTGAGAAGACATCGAATGAGCTCTCGGAGGAGCTGATCCGGTGCCTGATCAGTATCTTCCACAAGCTGAACCAGACATCTGGCCGAGCCTGCCTTGACCCAGCAGTCATTCTTCCTAAGTTTACTCTCTCTTGCATGAGCTCAAAGGGCCCCACGTCAAAGTCAAGCTTCAGCTGTAAGATACCCGCGTACTCCTCAGATGACACTCTGCCAACGCTTGATCCTCACGGCTTGCTGCCTGATATTGACGGAACAGTGGGAGAGAGAGGACCCTATAAGAATCTCATCAGTGTTACGAAGAGCTCATTGGACATGAGCCGCATAAATCTCTGCTTTCTGAGCATTGGCAGGCTGAGGTGAGCCGATAGTCCGCAAAATCCTGCATCTGGGGCTAAATTTTTTCTTCCGCCCTTTATAAGATTCATCAGAACTTAATTTCATGACCAAAAAATCTTTTTTTTTTTTTCAGGAAATTAATTCACCAGCTTAGAACAGTGGACCTTACATTCTTGAATTACAAGCAGAAGCTTGCGTTCTGGATTAATATCTACAACGCCTGCATAATGAATGTAATAATGATGATTTATCTTGCACTGGTAGTAGATACAGAAAGTATCGAGCCTGTAGCTTACATCAGTTAGCTGTTGGTCATTCCAGGCATTTCTTCAGCATGAGCTACCGTCCTCTTCCGACAAAGTGCTCGAATTACTCAATAAGGTAACTAACTCACCGGGGACTGACTCCAACATAATTGTAGAAAAACCCTAGACACACGTTAATTAATGGTCAATAACTACGAGTTTTCTTCCTCTTTGTCGATCATTTTCTGGTCCCTGAGCCGCCCATTACATCTGAATGATTCATTTTTCAGCATAATGTGCCAAAATAATTTCTTTTGCTGTGGTGACAGATTTCTCATTATATTATTTATATAAAATAATAGTGTCTGATCAAAGCATTTCATTCAGTGGGATAAATAACTTCTGTTACTCCATATATATTGTCGACCAACCCATGGTCTTATTTATTTATTTATTTATTTATTCAATGAAACAGGCCGCTCTGAATGTTGGCGGCGTTGTGCTCAATGCCCTCGCAATTGAGCATTTCATTCTTCGGCACCCATCCCGCTCAAAACTTGTGAGTTCAGAAGCCCACCCACGAATTATTTTATTTTGGTTCTGAATTCTAACCCGCTTTCTATATAGGGAGTTGCAGACGGCAAAGAACGACTTCTGCAGCATTCTTACGGCCTCAGCTACCCAGAACCAAACATCACGTTCGCACTGTGTAGAGGCACTTGGTCTTCACCTGCTGTGAGTCCATATCCAGCCATTGCAAAAATCGTCTCACATAAAAATAAAAATAAAATTATTGCATTAATAAAATAATTTTCTTTTCACTCTCCTCATTGCCAATTGGTCCTGGGTTGAATAGCGTCATTCCACATGTTTAGGAGCCTACATTTAACTGCGTTTAATTTTCTATTAGTATATACAGGAAGATTCATGCATGATACCGAAAATGATATTTAACTATCTACACGATGCTTCTTATCGCCTAAATTCTCTCAGCATTCCTTAGAATTCACGCCAAATATACCGTATTTAATTATTCTATCGATTAATATCGGATTATTCATACATAATACTGAATAATAATTAATTATAGGACAGGGTTACTTTTCTATCCAGCTAATGGTGGTTTGTCAGTTTCCTTGGAATTCAATCCAAAGATACCATAGTTTCTGTTTCTGTTTCTGTTTCTGTCGATTGATGGGGGATTATTCATACAAATATTAATGCTATATTTTTTAATGGTTAGGTATATTCAAATGTGTGTTAAGTGTTCTTTCAATTGGTACGGGATTATTCATACAGGATATGAAAATAATTTGTAATCATGGAATGCAGTGCTTCTAATCATCTAATGGGTCTCTGTATTTCATTAGAATTCGGTTCAAACTTAGCAAATTTTACTCTTTGATGGTTAAAATACATTAAACCACGAGCTGATATATCTATCCATTGATACATGATTGCTCATACATAATACTTTTAATAATATTACATTATAGAACACGATGCTTCAAATCGTCGAATCGCTCTCATTATTTCCTTAGCATTCAGTCCAAATATAGCAAGGTTCAGGTCTGATTCTCTCTCTTTCTCTCTCTGTCTCTGTCTCTGTCTGCTGTGTTCGATGCTCGTGCTTGATGATTCCAGCTGAGGGTCTATACTGCAGACAATGTGGTGGATGAACTGGAGAGAGCAAAGACAGAGTACTTGGAGGCTTCTGTGCATATTACGAGCAAGAGAAGAATCCTCCTGCCGAAGCTTCTGTACTGGCATATGAAGGATTTCGCAGATGACGTTGACTCGCTGGTGGAATGGGTCTACAGTCAACTGCCCAGGTCAGGACCGCTGAAGAAGTCAATGATGGAGTGCCTGAAAGGCGACAGGAAGCAGGGAGTAGGAAAGCTGGTGGAAATCCTGTCGTATGAGCCCGAGTTCCGATACCTCCTACCCTTTCTGGATTTCCCCGGGTTCAATCTCTGTTCATAGTCAAACGCACACAGACGTCAATGGATGACGTCATTATTTGTCAATAAGACATTGCCAAAATATGCCAGGAAACGTACGAAAATAACAATATCAGGTGTAAAACTACTCTCCTATTTATAAAAAATATATATTATATATTTACTTATGTGTTATTTCTGGGTCGTTTCTGCCGGTCTTGTAGGCCCATTTAGGCCCAATATCTCATTAAGACGGCCCACTAGGAGCATCTTTGATTGTACGGTGGATAGCTCACTGAGATGAGCGCACGGAGATCTCTGCCGTCTGAGCGATTGAAGTTCCATCGATCGAACGGCTGTAATGGGGGGAATCGAATGTCGGTTGGGATGAATGTTGGATAAATTAGGGCTTTTGAAGAGAGGATTTTGCGACTCCGTCATTTTCGTCCGTTGCTGAGGGCTAGTTTGGTCTCCTGGTCTTCTTGCTGGGGGAAGTGCAGAGTTTGCTCCCTCTGAGGCAGCAGTGAGGTTCGTTCCGACGTTAGCTATCGCGCTTCGGCATCCTTGGCCTCATTCCTGGCGTAAGAATCTTTTCGTCGGGATACTCGCCCGCAGAACCCTAACCCTTCCGTTTTGCTAGTCGAATCTCTTCTGTTCCCTTCATTTGGTAGCGGGTATTTGTCATCTCTTCTGGGTTTTTTGGTCTTCATTTCGGGCTTTGATTTCCATGGTCTGCAAGTTTTTGTTGGCTGGAGGAAATATCGTTCGTGGCGCCGCGCCATGGTAGAAAGTTTTTTTTTTTGGTAATATTCTGCATGACGGATATCGTATTGTGAGGAGCATGGTCGTAGTCTTGTCAGCATATAAAAAAAACTTGCCTTTTTAATCACAGTAAATGGTTTTGTTGTACTGAGATGGAAGATGTCGTGGATGACTGCGCGTCTATCTGCTTCATCATGGTTAGATTACAGATATCTAATCCTTTTGTTAGCAACTTCAATGAAAATCTTACGAAATATAATCCTTTTTTCTAGTTCTAGCATGAGAAGATACGATCCCCCGTATTATAGTCCGCCAAGGAGGGGATATGGCGGCAGAGGAAGAAGCCCCCCAAGGAGGGGCTATGGTGGACGCAGAGAGCCGAGTCACGGTAGTCTTTTGGTTCGAAATATTCCCTTGAATTGCAGGTGAGCATTTGACATATTCCCTCTAAGCATAAGTTTTTATGCTCGTCGACTAGTTTTGGGGGGAGGTGGGAAGGAAGGGGGGGGGGGGTTAGATCTTTATTTTTCACTAGACTTTCCTTCCGTCACTCATAAAACATACAGATGCATGCTTATGTGTTCTTCTTTGGCTCTACACTAGCCATGATACGAGGAACAATCAAGACAAAGATCTGCATGGTTTCAGTTCTTTGGTCCTCTTTTGACGTTCAAGTTATTTCATTCTTGCAGACCAGATGATCTCCGAATTCCATTTGAAAGGTTTGGGCGGGTAAGGGATGTCTACTTGCCAAAGGACTACTATACAGGGTTAGTCTCCTGTGCTTTAGATAATTTCTGCCATGTTTGCGCCTGAGATTGTGCCTTCGGAAAGAGCTTTTTTCTGATTGAATAAGCTTGATTTCCAAGTGCTTCTATGCTTGGATGTTACTCCATTCTGATCTGGTTAGTGATCGTGCTGTTTTCCCTATCATGCCGTATGATTCATCCTCCTTTTATTCTCAGGTTGGAAAATATTTTATTACCCATAGGACACATCTGATTTTTTATTATTTATCTCTGCTTTTCATGCTGCAAGAGTCAATTTTTTTCCGGTTGTCTTCATTCTACTGCATGTCGTGGACTTCCTTCTTTCCCCCATCATCATTTGTACTATTAATATGTACGCATAAGTTGATTATGTTGGTTTTCCCCTTCTTCTTTTTCTGAGGGAAGGGAGAAGGGGGTGTTTATTCTTCTGGTGTTTCGCTTTTGAGTTTCATCTATTGGCCTACATTCCAACTCATGTTGCACATTCTGCCATCTAATATTGATTATTTTTATTCTAGTTAAAATATCCAGAGACTGATTCTATGGAGGGATATACTCTTTTGTTGTAGTTTATTATCTGGATTATATAGTAAGCTTTTTTTTTCTGACCTGGTTCTCAGGGGCTGTTTTGATTTGAGGTAAAAAACAAGCCCTGCATTTGTTGAAGACCACTGTTAGCATTGGTTACCGCATTGGTTTCCTCGAGGGTGTGAATCTTGTTCGAATGAAGATGCTCCCATGTGAAGATAGCTTTCTAGAATCGGCCTCAGTATTAGTTGGTGGAGAGAAGATGATGGGTGGATTTCATGAGAAGCTAAACATCTGAAGCTAAGTTTCAAGCTATATATTGTTACCGACTGCATATAATTACAAGAATGTGAAGGATTTGAGGCGTCGATGATTTTTTTTTCCAAGTTACCGTGCATAATGAAGGGAAAGGAAAAAGACCCAGCTGCTAAAGACGCGTGGTTCTACATACTTTTATGTTGCGCGGGCACCATATCGAGGGAATTCCTGTTAGTAGTGCCTAAGTTATGGTTGGAAAACTTAGGAAGATGTTCAAGTGAGGCATTACGGAATTTAGTGCTGATGTGGGTCTGTGAGCCTTTCTCAAGTTGTTCGCCCTGGTACACTAACCCACCATTTCCCCCTTGTATGATTTTTAAACTCCGATTCTCTATCTCCCCAGGGAACCTCGCGGGTTTGCATTCATAGAGTTTGTAGATCCCTATGACGCCTCCGAGGCTCAATACCACATGAACGGGCAGCTTTTTGGGGGGAGAAGGATAACTGTGGTCGTCGCTGCAGAGACCAGGAAGAGGCCTGAGGAGATGCGCGTCAGGACCCGAGCTAGGTACATTTGTTTCGTTGAATGTGTGATATTTGTCTCCTTTCATATTACTACATTCTCACGTGCATTCTCGTCTCACAGAGGATCTTCTGATCGTGATGGCCGTCGTTCGTCTCATCATGGTAAGCTGTTCTTGAACTAACCTTGTGTAATCACGTCTAGTAATCATTTTTATTTTTATTTTTATTTTTGGGTTGAAATTTTGGGGTTTCAGTCGCCTCTTGTCGTCTGTCGGAGTGGCCTGTTTTACTTTATCGTGTCATCTTTCATTTATTGATTAGCAACCAAGGAAATCGGATAGTATTCCTATCTATAAGAGGGCCGCCTGGTCAGTAGGATAGGAGCTCAATTCAGTGCCCGGCCCCATGTTCAAGGTTTTTTCCCTCTGGATTATATTGATTTGCCCTCTGGATGGATGGATGGAACTCCATTGAGATCATGAGCCATAAACATTGATAGAGCATGGTATCCTGCATTCCTTTGCATGAATATTTTCTCGATATTAATTTTTGTTTCCCTGATCTTTCAGGGCGATCGATCTCCCGTTCTGCATCCCGCTCTCGGTCCCCTCCCCGCCACTCACGCTCTAGATCTCGCCACCGCTCCAGGTACGCCGTGTGTCCCATAAGTAGAAACTTTGCAGCTAATGTCGGGAGATGGATTTGATGGTTCTGCTTCATAGATCATACTCTCCTGCGCCAAGGCGGCGCGATGGCTACTCAGCTTCCCCCGAAAGAAGGCCCTCAGCTAGCACGAAATCTCCTAGATATCGAGCTGCCGATCTCCATCAGACTGATAATGGCTACGACCAGTAAGTGCTCCCTTCTTCTTTTTTTTACCCTTTTTGGCGTGATGGGATTTCTTAGTCTTCTCCATATTCGGCTGGTTGACTTCTCAGGGAAGCTGAATACAATGCCGAGGGGCCTCACCGCCGCAGGGGCGGCGGGTCGCGTTCGCCGTCGGGGTCTCGGTCCCGCTCCGCCAACTCGTCCCCTGCCCGCGGCCGGTGAGGAGAGAATCTATGCCCTGCCGGCTGGCCTTCACCGAGGGATCCAATCTTTGGACTGTTTTACTTCATTTGGTTAAGTCAACGATGGGAGCCGTGTGCGTAAGGTAGCCGTTGACCTTCTCTTTTCATCTTTAAAAGAAGGCGCTCTCAAGTGGCAATGGGTTGGGCTTTGCCCGTGGTATAGAACCCACCACCCTTAAGATCGTCCGGATTGGGGTCGTCCTCTAGCATAAAGTCGTCGGCCTCGAGCGCAGAGGATGAGAGTCAACGGACTGGTCAATCTCTGTGCTCCTATGTGCGCGTATCATCAAAGGGGGTGGGGGATAGCTGGAGGGTGAGAGAGGGAGTAGGACCTGAAGAGAACTGGGTTGGACTTATTTACTTCATTTGGTTTAGTCAACGATGGGAGCCGTGTGTGTTTCGCAACAATGGGTTGACCTACCATTTTCATCTTTTCCCTTAGAACATCTGATGATTGGAGGATGGTTCCCTCCTCCCTCTTTGATAGTAGTCTCTGTACTGTGGCAGTGGGTTGGGCTTTGCTCATGGTTTAGAGCCCACCCTTAAGATCGTCGGGATGGTAGTCATCCTCTGGCACAAAGTCGTCGGCCTCCAGCGCGGAGGATGAGAGTCAACGGGCTGGTCAACCTCTGTGCTTTCATATGCGAATATCACAGAACAGGATGGAGGGCGAGAGAGGGAGGAGATTTAGATGGTGTAAGGCGGCGGCAGGGGAAGGTTCTTGGTAGCGCCGCAGAGCAGCAAGTTCTCCGGCGGATTATACTCGTCCCTGAGAGATTTAGCGGGGGAGAGGACGCTGATGTAGAGCTGCTGCCCCAGGTAATGCCTCTCCCAGATCTCCGACCTTAGATTCCACATGCCGGCGTTGTCGAAGGTGAGCATGATCGCCGACCACGACCTCGGATAGACCTGGATCGTGTGCCGGCTCACGGCGTCCATGAGGTTGTAGCTCCTCCTCTTCTCCGGCGTCCATCTCCCCGCTCCCATCCTGCGAGAATCCATGGCGGAGTTAGCTGCTCAACTCAGCAGGGATTTAGGGTTTGAGGTGGGTGAGGAAGAAGAGCTCTGCGATTGTTAGTATTATTTACCCGACGGGGAAGAAGGAGTAGCCGTCCAGATGGTAAGACTGGATGCTCCTCTCGTGGTTCTCCAGGATGATCTCCACGAAGTCGCGAAACTTGGCGGTGAGGACGATGGGCTCCGCCCTGATGGGGGCGGCGCCGCTTCGGAGCTTCTTCGGCGGCGCGTCGCTGATGGTGTCGTACTTGAACTCGGCGCCGGTGGCGCCGAAGTACTCAGCGAGCTTCAGCGGCGTCGCCGGGTTCTGGAAGGTGGCGCCGTTGATGGCGTACCGGAGCTTGCCGCCGACTGTGCCGGCGGAGTTGGCGAGCTTGATGGTGCGGGTGATGTTGATGCTGCCATAGTGGTAGGAGCCCTGCGGGTTGGGGCGGGCGGCGCTGGCGGTGAGGTTCCAGCGGAAGGACCTCCACTGGTTGAGCGACCACGCCCATCCCACCGGCGCCTGGGGCAACTCCGCCGGCGGCGCTGCCGTCGATCCGGCGTAGCCGATCATGGCGGCGGCGCTGAGCACCCTCTTGGAGAATCGAGTGGAGACCACCATGAAGTACCCTCTTGGGGCCTGGTCGGCGGCGACGAGCACGGAGTAGCACTGCCCAACATGGACGTCCAGCGAGTCGTAAACGTTCTGCACCGTGTGGGAGCCGTCCATCTCCACCAGCTTCATGGCGTGGCCCTGGATGCGGAAGTTGAGGGTCGCCTTGAGGCCCACGTTGCAGATCCTGTAGCGGTAGGTCTTGCCGGATTCCATGCTGAAGATCGCCTGGCCACCGGCGGCCGCGTTGCCGGACCTGCCGTTGATCAGGACGCCGGCGGGGCGGCCGAGGGCCCGGCCGCTGTCGAGGCGGCGCTTGAGGAGGTTGTGGCCGGCGGTGTACCAGTCGCCGATGAGGACGGTGAAGTCGCCGGCGGGAGGGTCGAAGGGGACCGGGATGAGGAGGCGGCTGTTAATGCGGAGCCCGCCGAAGCCACCCGCCGCCTTGTGCATCCCCATGGACGGGAAGTAGAAGAAGCTGCCGATCTGGTCCTTAACCTGGAAGTGGTAAGTGAAGTTTCTCCCCGGGGGGATGGGACAGTTCGTCCCCGGCATGCCGTCCTGCCAAGAGTTCTTCCTCTGCTGGATCCCGTTCCTGCAACCAATCAACCAACCGACCAACCATTCGAAGGATCGCCGTCAACCTCCGTCTCTTCCCTCTGCAACTCTTCGTCCAGCAGAGCGTACGTACCATGAGAGGAGGAAGGGCTCATCGAGGTCGTTGAAGAGGTTGATGACGATGTTGTTGTTCGTGGTGCAGTTGATGTTAGGCCCCGGGAACTGGCCGTCGATGAGGATGCCCTTCTGGGGGACGCCGAGAGGCGCGATGGTGCCGTAGGTCACCTTCCAGGTGAAGTAGAGATAGGGGTCCTCCGCCTGCACCGCCGTCAGGCCGAGGACCGCCACCAGAACCAGCAGCGCCGCCGCCTTCATCTCTCCGCCGCCGAAGCCGGAAAAAGAGAAAAAGGCCCCCTCCCCTGGTCCTTGCCCTCGTTGCCAAGAGGTGGCGGGATTTAGCGAGAGGCCATGGCGGAGAGATGGAAGATGAAGGGTCGACGAGGAAAAGGGAGAAGGAAGGGCCGACGGGAGGTGCCATGGGATCCCTCTGGTTTTTTATAGCCTTCTTCCTTCCTCCATCGCCACCTTTCCGAGGGACGCCATTGGCTTCCCCTCCTCCCGTTCTTCTCTCATGACGATCTTCCCTTTGCCCTGTCCAGCTGCCGCCTTCTTGGCCGATCATCTTCAACCCTCTCCTCTCCCTTCGTGACATGGATTTGCTATCTATGACGACCGGTGAGATGGGGGAGAGAGAGAATGTTGCCTTCTCTCTCTCTCTCTCTCTCTCTCTCTCTGTTTTGCCCGTTTCGAGCAGGTGCCTGTGGTTTGCTGCCGTTGGCAGTCCAGGTCTGGTCACCGGTCAGGTCATCGAAGATGTCTCATAAAAATGACAATTAATTATGTGACCCATTTTTTACAGCATATTTAGTATTTATTTTTAACAATCCATCCATTTATTTTTTAATGGGTAATAAAAAAATTGTAACGTAAATTTTGGAATAATCACTAAAAAATATCAACCAATAAATATGACAGTTTGTTCCCCGTAACAAGGACTCGGAGTGGTGAAGAGAAGCGGGGAAACTGTGGCCGTCCAATTACTGACGTGAGCTGTCCCTGCATCGACCACCCGATCGAGTGGGCTCCACGGTCAACGCCGGCTCACTCGATGCGCCCATTTCAATGCTGCGAACCAGGTGCTATTTGGGCCGTCGGAAGAGTAATTTGGGCCTGACCCATTTCCGAAACACCGAGCCCCCACACAGATGGCCCATCAGAATACCTGCCTGGCCAAAACATGCCACATCTAAAATAAATACTTTCCCATTCTTTTGTACTACCGGATATACTTCATAATCTAGAGAGAGAGAGAGAGAGAGAGAGGAAACCAGATGGGCCTGGGCAAAACTTGCCACATCTAAAATAAATAATTTCCTATTCTTTTATATTACCGGACATACTTCATAATCTAGAGACAGAGAGAGGGAAAGAGAGAGAGAGAGAGAGGAAACCAGATGGGCCTGGGCAGGATCTGTGGGGGGGGAACGGCCCACTAAGATCTCCCTATGTATCCTAATTTTTCTCATTTTTTTCCCTGCGAGAAATTAGACACTGTGTGTGTGTGTGTGTGTGTGTGGACAGATCCAAGAGCCGCACGCAAAAAAAAAAAGAAGAAAAAAACAGAAAAAGGGGAAATCATCTGTAAAACGGATGTCCACTCGAATGAACATGTTTATAGAAACACTCTTCTCTCTCCTCTGGGAGGGCTTCTTATGTACATCGAATGCCCCAAATCCGGGTTATTCCCCTGTTCTTGCGGGTGAATGAATGAGATCCCACGAACGTTGATCATTCCAGCGTGTTTGCGACAATTCATTCTCAGATTTCCTCGCCAATTTAGGAAAGATCACCTGAAACCTCGTCCTATTCTTGGAAGCCGGGGTCGCGGCTGAGAATGCATTCTCAGTCCCTGAGAAACCATTGAACAGGAGGGGGGGAAGCGCAAGATCAGACATCGGTTATTTCATAAAGAAAAAATCTAAGATAAATAAGAAAAGAGGATCTTAAGAGAGGGCGTCCAGATCATACATAAGTCAACTGGGAAAATCGGAGTTAGTAGAGATTGGATGAAGAACACCGGGAAAACGGTCAATGCTGTTCTGATCAGGCCGTCAAGAAATAATGGAAGCAATTATCCACGAATAATTCTGGAAATCCATTTTTTATTTCCCCACAAATGTAGAGTAGCGAGTCAAGAAATTAATCTCTTGGCTTCCACCAAATCGCCCGACTCCGCTTTTTTTATAGAAATTAATTTATTTTCAGGTGATAAATATTTCTACATAATACTAAAAGGCAAAAGAAAATAAAAATCGATAGAACTCATCATATAAAAAAGTACAGGATTAGCAAGAATCATGATAAGCTTACACATGAACAGCATAATCTGCGATTCAAGAATCAGCATTATACCTCGATTATCCATCTGTTTTCGAATGTTACATCCCTCTAGAACGTTTGGATATTCTCTTGGAATCTCATTACTCCTTTTCCTGTATATGAATATCTATCTATATATAACATTCTGCATATTGATACCCCAATTTATTTTTTTTGTTCATGTTCTTGTTCATCACAAAGAGGGAGGCTGATATGAAAAGAAGAGGACTATTTCGTTCATGTTTTACAATTTCATACGCAAAATAAAAAAATAAATTTACTAAATCGCGCAAACAGGGTTTTCATATCAAGTGAAATAAAGTTTATTAACAACAAACATCATAGTTCAAAGTAGAAATTGTGTGAAAGTTCTAAATATCGATTCCCTAACTGGATGAGATATTGCAGGTCACAATGAGAGGATCCACAAGAGCAACATGTGAAAAAGATCGATCATATCAATTCAGAGCATTGCCAACAGATGAACAGTTGAATAACTATCAGTTAGGGTTTCGCTCAAAGTGATACTCACACTTCACTGAATCAGGCTACGCCCATGTTTGGTGAATGCGTCAAGCTGCTGCTTAGATTGTCTGATCCAACCGGACAGCTACTCTGGACCTGCTGCATGCCTGAGATACACGCGTCGCCATTAGTACCACGCGAGATACTGTTGGTACAAGAACACATGGATTTTGCATCTTTCTCCGACTTTTCGGGTTCAAGTGAGAAGTCGAGCTGTTTCTCTAAAGGTCTGAGCACGGCAGCCCGGACAGGCCTCACTTGGTAGGGAGGAGAGAAGCTGACGGTCTCATGATTTTCTTCTGTAACTTTCCCGTTGTCTTCCACGGAAAGAGGTGTAGATATCCTGTTTCTCCTTCTTCTGATAATAGAAGGCGTACTCGGGAAGCTCTTGGCTGCATTTTTCAATATAATCTCAGGGCTGCACTCAGCTGCGTGCTTGGCATTCAGAGGAGTAGAAGATCTCGAGCTTGGCAACTCTTGCAGGAGGCAGTATTTGTTCAAGATGGATGATGCAGCAGATACATCACATATTTCTAATTGGGGTGGTTTGTAGAACAGAGAACCCGCTGTCAGAACACCTTCAGCATGCTCTGACTTTCCATTGACCATTTTATAGTCAACTTCCATGTCATCGGCGTGGGCCTCGGACTTCACACCCAGGTCGTCACCTACCTTTTCCCATTTGCCATTAATAGCCGGCACATTTTTTGAAGCTTCTACATGAAACTCAGTGGCTGTGGAGTCAAACCTATGTCTGTAGCCTTCCATCTCAAAAGGGCTAGAGAGGCTGGGAGCAGTGAGCAACGTAGCTTTAGAAGAGGACTGGGGGCTTTGTTCTGATCCCTTAAGTGAACAAACCAGCAGACGTCCGCTGGCAGTCTTTCCAACATCTTTCAGCATTGCAGATTTCGAAACTGCAGACAGTTTACCAGTAGCCAAATATAAATCTAATTTTTTCTTCAGGGAACTATTCCAATGGTTCTTTATTGAGTTGTCAGTCCTGCGAGTAGACGAATAATCGCTCAACATTACGCATGTGCATACTAAGATCACGAATAAATAAAATAAAAATCAGTCAACAAAGTTTATAAAAATGCGTAGAAAACAGACCCAAGAGAAATCCCACGGAAGATAGCAAACAAGATGGACCAAAAAACTGATCAGGCGAAGAGAACACGAGAAAATAATATGAATTGACTTATTGGTGAAGCCCAGAGAGGGAATACCACATAAATGTTGGCAGACATGGAATTAAAATGATAAAAATGACATTAGTTTAAAGCAGGACAGTTGATGACTTCTAAATGCTGCTGGAGACAATTGACTAACAAAGAGAAGAAGGCCATGATATCGCTTATATTATTGCTGAGTTAAGCCTCAAACAGCCGACTTGATAAGATGAATGCTTTGGGACTGATAAAAAAAACTAGCATTCATCAGTGAACGAATTATGCCACAGTTAATCACATTGTCTAGTTTCTATGAGTTAAGTCAGAACAGAAATTTATAACCTACAGAGATTAGTTGTAATTGTATATCCAATCTGCACCGACACCATGGAGTTGATGATTTCACCCCAAGGCAAAAGACTTTCCCAACGTTCTAAGACAATTCTTCTCTGGACACCCGTGAACTTAACTGATTCATTTAAAATGAAATTTAACGAAAAGGTTAACCATTAAAACAATCTACAAGAAGATAAACTCCAGAAACGCCCCAATGATCATATTATCATGGTATGGCAACAGAAAGCTATTCATGACAGATGAATATTAGTACTGCCAATGACATTCGAGAGAACAACAAACAGCTCTTTGGTACATAAGGATATATTAAAAAAAAGTAATACAAGAACTCATACCTTCCAGGTAAAAACTTGGCTATTTCCGCCCATTTATTACCATGTCTCTGATGAGCATTGATGAGTTGAACTTCCTCCTCCAGGGTCCAAGCATCTTTCTTTATCAGTGGGTTCAAATGATTGTGCCACCTTAATGCGAGCACCAACATTATGAGCTTTTAAGCGTATTTATGTTGAATAAGAGTCATATCAATGCAACGCCAAAAAAAAAGTGTGGAAGTTCCAGGCTTCTGTTCGCTAAGGAACCGAGAAATATATGCGATAAGGATAATTGAAAATCTAATAATGATCTAAGAACAACAATTTAATGCACAATATAAAATGCTCAGCATCCCTATCTAAGAGTGATAATGACCCTTACCATCAAGATAATATTATCCTGGAATAAATATCTTTTTCTTATTCAGCTGTCAAAAACTGCTTTTTCAACAACAGTATACAGAAACAATCACAAACTATAAGTCTATTGATATTTCTGGCACATAAATAGTTGATCTAGATGGAAAATATAATTTTCGAACATTTGTTCTCCTTTTTCCCTCTTCTCTTCCCTGAGAATTCAAGGAAACTAAAAAAATGAAGCGTCCATCGCCCAAAGAGTTTCAGTTTTAAGCAAGAAATTCGGATGAATAACTAGTACAAAGAAAAAACTGAAGTTATTGGATCTTGAATTTGTGTTCCGATAACTTGAGTGCTGAATTGGTAAATAAAATGATCAGAGGAACCCAAGGATTACCTCTCCCGACATTGCTTCCCAATGCGACCAGGTAATGACTTTGCAATGATAGACCATTTTGTTGGGCCATACTTTTCCACTAGTTCCACTATTTTATCATCCTCCTGCATCAGAGCGCAATTATGATCATAAAATTTGGTTCCTTTTTCTTAGAGCTAAAGTTTTAACTTCTATATTAGCAGCATACCTCTGGGATCCATGGACCTTTGACAAGTTCAGGATTGAGAACCTTTTGCCATCGATGTAGACACTGCACTTCTGATCTATCTGGGAAGAACTCAGCTGCACATGATAAAAAATAAAAAGGTTATTCTGACATCACAATGCTAAATTCTCTTCTTAAATTGCTAGGTACTGAAATTAATCATTCATGTTTAAAATTTACTAAGATTTTTATGCCACATCACAGTAATGGTGACTATTTAAAATCAGTTTCAAAGAAGATAATCAACGATAAAGATACTGGAACCATAGAAAATTAAGCATAAGCAGGTACTCTATGGAGATAAATAGCGGAAAAAGTGTGGAAAACCTATTTTCTTCCAACATCTTCCTTTGTGGGCTTTAACAGCCTTCCGTAGAGTCTCGTCCTGCAGCAGGTTATCATTTGTTAAACAGTTGTTAATCAACATGCACTCAACAATATAAGAAAAAAGGCATGTTATTAAAAAAATATTCAAGAAAAGTAACTAAATTCATGTTGATAGATGAGTGAAAACCTCAGAAAAATTTATGCTAGTAGTTAAGCAAGGAGTCAAGATTTGAACATTTCTATTCTTCAATTTTAAATGAACCTAAACTAAAAAAAGCTTCGCAAAAAAAAAAAATAGAAATTAGAATAAAACAGAAATGAACCCCCCACTACTGTTAATGCATTGAACGAAGACAGAGAAGTTTTTCCACATTTTTTTGATTTACATTCAAGATTGTAACAGATAGCTCACCTCCTCCAGTGTCCAGCCACCTTTTGCTCGTCTTATAGGCCCAGTAGTCCGCCTAGAAATTATTTACATCAACATTCATGAGCGTCCAGCCAAACCAATCCCCAGATAGTATAATTGAATAGAATTAGCAAGTACATTTGACAGAATATCTTTGCCATAAAAGGTGATCCCCTTGTTTTTTTCACAAGAACGGTGCTTATTAAGCCTTCACATTGTCAAATTCTAGACACTACAAATGACATTGCCTGGGTGGCCAGTCAAGGCTCAAACTCATGCTTTGTAAGATCAGTTAAACGATGAAAGGCCTGAGAAGGAATTGTTTGGGGAATAACCTGGTCTCCAATGATCTATAACCATAAGTTCCCAAATACCAGGTTTTCATTCTCACCTCAAAAATAAATCATAAAGAAATTGAGCACGTTCATTATTCTAATAAAACCTAGATAAAATCTTGGTTTAGATCATCATTCCTACGGCCTTCCATAAAACAAGCTCCTTCTTCACCACACATATAATTAAGAGAAAAAAAGAGAAGTAAGAAAAATACAGCTGTACAACGCCTTTCATCAAGGATGCAACGAGATATCGTCAATTCCAAGGAAATACAACTATTTTCGTTCATGGTTTTCTACTCTTCTTTCCTTGGTTACACAAAAGGCATATCTGACTGACTTAAATCCACAGCGATAACAGGTACCCTTGCATTTATATATCCGATTGTTCATATTGCCATTCGAAGATCCATACCTCTACCATAAGAGAACATGTCATTGCGATATACAACTGTCCTGATGTGTGAAGAGCGCAGCGGCATGGGGGTGAATTGCGCGCAAATAAGGTATTCGAAAATGGTTTCGAAGATATTGATTGGGTGGCATGGGGGGGCTTTATGCACAGAATTGTTCGAGAGTTACTGAAGGACATCGGACGATTCATGTGAACTTCTTACCATTTTCCATGTATAGCTATAACGAAACGACCACATCAACGTTTAACAATCAGATAATTAGAGGAAAAACTAAGAGTTGTTCGACCATGAACCAAGAGTTAAAATACAGTACCGGTGGGACGGAGAAGATGCCCCCGGACTGCAAGCGGCTGAAGTCCTTCGGGAGTACCCGTAGCTGCCCTGGGATTGGGAGGAGCTCGACGTGGCAGCCGATTGCCTGTTCTCCACGCAGGTTTGCTCCATCTTCACCCCCGTCATGCTGTCCGGCAATCATCAAGAGATTCAGGTATACCGACCAGTAAAGCCCTGTTAATAACGCTCCTGTGGAGAATGACAACAAAAAACGCGAAATTAAAAGAAACACAAGAGAAATTTAGATAACTGGGAATACCTCACCATTCGAATCCAAAAAGGCAGGTCAACTGGGATCCCGTCCCTTCGACGACCAGGCTTCCAAAAAAATGATAATTCCGTGAATTGCGAGAGCCGAACCACCACAGAGGGAGCCGCAAATGACCAAGAACAGGATCACCGACGCCAGCCGCGAGAGAGAGGATCTCTACCACAAGAGAGAGAGAGAGAGAGAGAGGGAGAGAGAGGGAGAGAGAGCGGAGGTGATGTGTACCTACATCGCGTTAGAAGCTATGGCGCGGCAATCCTGGGCGAGGCGCGTTCGAGGGCCTCCCAAGTCCTGGATCCCGAAAAGTCCCGCGCCCACAACCCCCCCCCCCCCGCCAGCCAGGACGAAGGCTTTCAAATAAGACGTTGCCCGTTGAACGCCCGATGCGCAGGCTGGAAGGGAGGTAGAAGAAACATGAGAAATAAAAAGGAATAAAAATAGCGGGACTGACGGCACTAACGGCGCCGTCACGGTTCCCTGAGAGAGCTCGCCCCATCCAAGTAACGGCTAGCGACGGGCGCCGTCAACGGTATCGCACGCGGAAGTTTGAACCTCAAACGGCACTCTACCACCCCTTTTCTTTTAGTGCCGGCGGGTGGGTCGTGCAGCCGGAAGTGCGCCCGGTGTGGACTGCCCGTGACGTCGCGGCTTTTCGTTGGTCCCTCTGCATCATCGTACTCTGCAAAACGTATTCAGTGCAGCTCAATTTTTCAGTCTATAAAAGAATCACATTTTATAAAAATTCAGATGCTTAATATCCGATATAAATTTATTAAGTGCGGACATTTCGTATTAAAATGTACTAACTGAATAGGTCACCGGGATGTCAGTACGCAGCGGCGTGCGTTCACACGTACGCCGACCTATCGCACGAATGATGAACTGAGGCAGTTGTGACTGTCGCTTCTGCGTGTTCAATGCGGATGTAGGGACAGGCGATTAACTTGTCCACGTCAGAATCGTCTACCCGGTCGGCTGATGCGTCACTTCGTCACCATTTTGGGCCCGTTCACAGGTCGGGCTTTGGCCCTGAGATCAAGCCCACAAATGAAAATTAGTCCCAGTCGAGTCTAGCTGCTAGGCAGTGAGCCCATTATACGAAGCCACTCGAGCGCAATTTCAAAAAGACCCCTAAAAAAAATAATACATATTTTCTTTATTAAAATATGAATTCGGTGGTATGATATGAATTATCATATCATCCACCGAATTAAAAATTAAAACAAATATTTTAAAATCCACCATACCTAAAAATGCGACGTAGAATTATTTTATAAATAAAAATATTATTTGGTGGGAAAATATTTTATAAAAGAAGGGCAAGGTATAGGCTAGGTAAGCCCCCAGGGGCCCACCCTAGTCTAGCCTTTCAGTGAAGTCAGCAGATCCGACACATCGAACCCTCGATAGTTCTTTAGAACTATACCGGTTTTCAAGACCGGGGCTATCAACCACTCGGCCTTAATGATTGGTCAGAGGCCGTCAAAAGATGTAGCACGTGCGCGATTAAATAAAGTGGATTCGTAGAATCCACACGTGGATAATGTTTTTACTAGCAGGAAAATTCTGGTTTTTTTTTAACGAGTATTTCATAAATGAAAATAGGATATGGGGATTATACGCTAAAAATGCCATCAAAAGATTCGATAACTTCTGTTGTCCATCCATGCACAAGAACATAGCGCCGCCACCCCGCCGTCCTCTCTCTCTCTCTCTCTCTCTCTCTCTCTCTCTCTCTCTCTCCCCCACTCCCCGGCGCCGCCGCCGAGAGCCGGCTCGGTGCCAGGGGGGGTACTGTTCCAGGGATGCTGGGGGCGGGAGTTGGGAGTGGCGGCGGCGGTGTTCGAAGAGGACGAGGGGGATGGCGGCTCTTACGTCGTACAACCGACGACCTTTCAAGGGGCACGTGCATGGGGTTTCCCAATAGGGAAACGCGGCGGCGACGCGTATGTGCGACGCCATATTTTTCTAATACATTTTTATATATGAAAAAACTAGGTAACTCACATTTTAATCCCACATTTTTTTTTTACTATAATGTTCAGATAGTTCTTTTCTCCAACTCATCCCGTATTTATAATCTTATTAAACATCGAGTTATAAAATATTTTTACTGAATTATTTTTAAGAAAATGGGTCGTGTATGTCATCATCAGCGCAGTTGTCCACTAGTCATAACACGAACAGTGATCGCCTTTGGTTATTTAGAGCGTACGGACATGGAAAGGAGATGGGTGGGACGGTGGGCACAACAACCACCAACCGCCCTACGAAGTGGTGCGAGTGCATGCGCACACTACGGAGAGACGATCCAACGCCGACATTACTGCTCGCTTCCGAGCTTACTCTCCCCAGCGGGTCAGGAGCAACGGGGCTCCGTCTCCCGGGTAGGGGACATCACTTGCAGGTGCAGTTCGAACCGCATTTGCAGTCGTTCTCGGCGACGGCGGCGACCATCGCAAACGACTCAAATGACCTGCGAGGAGAGGACACGTCGGCCGACGGCAGAGGGCGGTTACAGCGAGCGGGAAGAACGTGCTATTCGATGCACTGTTGGGCTAGAGAGGGAAGGAGGCCTACCCCCTAGCGGAGGCAACTCCCATGATCATGGTTCCGGTGGTGGCGATCTTCTCTTCCGAGTCCAGGTCAGGGAACATCTTGGATCTGCGGTGAGAGAAGAAAAAATAGCATGAGATGATGAAGAAATCGATCTGTTCTGTGGATAGACTGTACCGCGGAGATGAGAATGGCTGTAGAACTAAGATGATGATATAGGTGAGGAAAACATTAAACAGATCGTCCGATAAACGAGTGAGAGCTGTCTCCTGGACAAGAGGATGGAGGAATCCTCCTCCTGGAGACTGGTCGAGACCTCAGCCTTCTAGTGTGAGAGAAATTGAAAAACCAACGCAACTCAAACCCCGAGACGACGAGTACGATAAACAATGTCGGCGACGATCTTCAAAAATCTCGGACGATGATCGTCGGAGATGCTAGTCCTCCGAACGACAGAAGATCAGAGCAAACGCAAGCCAAAATCGGCCTCGATAGGCATGATTCGGGGATCGAACAGGACGATAAAACGGCAGCAGTACGATCTCAGACGAAGATCTGGCGCAGAGCTTGGGATTACCCCCCGCATCCGCCGCAGACGCACTTCCCACTGGTGCAAGACATGGCTGCTCTCGGTAGGTGGAGTGAGAGGAAATGGGGAGAGGACAAGTGATGAAAGGCTACCGCGGAGCGGGGTGGGGAGGAAGCCCGCCGGAGTCGCCCTTTTTATAGCCCAGCCGGGGGGGGGACAGCGGAATCTCGAACCATCATCCTCCACCGTCAAATTTCCATCAATCATATGGTACAGTCTCGCATCCCGAGGAGATAACCTGAAAATATCCCGCTTGGCGGACATATATCCACGTCACCATTCCACTGGACCCTAAATGATTAGTCGTATGTGAACATTATTTCGTCATCACCCTTCGACGGGTATTTCCAGCGGTAAATATAAACATCATTTAAAAGAATATATTAAATATATTTGAATCCATTTTGTTCGAATAAAACAGAGTGGCGATAGTTGGGTCGTCTCATGCCGGAGGTTTTGACTTTTTATGGCAATAAACTAAAATAAACATATTTCAAGGTGAATACAGATATTTTCATTTTTTATGCATAAATAGTTAGTCTTCATTTTTGGGTACGAATAAAAAAATTGGACGATCTCTCTCTCTCTCTCTCGCTCGCCGGTCTGATCTATTTTTGAACATACACTAAGTTTGGTTGTTCTCTCACTAAAATTCAGCTGATTTATCTCGTTATACCCTTGCACCTTTAAATTTCCCTTGAATTTTTGGGTTTAATAGTACAAATGTGATTCTCTTACTTATTTCCAAACAGAAAAATCTAACCATCCATTAATTGCCATAAAAAAATAATTAGTAGTAAGATTGTGTAAAAAGAAATCGAAACTATCTGAAAAAAATCGAGCTAAAAAGTTTTATCAGCTCATTCATCGTTGTTCTTACCTTTGTAAAAAAGTCATTATTTTATCACAAATACCTTATAAAACTATTTTTTAAACCTTTAAAAACCTAAAATGAGCTTCATCATGAATTATAAATTCAATTATAATATTTTTTGTTTTAATTGTACTATCGTGACTAAACTCTTGCATGAAGAGGGAGGAGGAGAGAGAGAGAGAGTCAATCCCCTACCTCTCTCTCTCTCTCTCACTCCCTTACTCTTCTCGGGTTATTCCCCTCCGTACAATAACTTTTGACTTTCAATACATAATTGCTTGAGCCAGCCGGCAATGGAAGTCAATCCGGAGAGAGTCAGAGAGGAGAGAGAAAGAGAGTACCGTGGAGTTTGTGTGTAATACGGATCTCCCAAAGAGTGGCCGAATATGCGAAATTATTTCCAATAATAGTGAGCCCACGGAACTCTCTATTGTTGGCGATGCCGGCAAATCTTTCTAGGTTGAGAATTTTGGGAGTCTATTACCATATGTTATTGATTTATTTTTCATTTTAAGACGATATAGTTCATATAATTAAATTTTTTTATTACCATATGTTATTGATTTATTTTTCATTTTAAGACGATATAATTCATATAATTAAAAAACTATATTACCATATGTTATTGATTTATTTTTCATTTTAAGACGATATAATTCATATAATTAAAAAACTTCGCTGATGCTCATCCGTCCCCGCTTCATCTCGAACAGGAAGGCGACAGCTCCCGACAAAGAGGAGAGGAGAAGATGAATTCACGGAGGCGGCTTCATAGCCGCCTTTTCATTATGCGACCTGTCCCATATTCGCAAAGGGGTTTTTTTTTTTATTTTCTTGTATGTTTTTGAGATATTATATTTTATTCGAAAAGGCTACGCTTTTTAATGCGGTTGTTTGTAGCTGGCGCCTGGGTGGGCGGCGTGCCGTGTTTTTAGTCCCACATCGGAAGTGTTTACTTCTGCCACGCATATAGATACTTGCCTCGGAATCAACTAGCACGACCTTACTTGAACAGGATCTGTTCTATAGGCTCGTACAACTGTATCCTTTAGCACAAAGGAGACAGACCATAAAGTCTGGTTGATGAAAGATGATCCCATGGTCAGAGCGTGAGTAGTGTTGATCACCGTCCCGCAGATGCGGGCGCTGCGACGCAGATGATCGTTCTCAGATTTCGGTTCATCCGAAAGCCTGAGTTGACCGTGGGATTGTCTGACAGACTCTCATTCTTTAAATCGTTTTATTTTTCTTCATTTTGCTCTGTAGAGTTAGAGTGGCTGCTGGATCTCTCTAGATCTCCGGATGGCGGCGGCGGCGCCCCACCGGCTGCGGCACTGGTGGAGGAGGCGTGGTGGAGAGGGGGGTGTCTTCGTCGCCTTCGGCCTGGGAATTCTCCTTCTGGTGTTCTTCTTCGCTCTTGTCTCGCGGATTCGCGGGAGTATCAACGACGGCGGCACCGTTGCCCTGCTTGGACACGCCGGCGACGAACTCGTCCCCCTCAGGGTTTTGCGCAACGCTGGGAAGAAGGGCGCCGGTACGATTCTGAATCATTGGGGAACCATCGCCGGTAGATGGAAACTTACGAATCTTGTGGGGTTCTGATTGCAGTTTGCTTGGATGGAAGCGCCCCCGGCTACCACATCGAGACGGGTTTCGGAACTGGCCTCGACAGTTGGGTGATCCACTTAGAAGTAGGCTTCTGGATTTCTGCGTTAATTGTTTATTGCCGGGCTATGCTTCTGCCGTGGCTTCACTTCGCCTGTATACGATGATTCGATCTGAAGCTCTGTATCGACTTGTGCCCTTATCAGATCTCATTTTCTGGTGAGGATATAGGGTGGAGGCTGGTGCAACTCAGTTGATTCATGCTCTTCACGGAAGATGACTCTGTATGGGTCTTCAACCCTCATGGACAGACTGGTTCCTTTTCGTGGCATTTTGAGTCGTAACCAGTCGCAAAATCCTGGTATTTTGACATAAATCCTTTTGACAGTATGACATTTCGAGTTTCAGATAGTGTTTAAACTTAATTCTCTTCTCATTCGTGCTATGGAGTTATTTTCTCGCCTCTCCTGCTTGCGAGGATAGACATAAATTGCTATGGATAGACATGTTTCATCGAGCCTCCGGAGTCTCTGAGAAAAGAGTTTTGAAATGCCTCCTTTATCTTTTCAGATTTTTATAACTGGAACAGAGTAAAGGTGCGCTACTGTGATGGTGGGTCTTTCTCTGGAAATGTTGAGGGTGAAGTTCATGTAAGTTTTGCAGTGATATCGGATGGCTTCTTGAAGCAGCTTGCACTATATTTCTCCTCATTATTTACGATTTTCTCGTGTGAAAAATGTTGCCACCAAGCTTACCATTTTTACATGATGGTGAACTAGAATGGAACGAAGCTCTTTTTCAGGGGCCAGCGTATCTGGGAAGCAATCATGGATGATCTTATGGCTACTGGATTGGCCACTGCCAGGCAGGTCAATTCGTTGTTTCTAATTTATTGACGAACATTATTATATTGTTCGTTGGTGATATATGCGTGCATTATATTGTTCTTGTTTGGTATTTCATTTTATTACTGTATTCGACTTTCATACTGAGGTAAATAACCCCACAGATTTTCTTCATAATCCCGTCAGCATGGCCGTTCTTTTATGGCTTCAAATGAGTTCCGATTGTTCCATGTTTTATGAAGAATAATATACTGTTAGGAATTTGCAATTTTGATATAAGAAGTCACGGCACGAACAATGTTGAGCCATCTCGTTTGTTACAAAGGGAACGGCTAAGGGTTTGACTTTGGTATTAAAAAAGTCAACCTTTTGTTTGGGCGATAGCCAAACTTATTCTTATACTAGAAACCCAGTCAAAAATATTTCACAAAGGAGAGGTACTTTTATGGGATTATAATTTTTCTTTCTGTTTCCTTCATTTTATATATAGATTGGAGGATTCATACAGAAATACGGAATGACCAAGGAAAATTCTTCTGAGGGGATCGTTCGAATAAGGAATGCTTTCTCTTAGACAAATGTTCTGAAATATGCCTCATCTTAGTAACAATTGCACAAGTTGAAATTTTGATATAGATTGGCTCTCATCCATCAGTATACTTTTCCTTGCATGCCGTGATTTCAGTTTATCACTGTCACCTTAGGATACTGCATTGGATTTGCCTACTGGATTATTGATCCTTGGTTTTCAGACTCTATCAGAGATTCAAGTGAACAACAATATTCGAGCACTCTTGCCGAATTGGGGCTCAGAACTACAACCTTACCTCATTTGACATTTGAAATTAAAGGGTCTCCAAACCTTTGGGCCACCCTAGCACCTAATTCATGCTAGATGGGTGGGTAATTCATCATAAGAACAAAGAGAGCTAATGGTTCTAATGGTGACTTGTTCGATGAAAGGGCTGACCAAACTACGATGTTTCAAGGATCATATGGGAGAAATTGCAACACGTAGATCTGAACCTGTTGGAGTCTCACTATGGGAGTACCGATCAGTACCCAGTGGTGTTAAGTTCTATCTAATGTTGGAGAACTGGTGAGAGACAAAAGTACCAGATTCACTAGCGATTTACAAACATATAAATAAAAAATTGATTTCTAGTATTTTATTCTCTCTAGATTACTTGTCTTGTGTAGTGCTTTGTCCAAACACAGGTCCATGATGGGAGACGCAGACCGGCTTTGGAGAAATCCTTGTTTAAAGTATGAATTCAATGAAAAAATCATGCGAAACAGTTATTATCATTGCTTTTGACATGAAGGGGCTTTAGTTATCTCTATGACCTTTCCTCGTTAAAAACAGCCTCTAAAGGCTCTTGCTACCCCACACATCTTCAGCTTCGTTGTCTATTGGTTGAAGCTTTAGTATCGAATAATTTTGCTGTCCAACATTCAAATTCGTTCGCAGATCATCTGTGAAGCTTCCTATGATTGGTTTATAATCAACTGTCTTTTCAGGCTCTTTTGACGGGTTGTTCTGCTGGAGGCCTGGCAACTTTCATCCACTGTGATGACTTCCGAGCGCGTCTGTCTGGAGATGTCATTGTCAAGTGTTTAGCAGACGCTGGTTTTTTTCTTGATGCGTACGCTTTCTTTACACATTCATTCCATCCTTAATTTTTAGTCTAAGAATTTATGTTAATTTTCAGTCACGTTGGATTTTTTATTTTTTTCTTATTTTTAAGAGGGTACTGCTGATAATCTCGTCCTTTGTTCTGTCAGATTTCTCTCCTTCAATTCAGTCCCAACCCCAATTACATGCTAATTATACTTTGATTTATTCAATGCAGAAAAGACATTTCAGGGACAAGCACAATGCGGTCCTTCTATCATGACGTGGTCCAACGTCATGTACGATCTCTTGCTTGCTTCTGCTTTCAATAGAATGTGTTTATTTTGAGAAACTATTCTCTAGCAATCTGCTGGTGGGAATGGTTTCCATGTAAGTTGACGATCCCCGATTGACTCCCCACAAAAAACCATGTGGAATAACCCATGAATGTCTTTTTTCAGTTTATTATCGGAAATTATATTAATTAATAAATTCTGTTTCAGGGTATTGGAAAAAATCTACCCAAGGATTGCACCAGGAAGAAAGAACCATCCCAGGCATGCCTGCAATCTCCTCATAAGTTAAATGCCATTCCACCGGTTTTCTTCCCCTCACATGGTTTTCTTTCTTTCTTGGAATGAACAGTGCTTCTTTCCTCAGGAGATCATCAAATCCGTAACCACCCCGCTCTTTGTTCTCAACCCAGCCTACGATTTCTGGCAGGTGAAGCCCCCCAAAAGTCATACTCCTTAGCAGAAAGCATTGGCATACTATCCCTGTGGGTTGACATTCTAGACTGCTTCAGATACAGCACATTTTGGCACCTGCGGGATCGGATCCTAATGGATTGTGGTCAAACTGCAAGAAAGATATTGTCAACTGCGACCCCAACCAGATGGAAACGCTGCAGGGTCAGCGTCTTCACCAGAAATATATATTTTCCAAATCTGGGTTATATTTATATTTATTGTTATCAGTGAAACTGCTTCTACTTGATCATCCCAGAATTCAGGAGAGCAATGATCAACGCGCTGGAGGGTTTTCGTCAGAAGAAGGATGGTGGACTTTTCTTGGGCTCCTGCTATGTACACTGTCAGACTTTGTCGGATGTAACGTGGCATTCATTCACCTCTCCGAGGATTGGCAACAAGGTATAGATCCTTACTTCATTGAGTTTTGACCTAATCTTTTGGGTGATATAATGAGAGAAAAATGGCCCCGGATGTTTGACCAAAAGCCTCATCAGAGTTTTGACCTAGATAGGCTAGAGACGACCAAGCCTTTATTGACTTAATCTTTACTGGTGGGTAAGTGGATTCAGAAGTCTAAGATCGGAGGAAGCAAGACCTTGTCTTATTACATTATAGCTGAATCGTTTTTCCTTCTCTACAGACAATTGGCAGGGCTGTGGGAGACTGGTACTTTGGCCGTGGAGTGGTAGAGGCAGTGGATTGCCCCTTCCCGTGCAATCCCACCTGCTACAATATGAAGTTTGTCTAGGTAGCTTCTTTCATCTCGGCCTCTTAGAGAGCTTTGGATGGTCAAATATAACACTTGGGGCCCAGATTCACAATGAATCAGGTCTTGATCTGGGAATGGGATGCCACATCTCTAGCAGCATTGTCTCCGCTATAATATTATCACATTGAAAGAACAAATGTGATAATTGGTATGTTCTGCTCATTGTCGATTGATTTCTGTAATATTTCTTGAAATTTTCTTGTGAATGAGAATAAGAAAATTATGGAACAATGTAACTTATAATCGCCCTCTCTCTCTCTTTCTCTCTCTCTCTCTCTCTCTCTCTCCCCTCTTCTTTTTGGGATGTTCAACAAGAGCAGCTCCTTTTCCTCCCTTTGGTCTAAGTTAGTGCTCCCTCACTCTCGAAAGTGTTCTTACGGATGAGGATTGGGGGCGACATTAAGGGGAATGATACTTTGATAAAAGTGATAGGGGGTGCTCCGAATACAAGTTAACGTGATGAGAGAGAGAGAGAGAGAGACGTAGGATGGATGCTCAATATAGATTGCTTTAATGGGGTCGACCGCCACACTCTCACTTACATTTGACATACTTGCATCAAGATGCTACCAATTGTGACATTTGATGTATGTATGCACCTTGAATGGTCAACCTTAATGTAAAAATTGTTTGACTAGCTTGTTGGTCCTGGTCCATTTGAGGTTGTAAGAGTGTTGGCACTCAAATGGCCCATGGTAATGGACACCTATCCACAGTAGGTTTATCAATAGAGCTACTTCACACAATGTGGCTGAAGAATGATACTTCTGCAACATGCCATCTGTCCCATGATGTGGATGATGAAGGAGACTTTCTAAGGTCTAAATTTGCACTTCTTTGGCTTGTTCCATTAACTTAAGAATCACTTGGAAAGGCATCCAACATCATGCTTTTCTAGTACATGTGAGCTCTTTTGTTGTGTTGCTTGCCATCACTAATACATGTCTGCCCATTCCTCTTGTGAACTCGTTGGTGCACTAGTGCATATGGTCTTGCACATGCCTAGCTTCATGCATTGTGCACCTAAAGATCACCTCCAATCTAGTATATGCCTCTAGTGTCCATCCCTCTTGCTCTTGTAATGTCACAATGAAGGTCTCATTTCCCCTCTTTAGTCTGTCACATAACTACAATATGGATATCCTTCATTGCTAATACTAAGTGAGGCCTCAATACTCTTGCAAGAATGACTCAATCCTAATGAGAAAAGGCCTCATCTTTGGTTGTGGTTTGGAAATTCATTCCAATGGTGGAGTTGAAGCCATCTAATTAGAATACCATAAAGTTCATATTCTAAGTCAACATAGTCCACAATTAGCTATGTGCCACTGAGTTGACAACTTTGATGTGGTGGCTTCTTATGATAATGTTAGGTTTAACAAGAATGTCTCTTTGTTGGAGAGAAAGTTTCAGTCACTTTGGCATCAATTGTCACAATTGTGGGTCAAACATTGATGATAGCCTCAAGATAAATAAGCTCACTCTCACCTGTACTACAATGGGCTGAGTGTGGTGTCATGTATTTAATGCATCCTTTAATGTCATGATACCAATTCTGCCTTTGTTGAACACATGTACTAGTCCTACTTTGGTAGGTTACCTTGTTAAACAATAGCCACTAACTAGGTAACTTCCTAAACCCTATCTAGATATTGCCCAACATTTTCTTTGCATTAACCTTACTTGCCACTAAAAGGCCTTATGTGATTTTGACCACAATGGTCCATACAACCACCTTAGTGGTTCAAAATATGTGTTAAAAATATTTCTCATGATTTTTATATACTTTATGAAAAACATTATTTTCACATTTTTCTAATAAATACCAAGTATTTTTCACTATTTCGATTTCATGTGTTTTAGATTTATGATATTTTCTTGTGTTAATACTAATTTTATATCTGTAAAATTTTTATCATTATTTTTGTAATATTTTGCTTTTATAAGGTTTGAACCATAAACTGTCCATATTATGTTAAAACCCATGAAACTCATAGATGAAGAACTAACGAATTATTGTTTCATTTAATGGGTGAGACTTAACATGAATTGTTAGGTCCCATTCAAAGGTTTGTTATTGAGGCCTTTTCAAGATGAGCTGGAGCAACTTGATTTAGCTTGGGTTTCATATGGAAATGGATCAGAACATGAAAGAGGAAGATAAATGATCTAGTCTAAGAACAATCGTTGACCCCATGAGAAAATAAGGACAACTAGCTAAGACTAATGTGCAATAAGTGGATTAGGTCCTCATTTATAATTAAATGTTTATTCTAAAGATGGATAATTGTTATTTAAAATATTTTAAACGAAATAACTTATAAAAACGAGATCTACAAGGGGCCGTGGACTTTGTGAGCTGAACCACAAGTGACAACGAGGATGGAAGGGGGAGTGGGGCAAATATTAAAGCATGTGAGTTTAGTTGGTCATTAATGATGCTTATGTGAAAGGTAACTGTGTATTGATGAGATTATTGGGAGTTGATTGCCCCGATATTTTGAATAAATTATTTCTCGACGGTTATTAATTAATGGAAGATCAAATGGATACACCCACGTTCAAGATAAAAAATATTAATCTTAATCGTCAAGAGCGGTGCCCTCGGTGGACCCCAACTCCGTCTGCTGATCCTTCACAGACCCTCCCTTCGCGTCTAAGAGAAGGGGAGGGGGAACGAAGTGGGGAGAGAGAGAGAGAGAGAGAGAGAGAGAGAGGATGTTTATTATTGTCACGGGGGGAGGAGGTTGAGATGGGAGGAGGGGGGATGATGGCGGAGGCATGGGATGGAGAGATGGTGATGGCTTCCACCAGCGTGGAGGCAGAATCATGGAGACGTGGACACAATGATGCCAACAGAGTCGAGAAAGCTCTCACCAGCTTTGTGTCCTGCCTCCCCAGCTCCTCTCTTCTAGAGCAGCTCACACAAAACTTCACCTTTACGCCCGTGAAAACCGTTCAGTGATTATCAAATCTCGCATGGGCTCAGCACCGTCCAGTGCCCACATGCTCCATCTCTCTCTGTCTCTCTCTCTTCTTTACAATGTTCTCGGGTGACGAATCCAATGCCGTGAGGAATACGTCTTTCGTCTCAGCTCTCTGTCGCTATAGTTTTTATATACCCTCGCTGACGGATCCAACGCTGCCTTCGCCTTTCGCCTGTTCTCTCTCTCTCTCTCTCACTCTCTCTCTCTCTCTGATGGACCACAGAAACGAGTTCCCCATGGACTTCGACCCAGTAGAGCCCTGAGTGGAAGCGAGCTGGGAGTCTCCGACCATCTTCCCCATATCTACGGCCAACTCCAACTCCTCCCTCCCTTTTCTTCTTCCTACTCTCCCAGTCTCCTGGTGCCTCCGAACCAGGGAGATCCTTCCCTCAATGCACCCTCAGTTAGACGACGTTTCCGACCCGCCGGAGAAGCCATCCAAACCCATTCGATGCGATTCTCTCTTTACCCTCACCTTAGAGCGCCTGCGTGGGGCTCAAGAAGCAAAGGCAGATGGAAGCCAGAGGGAACGAGACACAGATGACCACGAAAGAGGAGAGGAGTTGAAGCCACCGGCTGGAGGAAAACGAGACAGCCGCGGGGTTGACGATGAAGACGAAGATGAAGGTTATCACACCCCGGCTTCACCGAGCCGCACGATCCCGAGAGAGCTCCCGTGCCCTCCGGCGCCCAGAAAAGCGCCGCCGATTCGCCGGCCAGCGGCGAGGAAGGCGAGATATAGGGAATCCTACCGAAGGTTGACCCGGCGACGTCAGGTGCCAGAAGAGGTCATCTTGGTGATTTGCTCAGCAGTCGATCTCGGTCGCGTTTTCCAGCCCATCAAGAAACGATCGACCTCGGTCGCGTTTTCGACCCCTGAGGATATTCCGGAGGAAGAACGAGGCTCGTCTTAGCGTTGACGGTGTTAATTCTCTTAAATCCATCCACTGGCTAGTTCGCTCCTTGATATATTGATTCGTTCTCTGATACTTCGATATCCGACACTGGTTGCACTGCTCTCTCTCTCTCTCTCTCGCTCTCTCTCTTTCACTCACTCACTCACTCGCTCACTCGGCATCACGTAACTCAGCTGGCCAAGAGGCTTTGGACAGATGCGGTAGGTTCGTCTGAGCGTTGACTTCGTGTTATTTCTCCTCAATCCGTCCACTAGCTAGTTGTCGGCTGAATTTTTTGACTCGCTCGCTGATATTTTCCATTTCGGACTCTGGCTACGCGTCTCGGTGTCTCATTCGGTGGCACAAATGCGGTAAGAAGCTTGTCAGATTCGGGCCTGGCTCGGACCCGGCGTCTGCCGTGAGAGAGAAGGAATCGTAGTACGACATGAAACCGTGTTGGATCGATCCAATCGAGGAACAGTGACCGGGCCGGCCCCACCCCAACCCGTCCCCATCGCTCATTAAATACCACACCAAAAAACGACTCCTCTTTCCCGTCCACACGCCGGCGAGCGACAAAGACGCCGGCGGCCGGTCAGAATCACGGCGGCGAGGCGATGGCTCCATGGCCGCCTCACGTCAGTCCTTTTCGTCAGCTATCTTTCCCGGCCACCGGCGACCTTCTCACCGGAGCCCACGGCGGAAGGCGGCCCTTCGAGGCTGCTGCTTCCCCCTCGGGGCAGCTTTCGGCGGTCTCCGTCGCCTGCCGTCGCGCTACCGCCCGGCGCCGCCACCGCCAGCTGGTTGATGCCGCCGCGGCAGAAGGGACACACCGGCACCGGAGACGACGGCGCCGCCGCCGGGCCGGGCTTGCTGTGGCAACACAGTGCCAGCGTGCAGCGGGCGCACATCTGGTGCCCGCAGTCCCCGATCGTAATGGTGCACGGCTGGCTGAAGCAGATGCTGCAGAGCTCGCTACCGCCCTCCTGCGATGCCCCGATGTCAAACCTTAGTCAACGTGAGTCAAACCTATCGCTGCAGTACAGAAGGAAAGAGGGCGCACTTCGGATTCATCTTCTTCAACCCAGTCGCCGGAATGCGCAGGAGGTGGCGGGGAGGAGCGCACTGAAAGCCTCAGTATGGTTTTCTCCCTCTCCATGTTAGCCTCCACAAGCGCCCTCTCGAGGAGAGCCTTCGCGTCCGGGGGAAGCTCGCTGACGAGCTTCAGAGGTGAAGGCCAGACTAGAGGTTCCGCGGTGGAGGGATTCAGGACTGCCGCGCAGGCCCTGTGGTGTCTCTTCAGAGCAACAAGATAGGGCATTCGCCTGCTCACAGAAAGAGAGGGAGAGGGAGAGAGAGAGAGAGAGAGTATGATTGAATATCTCAGTGGATGTAGAAAAATCTGCACAGATGATAGATTAAGCGTAAAGCCCACCCTGATGCGTCCCTCTGAAGCCTATCTGCGCCCCATGAGAGCAGCTCCCTAACGCAGTCCAGAGAGCCCCCTCGAGCAGCCGCGTGAAGCGGGGTGCTCCCCGCGAAGCTGCAGATCGGATCAGCCGCCGAGAGGGACCCTAATTTCTGCGACAAGACGGTGGGTCGAATTGAAGGAGATCTTACCAGGAATCGCCTGTCGTTGCGCAGACCAGAGCTCCGCTCTCCAGCAGAAGGTGGACGCACTCCGGCCGCCGCCGCCGGGCGGCGAGGTGCAGGGGAGTTGCGCCGTCGCCATCTCTGACGTTGACCAACCGAGCGAAGCCCCTGAAATTTCCTCGGAAGATGGAATCGTGTCGGTGTTCGTGGTCAACGAAGACGAACAATTAACATAGAGCAGAGGAAACCCACCAAGAAACGGAGATCGGGGTGGACTTGGCGGCGGAGAGGATCGCCTCCAGACAATCCGCATGGCCGTGGTAAGCCGCGTAGTGCAGGCAAGTTCTTCCTTTGAGCGAATCAAACGTCAGAATCTGAACACAGCGCCCGGAGCGAACACGGATCAATTAATTACTCGAAGAGGAAGATGATGGAGATGAAGATCTCGGCTGCTGCGTACATTGGCCCCCGCTTGAAGGAGCTCCTCCACGCAGCAGATTTTCCCGTTCATCGCCGCCAGCATGAGAGGAGTCTGCACCAACATTAGAGCATAAGGGTTCACCAATCCGCACCAGAAACTAAACTGCGAAGCAAATGAAGCTCGAATAAAAGATGCTCTTCTCATACCTGCCTGTGTCTGTTCAAGGAATCCGGATGAACAGAACGATCCAGGAGCATGCGGAGAACCTGCCGCAGGAACCAGAGATCCGTCAGGTGAGCGAAAGTGATGGGTTGATGGAGGAGAGGATCCGATAATGCTGGAGAGGAAGCATCGACCTCCATCCGGCCGTGGGCGGCGGCGATGTGGAGGGCGGAGAAGCCGTCGTAGACTGTGGTCCGCCGGAGCAGCGCCGGCTCGATCTCCAGATGAGCCGCCACCGCCGGGAGGTCTCCGGCCGCCAAGTCGGTGAAGAACTCGAGCTCCTGGCTCGTCCTGGCATAGCTCAGCCCCTGCCCCATCCTTCCCACCGCCGCCGGTTGTGGTGGTGGTGGAGGAAGAGGATAACGAGGAGTAAACCTCGGTGTGACGTCACTCCGGTCGCCGAAGTTGGGCGCTTTGTCAGCGGTTCCGCGGGATCTTTGTATTCCTTCTGTCAACCTGGGGCGTCGGCGGCCGCCAGGTGGGCCCGGCCGAATCCAAGTTTTCAACACCAACTATCTGGTCATCCATCGTGTGTGGACCATCCACTACAGGACAAAAAACGGGAGGAGAGAGACACGAGTAGGGACGATTCTCCGCCGTCCAGATGGGGTGTCGGCGATGGCAATCGTCTTGGATCGCGTGTTGGACGCAGCCACGTGAGGCTTCGCATAAAAAATAGAGCCTTTGGAAAAAACACCCCACGTTTGGGCAGAAAGAGAATAGAAAATCAATAATATGTTCTAAATTACTAATATCATGTAAATATTCATTATGATGGGTAAATTGCTATGGTTTATATCACTAACAATGCCTAAATGGAAACAAGTGACAACAAATGAATCCCACATAACCCTTCTTCGGCATGATATGACTCAAACTTTTGCTTTGAAATCTCAGCTATAAGTGGCAAAAAAATTGGCATTTTATACATGCATGAATCATTGGTCTCAAGAATGAATTATTAAGTCTCTAGGTAGCAAAGTCACCTTCCATTTTCATAAAATATTTGTGAAGGCTCTGGTTTTACTTCACCACATATTGCATGTTTCAAGAACATGAATTTTGGGGTGTTTTCACATGTAAATATGTCACAACTTATACTTTATATAAATTTTTAAATGACATAAAAATTAAATATTAAAGCCTCAATTAAATATCCTTCTTTATTTTCATTTGGAAATATATTTCTTAAATAACTCAACAAAACTTTAAGTAGGATGTGATATGCCCCCACTATTAACCTACAATCGGAGAAGAAAGAAATTTGAGAAAAGGTAGGGTTTTGGGTGTGTAAAATATTATTCAAAGTTTAGAAAATGAACTAGACTATCATAACTTATCTAATAATACAGAGGGGACCCCTTTTTGGGGAGTTATAAGAGAAGAGGTGGGCAGACCTCTCGAACCATATACACGATAAGAGTCTTGATTCTATCTGAGTTTAGTTTATCCATCACTTTTTACTTTATTTTTGTCTTTATTTTTCATGTTTCCCTCTTGATCAAAGAGTTTTTTTCTAGTGAATTTATATCAATTTGTGTCAAAGCACAATCTAAGGACCAATGGCATCAAAGGTTACAAATTCTTGCTTGGACACCCTGAAAGTTTGCACAAAAGTCGTCAAGGAAATGTACAGGTTCAATCATCTTCTCCAACACTTGGAGTAACAGTTCACAACATGGGTGGGTCTAAAAAATGAGTGGATGCATCACTATGCTTGAATGTGCAACATCTTCAAATATTTTAGGCAATGACTTGTATCATACATGTCCTCCTCAGTGAACTAACATAAGCAGCCAAATCTAGTTCAACTCTTTACAATGACTCAATCTCAATGACCTAACACACAACTTGTGGCAATTAGACCGTCACTAGGAGATTCATGTTTTCAGCAAAAACCAAGCTAAAGAGGTGGGTCTACTAGACTAAATGTTATTTCAAGCTCAACAAGATATCAAAATGAGAAAAACTAGAAGCTATAATAATAATTTTCAATGAAAAAACTCTCTAATAATTTATTAGGAATGAAGATAGATATCATTTTAATTCTTGATAAGATTTAAGTTCCAACTATATAAACAATTTAAATCTTCTACTTCTAGTGGCTTATAAAAGAGATTTCAAAGAGAAAAGTTCAATTGTTAATTATAAATGTAACATTAAAGGACTCTCAAAAGGTTATAGAGCACACAATTGTCAAGGGATTGAAATCATAACTTTGATCATGACATAATATGTTCAAGCCAATTAGAGTTCAAGAAATCATGAAAATGTTCCAACAAACAAAGAAGTGTCATCATGCACCTTGAGAAAACTAGACCACCAATCCAACTAGGCCTTCTAGACAGTGTGTTTACAAACTAATAGACTATTCACTATATCACAGTGAAGTAAAGTCCTTTGAGTATAATTTTAACAATGTGAGAATACAAAAAAATCCCCTCAAATCTTTTCATCTTAGTCTTTTATTATGGGGATAAAAAAAATCAGAACAACAAATGGGCATACCAATCACTGGTAGAATAAATAAGGAATTATACTTGACAGAAGTTGAAATCTAAGTACGATGTAAAAGAGGAATATATTTTTATTGTGACGAAAAATACGGCCCTAATCACAAGTGCATAAAAGAATTACAATTTTTGTTAGATCATGTGAAAGATCAGAACCCCTTGTATTAAATTTAATGAAGATTATACTTTGTTCAAAGATTATTCTAAACAAGAAGGAGAGATATATATATATATATATATGAGCAAGGTCTCTTTAAACTTAGTGATGGACCTCACCTAATTGGACACCTTGAAGCTAAATGGCTCCTTACATGGTCAAGAGGTATTTGATAATTATGTATTTTTGGACAACCCACAATTTTATTTACATAGAAATGATCACACAACTATAATTATCTTTATGTGACTTTGTCAATTATAACATGATCATGGAAGATGGTCACCATATAAAAAGGAAAAAATATATTGAAAAGTCATTTTAAAAATATAAGTATCGAAAATAGTTGAAGATTACATGGTGTTGGAACCTAGGAGCACATATGTCATCCTCATAAAGTAGAAACTCAAATGCAAGATGGGTATCTCATTGTTTGTTGTAGAAACAGGAGGTGAAGAAAAATAAATCATTAATTGTAAAACTACATCAACTAGTAGAGACAAGGGGAATCCAAGTGACCTCCCAATTCACAGCTGATCTCCAAGACAAAATTCAACTAAAATTTTCCTTGATATGAAATGAACAAACAATTACTAGTCTATTAACATTGTTAGCACAAATAATCATTAATTTTTTAATTAACCCACAATAAAAAATTAATGTATTTTTTGTACTTTTACAGGATTTACATCTTTTCTAGGAATCAGGCACCCAAAGTCAACTTTAATTGTCCAGAATGCATTATGAGAATCCGCAATTGTTTCTTCTCCAAGAATTTGGAAAAGGACTTCTGAGTGGTTTCTGGAACGTAGCTTTTCTTGTTTCTTGAAGCGACGTGTCGATGTTAGCCTAGTCCGAGGCGTAGGGCCCGGCTTGGCTTAATCCACGTGTCATCGCCTTAACAAATGTAGCCTGCCGACGCGCCAAATCCGATTCAGATAAAATAATATGTGAATTATGACTACTTCTAACATATTTAATAAGCGAGAGAGGGAGAGAGAGAGAGATAGATTTGAGGGGAAGCTATCAAGAACATCTCGTCTCCCCCCTTCCATCGCGGCGCTTTCGACCTTCCCCAAGAAATGTCAACGCCATCGCTCCCTCAAGTCGCAGTTCGCCCCCCGCCGCTTACCTTGAAAGGAGAACGGAGGGTGGAAGGGCAGTAGGGCGTCGGAGGAGCCTTTCCGCGGCTCGCCCCCTGTCGCGTGGTCTCGACGATTGAGGACGAGGGGATGGGTGAGGCGGCATCCCTGGCGGTCCAGAAGATGATCGCGTTGCTGGAGGAGATCGCTGCCATCTGCCACTTCCGCAACGCCTTCAGGAAACAGTTCTATAACCTCTCCCGGCGGATCAAGCTGCTTGCCCCCATGCTCGAGGAGCTTAAGGAGCGCTCAAGTTTGGTGTCGAGGGAAACTGCAGCCGCTCTTATTTTCCTCCGAGAAGCGCTGGAATCAGCCAAGGATCTCCTCATTCTGGGAAGTGAGGGGAGTAGGATATGCATGGTACAATCCCTTGATCCTGTCCCCTCGATTAAGTGACTCCCCTTAATCTCTGTTTCCCATGTTGCGCGCGCCTTTGATTCTGGAAGTTGAGCGGTACGCCCATTTTATACGAGATCAATGCAGGGAGTGCATAATTTTTACATCAAATGACGTCGGTATCGATGCTTTGAAAACTAAATAAGGAATCGGATCGATTAGGTTACATATTTGAGCGTAAAACTCGGCCCAGATTTTTTGAACTGAAAGGTCATTATTCACTTCTTCTTTTTCGCGACCATTTGGTATGATCTGGCATTGGGTTTGACTTCTTATGTGTTTTTCTTCTTATTTATATTGGAATAGTTTATTTTTGCTAAATACTTATCGATCCTCTGGTTTGATTGAGCGAGGAATTTCAATTTTTGATTGGACCGACAGAAAACCGTTGCTTGAGCATATTCTTTTTGTCTATGGAAACATATAAATTAGGAATTCATCATGGTTCAGTGTTGCCACGACCATTTTGATATCTAAATCAGCTCACTGTTGCGTCTGGAGGAAAGCTTCTCCTGAATTTCTTTATCTATGAACTGCATCTTGAAGGGGTTCTGAAGAGAGGAAACACCGAATGAATTGTCTAGGCCTATCATGGAGTTGACTCCAGGGTCAGGCGGATTAGTCTTCGTTGATTAGTATCTGCACAAAAACTGGATTATCCAGGGAAATTGACGAATGTTTTTAGGATGGCCGTTCCTTTTGTACGTCGGCTTGGTACTTCTGGAATAGACAGTCGAATTATTTGAGTCTCACTTCTCTATTCTATTTTTCAAATGATCTTGTTAACCATGTTGTAGTAGATGAGCAGCTATACTGAATTCACCTATATTATAAGGAACTGTGTTTTTTCTAACTTTTAAACTATGATAATATGAGGTAAATGAGGATGCATTACTGACCTGTGACTAATGTTGAAGTACACTCGTCATCATTTTCTCAGTTGAATGAAAGGAGAATTTGCGTTTGGGACTCTATAATCAGTAGAAAATATTCAGAACGACATCAGGGTTTGGCTAACAAGGGGTTTCAACGTAATTTCATGTATCTGTGGGATCATTTGCAGCATAGGAGGAAAGAAACTCGGGGATCTAATACTCTAGTAAACATTTGGAGATTGTGGTGAAAATCGATGCGTAACTTTGAAGTTGACACCACCATATCTTCCATTAATTTAGGAATCCAAAATCGGATAAGGCATTGAGTGCGTTATCTTTCAATTCAGTCTGATTTACGACGGTGGCTAAACTCTGGTATAATGTACTTTGTTGTATATTTTTTCCCACCTGAATTTCAAAAACTAATTTGACTAGGAGAACAAGTCAAAGTCCGAAATGGGAAACTGACGATTTAAATTGTTTACAGTTATTCTGTAGGGAGGCCATCTCACAGGTCAACGCAAGTTGGTATACGTTATAACCCTCATTCGATCATATATATGTTCAATACTTGCAGGTCCTTGAGCGGGATACGGTCATGAAAAGGTTTCAGGGAATAACGGCCCAGCTGGACCAGTCTCTTGGTGCGATTCCGTTCGAGAAGCTCGACCTACCAGATGAAGTTCAAGAACAGGTACGCCCATCGTTCTCTAATCAGAGTAGGAATGTTGTAAAACCTTGACATGCAGATAAGATAATCATGCAGTGTTGACTTTTATCGTAATGATTCTCAGGTTGAGCTCGTCCGAAGTCAGTTTAGAAGAGCGAAGGAGCGGGTCGACGCCCTCGATGATGATCTGTACAACGATCTTGTGTATTCTTACAACAAACATGGTGAAATCGACCCGCCCATCCTTCGGCGGCTGGCGGATGATCTACAGCTGATGACGATCTCCGACCTCAAGCAGGAGTCCCTGGCTTTGCATGAGATGGTCCTTGCCAGCGGTGGGCGAGATCCTGGGGAGAGCATAGAGAAAACCTCGATGCTATTAAAGAAGATCAAGGACTTCGTCCAGACACAAGATCCCGAAATGGGCTCTCCCACCGGCCGCAGAGATCTAATTTCCGACGCGAAGCCACAGTTGACTGCCATGCCTGACGACTTCCGGTGCCCCATATCTCTGGAGCTCATGCAAGAGCCGGTCATCGTGGCGACAGGACAGGTCAAACTCTCAGGTCAACCTTCTCGGCTTCTGTTTCAAGTCAACACTCTTCTGACCCTGGATAGTTGGCGATTCGCAGACTTATGACCGGGGATTCATCGAGCAGTGGCTGGCGGCGGGGCATGACACTTGCCCGAAGACGCAGCAGACGCTCTCCAGCAGGTCCCTCACTCCAAACTATGTCCTCCGCAGCCTGATCGCTCAGTGGTGCGAGGAAAATGGCGTTGATCCGCCGAAGCCGCCGGCCAAGTTTGCTTCCTCCTCCGGCGAGCGCCAGAAAATAGAGGAGCTCGTTCGCAAGCTCTCTTCCAACAACCCCCAGGACCAGCTGGCCGCCGCCGCCGAGCTTCGCTTACTGGCCAAGCACAACGCCGGCAACCGCCTGAGCATCGCCGAAACCGGCGCTATCCCCCTCCTCGTCGGCTTGCTGCCCTCGCCGGACCCCACGACACAGGAGCACGCCGTCACGGCGCTGCTGAACCTGTCCATCTGCGAGGAGAACAAGGCGGTGATCGTCTCATGCAGGGCCGTACCGGGCATCGTCTTCGTGCTGAAGACGGGCACCATGGCGGCGAGGGAGAACGCCGCCGCGGCGCTGTTCAGCCTCTCCGTCGTGAACGAGAACAAGGTCACCATCGGCGCCTGGGGGGCCATCCCGGCGCTCGTCTCCCTGCTGGCCGACGGCGGCCGGAGAGGGAAGAAGGACGCCGCCACGGCGCTGTTCAGCCTCTGCATCTTCCAGGGAAACAAGGGCAAGGCCGTGAGAGCCGGCGCGGTCCCCGTGCTGCTGGCCGCTCTGGCGGAGCCCGCCGGCGCGATGATGGACGAGGCCATGGCTGTACTGACCGTCCTTGCGAGCCACCCCGAAGGGAAGGCCGCCATCGGAGCTGCCAACGTCGTTCCTCTGTTTGTGGACATCATCGGGAGCGGCTCGCCGAGGAACAGGGAGAACGCGGCGGCGATTCTCGTCAAGCTCTGCCGCGGGGAGCACCAGTTCCAGAATGTCGCGACGGCGATGGACTGCGGCGTTGTGAACCTGCTGCGGGAGCTGGCGCTGAACGGCACGGACAGAGGGAAGAGGAAGGCCGCCGAGCTGCTCGACCGGCTCAACAGGTTGACCGAGTCTCAGGCGGAAGCAGCACCGGACCAAGGTCAGCTCCAAGTCCAGCTTCCGGCTTCCTAAGATTGTTTCGAGAAAAGGGGTGGCGGGAAGTCAACCCTCCCTGGTTGTGTTGATCCGTTGCGGCTTTTGTTTCTTTCTGTCCGGATAGTCTCCACAGCTACGCGGGTGGGAAACAAGAGGTAGAGCACGAAAATGACCATGTATGTACAGAATGTGACCTGATGTATAGGTCAAAAGCATGGCCTTTATCCTGCCGGCTAATACCTGAATGAGGTCAACCCTCAGTACATGTGTGTACACCATGCAATACGCTGGTGCAACATGTCACTGAAGAGTACGGTCTCCGTTGCCTGCTGATGGTCAACCCAATTACCCTCTCTCTCTCTCTCTCACGCGTCAAATGAGCATTAGTGGCGAAATAAATTATGCAAGCATGAGAATAAGCTTCGATCCACTCCGGTACCTCTTCATCACAGGGAGACACCATTCCAGACAAGATGGTCAGTTAGGCCTAAAAGGGTCCAATGGGCCCAAAACTACTTTACAGGCCGCACAAGTTGGGACAAGCGGCGACAGAGTAGGAAGGATTGGGCCGGCCTGGCCTACAGTAATGATCCCACGTGGATATGCGGACGTCTAATGTTTTCACACATTTATCCTTTTTAAAACAGTATTTACAAGTATATCCTCCGTATCCTACTTTGAAATATTTACACCTTTATCCTGACACGTACCAACCACCGCTACCCTCTTCTTCAAACCACGCGCACCCTCCTCAGAGCCCGGGGAGTATCTCCCACTCGTTCTGCGATCCGTTTCTATGCCGTTCCTAGCATATAATTTAGAGAGAGAGAGAGAGAGAGAGAACCTACGATTATGAATTCATGGAAAAGAAAAAGCTGCTACTCACCATCAGCCTCCCACACAGGGAAACCTCTCTCTCTTTCTCTCTATCCCTTCTCTAGTGATTACTGATATGACAAAGGACGTAGACAAGCCATTGAAGACCGCCGCATACCGGCGACAACAAGGTCTACATCTGCCCACATTGCTCGTGCACGGAATTCCGAGCCCTCTGGAACCCTACTTTGGCTTGCACCACCGCCTCTCTCTCTCTCTCTACCCAGCTTTTTGATATTTTCTCATTGCAGGTTTTGCCAATTCTAGCTAGCTTCAGCTTCGATTGGTTCCTTCCCCGTCTGCGAAAACTCCTGGCGGGCTTGTTCTCCCCTTTATCATCATAGGATCGCTTTATTCTGTCTTAGCCGGGGATGACCGCCTGGGGCCTCGAGAAAGTATGCCACAGCGCAGATTCCTCCGCACATGGAACTCGAGCAATCGGCAAGCTTCTTCTTCTGCTGCTTCTTCAATAATTTATCTCCTTTTCTTCGGCTCTCTTCTCTGTCTTGTATCCTTTCTTTCATGCTTCTGAGCATCTGCGCCTCCTCCGCCGAACGGGCTTTTGCACTCTGGTTATATTCTAACTAGCTCTTCTGCTGCATGCGACTAGGAGGGAAACTAACAGCCGCGATGTCCGAAGAAATGCCCGCTTGAAAAGCGGTGCATGTAAGATCCAGTCAAATCCGGCAAAGAAGCTCGCTAAGTAGGATGAGGGGGGCTTCTTTTCCCGGACAACGAATGGACTCGCTAATTATTAAGGAATCTCAAAGGGTACTTTTTCATTATAAATAAGGAAAAAATTTGCGAATCCGATGGCCGCGCGACTCGAGACTGCTCGCGGCAAAGCTTCGGCTCCGCGATCTCCGAGTCGGGAACCACTCTGGGACGCCGGATTTGTGGTAATCAGAGCCGGAAGTAGTTTATTCAATGGAGGAAGTACTCTCTTACTCCCCCGTGCCCCACCCTCTTTCTCCAATACGCACAATCTCTGGTGCTTGAAATAATTCTTCGATGGAGAAAAGAAAGACACGCTCCTCCCCTCCTCCCTCTCTCTCTCTCCCTCTCTCTCTCTGTCTCTGTGAAACAGTGGCCAGATGGAGTGCGTAGAGAAAGAGTCTCTGCATGCATACGAATACACGCAGAAGATGATGCCCAAAGCGGAGAAGTCCATCGGCCATTTCGATCCCATTTGAGGTTCCTCCCTCTAAAGCTTGCGAAAAGTCACCTGAATGCTGAGGACATCAGATTATTTCTGGATTGAGACTGATTAACGTAGGGTAGTCGAAGCAAAGGAGGTGCAGACTGAAGTAGAGATCGGGGTCAACCACGGTGTAACCCCCCCTTCTTTTTTTCCCAGAGGTGCCATCCTGCTGGTTTCAACTGGTCTCCCACATCTCACTTCACTTGGAATCCATGGCGAAGCCCTAAGTTTGTCCAAAGCACATCATGTGTGAATCTTTGAATGGGAGTTGTTCTCAACATCGTGAAGCACAAAGATGAGCAAACGATTAACACTGCCGTGAAACCCTCTCTTTCTCTGCCTCTCGAACCCAATTCACTTGATGTTTCATCCTCCATTAAACCAGAGATACAGCCTGTCACTTTCAGTGTAGAACTATCCCCGGCAGTCAGTCATACAATAAAAACTGTGCATGCGAAATTCACATTATCTTCAGAGAGGGAGATCTCAGGCCACCATCAGCTTCTCGATTCTCGCAACCAATCCGATTCTTGGGACACAAATCGGATTTCTACTAGTATGTGAAGGGATGCGTCATTTCATTTGGTCGATCTAATCTGGGTCGGGATCGGTAGTGCCCAGCCCGGCCTACCGATCCAATTTCGGAGAGTATGATCAGATGTTAGAGTGAGAAACTGGCAGATGCAGATGCGGATGACACTTAATAAAACCTTCAATCAGATATTAAACACAAGGGAACACATCTAAAGTCTCTTCCACCCACAAAAATAGAAAAGAAGAAGAAGAAGAAGAGAGAGAAAGAGCCACCAATGGGAGCTGATGAACACCAAGAAGCTTACCTATAATGTCCTCCATTTTCGGTATTTCATGAGCGAATTCCTAAGCTTCCGTCGGAAATTCGGATGCGGGGGGGCAGCTAACGCCTTTCAAGTGAAGATCACAGCCGTATGGATTGATCTTCGGAGCAGTGGTAAAAAACTGAGCCCCCCCAATTCGACCTCGCCGTATATTCTGAGATTACAGGAAGTTGCTTTGGAAATCTGTCCACCCGCCGCCGCCTCCGATGCCGCCGCTGTTCCCCATATCGCTGCCACCGCCACCGCCGCCGCCGCCGTGCCAATACTGGTCACTGCCCGGGACGCCCAGGTAATGCCTCGGCAAATTAAGCCCTTGAGGGTCCTCCATTTTCACCGAAGGCAATTCCCCGTCAAATGGAAACAGCTCCATGGCGGACGACGATGGCGGCGCCGCTGCTGGTGGCTCCATCCCTGCCAAGAGAGAGAACTGCTGCTGCACCTGCTGGAGCCTCCACTGCTCCAAGCCCACCCCCCCCCTCCCTCCCAGTTGAAAGTCAACCGTATCCACGGGAAAATGCATCTCGTAGTCAACCAAGTGCTGGAGAGGAGCCATGAAGGGAAGCTGAGGCGGCGGCTGGAAGCTGGGGGTGATTGCACCACCGCCTCCGGCGGAGCTCCCTCCCGAGTTCCTGGAGCCGCCGCCGCCACTGCCGGTACTCTTGCTGCGCTTGTTGCGGCGGCAGCCTCCGCCCACAGGCACGTTGCGCAAGGCACCTCCGCGGGTCCAGTAGCGGCGGCAGGTCTTGCAGAAGTGGCGGGGTTGAGAGAGGGAGTAGTTATTGAAGTAGCAGAACTTGGTGTTGGTGGAGTCGCAACGGGGGCACTTGAGGGCGGCCTCAGGCTGCGCCACCTTCGCCAAGCGAGCTCTCTCCGCCATCGAGCATGGCCTCGCCGAGCTCGTTCCAGCCGTCGGGGGCATCTGCGTGGTCTCCCCCCCTCCACCGCCGCCGCCGCCGCCGCCGGTCGCTCGCTGATGATGGCCTGACTGCAGCTACACCAAGCACGGAGCACGAGAAATCAAATCAGGACCATATTCAACTGTAGTGCACAAAATCACGAGAGTGATTCTCTCTCTCTCTTCTGTGCCCACCTGGTTCCAGTTGGGTGGATCGAGATAGGCAGGAACAGACGAGAAAACCATGGCTGATCTTTCCTTCTTCTGGGTTGGAGATGGTGGGGAATCACATCACAGGGGTTGCAGGGAGGCAGAGGAGGCGAAGGGGGGGGAGCCTGGATCTGGAGATAGGGTTTTCTTGTTCCTCCTTTCTCCTATTTTGCTGTTTCTTCGTTATTTGTTCCTGTGCGGCGGCAGGAGGAGAGTTCCTTCGCCGATACGCTTCTCTCTCTTGCTGTGGTCGAGCAGTGCCCTGGCTTAGTGGCTGCTCTCGAGCATGGAAAGTTGGGATATAAAAGAAAAGATTGAGGAAGCCCATGGGATCGCTATACAAAAATCTAAGGACTGTGAATATAAATATCCCACAGGAACGATCGTGGGTAGAGGCCCCTGCGCCATTGAGCACCCCCCCCTCACATTCTCTCTGTCTCTCTCTCTCTCTCTCTCTTTATCTATCTATCTATCTATCTGTCTCTCTATCTCTCTATCTCTATCTTCATCTCCCTCCCTCTCTCTACACCCAGACTCGGGTTATCCAGGGAAGAATGCCTAGGCTATGTATGCTTGAATCCGCGTATGAGCATCATGCGGCCTAAAGAGAAAAGATCAAGATTGTTTAATAATTGCACTAACAAGATCCAGATTAATTAGAAAAGTATATAATATTGCATGAATATGAAAATCCTATAGTCTTACTCATATGGCATCGTGTGAGATTATCATGGGCGTTGGCATCTTATCTAAAATCAATTGGCAATGTTTCACGTAAATTCACCATTTTTTTATTGCATGAATGAGTAAATACACAAATTATAATATATGAAACAATGTAGGTAGATCGTGACTACCCTAGATTTAAACAAGAATATTACCTAATGCATGATAATTCTGTGTAAGGTCGAAACAAATTCCACAACATTGGAAGACGTGGGCTTTTATTAAATATGGATGAATTATAATTTATTAATATTTGGGTTATTTTTACGATCATAATGCACAGGGTAAGAGAGAAAAATTGAGCCAATTATTGATTTTTCCTTTAATAATAATATCATTTTATGCACTCTAGAATATACAAATTTGGAATTATATTCTGCAGCAGTGTAAACTACTTTATTTATCATATTTTGTATGAATTTCCGGATGGATGATTTTGTTTAACTAATAGATTGCCCGAATCATCTCTCATAAACTTTACTGTTCTAAGCTTGGTATTATGTATGCATTTACAGAGGGAGGGAGGGAGGGAGGGAGAGAGAGAGAGAGAGGAGGTCGGCGGTTCCCACGTATGATGCTTGGGGCCACCGGACAACCCACGCAGCCCCCCCCCTCAGTGGTCGGTATCCCCATCCCCCCTCAGAATATTACTGTCAGACTCTCAGGTCGGTGACGGGCCTCCTCAGGGGACCTCTTATTTTATTATATTATACACGACTCCTTTTTCTCGGTCCACCCTCTCCGAATTCCGCTACCTTTCGTCATGGTCCAACCCACCCACCCACCAGAGGCCCATTGGTCGAACGGCTACGATCTCCAAAGAACTACTGTTTCTACCGTCACGATTGTCCCAACTCGAAGGAATCTATGCCGGGATCCAACGGCCACGAGCCCTCTTGGCCCTATTGGTCTCCAAAGGCACGGTCGATCCGAGCCTCTGAATTCCATCCGCCATCTGACCACCCACCATCGGTCAGCGTTGAAGACAACCACCGCCTAGAAGGGCAAGCTGAGCTGAACGGGGCCGCATTGGGCCGAAGGATAAGAAACGGGTCAACTTTGGTCAAACGTCAAAGAGGCGGTGCCGTCTGCTACACGTATGGTGGGGGCTTTGACCCTGACGCGTCCCTTTTCCGACCTCATGCATTTCGGGTTTATTGCGGCTGTGGGCCGGTGTGAAGGCCCAATGGGAGGCCCGAAATTAATTTATTGGGCCGTCTTTTTGAAATACTGCGTGCCATTGTCGTGTATTGGCGTCCACTTTTATGGGCGGGGCCCATCAGGGGGGAGCGTCCCGCTGGGGTTGGGATTTTATGTGGCAGGACTAACTACCCGTTGTCCACATCGGTGGAAGACTGACCATGACGATTTCCCACCGTCCGATGTGATTGGTGATTGGTGGACCGACTATCTTCCGAACTTTCCAGAAGCCCTTCACTCGACCTCACCCGCCTATATGTATCCCACGTTCTTCTGCGATACAAGTCCTCTCAAACCCTAGCGCTTTTTCGTAGGCGCAGGCCGCCGATTTGGTCTCCTCCATTGGTCTTCTCTCCGTCGCTTCTATTTCCGATCTGTCCGAGGGAGATGGCCGGCAAGGGAGAGGGCCCGGCGATCGGTATAGATCTCGGCACCACCTATTCGTGTGTCGGCGTCTGGCAGCATGATAGAGTTGAGATCATCGCCAACGATCAGGGGAACCGTACGACCCCTTCGTACGTCGGCTTCACCGACTCTGAGCGTCTCATTGGAGATGCCGCGAAGAACCAGGTCGCCATGAACCCCATCAACACTGTCTTCGGTGAGCATCCGACGTTCTCTATTAATGTGGCGTTTATTTACTTGATCTGCTTTTTCGTCCAGTTTTTACGTTTGTCGATCCCTGCTCTGATGGAGATCTGGTCTTCCGATAGACGTTACGATTATTTGTGTCCTCCGGCGATCTAGATCTGGAAGCAGTATTTGCAGAACGATAAATCCGATAATACTTGATCCATTGACATAAACTTGGATTCATGATGAATAGGTTTATGAGTATCTGTTTCCATGTTACAGATATGTTGTTTTTTGTCTTGCGTTCAGTTTGTCTGGTTTTTTGGGTTTTTTTATTAAGCCAACTACCTAAATGATTTTTTCTTAAAGTATTAGGTGATCTTTTGGGTCACATGATCTCCCGTCGTGCTATTTGTTGCGCCATTAATGTCTTTTCTGGAGTAAATTCATCAGTTCCGAATTAATTTGAATATGGATACTTTCGGCAATTTGATTTATCTCGATTTTACATGGACGTTTGAATTGTAATCTTGCTCGATGTGAACGTTTCTCTACATCTGTTATATGCTACACTGGAGTGATTTCTTGGATATATATTTTTTTGGGCCTATTCCTGTCCTCGTATGAATATATGTGCTTGCCGTTTCATTAATTCCTGTGTCTCTGTCCTATGTAATTATTTATCTGGTTCACGATTGACACCAAATCATCGCGTTTTAAGCTAAATGAGATGCTTTTTGAAGATTCTGTTTGTTTAGAACTGTAGTGTTATGTCTTGTTCTCATGTTGGATGCAAATTTATTGATGTAGACGCGAAGCGTTTGATCGGAAGGAGATTCACCGATTCCTCTGTTCAGAGTGACATCAAGCTATGGCCGTTCAAGGTTGTGCCTGGTCCGGGCGACAAGCCCATGATTGTCGTTCAGTACAAGGGTGAGGACAAGCAGTTCGCTGCGGAAGAGGTTTCTTCTATGATCCTGATTAAAATGAAGGAGATCGCCGACGCCTATCTTGGGTCTAGTGTGAAGAATGCCGTGGTCACCGTCCCGGCGTATTTCAACGATTCCCAGCGACAGGCGACGAAGGACGCTGGGGTGATTGCCGGTCTGAACGTTATGCGTATCATCAACGAACCTACCGCGGCGGCCATTGCGTACGGCCTGGACAAGAAGGCGACGAGTGTGGGCGAGAAGAACGTCCTGATCTTTGACCTCGGTGGTGGTACCTTCGACGTCTCCCTCCTGACCATTGAGGAGGGTATCTTTGAGGTGAAGGCCACGGCCGGTGACACCCATCTGGGAGGGGAGGACTTCGACAACCGTATGGTGAACCACTTCGTTCAGGAGTTCAAGAGGAAGAACAAGAAGGACATCAGTGGGAATCCCAGGGCTCTGAGGCGGCTGAGGACGTCGTGCGAGAGGGCGAAGAGGACCCTCTCGTCGACTGCTCAGACAACTATCGAGATCGATTCCCTGTACGAGGGCATCGACTTCTACTCAACGGTGACCCGCGCCAGGTTCGAGGAGCTGAACATGGACCTGTTCAGAAAGTGCATGGAGCCGGTGGAGAAGTGCCTAAGGGACGCAAAAATGGACAAGAGTACAGTCCACGACGTGGTTCTGGTAGGCGGATCCACTCGAATCCCCAAGGTGCAGCAGCTCCTGCAGGATTTCTTCAACGGGAAGGAACTGTGCAAGAGCATCAACCCCGATGAGGCGGTGGCGTACGGAGCCGCCGTGCAGGCGGCCATCCTCAGCGGCGAGGGAAGCGAGAAGGTGCAGGACCTCCTGCTGCTGGACGTGACCCCGCTGTCCCAAGGCCTTGAGACGGCGGGAGGGGTGATGACGGTGCTGATCCCTAGGAACACAACGATCCCCACGAAGAAGGAGCAGGTCTTCTCAACGTACTCGGACAACCAGCCCGGCGTGCTCATCCAGGTGTACGAGGGCGAGCGGACGCGGACGAGGGACAACAACCTGCTGGGCAAGTTCGAGCTGTCCGGCATCCCCCCGGCCCCCAGGGGCGTGCCGCAGATCACCGTCTGCTTCGACATCGACGCCAACGGTATCCTCAACGTCTCCGCCGAGGACAAGACCACCGGGCAGAAGAACAAGATCACCATCACCAACGACAAGGGCCGGCTGAGCAAGGATGAGATCGAGAAGATGGTCCAGGAGGCGGAGAAGTACAAGTCCGAGGACGAGGAGCACAAGAAGAAGGTGGAGGCCAAGAACGCCCTCGAGAACTACGCCTACAACATGCGGAACACCATCAACGACGAGAAGATCAGCTCCAAGCTGGCCGCCTCCGACAAGAAGAAGATCGAGGACGCCATAGACGGCGCCATCCAGTGGCTCGACGGCAACCAGCTCGCCGAGGCCGACGAGTTTGAAGACAAGATGAAGGAGCTCGAGAGCATCTGCAACCCCATCATCGCCAAGATGTACCAGGGCGCCGGCGCCGACATGCCCGGCGGCATGGACGAGGACGGCCCCTCCGCCGGCGGCAGCGGCGCAGGCCCCAAGATCGAGGAGGTCGACTAAATCACTACACCCATCACTCTTCCGAGTTAGATTTCCTTCCCCTAAACGCCGGCCCGCCTTGCCGGGATCTTATTTGAATTTTTCGTCTACTGATGGCCATACACTATCGTCATTTTGATCTTTTTATTATTACTATGATTGCCCCCTGCCCCCCCCCCCTCTCATCCTCCCCAGAATGTCTTATCATCAGTTACAGCTGATTCTCCGCGTTGATTTTTGGAATGCTACTCATTCTCCAAAGGATAATTTGTCTGATATGCTTCCTTCGTCGTCTGATTTCATGGTTGTCGTGGTCAAAATGGGCTCAGCCGTCCCAGTAAACAACGGCCCATAAAAACTGTACCACCATTAATATCATAAAGTACGTGTTAAATGTGCTTCCTACAGGGAAAAAAACCCCCTAACCTTCCTCAATTCGCCGAAGAAGGGGAGATAACAAATATTCCACGCTTCTCGGATCGCGCTTGCGCGAATGATTTGCTGCCACGTGAACGTTGTTTCTCCTATTTTCTTGGAGGACATCTAAGTGGTCACCAATGGCCAAAGTAAAGCTTCTCTGCTAGTCAACGGTGCTCGACGAGGCACGATTGCCTGAATGATTTTCTGCCACGTTGTTTCTGGTGTTTTCTTGGAGCACATGTAAAGTGGTCACCAATGGGCAGACCACGGCCCACTAGTCAACGGTGCCCGGTGAATTAGCTATCATGACGAAAGAAGTACAATTAATTTCTTATTAATTAATATTATTTGACGCCTCAAAATCTGGTGGCTGAGGCTGTAGATCTCTACCCTCTCGCATGCCTATTTAGTAGCAATGGCACCGAAATCTATCGATAATTATGCGAAGTCTTTCGCATAATTTATGAATATTTTATATTTAGTAGATTTTTTATTTTCGTAATTCTTTCAAGAGAAATTTTAGTTTTCCGTAATATTGAAAATAAGTAATTTATTTATCGACAAATAAACATTTGTAGAGTTTTTTTAATAAATAATTTTTTTGGGGGGGGAAGATGGGAAATTGCCGTACACTACTCGTTCTAGCTGTATTTCGGCTCGTCTGCTCGCCACGAACCAGTGGGACGGAGAAACCCAACCACGTCCCTTATCTGCAGAGCGGTCTCTTGGGAGAAGCCTCCTGCCTTCCCTCCGGCCATGGCGACGAGGCTCGTCCCCTCCTTCTCTTCCTTCGTCGCCTCGCCACTCTCCAGCTCGCGTCGCCATGGCCGTCATCTGAGCCGTCCCTTCTTCAGTCCCCTCAGGCCGGACACGAGGGTGAGGGTGAGCTTCCAGGAGATTCCCCCGCCCGATGGGTTCGGTTCGTTCGGTGACCTGCATGGAATCCTCGATCGGGCCGAGGGGTTGCTCTACACGCTCGCGGACGCCGCCGTGGCTGCGGACCCCTCCTCTGCTGGGGGTGCTGTAGACGCTGCGTCGGCTCAGAAGAACGGGGGATGGTTCGGATTCATAGCAGAGGCTATGGAAGTGGTTCTCAAGGTGTTACAAACTCTCCTTCTTTGGTTTAATTTAGGCGAGGAGAGACTTCAGATGTATCCCAGTTTTGTTCATATTGGTGTCCGTGGGAGGTCACTCGCATCGGTTATGTTGCGGGCATTTCATATAGGGAGTATTTGATGTTTTAAACACTATCAAATTTATAATGTTAAAAAATACCGCAGTTCAAACCCGGCGAATTTTGAATTTCAGCTACTCGGGGGCGAATTTAACCAAATTTTAGTGATACGCATTAATTTTTTGCATTTAATTTCCCCATTTTAATGTTATTTGTGTCTAACAATGGGACTCCCATGGGGACGAGCTCGTCCAGATTTCGTGCATGCTTTGTAAATCATCGAAATATCTTTGTAAAAAGCTGAATTGTCAGTAATCCCCTGTATTTATTCCTGTATTTGTGCAGAAGCGTAATTGTGTTTTTATTTCCATTTTTTTCGGTTATCACATGACGATTTATGATCGCCGATAGGATTTCCTGCGTCACTGTGTTTATTTGTGGGATAAAGAACGTGCCTAGATTGTGTCTTTTTCTGTTGGTTGCAGGTTCTCAAAGATGGTCTTTCAGCTGTCCACGTCCCCTATGCATACGGCTTCGCCATCATCTTGCTTACCGTCATTGTCAAAGTGGCAACGCTTCCTCTGACAAAGCAGCAGGTGAGTAGTTCCCTCACAACATTAATAGGACTGTAGCAAAGTGCAAGAGAATTCCTTACCTTCTTTTCAACGTACAAATGGCTGACAATTTGCTATTGAACAAGCATGCATTGCCTTACATGTTAGCACTTTCCTATTCTCATTAATCGCATTGTTTATATTTTTCACTTGGTGATCTCAATCGATGCTTTACAGAGAGTTGACCGGCCTTCATCCTTTCTTATGCACTGATTGGCGTAGTTGTCTCTTATAAGTTACCCTCACATTCTAGTGCGCTCTTTATTGAATGGTATTTTCACTTGTCTCATCTACCCTTGACTGGTTATTTTTCGTTTGTCTAGGTCGAATCCACATTGGCTATGCAAAATCTTCAGCCCAAGATCAAGGCTATTCAGCAAAGATATTCAGGCAACCAGGTAATATTCCATTGGCTTTGATAATTATGTTATTTGAGTTAATGTGAGTTAAGTTTTATCGTCTTTGTATGCTACATATCCTCTCAGCATGAAATTATAAGCTAATGTCCTCAATACATTTTTACACATGATATGATATAATTTTGTCTGTTTATTGGGTTTTCTGTATGACAAATTTAGTTCAATATTTTTTTAGTATTTGTGATGATGGATTTGTCTTCAGGTAAAATATCATGAAGATTGGTTTATGTTTCGTGGACAGACTTTTTTGAGAGCTTCTAGCAATAGTTTGATGTCATTAGGATTAGCTGGAAGCATAGATGTAGCTTGGAATTTGATGCTGGAATTGGATCGAGGATCGGGTTAGTTCAGTTCCTGTCCTGGTTAATCAGAAATACCTGATTCCACCCAATTTTTAGGAGACTCGTCATTCAATCCGGGCCTAGGGTTGACGGATCTTTTCCCAAATAGATTGGAACAATCCTTGCTGCTTACAGCATTCCTCACCTAATCATATTCTTGAAAACTATTCCTTATACTATTTACTGACTCTGAAGCAATACACCCTTATAATTCATTGGGAGTAGAAGCTGCTTCTTTTCATGTTATCATAAATGACATCACATAATATGGGATGGTGACATGGGGTCTCTAGTTGTTATATCAGAATACAGTTTTCATAGCTTAAAATGAGTTTTTTTTGGTGGAACGATGGAATGCTGTGCATTTTTGTTTCTTGATGTACTTTTGAAGTAGTTTTGGCTCTGAACATTGGCTTTTCCTTATTATTGAGAATTTGAAACTCGTTCTGGGGAAGCTAAGAGTGCGCCATAATAATTTTTTGGGATAAATATGTAATTTCCCACGATCACCCAAGAAGAGATGCTTTGTTTGTTGGGCTAAAAAGTAACAACATCTATATTATAGGTATTGTAGGTCAGCTGAGGACAAAAACTGTATCTGCAGATGACCATCCTTTGTCATTAAAAAGAATGTCCAGGAGGCACTTGATTTGAAGCTGAGGAATGGCCTAGTCTTGCTTCAGGATATGGATTCAGATTATATGTTAAAAGATTTATTGTGATTATGCTTTTATATTCCTTACTTTTGATCTGTTCGTTGTTCCTGTCTAAAGATCAAAATTGTGGTCGGTTTGAAATTGTCTTTGATGCTGTCACAGGAATTAAGTCGAGCCACTTTCGGAAAACCGAAACTTTCTCTTCTGATTTGAATTCTACAGGAACCATGACTTTTTTACTCACACACTATTCTCTTATGCTTAACATTTTGTGATGGGCATGTTTATGTTCGTTCTCTATTTTCATGGTGATTTTCATTTTCTACCTGACCATTGCTAATCTATTGATGTCGCTTATGCTGGTGTTTGTAGGAAAGGATACAACTTGAGACATCGCGTCTGTACAAACAGGCTGGTGTTAATCCCTTGGCAGGTACATCCATAACGAACAAAGTTGCCTTATTTGATCTGTGGTGTTAAAATTTTTATTCAAGAGATTTCTAGGAGAAATAAGGCGGGACTCAATCCATCAGAATGCTTGTTTTATTTTAGCAAGATTTTGTATCGTTTATAATCGTTTGAAATCTTTACCATTAGCTTATGATACTGATGATTTTTTCTGTTCCGTTCGTAATCAGGAGAAAAACGTCATAGTCATGTCTTTCTTTGTTGTTTTTTCTTTTTTTTTTCTTTTAATGTTCTGGTGTTGTTTTGCATCCTTTTGGGGCATGATTTGCTTACTCTGCTGATCCCAATCTAAATCAGCTCCTCCAATATTTGAACATAAGTTATCAGTATTTCACCTACTGAATATCTCACCTCCAGCAACTTACTGACTTCCTATTTTTTTCCCCTCTTTAGATGTTTAAGGAATACAAAATTTTCCAATTGATGCCCTTTGTTCTCTTTTCTTGTCCCATTCTTTGCCTTCCAATTTCCTGTGATTTTTTGTTTCCGTATGGGCCACTTTGACATTCAGGAGTGCAACTTGTCATCCTATGTCAATTGGATTGTTTGATGAAGCCCGAAACATATTGACAGATGTGGTGCCTATTAATGGCATTTCCTTTAATGCTGCAAACTATTTTCTCTCTAATAAATAAGTTTTCTTCTTCATTCAATGTATCCCACCATCTAAGACTTATAAATAAGACGGCGGTGGAAAATATAATTATTAGTGAAAAATCTCCCATGGAGTTTTAGCTAGGGTAGGAAATATTTAAGTGTACGATGATCATCAATTCTATCATAGAGAAAAGACCGTGTGCTTTTACAGATGATAAAAGCTGCTCAAGGATTTTTCATCAGTTTTTGTTTGCCCTAAATTTCCATTCTTTGTCCATCTGAGAACCCCAGTTCGTTGGAAGTGGAATAGTTTTGATTCCATGCCTCCTCATTCAAGTGCTTCTGGAATTAGATTATATAATTTTTTTTTCATAATTTTTTACCTTGTATGAATTTTTGCCTGCCTTAATTTTGCCGTGGGCCCTTCTCTTATTTCTCAAACCATCTCATCAGGATGCTTTCCGACATTGGCCACAATTCCAGTCTGGATTGGTCTGTACCAGGCTCTCTCTAATGTAGCAAATGAGGTAACATGGTGCTCCATCCCTCTCGATCGTCTCCCCCTTCCTTTCCATTCGTAGCACAAAGGGCATTCTTGATTTATGGAATCGATCCATTACGTGGTTGATTATAGAAGCTTTTAGTACCAAGTCAAGAAATCCATTTACTAGCAGGAGCCCTCAAATCATCCAAAGAAATTGCTTTTTGGTGATTTTTACCAGGCGTATTTATCTGCAGGGATTGCTGACTGAAGGTTTCTTCTGGATTCCATCTCTGGGCGGCCCGACAACGATAGCTGCTCGTCAGAGCGGCGCCGGCATTTCTTGGCTTCTCCCTTTTGTGGTAATTAGCGACTCGTTTTCTCAATCCATATTATCTCTACCCAGTCATCATGGATGAGCTTCCTCCAAGTTTCCAGGAAGATTATGATTAGTTCTGCCAGAAATTTCTCTCCCAGCAGTTCCTCGTGGTTATGCTTAGATTGTGATAGACCCCCAGAATTTTTTTTATTAATTAAAATCATATCTGATTGTGCCCATCTGTTCATCGATATGATAATCAATATGTCGCAGCAGATGTTAACGGTTGACTTCGTTATTCAGGATGGGCACCCGCCGCTAGGGTGGTCAGAGACAGCAGCCTACCTCGTATTGCCCGTTCTTCTTGTTATCTCCCAGTACGTCTCCATGGAGATCATGAAGCCGCCTCAGGTGGATAAATTCAGATATTTCATTCGCAAAAAAAGAAAAGAAAAAGAAAAAAAGAAGATCTTTCATTCCATGATGGTCAACAGCTTCTTAATATGGTATCGTTTGACTTTTCTTCATTTGGCAGACCGACGACCCATCTCAGAAGAATTCTTTGCTCGTGTTGAAGTTTCTACCCCTGATGATCGGATACTTCTCCCTGTCGGTCCCGTCGGGTCTATCGATCTATTGGTTCGTATTTGATCACAGATCTCTGTTCTTTTCTTGTCTCTAGATCAAAAAATGTGGGGTCCAAGCTTTGACCCAAGGTCAACCTCATGAGGACAAATCTCGCCACGTGGCAGTCAACATCTCTCTCTCTCTCTCTCTCTCTCTCTCTCTCTCTCATTGATGCATGCAGCACCCGGGCCATTAGTATTTAATTGGCTTTGCTGATGGTTTGCATTTCTTCTCCTTAGGTTCGTCAACAACGTTCTCAGCACTGCGCAGCAAGTTTGGCTGAGGAAGCTGGGTGGTGCGAAGCCTGTGGTCGACCAGGATGGCGGCGGAATTATCAGCGCCGGCCGAGCCAAGCGCTCCGGCGCCGCCCAACCCGCCGCCCAGTCTGGAGAAAGGTCTGTGTTCCTCCCAACCAGTATCTCTATTTGGGGTATCTCTGTTAGCTGGGTGTTTCTTTCGGAAATGGCCCAGGAAAATGTGGGCCCAGGCCAACCCAAAGTCTTCGCTTATTTATGCACTCTTTCTTTTTTCCCAAAAAAAAAAAGCCTGTATTTTCTCGCCTAAAACCCATCTCTGGGATTTTATCGGGCTCTAGAGTGAAGCCCAAAGTCCTGCCCTTGCCCAGTTCTTTTGTTAGCCTGCACCTAAGATGGAAAAGAAGTTCTCCTTTCCCAGGTTAGAGAGACTCTCTCTCTCTCTCTCTCCCTCTCTTTCTCTCTCTCTACCCCCCCTCTCTCCCTCTCTTTCTCTCTCTCTCTACCCCCCTCTCTCCATCTCTCTCTCTCTCTAGTCCGTTTCTTGGGTTTTCCCTGCCTATTTCTTATCCGAAGTGTGTATACATCACGATCATCTCAATGGCAGTTTCTCTCTCCCTCTTCCAGGTTCAGGCAGCTGAAAGAAGAGGAGAGCAGGATGACGGTGAAGTCGCTGCCGTCTGATGGGTCTCAGATGACTGATGCTGCATCATCAGACGCCGATGACCTCTCCGATGACGATTCCAAGGAAGAGGTAGCCCCCCGCCCCCCAAATCCCCGCCTCATATCATGCGAGAAACCATCTTAAATCTGGACCTTGGTCATCATTTCCCCGGGCTTTCCCTTCGCAGGAGGCGAGAGAAGAGGCCTTCGCTTCCAGTGGCGGGAAGCAGCTGCCCCAATACAGCGGGCCCAGGAGGAGCAAGCGGTCCAAGAGGAAGAAAGCTGCCTAGTCAGCCATTGGGGGTGGGGAGGGAGAGACACGTGGCGGGTCTGCCACGTGGGGTCTTCGCCCTGTTCTACCGGTCCGTTGTTCTTCATCCATTCTTCATGAGCTAGCGTTAGCCAGCCTGGTGTGAGTGTTCATAGATGTACGTGATTTTTATCCCTTCTCTCAGAAAATTTTCTCCAGTATGAGTAAGATTGTTTCGGTCCCGATCGGAGAGAGAGAGAGAACAGCAGGAGGAACAGTGGAATTCTGTGTGGGGAGCTTCATCCAACACCCACATTCACGCTTTGCAAGTCAACCCAGCTGTAGAAACCAGGTATTGAGCAAGTTTTCAACGACCTCCTCTCTTTCTCTCTCTCTCTCAAGGAAGAAATTGAAGGTAGTATGAGTGAGAAGGTTGAAACTCTTCTGCCGGTGTCTGCGGGGCAGATGAACTTGCCTGAGCTTCCCTGGGATTATTTCGATCAATGTGGATCATTCTGGTTCTCCTGTTGTTCTTTCATCAGCAGCCGTGTTCAATCTAGAGAGCTGCTCCACAGGTATAGAATTCTGATAATCGAAACAACCGAAAAACTATACAAAAGCCTAGAGCGAAGATGACAGGAATCACCTTGAACACTCCCTACGACCTCAGACGGCCTACGTGTTCCGTCGTAGGTCTCATGGGAAACCTGTCGAGCTCGCGACGAGAGGAATCCTTCGGTGGCCCTAAAAGAACATTCGATCGCAGTGGGATTCGAACCCACGACCTTTAGATCCGGAGTCTAATGCGATATCCACTCCGCTATGCGATCGAACTATTTTTCAATGAATTTCTCCCATCAATCGTAGAAAGCGAACGAATACCCGATGGAAGCAAAGAAGACGAGGGAGATCTCCTTACGACCGAGGCTCGGAGTCGCGAGGCGATGAAGAAACCACCGATCTGGCAACATTCGATGCAGATCTCTCCCGATCTCACCGTCTTCGACAAGCTGGTAGTCGTCCGGCTCTCGTCTTCTTCCTCTCCTCCTTCACCGCCCTCCCCGACCCTCTGCATCGTCTGCGGCAGAGCGAAATAAAAGAGGGCGGGGCAGAGAGACTTGCAGGCGCGTAGACTACGAGGCATAAAACGATTACCCCACCTCGGCCTTTCACGCGGATCCAATTGATTGGGCCATGTGGAACCGCTAGACCGCGATAAAAAGTTTGAATATCGGTTAATGGGCCGGATTGAGGAATATATGGGCAAGCCCATTTAGATGCTGGAGGGCTTTCATACGGCCACTAGAAGGGAACGTTGGGCTCTGCCATCGCCGGCGATGGTTTTGAGGAAGCGTTCGCGTGGAGCAAGTTCGGAGGAGCATTCCCGCCGGAAGGCCTCCGGCTATAACGGGAGAAGGCTTGGCCCGTCGGTAGCCGGATTTCCCTCCTCCTCAGCTTCTCTCCTCTCTCTTCATCGCCGTCGCGTTTTCTCGCTCTCGGAGATGGGGAACAGTTCCTCCGGGGTTTCCCGGACGTCGGAGGTGGATAAGCTTGGCCGAGCGGAGGATGCAGCGGTCGCCGGGGTTTCTCCCAGCATTTCGAGTGCTTCCTGCGTCTCCTCGATGGAGAAAACGGTAGTTTCCGTCTCCATTCCCTTTCATTTGTCGCTTGATGTTTGTTCCGACACTATCGGCAGCGTGGTTGATTTTGCTCCTCTTTTGCAATCCACAGGTCTTGCTTCATGACTGGTGGCTGATCAAAGTGAGGGATGAAGGTGATCGGGAAAGACTGGCAGTCGGAGGGCTGACGGCATTTGGGTGAGGACCCCCGATCTTCTTTCTCGTAGAAGGCTACCCTTGGGTGGAAACCTCTGGTGCGATAACTGAGGAATGGCTAGCCCAACTACATTTTTCGTTAAATCACATACTCATTTCTCACGACACCTGGTTGACAGCCGACACATTTTCTGTCATCTATACCGTCATTCTCGCAGAAGGGTTTCGTCCCAGAAAACGCACCTTCTACCGGCTCTCTATTTAGTTCATACTTTTCATTCTTAGAAGAACTTTCGGCTTCAATGAAAATCTCTGAAAAATCCTGTTATGGTTGTTAGCCACCAGTAGTCTACACGTAGATATTGAAAGTCAGTTCATGTACATAATTTTTTTCCTGAGAGATAGCTTTCGAGATGCTTTCGTTGGCGGTTCTTTCATTTCAAAAACTTATATATTCTCGTGTATATGAATTTTAAAATAATCTAGTGGAAAAAATCTTTCTGCAATAATTGGTGTTCAGCAATGTGCCGTACAGCATAGGCAAGATCATTTTGTCATCACATCCGTGTGGCATTTTTCTGATCCCAGGTAGTTCTTCTGAGGTGCATTCATCAGTTTATTGGGAAATGCATTCTCTTTCCCAGGTTTAAGCTTTTGGATCAAGTTGATCCAATGTACGAGAGTGAAATTGATACCCTGGTTACCACTTGTCTTTGAGAAAATCGCAACTTCGGTTGTCCTGGTAATATTGATTCAACTGGGGGTCAATCCATGAAATACGCATACAGACTTGTAAAGAACCTGCCATGATGTTAGCTTGAAGCAGTAATGAGTTAAAGTTCATATCTTTTGATTTTGTTCTCAACATAAATTACATGTAGCTCTTACAACTTCCTTGGAATGATGAACTGCATGCGACTCTTTCTGTTGTTTGAAGTTCTCATTCTCGTTTCTCTCCATGTGAATATTTTTTTCTAATTTCCAAACGCCTGTTTTCTTTTCTATAGAAAAGCTGCAAGAATATTTAACTCTGCACCTGTTGCGAAGAGATATGATGCCTACACTCTTGAGACAACGGATGGAATCACAGTGAGGATTCAAGGCCTCATCAACGTAGCCCGCATGAACCATAATGGGTTCCCTTCAGAGGTATCTAAATGCAGTTCCTGTTTTCCTTCCCTGAATTCTGTTTTTTGTCCAAGGGTGGATAATTTTTTGTGATATTTCCTCTCGGAAATATGCATAAGAACTGTTTTGATACTTCACAGTAGGTTTACTATTGTAAGGAAATGTAAAGCTCACTGCATAGGGAAATTAACGGCTTCGTTTACATGGGAAATTCTGGTTGTAATTATTTTTGTGACCATTGAATGGATTATATGTTGATCTATTAGAAACGATAAGACACTTTATCCCATTGTTTCAATGTTTTCATGTGTTTGAACATGTTTTCTTCCTTTATCCAATGAGATCCCTTTTTATTTATTTTTATTTGTATTATAAAAATTAATATTTATCCAGTGCTGATAAATGCAGGCTTGCAATCATTTTCGGATTGGATTTCCCTATAATTGGAAGGATTACGCTGATAAATATTTCGGGGTGAATGCCAAAGGTAGTGATTCAACCAAAGCCGCTGTTAATGAGGATTGTTCCAGGGATTCGGCTAATAGTGTAAGCTGCGATATTCCAAATTCCTTGACACAATATCCGACTAGAAAAATCATAGATTGCTTGAATGCCATTTGCAAGGACATCATTGCCAGTGAACAAGGAAGGAAAGATGCCGAAAGATACATGGAAGCGAATGACTGTACCAGTAAAAACGCAAATGGGGCCGTTCCACCAAACGATGGTAATATACAGGGAAAGGCTACACACGATGCTAAATATAATGTATGCAACAATACACCCCCTCATAATGATGCTCCTCAGCTGAGATCTCCTGTAGAGAGCTCGAAACAATCTATTTGCAATGGCTCAATGAAGTCCATTCTGGGATTCTCCGCTTCCTTGGCGAAAGTTGGTGTTCATGGTGCTGAAGAAAAAGCACACAATGCCCCACGTCATGTAAGTGATGCTCCAGTGGTGACTTCTCCTATGGGTAGATCAAAACAATCTGATTGTTCTACGTCAAAGAGGTCTGGTTTTAATGCCTGCTCTTCCACAGACACATTCACCTCGCTTCAGAACAATACCAAGGGAAATATGGGTTGCAGAAGCACAATTCCTGCAGCTGACCCTAGGTTCACATTTTTTTCAAATGCTACACTTCCGGTGACTGATTGTCCAGATGTGAATTCTCCTGTGGACTGGTCAAAGCCATCAAGTAGTTCTTTCTCAATGAAGTCTAATTTGCACTGTGCTACTTCATCAGTCAAAGATATGGGACCTAAGAAAGAATCCATTTCAACTGTCGTTCTAGGTCTAGCTATTGGCAAGCAGAGAATTAAACCTTATTCAGTGTCTAATGGTGCGCTGAAAGATGCCAAGGGAAACATGGGCTCAAGAAACGCAATATCTTCTCCAGACACTGGGACCAAATGCCTTCTTAATCGATCACTTCCTCTGAGCGGTGGAGAATCCAAGAGGGAGGTACCAGGTGAAGTTCAGCTTAAGAAAGGGACACATCTAGGGGTTTATTCTCCACAGGGTACATCAATTCCGGAGTCTAATGCAGAAGCCGAACAAGCTCCCGGGATCCAGTTACAGAAGGAATTGGTGAAGTTTCCTCGTTATGATGAGACACAGATTTCAACAAGAACTGAGAATCCGTTAAAGAAGAGCAGCACGGAATCATCTTCCTTACCAGTGGCCCAAAGTTGTGTGAGTATGAATCGTCACCATGTTGAGTCAGGAGGCAGTCACGGTCAGGATGGAGCAAGTGTGGGTTTCGCAGGGACATTGTCCAAGGAAGCAGATGAACCAGCTGAGAGATCCAATGAGGCCTCCAAGAATATGCTTGGGAATGAGCGGTATTGTTTAGCTGGGAAAATGTGTTTAGTTACGCCCATGACGACAGTAACAAGAAAGAGCCCCAGGAAACAACTCTCATTTGTTGATAAGGTAGTGTTTGAAAAAGCCTTTCTTAGCTTTGATGCAGAAAGGAGAGAAACCCCATCTCTGTCTAAGAGTGACACTGGACGGGCTTCTTCAGCATCTGAACCGGAGGCACATCAGAGCCAGGAAGATGTGGATCTCAACCTTGTTTTCCCTAGCCGAATAAGCTTTGGTTTTGAAGGATTCTCACCAGAGCCTTCAAACAATGAGGCAGCTGACCTGCCGCCTAAAAGTTCAGGTGAGGTGAAGGGAAGTGATAACCTGGGGACAGACGAAGCTGTGGCGGGAGACAACGGTCCTCCATTAATGGCAGATAGAACTCGGAGTAATAAGAGCATTAGAGGGTCACCTTCTCTGGGAAGTGATGGAGCTGAAAGTCAATCGGGAGATCCTGATGTTGCTTCTGTCAGAGGGAATAAAGTGACGCGTTCTTCTACTAGGCGTAGATTATGCATGATTCCTGAGGATATTAGTATGCCTTCCTTAGAAAACGGTGTAAAAACTCTTCAGGAGAGTTCACCTAGGACAAGGCGAAGGAATGCAAGGAATGACAGGAAAGAGAAAGCGTCAGTCAGCAGCTTAGCAAAGAATGACGTGTTTTCATTTACTGAGAATGACGATTTTGATTTCTCAGAAAATGACGCCAGCTATTCAAATCATTTAACCAAATGTGGAAGCAAAGCAGCTGCACCGGAGCAAAGCGCGTCAGGAACTCGTGGCAGTCATGTTTCTGGGCTTGTGAGAGATGCTCATCGGTCAGATGCCCCTGTAGATTTACAACCAAGCAAGAAGAAACCTTCGCTCAGGACACCAAAATCTGTGGAAAAAGCGCATTCCGCCTCAAAAGTAAGTGCTGGCTGACTCTTTGATCTTTTTGTCATATCCGAGGACTACAGTTCTTGCCTATTTTGGTGATGTTCGTTCCTAGATACTGGACCAGTAGGGGGAGGGTTACTGATGCAGTGGGCTGTTAGGGGCGATCCCTTCTAGCTTATTTCCATAAGTAGACTCTATGGGAAGATCTCCCCAGCCCATCAGTAGATCTTTTTATTTTTTTTCTTTTATCCTTCTGATTCCTTTTTTAGGAACTGTTTAGCCGTGCATTTTCCTAAACAGCTGTGATCTTGTATCTGTCCTTTTGGCATCTGGGACGGTGGTGACAAGGGTCAACTCATAATCTGCTCCCGGTGCTAGAACAACCAAAAAAAATATGGAAATCAATATTGTGTCCTGGAAATGTTTTTTTTAATGAATTTCCAAGTGGGGTTCAGAAATTAGCTCTTTTTTTATTTTATTTTATGATTTTGTAGACGATAAAATCTCCTCAGCTCAGGCAGAAAACCAGCAAGCTATCTTTCGCCTCCCCGGAACGGCTTAATCTGAAAAGATCTAAATCAGGTTCGCTCTTCTGTCTACCTCTTTTGACTTTACTGCCGATGTGTCGGTGGGCCCTACACATACAGAATAATTCACCTTATAAGAAGATTAGTACACGTGTCGATGAGCTGGGCCTGCTTTGACCTTGCTGCTTGTCTGTGTAGGGCGCATACTCGTCCCTAAACTGTCCAACTGGTTCCAACAGATCCTCTACGAGGTATGAACCCCTATAAATCTTGTGTGATGGACCCATTATCTTTATTATTCCCCATGAAAGGCTTATTATATATATATATGCATATTAATTAGACCTGATGTTATATAAATTCTTCAGTCGACAGAATTAATATTTTTAGGAAACGGGCCGGGGAAGCCCATAGCCCGGCATTCTATATACATATACATATATATATATATATATATATATATCCACTATCTTCATTATTCCCCATGAAAGGCTTATTATTTTACGTATATATGCATGTTAGTTAGACCTGCTGTTATATAAATTCTGCAGACAACGGAATTAATCTTTTTAGGAAACGGGCCGGGAAGCCCACAGCCTGACATTTTTATTACAACACCTTTAAAATATTTTAAAAAATAATGATAATTTTTTTAATGTACCCTCAGCATCTGTTTAGTACGAAAACGATCTTTAAACTGCCGGGTATTACTGTAAATAATTTAAAAATTTATAGGGTTATATTACCATCTTTTTAATGAATCTTGGCTCGCAGGATGGTTTGGTTGCTGGGATTTTAACTGGCGTGGATGCTAGCAACGCCGGCCACCCAGGTTTATTCCCGAAAAAACACCCATTTTGCTCAAAATTGTGGATATCTCCCCTTCTGAATCTTCATAGTCGTTGCCAGGGAGTCGGTCTGAGCCCCCCAGGAAGAGGAAGAAGTTTATCTGACTTGCTCGCTGCTCCACCCCGCCAGATGTCACTGGTCAACGCTTGTAAATTCTCTCTCTCTCTCTCTCCCTCTCTCTAGAGAAATTTGAAAGTTCAGGTGTATGTGTTATTAATATTCTCTAGGATCCGTATCTTTTAGAAATGATCCATCGTTTATTGCCCGGAGTGTAAACATTTCCAAGGATAGGGATCAAAATATTTCTTTTAATGGGCTGTTTGAGTGATAATTTTCAAACGTAGGGGCTATTTGATCTCTGGTCTCAATGAAGGAGTTGATTTGGCAACGGGCTTCTTTTTTTTTTTTTAACCTTGACCCACAAGTCTTCCAAAAATGTACCTCGCCTCGTTAATTAGACTCCGGGTGCAATTATCTCATTTTTGGAGGGTTCATCAATAATTTTATCACATTACCAGGGCTAAAGAGAAAATAACCTAAAGAATACAAATTGCTGCACGTTTTTATTATTATATTTTCCTTCAAAAAATTATAATTTCATATAAAAATGGCCGAGATAAGCTTACTAGGATCGTACGAGCTGATAAGAGTTTGTCCCCGGCCCAGGAAGTGATGGAGGATTGGGCCTGGGCCGTAGGCTTAACAGGCCTTTTGGTTTATCTCGTGTCAGCCCAATAAGCCTCCAACTTTCTCTCTCTTGGTTATATAATAAAGTGGGGGACAACGGCTGATCGGGGATGTGGGTGCATGAGAGTTAGGGAGGAAGGCGGGTGGCGGTTTTCGTTGCACGGTACCCGAGTGGTGGCGATCGTCAGCATCGCCTGCTTTTTTCTTCAGCGGATTCCGCAGGTATCTCTCCTCCTTCTCCACGTTCTTCCACTGTTTCTGCGCTTTTCTGTTTTGTTTTCTGTTGTGATCACCTCTCGTTCGCACGGGCTGGTTTTGGCGCTTTTGATCTCAGCTTTTTGTGAATATATAAAGGTCCAATCCCCTGGGAATGTTATCTTATTCCGGTCTGTCGAATCCTCGAACTGGAAGGATACTTTATTCATTCGATTAGGTCTATCCCGGGTGTTTTTCTCCGCCCCGTATCGATGTTCGTTCCTTTGAAACTCTTGGTTCTAACGGAATGCCCTGTGTTTTCCTTTGTCCCATCGATCGGTGATCTCTGACATATTTCTTTTTCATTGTGGGAGTGCGCTCAATTCGTCTGTGAAGCAGATATCAGAGGCAATGTCGAAAGAAGTTTCCAACGGTGTTCACCATCCAGCGACGAAAAGGCCTCCGATGCCGTCTCCCCTGCGGAACTCCAAATTCTTCCAGGCAAGTCGAACGTGTGCGCTTCTTTATATTGAAATATGGTTTTTTGGCTATTTCGTATTGTTATGACATGATTTTTCCAAAGGAGAAATATTTCGCGACTTGAAAAGAAATAATGCATCGTCGAACGTAGCCATGGTTGGTTTTTTTGAATTATGAGTTTTAAGTTGATAGTCTCGCCTAACAAAAAGTAAGCCCTACGCATGCAGTGGCTGACCGGTCGCGTCATACAGTTTTTTAGGTTCTAGACAAAGTAGTTTTCTTTTGGTTGGTGTCTTGTTGAGAAACCTTTTCCGAATGTTGGGTGGCCCCGAAAATCATCCGGTTAGTTAGTGACGCCAGGAGGGATGATCTTTCCATCGTCACTTAAATGGAAGCTGTTAAGTAGCTCTGGCTGCACTGTGTCATCTAAGATGCTCCACGCATCAATAATAGTCCTCTTTTGTGTCTGCATTTGATTGAAAGATTCTCTCTCAAAAGCATCCTGTGTTTGATATCGTATGCTTTGTTATAGGAAGACTTTTTTGGGAAGTATTTTTTGGCATAACACTTTTTTGTTATATTTTGAAATCTCTGCTAGCAATGAGTGGTATAACTCTAATGATGTGTTGAACGCACGGCAATGTTTGAGCAGCTGTTTTCTCAATATTTGACAGGCCAACCTGAGAATCTTGGTCACTGGTGGAGCTGGGTTCATTGGATCTCACCTGGTGGACAAGTTGATGGAAAATGAAAAAAATGAGGTTCTCATGTCTTGCTTCAACCGAACTTACGTTTGAATTACGGAAGACATTTTATGAGTATTTGGAGCTCTTCAAAATATAATCATGGAATAATCAATTAATCCACTTCTTCCTCTGTTCGAGATTAAAAAAAAAATGAAGAAGAAGAAACTGAATACTGATGCCATGTGCCTCCGGTGATGTCAGCATTTGACGTATCTCTATGGTTTTTTTTATGTGCAGGTGATTGTTGCTGACAACTATTTTACTGGTTCGAAGGACAACCTGAGGAAATGGATCGGTCATCCGAGATTTGAGCTTATTCGGCATGGTACTACATGATATCCTCTATCTTCTTTTGGAATATGGTGTACCCCTTTCTTCCATCAGTTGTGTACCGTTTTGATCCAGTTTAGCGATTTCAACACATGGGCATTAGTTCTTTGTCAGATATTCCACATATCAGTCATATGCATGAGCTTTAGAACTCCATCTGAAGTAAATCGGCACCTCATTAGTGACAATTCTCCCCTTATGCCCGTATGATAAATGGATGCTTCAGTACACTGTTAGTTAACAAAAGTTTAGAATGGATTTTCACACTCAAATATTTCACGTCATTGTTGCAGATGTCACACAGCCATTGCTTTTGGAGGTCGATCAGATTTATCATCTGGCTTGTCCTGCCTCTCCAATTTTCTACAAGCACAATCCTGTTAAGGTTCATATCTCATCTGCAATCCTTGCATTGCTGACATGAATTTTGTTATTGAAGTTTTAAGTTTATCCTAGTTCCTTTGTCCCCTCGCTCATACTTTCACATAATGTTCTCTTATTTTTGGGATTGTCTGTCTCTTAGAGAGTATAACCATTGCCTTATTAAGCACGCTTGCAATTGACTCAGTGTTCAGAGCCTCATTCATGCTGTAATCTAATTTCATTCACTTGGTACAGAGCCATGATGTTCAAAATAAGCCAACAGTATGATGATAAGGTCACTACTACTAGAATAATATTTCCATTAAAGAAAGCTTAGATTACCCCACTGATGGTGTTCTTTTTTTTCCCATTGGATCTTTGAACTTTGGTCCAACAAAATCATGGGGATTACATATCTTCCTTGCTCAATATGTTTACTCTGTGAAATCTATCTATCTCTAGTTCTCCTTGAGACAATCTTAACATCAACTGCACAAATCTTGACTTCCCCAATCAGTCTTTTTCCAGTTCATTCATTTTTATCATGTATTCCATATATCCAGTTATGTACTGCTGTATTGTGCAGACAATCAAGACTAACGTAATAGGAACATTGAACATGCTGGGTCTTGCAAAGAGGGTTGGTGCAAGGTAAAGTTGTTGTCTATAACATGGTATAATTTTCTTTTCTTTTCTCATGTGAAGTGATCCCTAATCCCAGTATTGTTTGGCATGCAGAATTTTGCTGACGTCAACATCAGAGGTTTATGGTGATCCGCTTGAGCATCCTCAGAGAGAAGAATATTGGGGCAATGTCAATCCTATTGGTGCTTGACCTTTCGATTGCTAATATTTCTTGGTGCATTCTTTGGCTCATGATCGGATCTCAATCTCCATTTTTTCGATAATCAGATCCCTGTGCATGCTGTAGTCAGTATGTTTTCCTTTGTTGCTTTTGAAAGATACAAACAGAATGGGTTATTTTACCTAATCTCAAGTGATTATGAATAAGTTTACTTGTGACTTATCATTTTTATATAACATCTTCGGTTATTAAGCATGAATTCATTGTCGACAGAACATCCTCGGCTTATGGCAAAAGACCATCAGTGGTTAGAGTTGGAGAATCACAATTATCTTAAACCCAAAATTTCTACTGATTTTTTGAGAAGACGATAAATTCTATTCACCAGTAAAGCTTTTCCCCACTGATTCTTTCCTAGACTCCAGTCTGAATTGTTGCATCCCATCCTAGGATATCAAACGATCTGATCCCACCAAGCAATGGCTTGACAGCAGCATTCGACTCAGATATTCAAATACGGCTGGATGCCTTTCCTTTTGGTTATGTTGTGCCTCTCTTTTGACTCTTCGCAGTTTTTTTTTTTTTTTCCATTAACAACAGAAGGCAATGTAAGACCAAATATCATAATTTTTTTGCAAGATGATCCTAAACAGGATTTGCTGTCATCACATCCCTTACTTTAAGAACAATCCTGTATGAGCTGATCTCACGAACCTGCCCGAGTTGATTTTAGACAGAGGCTTTGTCTATTTAGATGCAATGCAGATGATTAGCCTTTTTCAGTAGCTCCGGTGGATTCAAAAGGACAAATTGTCACATGACTTCCGGTGTTATTCCACCAGTAATACAACATTAATCCCCAAAAGGAAAAGAAAAAGAAAAAGAAAAGAAAAGGTCCATTCCACAGGAAGTTCATCAGATAAATCACATGATCCTCATCCATTCAAATAAGGGGTTCATTAAGTAGAACGGCACTATAGTCCCATTGGGTATCAGAGGATCCAGATGGAGATAGAAAACTCGATTTTTCGTTTCTTGGTTTGTCAGAACGGTTGTAAATATATGCATTACCTTTTTCTTTTAAGTATTATTTTTAAGAAATTCCCTCAGTTATAATGTTTAGATAATTCCTGACCATTCTCCCATGCTTCCTCACTGAGAGAGAGACTCTTTCCATGTAAAATGCAGGAGTCCGGAGTTGCTATGATGAGGGGAAGCGTGTGGCGGAGACCCTAATGTTCGACTACCACAGACAACACGGAATAGGCATAGTCTTCCTGATTTATTTTTCTTTTAATTACCCTTTTCATTAGTAGAATTGGATATATACCAGGGTAGGCACAGTCTTCCTCGACATGCTCCTGGGCCCACATCATCGATGCATCATCTTCTTAGAAGTTGTCTCATCGGCCCTCTGCAGAAATTCGCATCGCCAGGATCTTCAACACGTATGGGCCACGCATGAACATCGATGATGGCCGTGTGGTCAGCAACTTCATAGCCCAAGCCCTCCGGTGGGCCCAACTAATCTTAGTACCGCCATATATCTCCCAAAATACGCACTTGCCCCCAAATTTCTCACCTTGACGGCCTGCTTGGGCTGGATTTTGCAGGGGCGAGCACCTGACCGTCCAAGCTCCGGGAACGCAGACCAGAAGCTTCTGCTACGTCTCTGACATGGTAGCCGCTCCGCTCTTCCTACCATCTGTCTCAAGGATTGCTCTGTTCTGGCTATGGAAGTGGCTGCTGATGCGCATATTTAGTTATTTATTTATTTATTTATTTATTTATCCTTTTTTGGTGTTGCAGGTGGATGGCCTCATTCGACTGATGGAAGGGGACAGCACGGGTCCTGTCAACCTCGGGAACCCCGGTGTGTTTCCTTATTTTCACATTTTAGCATAGATATAGAGCTCCTGGGTTAGATTTATTTTATTCCTGAAAAAGAATGTGTTTTTTATATTTGCATTGCCCTTGGATTGGCTGCTATTTCCTCTGCCCTTTTCTTTTTGCCTTTTTTTGACCCATATTATCAAATGCTGATTCCAGTTTCTGATTTATTTATTTATTTATAAATAAATTAGGTGAATTCACGATCATGGAGCTTGCCGAAACTGTGAAGGAGGTGAGTCTTTACCATTGTTGGCTTCCCTTAAACATAATTCTCATCCTGTTCAAGCCACGTGTGTGTGTGTGTGTGTGTGTGTGTGTGTGTGTGTGTGTGTGTGAGAGAGAGAGAGAGAGAGAGAGAGAGAGAGAGAGAGAGAGGACTAGCCCATGGTAATCTAGGAGAGATGTGTGGCATGAAAAATGAGTTCCAAGCTGTTGACATCCATCTACATACATAAATATGGAGATTAAGTTCCTTCAACCGCATATATTTATATATATATATATGTATGTATTATGACGTTATCTGTCACTAGGGAAAGAACTATGGATGGTGAGGTAGAGTTTTGGGAGTTGATATCATCCTCTGTTGTTTCAGCTGATCAACCCGGCAGTCAAAGTGACGGTCGTGGAGAACACCCCGGACGATCCGCGGCAGAGGAAGCCGGACATCTCCCTGGCCAAGGAGCTCCTGGGGTGGGAGCCCAAGGTCAACCTCCGCAAGGGCCTCCCTCTCATGGAGGAAGACTTCAGGTCCCGCCTCGGCTTCCCCCGCCGCCCATGATGGCGTTGACCACCACCGTGAGCCGCCCTCCCCCCGCCGCACAGTTACTATTACTAATCTTGATCTAATGCTAACGTGTGGTAATAATGAATGCTATGGTGCTCCAAGCATGGTAGAGACTGTGAGTGACGATCTCCCTTCTCGCCCCACTCTTTGTGAATAATGTCTATTTGTGTTTGTTTATTTATTTATTTTAACAGATCTTTCACTAAAATCGATTGATATTTATAAGATAAAACCCTTTTCCTGATCTTTATTGCTTCATTTTTACTAACGAATTAGCTTAACAGTTTTGGGTCACTACCGATTCCCCCTACAAGAAACGTGTGGATTGTTTCTCTGTTGGTATTTGCTTTTATGTTTTCTCAATCAAGATTGTAGAGAGAGAGAGAGAGAGAGAGAGAGAGAGAGAGAGAGAGAGAGAGAGAGAGAGAGAGTCACATGGTAAGAAAAAGGGGCTTTGAGCTTACGGGCTAGGCCCAATTGAAATCCGGGCCTAGCCCGATAAGGACCATTCTGGGCTAGGTCTTTCTCTACTCTCTCGGACATAGGGTCAGAGAGAGAGAGAGAGAGAGAGAGAGAGAGAGAGAGAGTCACATGCTATCAGTCTTAGTCTTACTCAACCCTGGCGACTTTTTAGAGCTACGATATCACTTTGGTTATTATAAACAAAATGAACAAATTTTAAATATTTATAAACTGAATTCAATATAAAAATAAAATAAAATTTTCGTGAATTCAGATCATCTATAGAGATGATGGCCAATCTCAATATGAATATTTTTTAATTCTAAATAATTTATTGAAATGAAATGAAATAAAATAATTTTATTTACACTTCAAATCTTCAAATTTTTACGTGTTCTCACGTTAAGAATTGATAAATGACTCAAGACCTGCAAAATAGTCTAGAGAAAATTAAATAAATTAAATAATGAGAAATAAACCTAAATCTATAAAAAAAAACATGGGAGGAGAGAGAAAATACGACTGATGATATGGAAACCTCACGGGCAGTGAAACTAAAAAGGATTTAGGCTCATAATAAATTGGTCTTAACTACGTAAAATTTCATCAGATAAACTAAAATCATGAAAATAACTACTGAAAAAAAAACTAAAACCTAAAATCATCCTGTGGTGGAGGGACTCTAACGACAAATAAACGAGAAAGTGTTGGATCTAAATAAAACTCAACTAATCTATGAAACCAAATTTCTTTGGATGATCGTAACCAAGTTAAATTTCATTACAATCATAAGAAAAACAACGATAAATAAATAAAATAAATACATGAATTTCTCCGTTTATGTCACTTAGGAAAAGTTTCAGCATGGTAATAAAATAGAATGAAAAAATGATAAAAATATCGAATAAAATACTTAATGTCGACATCTGCCTATCACCCAAAGGACGAAATAAGGTAACACTAAAATGAAATCAAATGAAAACGAAAATATAATTTGCAAAAAACTATCTGTCGCTCTGTTCATTTCTCACCTGAAATAAGAGTACCAGAAATAAATGCAAAATCATCTAAAACGTGGTTAAAAAAAAAAAGAGAGAGAGATAAAAAGCCTCAATCTCATCTACATGTGACCCAGATGACGGATAAAGAAAGGAGGAGGATAGAATGCAATGAAAAGATAAATCAATTTTGTAAGTGACCAACGTTGCTTTGCTCTCAAGCTTGTCAATTCCTCTAATCTTTCCCTTTTTGCAATCTTGAAAGCTTCCTCTTTTTTCTCTCGAGCTTCCTTCAAATTTTCATATAATTAATATCTCAACAATTAACATGAAATCCAAAATTATCTCTGGTTTGTTTCACCTCCCAAAAATGGAGCATAGAAGATGATGAGATGGCATAACCTGTTGATGTGGCAAAAAAAAAGCTGACTTGGCCCATAAACTCTTACCATTATCAATGATGTGCTCTCATTTATTTTGATAATGTCTAAATTACTGAAAAGAGCTTCAAATTTCTTTAAAAATCGAAGACAAATTTATTTTACAATTTCAACTTTAGGAGTAATTTCATGTCAACTGTAAAATAATTCTCAAGATTATAAACCTTGGATGATCATGTTTGCACATGGATGAAAAAAATTAGAAATATATCATCTCACATAAATCATAAAATTTAGAAATTTAAATTTAAATTCATCACATCACTCTCAAATGAGTACTAATATTTTTAACTTAAAAAATCCACATTTTTTGCTATTTCAAGAGATAAATATTTTGATATTACCTATTATTATATAAACATAAAGTATTATAAAGCTACGATCACATTTGTCTCTCCACCTTCTATTATCAGTCACTTTGGTATGAATTGAACCAATCCTATGTCCTATAAAAAAAATCATCTTAATTATCTGTTTTTTCTATGTTTTGGTAGAAGGCCAAATCTAAATTCGTGATTTCAGTGGGATAAATAATAAAAATATATCAGCTTCCATATGACGTTTTCTGGTTCATTGTCAATTGAAGGAATGACCTTATACGCCACTTTTTTGCCATGGTGTGCACTAATAGTTATATATTTTAATGTGACTTTCAACTATTATTAATGCATTTATCAGTAGTATTTAGAGCCACCTCCTATCCTCGTCAGTCACACAAGATAAACTACCGATTCCTCATCTCTTTTTATACTTTACAAGGCCTTACAATGACAAAATGAGAAGACTAAACTTAACCTTAAATCTTACTAAATAAACCTGATTAAACCCTTGATTTACTCCGTGTTTTGTCGAATGATTACGAAAGATCACTTCTTGGTAGCATTTGGCATATAAAATAATATTTTACTTAAATATGATGCAAAAAAGAGCATTAAAAAAAGGGTTTTAACGCATCAGAAATCCATTCGCCAAGTTCAACGTCCTTAGATCGGCCGAATTCGGTAATGCTCAATGAGAATCAGATAAATTGATCCATGATAGTGTTTAGAAACCCTTCTCTTACCTAATCAAGAAAGCATCATCTTTCATGAATTTCTTGGATAATGCCCTCTACATCACGGCACCCCAATCAATAAATGGTTAATTAATTCGATAAAATATTCCCCTTCATCAATGCCAAATCCCTCTCTCCCTCCCTCATGTAGCAGAGGAGAAGAAAAATCCACACGGGTTCTTCTTCTTCCCCGGACACGAGGAATGGGCGTTTGGGGGCAGGAAAACAAGCGTCATGGAACCACAAAAGCCAACTGGAAAATGACCACTGCATATCAGACATCAAAGTTCGGTTTTATGAGCCCTTCGGCCCACCTTTTATCTTCATAATTTCAACTGAAATAAAATAATAACTGCAGAATATGATAGATAGATAGAGAGAGAGAAGCGTAGTGGACCTCTTAGAAGAAACCGCCTTCGGACCAAGTACCAGATCTCCCATTCTGAGAGTAGCCCTTGTTCTGAGAGAAGCTCTGGTGGTAGTTCCCGCCGCCGCCGTCGTCCTTCCCATCGTCCCAACCGGCCCAGCTATCCCCGCCGCCACTCTGGACCTCTTTGGCCGGCGCGTTGATCTTCTCCTTCCGGTCCCAGTCATCCCAGGAGCTGACGGAGTCATAGCGACTTGCAGAGGAGTTGACCCCGGGTGGGTCCCAGCCCCTGCTACCCTCCTGCCTGAACTCCTGGTAATAGCCGTTGCTGCCGCTCTGGCCCTGGTGGGACCCCCCGAATGACCCATCCTTGGTGTACTCCTCGACCTTCTGCGAGGCCAGCGCCATGACCCCCTTCATGATCCCCCATGTCTTCTGACCGATCTCAGTGGTCTTGGTAGTGACGACGCTTACCGTCTCGTTCACCTTCTGGTCGTAGCCACCCTCCCTCACCTGCAATAGCAATCAGCGCACAAAGATCAGGGGCTACGATTTTATTTAGTGCCTGGTTGAGGATCCATATCCATTCAGCTCTGACTTCCTACTAAGGAGACTAAAACGTAAGGAACTATTTATACACGTGTAAATGCATGGAGATGAATCCCACGAATGAATAAGGAAAAGGATATCCTGGGATGAGCCTGGGAGGCGGCAAACTATTATGTGAGTAGAAAGATGGGAAATTTATCAGGTTCAATTACAGCACACGAGGTAATAATCGACACAGTAGAGTGACTTCCTCAGGTCCGTTACTTCAAAAACGATTATCCTCGAGACATAGTATATAAAAAAGCACGACTAGAACCATTAAAAGGTTCACACATCATAAGAAATTTGATCTTCCCACCTTAGGACGGCTGCCAAGTATAATTCCCAGTGCAGTCACCAATGATATGGGAGTCAGAAATGACAGCATGATTGCTTATACTTCTTTTTCATGGATAAAATGTGATGGAATAGAAACGGGGCTACTACCCCCTCTTTCCAGGCTTTGGACAGAATTGGGTAGACGATCACGCATATAATATGGTACCCATTTTGGACACCATCTTCCCCATCAACGATACCAGGGAGCACGGATGAGTGGACATCTGTGGCCTGCTTCTCCTCAAATTTTCTACACTAAGACGTCAGAAAGTACCTTCGAAGTCAGCTCCTTTGTTCCCGCCTGAACCACGCTGGCAGCAGAAGCGGCCACCAGGGAAAGTCGGCCCAAACCCTGAGAAAGAGGACGACGAAATTGTCATGCGGACTTGGACAGGCCCATAGGACGGACATCATCTCTCACAGTGCTCTTGAAAAGTTGGTACCTGAGAGACAACGGAGACGGTGTCTCTGAGAACGTCGCCTTGTGGGTTATTCCGTTGGGACGACGGGGCAGGCGAGGAGCCGAACCCCACGTACTTGCCCCCTTGCGAGGGAGGAAGCCCCTCGGGCCTCGACTCGTTCTCGGCCATCTTCCTCGCGAAGAAGTCTCCCTTGTTGGCGGCAGAGGCCTCCAGCTGCGTCCGCGTGTACATGTCCCCCGAGGATCTGGAAGGATGCATTCCCGTGCTCGCCCTTTCGCCGTGCCCCCTCCTGAAGTCCCCCACGGATTGATTCCTTCTCATGTCGGCGGATCGGACATCCTCGCTCTCCCAGCTGTCCCACGCGCCGCCGCTCTGCCCGAGAGGAGGCTTCCTGGAGGCGGAACCCCCGGCGGCCGCGGGTAGGTTCTCCTTCACGATAGGCGGGTCCCGCCAAGGGCGGCCCTCGGCCACCGCCTGGATCCGGTCTCGGTAGGCCGCGGCGGCGTTGGTGTTGTACTTGGCCGGGATGTCCGTCTCCTTGGGGACGCCTCGCTCGGCGAGGAAGGCGTTCAGGCGCTCGTTGCCTCCGGCCTCCATCTTCTTCAACTGGATCTCCGACCACGAATCCATCGTCACGGAGCGGACGAAGCTGATGTGGACACCGAGGCCGCGGTGCTTCCCGGAGCACTCGAGGCACATGAAGACCCCGTAGGAGACGGACGCCCACTGCGGGTTCTTCTGGGAGCAGTCGACGCAGGTCTTGTTCCCCGGCCGGGATTGGAGCTCCCGGAGCCGCCGCGACGCCGATGCCGCCACCGCCATCCCGGCAACGCCGCAGATCCTCCCGACCTGGACCCCCTCCGACCACGCTCTCCGGCAATCAGGCACCGGCGACGGCGACGGGTCGGCGTCCCGCTCAGACCAGGAACCACCAGCGCCCCGCCATCTCAGATCGGAGAAGGGACGAGGGAAAGAGGAGGCGATTAGGGCTTCCCCGCTCGGGATCTACCCCCTCCCCCTTCCTCCCGCCCCTCCCCCCGTCGCCGCTGAAGAATGGACCGCTCGTTCTTCCACCAGAGCTCACCATCAGCCGACAGAAGGGCTAATAACCTTCGAGGGGAGAGAGAGAGAGAGAGAGAGAGTTTGCGGGATGAGCTGGCATCGAGATGGTGCGGGGGGGCCTAACCGACAGGGTCGGTGACGCGAGGGGGTCGTGTGGGGGCACGATCTTCCGTCGCCGTCGTGCGATTCTAAAGCCCGGAAATCGGGATTCCCCCAGGTGGTGTTTGGCTGCGATGCCGGAAAACAGGGTTAGAAAAGCCTTTTGCAAAATAACTATTAGTGCGTGAATATTTTAATTGATTACATGAACGGAATGTATGAGTAATTAAATAATTATAATTAATTTGTAAATTGCTTGGTAGGAAAAAGCTTGGAGAGAGAGAGAAAGAAACCCCTTGCTGAGTGAACGCGCCGCCGCCTATCTTCTCCCGCCGCCCGTCGAGGCTCCTCTCCTCCGTTCGTCCATCTTGCCCGAGCGGATCAGCACACTGCGCACTCCCGGCAGCTGAGACCGGAGAGAGAACACGGTGACCTGAGAGGTCGGAGGAAGGCGAATCAAGCGACGGAAAAGGTGATCCAGGCCCTCACGGTAGCCTTCAATGATATTGCACGGAATGCCTCCGTTCGTGTTGATGGCTTTCAGGGGTGGAGATTCTGAGTTTCTTTCGGCCGACAGGGAAATACGGCGAAGTTGAAGGACGCACGAGGAGTATGAGTTGAGTGGGAGAAGATAAGGCGATTGAGCTGGGATCTTTTGAAGAAAAAAGATTGCGAGTCTGTGTGTTTGCTCGCCAGAGAGGACATGGGAGAGCAGGATCCCCCATTCCTGACTGGGTTGATCAGCCGTCTCCGATCCGCAAGCAAGTGAGGAGCGAGTTGAGGCCATTTTTTCTGGTTTCGATTTACTTGAGTCGATGAATGAATAGATATGATTTTGAAATGGACCAAAATTACTAGTTCTAGTTCTTCATTTTTCCACCCCCAAAATGGTTGCGGACCTCGGTATCTGCGAAATGATAGGATTAAACGGAACCAAAATACTCTTTTCACCACAGACTTGCCCCAAGTTTCAGCCCGAGCAATAAAACCACCTCAACTATCGTATTCTATTTTTATCAAAATCATCTATCCTGTTATCAAGAATGCTAAGGATTAACGTTTACAATGTTATCTTAGTTGAGGCTGTTTATCTATGATAAATGAATGATTTCATTTTTCACATTTCTGATTTCTTTTTGGGTCACATTACCAGGTACTACACTGGCTACCCCAAGGATCTCGGTCCTTCAAGGGTTATCCATTTTACATCTGAACGCCAGTTTGTTCAGCTCCTCCATGAGGGCCGTCCGGTGGTCGTTGTATTTACCATCAAGTCAGTTTTGTCTATGGTTTGATTAGAGCATGATCATAACAATTAAATTAGTCTGTTCTTGACCTGCCAAGTATATCATAATTTTTTTTATTTACAATGATTTCGTCAACGACCATGTTGGTTCAGAGGTCCATACACGAAGCATCTCGATAGAGTGTTGGAAGAAGCTGCTGCTGAGTTCTACCCTCATGCAAAATTTGTGCGTGTATGTTCCAAAATCTAACTGGGTCTCTAGTAAATGTCTCATTTTATTTTATTTTATTATTACGTTTTTTGTGTTCTAAATCTTGCATGCTATTAGTTTCTTCATCGTAAAAATAATCATGTAATGTTATCCCTTTCTTTTTCTTTATTCATGTCTGGACTTTACCATAAATGATAGGTTCAACGGCCACTTTGAACGTTTCCGGGATTAGTTTTTCTTTGCGAGAACTAGTTGCCAAATGATCTTAGTTTCTTCATCGAATCATTCGTAATTACCTGGCAATCATGTAAAGCCTTATTGTGGATGACCGCTCTCATCACAAGATAGCCCGCTTCATATTATCCCTTCTTTTTTTTTTTTCCTGCATTCGTGTCAGGGGTTTATTAAGAATGATCGGACCACTTTGACTGTTTCAGGGATTAGTTTTTATTTTCGCGAACTAGTTGCCAAATGATGAAGATAAAGAATTGTTCTATTCGACTATGGCATTAGATAATCAACACAAAATCAGGAGCAGAAACCAATGCGAATACTTTAGCATCCTCAATGATGATAATGGTCGATTAGTGCAACCAGGCAATGTGGTTTGCTATAATGTATGCTTGCTGTTTGCAAACGAAGTTGTGTTCTCTATAGGCGACTGGTTCTTTAGTTTTTACTTATTTTGATTTTATTTTTTTATGTGAATGGTGTACAGTGCATTGATTATGGGTTGAATCTCTAGAAAGAGAAATCTGCACTACCCAAAATACAAAAAAATATGGACTGATCTTTGATTGGGAAAAGAATGAATCCGCAGGGTCCTAAATGAATTAGCTTACTAGAAAAAACCCTCGTTCTTTCGAAGATCTATCTCGTGTCTGGTACTGCATGGTTCCACTCTGCAAGAACTCCGAATCCTTCTCTTGAAGATCATTCTCTTTATGAAAAATTATCCGTTTGACCCGAAATCACCTGGCCTAATAGGGCTATCCCATACTTCAATTTCAGTGTGTTAACCTCACAATTACCTGAGAAGCAGACAGTGGATGACATGTCGGCAGAAACCACCCTGAGCTTTCATCCACCAGTCCAGATGCCTTTGAAAGGATCATCTCAGAATCCACGAGAAGAAAATTTGAAACTTTCTACATATCTTCAACGTAGTCTCTTCCTCAAAATGCTCACTAACCATGCCTCGTCTTAACCCAATTCTATGACCATTGGATCTTGAGTTCCTCTTTCAGGATCAGCCGAGTCTGCACTTACTCTATTTTGAATCTTAGCAGGCTGCATTCATTTTTTCTTTTTTCCTTTCTGGAAGCAAACCACTGGCAGATTAGTGTTGTATACTGTTAATAATTTAGTGCATTTTCTAATAGTGTCTATCCTTTGAAGGATTTTTTTCTTAATAGTATGCTTATTTTTGTTTCATAAAAATCCAACATTCGATATATTGCCTCGCACCTCTTGCTATATTGTACATGATCCATTTTTATATTTTATTTAAATTAAAATTATATATATTAAATCTCCCTTGGTTGGTCATTGGTTGCGGCTTTGGCCTTCACTATTATTCTTGAACACATCCTTGATGGACATGTCGACTCAATCCTGCCCATATGATCCAACCAGGTTGAATGCCCAAAATACCCTGGGTTCTGCATGACGAGGCAAAAGAAGGACTACCCATTTGTTGAAATATTTCACAGTCCCGAGCAAGTAAGTCTGACTGTACCGTTTTTATTTATTTTTTATTTATGTAGAAATTCTGTTTATCTTCTTGTTTCATCGCTGCTTGTTCCAAGATCGTCATTCCTTGTTAGAATAAGGATCCAGACCTATCATATATATATATATTCATTGCAGGAATTTATTTATTTATTTATTTATTTATCAGGTGAGATTTATTTGTATTGGAAAGTACTGAGAAATTTCTGCTGGTGGTGTAGGCCCCTACTCAAGGAAGGGTTGCTGATCCAAATATAACAAAGTACTCGGTGAAGGTGTTGCCTGTAAGATCAGATCTCCGCATCTCTTTTTCTGCTTTTTTTTCTCATTTTTTTTTATTCGAAATATCTGGGAGTCTATGATAATATTTCAGCCGAGGTTTCCTTCTTATCATGCTGTGAGATTCTTTCTCCCTTAAAAACTTTGAACAGTTGGTTGAAAAGGGTAATGAGGGTAAAAAGTAAATGGCCCAAGTGAAACCCGGACCTCCACCCAACCTAGTTTTCTTGGGTTTGGACTTCCAGACTCTCTCTCTCTTGTCTCTCTCTCCCCCCCCCTCCTCTCTCTCTCTCTCTCCCTCTCTCTCTCTATCTCTATCTCTCTAATAAACCCATCTCTCTCTCTCTCTCCCCCTCTTTCTCTCTCTCAACATATATAATAAACCGATCAATGTGCCTGGTCGCTGATCTCACCCCATCTCTGCTTCCTTTCAGTTTAACTACGACCTGAGCGCATATGGATTCCGCGAGTTCTTCAAGAGGCACGGGATGGACTCCCCCGGCTCCAATTGAGACTCTCATCAGACTCAGGCAGTTGACCGAGATGTGCCCCCCCCCCCCCCCCTCGCCCCCCCCCCCCGAATGGTGGGCCCCAGGCAGATAGATCATGCCGAATTCATGTGCAACCGATCCTGATTTAATGCATGGACGGTCCTGATTCAACCTGTTCCTCTCCTGCAGCAATCACCGCCATTGGTCGCCTGATTATTTACTGCATTATAAGGAATTTACGATAATTGTGCCAACAATAATGTTCTTTTTGCCGATCATCACTATAAATAAATAAAAATGAAATATCAATAATTGTATTTTTTTATGAGTCAATATGTACAGATCCGCCCCTCCCAAAAAAATAAATTAAAAAGAGTGCGGAAAAATTATAGAAAAAGTTATAGAAAAAATTAAATAAAAAATCAAGAAAAAACCCACCCGTCGTTTATTGTCTTGTTTATTCAAACTTAACCGTTGAATTTCTCGCGATGGCATTGGTCAATTTCTGAGCCCCGGATCGCCACAAAGGAATTCTGATCGTCGATGAGCGGGAGAATCCAACGGCTGAGGCTGATCCTTCCCGAGACGGAAAGTCCACGCCACTATAATAAAAACCTGATCACTCACCCCGTCCAAATCCAAAAGCATCCGAGTCGTCATCGTTAACTCTGGCCTCAGGAGGGCGGGGAGGGGAACTTCCGCGTGCCCGAGGAAGGAGGAAGGAGGAAGACGAGATCCATGGAGGGAGCGGGGAAGGTGAAAAAGGGCGCCGGCGGGAGGAAGGGCGGCGGCCCGAAGAAGAAGCCGGTCTCGAGGTCAGTGAAAGCGGGGCTGCAGTTCCCCGTGGGGAGGATCGGGAGATACCTCAAGAAAGGGCGCTACTCCAAGCGCGTCGGCACAGGGGCTCCCGTCTATCTCGCCGCGGTTCTCGAGTACTTGGCGGCCGAGGTGGTCTCTCCTTCTCCGATTGCTCGCTATTGAGTCGTTCAATCCTCGTAGATCTCTCCGCTTGGGGGCCCGATCTCCCCAAAAAAACACACGATCGGCGGCGATTTTCAGCGAATTTTGGACGGCGGGGAGGAGGTGGAGGAGCCTTAGCCTGATGCGTATGGCGGTCGCGTGTTTCAGGTTCTGGAGCTGGCTGGAAATGCGGCCAAGGACAACAAGAAGACTCGAATTATCCCGAGGCACGTCCTTCTGGCCGTGAGGAACGACGAAGAGCTGGGGAAGCTCCTCTCCGGCGTCACCATTCCCCACGGCGGCGTCCTCCCCAACATCAACCCGGTGCTGCTGCCGAAGAAGACCGAGAGGGCCACCAAGGAGCCCAAGTCTCCCAGCAAGGCCACCAAATCCCCCAAGAAGGCGTAGAACAACCCAAGGTTCGGTTCTTCCGTCTCCTCCTCCCCCCTGTTCTCTTCCGCAGCAGAGGGCTGGATATGTAGAAATGTGGATCAGAATCACAGACCCCTGATGGCGGTTTTCCTGTATTCATTCATAGGACCTTTCTTCCCGTTCTCTAGTGGATTGGAACACTTGACAAAAATGGAATTTATGATCTTGCCGTTCTTGATCTCTCCTCGTTCAGAACCCTATTTTCAAATCATCTGATCTTCCTCGCAGCGTTTTTTTCTAATTTTTAATTAAAATAAATTCAGGAGTTCTTCTCTGATCCTCGACGCTCTGGTTCACTCGCGAAGTCAACATGGATTCCTGTCTGTAAGCTTCATGACTCCTGTTCCTTCTTCAGATCGACTTCCTTCTCGTGACTCTTGTTCATCTTCTTGTTCCGGGAAGGAATTCTCTTTTCTTTTTTTGGACTCGTGGAACTTTCTCCCCCCTCGGATTGATGACTTGGCATCCTTGAAACCGTCCGATTCAACGGGAAAAGAGGCGTCAGATTGGGGATCCGACAGGCGAGGTCAACCCACGTGGGCGATGGGTCAGAGGGCCCGTTAACCCTCATCCTGAACGAGCAAGTCCGACAGAAATAAGTGAACACGCTGGAATTAGATACGTGGAAGGCTGAGTAAATATAAATCCTCGCATTTCCACAATTTTTTGAACTATAAACAAGATCAAAATTCCGCGAGAACAATTAGTCATATATTTATGCACATTATCGACTGATGATTTTCCTATGTTTTTCTATCTTCAGCCACAAAAAAATGAGATTCGATAAAAATGCGAATTATCGAAGATTATCAGGTCACTGAACCAAATAAAAAAAAATTAAAATGGGATTATTCACGGGGACGACGTGAATGGGTAGTTCTCAAGCACGGGTGATGATTAAATACTGATAATAATCGCCAATTAACTCAAAAAACCAGTCGGGGAATTCATGGAGTACGCATAGCGGCGAGGAAGAACCGCCCAGAAATCCCTCTTCTTCCGTCAACGGAGTTGGTGTGAGGATCATCTTCTGGGTGGCGGAGATTTGCAGCATGAGAGTTCGTCGGAGGGAGCGATCGGGAACTGGGAACAGAGATGCGATACACTCTTCACAAAGCTCGATTTAGATCGATAATGGCGTCTACGGAAGGAGAAAGGCATACGACCGTTCTGTACTCATCTGATAAGAACAACCGATCTGGATCGACTGCAATTGGGGCCGAATTTCTGTCAGCTCGCCGGGCCAGAGCTCAGAAAATTCCGGTGCAGCACCCTCCGACAATCTTCTCCGGGCAGATTCTCCTCACCGACGATCAAATACCTAAGTCCAGAACTCTTCGCACTCTCATCCTTGCCCCCTTTTTGGCCCTCCTTCCCGCCGGCGGCGGCGGGGGCGGCGGTGATTTCCTTCTCCCTCGCCGGAGCAGGGATACTCTCGAAGTAATTGCCGTAGACGTACTCGGGGGAGAAGCCGTTCTCGTCGTCGAAGAGCATGATGTGGCCGTGCCACTCCCACACGCGGTACTCCGATCCCGGTTCCTCGTGGTGGCCGATGCAGATGTTGTGGTCGCCGATGGAGACGGACTGGCCTGAGTTGGGGAGGAGGACCTCGGCGGCGCGGCCGGATCGGACGATCCGAATGATCTCCTTCTCCAAATTTGCCTCCTCCCGCGAGAGGAGGCTCCGCTCCTCCCCGCCAGCGATGGTCTCCGGTGAAAGGGGTTCTTTGGGGAAGAGGAAGTCGTCGAGGCCATCGGAGAGCAAGGAGTCGGCGGTGAGGGACGGCGAGCGAAGCTGGAGGCGGCCCATCAGGTCCTGGATGAGAAGGTCGTCGAAGGAGCCAGCGCCGGTGTAGTCGCCCTTGTTGAACGACGACATTTTCTCTCAGGGTTTTGATCGTCGGTCCTCCCAGAGAGCGAGAGAGAGAGAGGGAGAGAAAGAGACTACGGTGGGGGTTAGGGTTCTGCGTTGCCCGAGCCCTGAGGAAGAGGGAGGCCGCCGTCTAGATGGATATTTATACCCTTGGCCCGGCCCAGTAGCCAACCCCGTGGATGCGGTTCCATGGTGGGCCGAGCTTACGGGCCCGTTGACTATCAGGCCCAGCCCGCATGTCCTACGCTCCTATTTAGAAATAAAAAAACATATATATATATATATGTATATATTGCATAATCTTGCTTAGAGGAGTGAATTTAATCCATCAGAAGAAGCGGAGGAAAGATTCGGGGGATTTCCAAATTTCGAATAATAGTAGAAGAAATAACAGACGATTCGGATTTCAGAAAAGAAGTGGGGGTATAATGCGTATGAGAAAACCATTGAGGAGGTATATGTGGCTGGTTGTGAGGGGTATTTTTGCTTGTATTTCCCAATTCTCGTCACCATCTTTTCTTCTGGGATTTCCTGCCTCTGGAGTCCGGGAGCGGAGAGAGCCTACCGCCTCAGGCTCTCAACAATATAGCTTGCGTAGAGATTCCTTGGAGATTAAAAAAAAAAAAAAGAGGGAAAAATAAGAAAAGAACAAAATGCAGGGGGTTGATTGGTATTTTCACTGACACGTGGCTTTCTCACAATCCCAGTGGAAGCCACTGGAATCGAAATGGATAAATAAATAAATAAGGGGAATGAGGCTCTTCAAAAAGGAGAAAGCATTCATTGGGGTGGGAAGGGGGGGAATAATTAAAAAAAAAAAATCAGCAAAAATAGGACGTGAGAGGGGAGAGAGCGACCACTCACATCGAATACTCTATAGCCTCGTAGGCATCCTCTGATGGCAGGAAATCATTCACAGCCACTTCCTTGTTTTCGTTCTTCTTGTCTAAATAACGTCCACTAAGGAAAACATTACAACATAACCAAGGAATCGGATGGCCCCTGACTTATAAATATAGTAAAAAAAAATGTAATTAATTACCCAAGTCAACTTATTAGTCAAAGATAGCTTGCAGCAGTTATGAAAGGATACAGTCCTCGAAAAAGCGCCTGATCTCTGCAAGACGGTGAGGTGGAAGCTCCTTGATATCGGTGTAGTGGCGATACTCGGGATCATCGGCGCACACGGCAATGATCTTGTCGTCTTTCTCACCCTATGAATGAAGGAGCGCACGCCACCATGTTAGGCGATGAAATTCATATTTTTTTTCTTTTCCCGAATTGGCGTACCTGGTCAATCATAGGCATAAGCCCGATGGCCCTGGCCCGAAGGAAACAGCCCGGAAGCACCGGTTCCTGTCATTGGACGAGCCCAAACGTTAATGCCGGCGGCAACAGACGGAATATAGAAACCGACAAGCCTGACTAATAGATAATGGAGATAAACCCACAACGAATAGTTTGTCGGAAATACCTGCATCAGAATCAGAACGTCCATGGGATCACTGTCCTCACAGAGAGTGCGTGGAATGAATCCGTAGTTATGAGGGTACACAACTGAGGAGTAGAGTATCCGGTCCACCTGTGAAAAATGAGAAGATTAAATGATCGACAGGCGTTGGCATTGTTGACGGGGACACATATAAACAAACCCAATATAGGAAGACAAAGGACGGAAGTCAAATTACCTTTATTAGGCCGGTTTTTTTGTCAAGCTCGTATTTGACTTTACTGCCCTTGCCTATTTCCACCACCTGCATCAATACATTTGAAAAACATGGAAACCCAGCTTGCATATTGCATAATGACATGCTGAAGACGTAACTAAAGCATATCGACAGATCTGCGGTGATTTGGACGAAAGCACATTGATGCCTAAGATTCTCGTGGAAGGTCGCATGATGATGCTGGTTACCTTCGACTATGAAGAGAAAGAATAATATCTAAATAAATAAATTATTATAACCATTAAAACAAGATGAAATGAGTTCAACTTGTTATTATATGCTGATTTCACTGCAATGGACCGAAGTATATTGATATTTGATTTCAAAACAAAGAGTTAATCATCCTTACACAGTTGAAAATGATAGGTGCTTCAGGTCCTGCATCCACAGAAAATACAAATAAAAAACGTGAAAAATAAATTATAGTAACATTGCTTTTGAATAAGAACCTTCCATCTCTGAGCAACATTATTAAAAAAGGTGCAAGGACGTAAAAGACATAAGGAGAGGTGATGAAATGAGTTACCAATCTCGAGATCGTGCCAGGGATGAGCCGCAACAGTCCTCCTAGACATGGAGGCGATTATTCGTTCATTGAGAGGCAGGTGTAATGGGTGTGACTCAATAGTTTTATGCGTAGGCTCTAAAGACGCAGGCATGGCTGTAATGGAGATGACGAAGCCACATCAGCTTTCAATTTTACTGCGAAATCAGATGAAAATAGAATGTTTGAAATATAAAAGCAACAATAACAAAGGCAGGTTATTTAGTCATAATATCTTAATTAAGTTATTACAAGCTTATCAAACTGGAAACTTCAGAGAAACAACAGATGTAACTCCATTCTCAGGAATATTCAGTAATGGAAACGGGTATAACATGGAGAAAGAACAGAAGTAACACAAGAAGGAAATAATCCTGTTGATCGCATTGCCATTCACAATTCCCAGTTTCTGCCATCCGCACAATTTCATGTCTTATGGAATTAAATTATAATACAGAGGACACTCAACTTGGGCACTCATTTCCTTTGTTTAAGAATGAAGAGTGACCCGGTAAATTTAAAAGATCAAATAATCGTCAACATTTTTATTACAGAATAATATTGTTAGGAGCGAAACACAGAAAAAAATTCTTTAAAAAAGACCTGATATGGAAAAAATTGTGAACAACGTGAACGAGTTAGGAATCAAGACGAATATATCATGCCATTACTAACGAACAAAGGAGAGTGCTTCATTCAAGTTTGCACGCAGGCAAACTGAGCGTAGTTTGCATGTTCTGCGAATTCCGAATATTCTGCTACAGGATAAAACCGCACGAGACAAACGACAAGGGAGGGAATCGCTGGATCTTGGTTTTGCATTTTTTTCATAATTCTGGTACCCAGCTGAAGATGTGCCTTCCCATATCCCAATTTTTTTTTGATAGGCTTCTTGTTCGCTGGTCTTACTGGTAAAGTAGGTCATTCCATCATCAAATAGTTAAATGACTTAAGATTTGGGTCTAAATTATTGTCATCCGCAAGAAAATGAACCAACCTGGGGGGTCCATAGGGGTCAAAATAATAAGATGCTAGTTAGAGAGAGAAACTAGATCACGCATACCCCTCCATAAAAAGAGATAGGACTATATACAGCAACCTCTGCCCAGATAGTCTACAAAAAGCTAACATGAAATTAAGATGACGTGGCTCTGTAGCATAAGCGCCTAGACCTTACTCCTAATCCTTCCTTGTAAAAGCATCATTGCAAACTTCCTTTTCTTACGAGTGAGAATCAGTTTCGGTGGAGCGACATAAAAAAAGTTTAATTCAGAGCATAAGTTAATGACATGGAGAACAAAAACGTTTTGTATAATCTTCCTGTATTCCGATGCATTTGATTCGTCATATTACGGGCTAGTTACACTTTGAGTGAACGTGGACTTAAAATGTAAGCATATAACTTCTCATCTAATGGATAATAAACAGATGACACGTCAAAATCCATAGTACATTTCTTGAGCTTCAAGAATAGAGAGCTTCCGCAGAAAAGCGCACATGCTCACTTTATCTTATTCGATCTAATCGATAAAGAAACGTTGAATCCACCCAGTAAACTCCGACGCATAGCCAAAAGAAGACACAGAACGAAGGGAAGCGTGACTCGAATAACAGAAGAACGCTGAGAAGCGACTGCATTGACACTGTGGTAACGACATATTCAAACCTAAACCCAGTATTGAAGAAAAGCAACGGAAATCTAAAGCACAGAGCACGGCGGCACTTTTAGCAGTCATACGGTAAGGCGGCCTAGAATATGCCATCCGCGCCGATTAACCATACCGAGACATGTAGCATGGACGGGGATAAAAAGAAAGAAAATACAGCATGGAGAGCACGCTGGTTTGTTTTTAATCTCTAGAAACGCAACCACGATAACATGGAGAATCGATACGAGGTCCTCTCTGTTTGGACACACAACACCGTGCTGCACAAGGGGACGCCACGGCACACCTACGGCAAGGCCTCAGGCTAGCCGTATCGCCGGAGGTGATCATCTGTGCACTGAGCGTTTGCGCGTCCAAACGTGGAGGATCTGCCTTTCTAAGTATCAACAGAAGTTGTCACAAAACTCCAAACAGAATACCTGCAACATCCTCTCTAAAATGGCCGACCAAACTAACTTAAAAGCAGCGGGAGAAAACGAGATAAAAAACAACCGATATCCAAGGAAAGAACCACCTCGAACCGCGGGATCCTTCAGTGCAGAACGGGGGCAGGGATCTTCGAGAACCATACCACGCGAGGAACTCAGATCCCAGACCAGCAGGCACCGACGATGGGGAAGAATGAGACGATGACGAGGACGAGGACCACAGGAGGAGGCTGGAGAACGGAGTAGTCGTCTTCCCGCGTGCTCTGTCGGCGCCTCTTTTCCGCCATTTAAAGCGACGAACTCCCCTTCATTTTATTTTTCTTTCTTTTTTTTATTCGCGCTGCTGTGAACTGTAAGCGATTTCCGGGAAGTACTCCCAATATCCGAGGAACAAGGACCAGTTGGCGGGAATAACGGGTACATTTTTCAGATCAGCCCTAGAAAATTCCCCCATTGGCTGTCTGACCATGTCCGTGCTTAAACGTGGTGGTTGTCCGTGTTACAGCTCTGTTTAGGAACTGGACCAACAGTCGTCGCGGAGGGAACAAGTCAACCGAGTTATCATGTCTTGGCGCTATATGTTGACTGGTTAACGCGGTTCATTCACGACGACGGTCAATCTTGGCGCAGGTTGAACCGGCTAACGGCTCGTGAACGGACTCTCACCGGAATCTTCTATACAGCCATAGTTACCGATACGTCTTTCCATGTCGGCAGTGCAACAGCTACGACAATGGAGACAGCTGGCGGTTGGACGTCTGGGGTTCGGGGAAAATATTGTCTTGGTTGGTCCGTCAACGTCAACGATCCCCAACTCTTCCTCTACATTACTTGCTCGACGGTCAGCGCTTCCTCTGCTTATTTTTATTCCGTATATGTTTATTTTTTATAATGTTACATTTTCTGGCAAAAATGTGGGGCCCAACTGACTCGGCGGATTCCAGACACGTCGGAAAAAATCACATTTCTACCTTCCAACCATTCAACTGTAGACAACTAGGAACGGTGAAGACCACGAGGAATTCATCGTAAATATAACAACTTTATTGGTGTATTTCGGCATTCAATATGTTCATGGGGGCTTAAAAGTAAATGTACCCCCGGCATTATTTTTCGCTTGACGTGATGAATGTGACTACCTCGCTGAAGAATACTACGGCCTTGAACCGATTTCGATAGATTAATCGACAATAATCTTATTAAGATATAATCTCCGTTTAGTCTCAAACTTCCGGGCCGGGCCCAGTCCACCGCAAGGAAAAGCCCGAAATATAAGCTCCAAGTGGGCCCCCAAGTACGAAACCCACGTCCAGTAAAGAACAGAGAGGGAGAGAGAGAGAGAGAAAGAGAGAGACTCTGTGAGCTCGGAATCCATTTAAAGCCAGGGCCGGGGCGTAGTGGTGTTTCGGGCCAGATTTTGAAGCCCGAACCCAGGAACGGCCCGAAGGTTACTGACGATGGAGTCCCGGCGAGGTGGTGCACCGCGCTGCCTCGATTTCTCCAAGCGGCGTAGGATAGCGGCCCTCACTGATAGAAGGGTCGTGCCAGTTAGACAGGAAGGGGGACGGGCTGAGAAGAGAGAGACGATCACGTTTAGAGGAATAGAGAGGGAGGTTTCCTCTTCCTGTAAACCTCTTGAACTCTTCCACCAGCGTCTGCGTCCGCACAATCTCTCCCTCCCTCCCTCCGTTCCTTCTTTTCTCGTCTTGCCTTGCTGGTTGTCTCTGGCACTGTCTTCTCGATCGACGATTCCTGAGCCGCGATTATTCCCTTTGCCGCTTTCGTTGAGTCCATTTCGGGGGTTTTTCTGCTTGCAGTGGCGGATCTCGTCTAGGGGTGCTATTCTTAGATACTTTGTTCCGGTTCCTACGCCCTCTACATGGCTGCCCCTCCGGCCAAGGCCCGGACGGACTACGATTACCTCGTAAAGCTTCTTCTCATCGGCGATAGCGGTAAGTGATTCACTTCTGCCGGATGTTTTCTGCTTCAATCATTTTTATTTTTTTTTCCTCTCCCAGAAGATTTTCTCGGTCCGGGTTTGCGATGTGTTCTTGCTCATTTCTATGCCATATTTGGAAATTGGGTCGATGCCGAGATCTCGCGGATTATGCTCCGTTTTTCTAGCTTCACGCCAGATAGAATCAGAGAATGTCTGATGTAGTCCCTCATGGTAACTTCTCCGTGTTCTTGGATAATGGGGGCGGATTCTATCTGGCGTACTCCGTCTTATGATGTCGCCATTATCTGCTTTCCTTTCTGATAAAATGTCTGCTTAAATAGAAATTCGTTACCATACTATTTCCCCTGTATCATTCTATGGTCGGAGGTTCTAGGAGAATTAATTATTCTCTTGTGGATTGAAGGGGTAAATTCAAGGATTCCATCGATCAATTTAATGCCACTCCGTTTCAGATCAACTTTCACTCACCTTTCATATCTTGCTGTTAAAGGCCTTTGTATAGCTAAACCAAGATAGTTTAATGTTTTAGTTAGTTTCCAATCTAGGCATCTATGCACACCAATCTTGTTAAGGGAGTACGCTAGATGGATTATGTCATTTTAATCTCTCGAGTTTTTTTCTGGATTATCTTTCAATGTGTGGAAAATATTTCATTTCTTATATTTTCTTGTGACCCTAGTATTTTTATGCATTGATAACTTGTAGTATTTCATTGCAGACATTCATTTTTGTTACACCTTGCTTACACCAAATGTCTTTCCTCTCTGGAATAAAAAAGTTGTCCAACCCATCAACTGTTCACTCGGTGCTTCCATTGACTTGATGTGATATTCGTTCGTTTTTTTTTCATGAGACTAGTTTGATCACTGAAATTAGTTCGAGTTGAAAATTTCACCTTCATCGTGTTAGTGCCCATCTTGAAGAAGAAACAAGCAACTGGTTCTTTGCTCTACAGGACGTGGATGCTTTTCATATTTTTCGTTTGAAGTTTTTTGTTGTGAATTGAATAAACGGTAGTTGCTTGCCAATAATGTATACGCCAAAACTTTCAAGTATGTCTAGATGCATATCATTGTCTACAAATTTCTCATCCCAACCCCATCATAAGCGAACGGCTACTCCACAATCATACAAATATGAAAAATATATATGAAAATTTAGAGTACTTAAAAGACATGAGGACCACCGTGGGTGGAAGAATCATGGATTATGCTTGAAATTGATGTGAAGAAAAAAAAAATCGCCTTATGATTCCGTCATAGAGGCTGGATGGTTTTTGTAATTCTTGCTGTAATCCATGATTGAGATGTGGTGTCATATGAGTTTTTATAAAAATTGAGGTAGGGTATGATACTGTGTCAGGTTCAAAATGGGTTCAGGTTTGGAAATGTTTCGCTGAGACCGGGAAATGGAATTCCCCTTCCAACCTGTGTACCTCTTGCTGTAAGTCACGTGACGAGAGGGCCTATGTACGGTAGTTGTCTTCCAAATTTTCAGAATTGGGCTTAGATTTCTGAAGATTATGAGGTTGAGCTCTGGTGTCATATGGATTTTTATGAAAATTGAGGTAGGGTATGATACTGTGTCAGATTCAAAATGGGTTTAGGTTTGGATTTGCTGTGAACCTCATCGCACATTGAAATATCACATATGTCACAGCCTTGCCTATGCTCGTGGAGGGAGCTGGGAGTGCTTGATTTTGGATAAGATGTGGTCCACCTGTTGTCAGCACTGCTGAAATGGAAAAATTCTAATGAAAGAAATGAAATTGACAAAGGAGGTAGAGGAGAAATGGGACGAGAATAATGTGTGAATGATAAGGAGAGAAAAACGTTCAGGTTTTGACTAATGCATTTGTACCAATCGAAGTATTAGTAGCCACAGCCATAGTCTGCAGCGATTTAAGGAGACAGAAATGACGGCAATAGCACCAGAATCGTTATAACGGATTGGTGGGCAGCTGCATCGATGTTGGGAACAAAGCTTTCTCAAGCTCTCGTCTTCCTCTTTTACTTTTGTCCTTTTTTTTTCTTCTCCTTTATCTCGCAGTTTTGATTAATTTATCCATAAATCCTACTGAATGTGGGACATTCTACGCCAACAATTCATAACTTTTCTTCTCTGTTTTCTATTTCATTTTATGTTAATATGGGAATCAGAGCTAATTAGACGTAGTAAATTTCAATTTATTTGTTCATTTTGATAGTTACCATGCACCATGTCGCCTAGGTTTCCTGGGCATGTTCTCTGCATTTTCCTTTCTTTTACTTTGCTTTTTTATCTTAGTTTGAACAGTTGGATATTTGTTCTATATCTTCCGTACAGGTGGCTGCTTTCTCATTTATTTGATTATTTTCTGTTGCAATGTGTTCATCCAGCACATTTACTGCGAACTGTTTAAAAAATTCTAAAGGTGACGTATTGCCACAGGGTTGAATAAACTATTTTGGATTTGAAAGAGAGAATGGCGTTTTATTTTTCGTTAATATGCATATAGGTTCCTGCTCTCTCCCATCCTATTTTGAATGCCTCAGATTTATTTTCTGGTTATTGTGTTCTTGATTTCTTTATCATTATATGGTTGCTGATTAGTGACTAGGCAAATATAGATAAATTTATTTTCTCACTATGTTTGAAGACATCGAGCAACTATTGTTTCCATTTTTTTCAGAGCTCTAACAGCCAGTTCTTTGTTTCAGGCGTGGGTAAAAGTTGCCTTCTTTTGCGTTTCTCCGATGGATCCTTCACCACCAGTTTCATCACCACAATCGGGTGTGTTTTCATGCATAAGTATTTTGTTATAGGTTTTCACTTAATGTCTTGGCATTAACTTGCTTAACTTGTCCACCGTTTATACTAAATTTTAATGTCACCCACGTTTTTTTGCAGCATCGATTTCAAGATAAGAACCATCGAGTTGGATGGGAAGAGGATCAAACTGCAGATTTGGGACACAGCTGGTCAGGAACGATTTAGAACAATCACAACAGGTTGTTTCACTTAATCTTTTTTCCTTGTCCCTTCTTCTATCTACTCTTTTCCATCTTTTCTCCATTACTCGTCACTGATTAATGCTGAAATTTAGTAGGATCTCGAGTCCGGGTACTTCAAACGACACTAGTCTTATGATCATCCTTTCTATGAGCTATTCCTGGGGCATTGGTTCATAATCTGATGAGCCAGCTACCCAGTGTTTTGAATGATTGTTTGTCAGCCAACCGGCAGCCCTTTCCTTAGATTGTCCGGTCCATCCACCCAGTCCAATCCTACCTTGGCTTGAAAGGCATCTCATTCTTTTTGTTGATTCATCTCTTCTTCTTCTTCTTCTTCTTCTCCTCTGCAGCTTACTACCGCGGAGCGATGGGTATTCTTCTGGTCTACGACGTCACCGACGAGTCTTCCTTCAACAGTATCCACCTCCTCCCGTCTTCAGTCTCCTCTCTTGCTGTTTCCTCCAGCTGCCATCTTGCTGAAGAATCCTCCGGTTATCTGCAGACATCCGGAACTGGATCAGGAACATCGAGCAGCACGCCTCGGACAACGTCAACAAGATATTGGTCGGCAACAAAGCTGACATGGACGAGAGCAAGAGGGTACCCTCCAAATTTCTTTCCTTTTGAGGGAATTTCTGATTTTCCGGCCCATTATTTCTTTATTTCTTTTTTTTTAAACTCAAATCAAACCTCTCCAGGCCGTGCCGACCTCCAGGGGACAAGCACTTGCCGATGAGTATGGCATCAAGTTCTTCGAGACTGTGAGAACCGAGCCCACCACTCTTCTATCTGGCTCTTCGTTTCGCTCTTTCTCTCTCTCTCCCTCTAGATTCTAAGATTTAGCTTGACCTCTGCAGAGTGCAAAGACAAATCTCAACGTGGAGCAGGTCTTCTTCTCGATGGCAAGGGACGTAAAGCAGAGGCTCTCAGAAAACGACTCAAAGCCTGAGGTGGGTCAAAACCCACCCACTCACCCCCCCTCCCGTATGATTATTGTTGAATTATGAATTATCTAAGATCTATGTATTAATATATATTTTTAAATATTATGCTGCAGGATCGGACGATCAAGATTGGGAAGGCCGATCAGGCAGGCGTAGAGGGTGGTGGGGCCCTCCAGAAGTCCACCTGCTGCAGTTATTAAGCCAGCTAGTTGGTGGCCGTTGTTGCTTCCATTGCCACATTTATACTTGATTGCTTGGATTATCCCTTGCTATTTTTAGTCTGTGAACTTGTAATAACTTTGACTTTTTTTTCTTTTGGGGGGGGGGGTCGTTTGTTCCTAATCTGGCGGCTGTAGTTGGTGTAGCTCTCAAAAGTCTCAGCTGTAACTCGCATCATGTTTATGGAGTATATAAATATGGAATGTCTCTTCCCGTTTGCACCATGTTCAAGTTTCCATAACAGGGAATATTTCTTCTCCGCCATGAGCTAGGTGGCCGTTACTCTGGAGGCCCATTTCATATGCGGCCCGGGTTGGGTCCGGCCCGAGTAAGCAGTTGAGCTCCTCCCTGAATTGCCATAACCTGTGGGCAAATTTGGGTAGGTGCAGGCATGCTGGAATTCAAGTAAGGGCTATAAAATAATAATAATAATAAAAAGTACAATAATTTTTATTTAATTAATCTAAGCTTAGCAGAAGCCGATCTTGGCCCAACCTTTCCTGAATACGTGGCGCCTGTATATGTGCATGCATGCATGTATAGGTAGATATATGCAAATAAATAAATGAGAGGAAACCCGATAAGTATGTTATTGCTAATGAACGGGTTCTACTGTTAATAGCCGGACGGCGAACGGCTAGTCGAAGCCCATCCATTCAACGGCGGTTGGCAAGTCCAAAACGTTGGTTGGTAGTTAGGGTTGACCGACGAGATTATCCACTATATCTAAGACTTGGTCCAGTCCTAAATAGAAGACCCGAAAATGGGTGATTGGAGGGAACATACCGTGTGCGTGTATGTTCTTCTAATAAGAGAACGGGGGAGATAGAGAACGGGAGAGAGAGAGAGAGAGAGAGAGAGAGAGAGAGAGAGAGAGAGAGAGAGAGAGAGAGAGAGAGAGGGAGAGGTATAACCACAGGGTATTCCCCCTGATACTGTGGTACTCAGAAGAATTGTTATCAACGCATCTGCCAAGAAAAACCCAAGGCTTGCTTGGCAATGCTCTGCTGCTTATTTATCCTGTTGACCCCTCTAGTGGGCCATTTCTAAGGTAAATATGGTTACTTTAACATAACAATGAGACACAGACCGTTTTATGGTCAGCTTTATTTCCAGATTTTTTTTATCTGTTAAAAAATTGATACACCTTGCAAAAAATTTAAGTTGCCATTCTCACTTGAACTTGGCATGAAGTAAATCTCTGGGTGCCTCTATATAACAAAAGAGGAGGCAGGGAGCGAGGGAGAGAGAGAGAGAGAGAGAGAGAGAGAGAGAGAGAGAGAAACAAATAGATAAATAACGAGAGAGAGAGAGAGAGAGAGGAGTCTCTGACTAACTCTCAAGTAGGTGGTTGCAAGATAGTATGTGAGATGGTAACTGGGCTTAAAGATTCTAAGCGAAAGCCTATCGCTGTCGGGAATTGGGTGGAACAAGCTGCTTCCTCGGCCTGTTCTCACATGCCACCAATGTCAAGGTATCGTCTAAGCATCTATCTTTCTTGATCATGTCATGTCATTAGGTTCAACCAATCCAGCCATTTTCTCTGCGCGCCGCCCATGTACAGCGAACAGAGGAACATGCCGCTGCATGTAGAAAAAAGATCGGGACTTTCACTAAGCAAAGTGCTGCCATTGATGTCTGATCTTTACAGTAGAATGAACAGAGTTTTCAAGAAGAGAGAGAAGAAAAAAAAAGGGAGCACAGGTAGGCGGGAGGCTCCACGATGAAGTCGACGGAGGCAGTTGACCATGGCGAGCCCTAGACGAAGATTCACCGGGTGTAAATCCACCTACGGTGTTGAGGCCCAAGTCCAGGCGGGGTGGATGGGCAACTGCCGCCGTTGCTCGTAGAAAGATTGGGACGTCCAGTAAAAACAAGTGCTGTCATTAATGTATATCATTTACAGTAGAATAAAAGAATTTCTAAGAGCCGGGACAAGAGAAAAAGGGAGCACAGGAGGGCGGGAGCCTCCACGATGAAGTCAATAGAGGCAGTCGACCATGGCGAGCCCGAGACTAAGATTCACCGGGTGCAATTCCACCTCTTTCTCCGAGGGAAAGGTGTTGAGATCCAAGTCCAGGCATAGGGAGTCGGCGCACTTGTCGGCGCCGGGCTTCTTCTCCGCGTACCGCTGCGCGAAGGACTCCGCGGCGGCGCGGTGCCGCCTCATGTGCCCACCCAGCGCCTGCCCCATGGAGAACTCGAGGCCGCAGATGGGGCACCCGTGCACCCTCGGCTTGCCGGCCTGCGCGAGCCGCTCCCCCGGCAGCCGCGGCTTCTTGTGGCTGGCCCGGTGGCCGCCTAGCGCCTGGAAGGACGCAAACTGTCGGTTGCAGGTTTTGCACCCAAATAGCCGCCCGTTGTTCCGCGGCCTGTGGGCCTCCTCGCCGGTGGACAGCAGCATCAGAACGTTCGCCACTGCGGTGCCCTCCTCTCCTTCCTCTTCCGTTCTTGCCCTCTTCATCCGCTCCCCGTCAGCCCCCATCAATCGATCAAGCAAGAGAGAGAGAGAGAGAGAGATAAGTTCTGTCTTCTCTTTGGTTTCTCTTCGAGGGTTCGGCAGGGAGTGCGGAACTTATGAGAAACTCCGAATGGGACTACGGGAGATACGGGTTTCCTTTTATAGACTCCGCCGTCTGAAGTAAGAACAAAGTTGGACACGGCGACTCGGTTACTTGGACCCAAAGCCACCGACTCCACTTGCTAGCACACGCGATCGACTCGGTATCGCCAAGCCAGCTGTAAATCTAGAAACTCGAGAAAGTTCTGGTCTTTTTCGCTATCCACGTGCGCCGTGATTTGGGACAAAATCGGTCAACTCGAAACTCAAGGATATTTCCTCGACCCTTCTTTTCCGCGTCGGCGCGCGATCAACCGTTTCCGTTCCCACGATTCAGGGCTACGCGGTGCGAGCCGCCTGCGCTTGCACTCGCTGGCTTAGTGCTGAAGGTGCCTTGAAGAGTGTGGCGCCGGCGATTCCGCTCACTGCTACGTTCGAACTTTTCACATTGGAAAAGTCAAAGGCTCTCTCCTTCGACGCTTTCAACCGTCTACATCAGGCGGACTGAGTCTGGCTAACTGAAGGTTTCCTGCTTCCCTCCTTATGCTGGAAGTATTAGGTACAACGTCTCGCGAACTCTATATTACGATGACGGCAGTATGACGTGTATGAAAGGAACCCTCGAGGCGGTGACTATTTGTCGGGTTTCTGGAGATTTTAACCAACATAACAGCGTTGTCGGCTGGTTTCGGCTAACTTCGCACAGAAGACCTGAGTAAACGCGGTTGCTTGGCCTCGACTGGTGGGTTTGATGTTATTCATGGTTAATCCCTGGGCATGCATGAATTTAATAATATATAATACTGAAAACAGAGGGAAATTTAATATGTTATGATAGTTTATAACCAGGGGAGTAAACTGACTGGGTTCGATGCCAACCGCCCCGAGCTCGACCTGAACCAGATAGAGCCCAGAGAAAACTCTAGTGGATAGCCCTAAGGCCCAGGAAGATGAAGTTAGAGTGAGTGAGAGAGAGAGAGAGATCCGGGACGTCAACCGTGTGACTTGTTCGTGAGGGCATTTAATTGAAATCGTGTGGAGACTTGCTCCTCGAACGTTATGGAGGGATACTTGACTTGGATTAGGCCATCCTTATCAGACTAGATGACTCAACATCTTTGAAATCTCCATCTGCATGAGAACAACACAAGTCATCATTTTCTAGAAGAGGAAGAGGAAGAGGAAGAGGAAGATGATGAACAAAACTAGTCATCCTCCTCTATCCTCTTCTGCCTACGACCACCAACTCCACTTGCGCCAATCTCCGTTCCATACGATTAGACCTTGTGATCCCCCAAAATCAGATATTTCGGGCTGAATATCGGGCCCAACTTGGCACGATTATTTAAGCAGTTAGATTGGCCCGGGCTGGGTTTCGATAGGGAAGTTCAATTATCTTATCTCATGTTGGTTAATTTCATGCAATTTATATAACTGAGGTTATCAGAGTATATAATTCGTTAGTTATTTGCATGCGGGATCATTTTTTTTTCATGCACTGAGGAAATGATAAATACAGAAGATGCCTCAGTTTGATTGAATAGGGAGAACTTGTGTTGAAAGTCAACTGCTTACCTAGCGGGAGTGCGTAGAACGTCAGCGAAGCACCCAACTGGGTACATTTTTTTCCCGGTAATTTTTAGGATTATATCATTCTATGGAGAAAAAAATGGACAATAATATTAATAAGAAGGGTGTGGGTGAGACCAGGCAGATGTCGAATACGACCAGCAATGAGGTACAGTGGTTTCGGCCTTGGCGGCGATCCCAGCAGCTCGCCGGCGGACTACAGCGGAGGAAGCATCCGGAAGAGAATCTCGCCGCCAACTCATATGTCCCCGCAACCTTCTCCGTCTTCTTGTCGCCATCCTATCCTCTTCTCTCTCTCTCTCTCTCTCTCTCTCTCTCTCTCTCTCTCAATAAATAAATAAATAAATAAATATATATATATATATATTATGACGCAACTTCGGGTACGGCGGGTCGGATATCATTCTCTGGTGTATGCTAGAAGCCAATCCTGTGGACTGGCGTGGCCTTTTCTCGGAGATAGAACGGCGGGACGTCGTTTAAATGGATTATGAAAAGGACACAAATAAAATTATAGGAATTATGCGTACTCTTATGGTGTAACGTAATTAAGGGCATAAAAAATATATAGAAGTTATGATGTCTTATATGTCATATTCCTAATGGTCCAGATCGATGATCGCCATCTATCTTGTTAGCCACAGAAAACAAGAGCGGATGTAGACTATCAAGCCCATAGGCCGAGTTGGGCTCGAATAATTTTGGATCCAATGATTCATGAGTCCAGGCCCAATAATAAGATGGGCCGGAAAGTGGTGGCGGCATCTTTGGAAAGGTGCTTCATAGTAGGATTTACATTGACCCAACTGTCCCTCCCATTAAGGTCTGGGCCCAGTCAAGCGGTTGGGTCCACTGGACCATGTTAGTAGCTGGGTCCACACTGGGCCCAAATGAGTCCGGTCCACACCGCTGGGTGCGACTTGGTGCACCACATCCTCTTCCACTCGTCACCTTCGCTTTCTGGGATGCGGAAGGATTCAGAGCCCACAATTCTCGCTACTTAAAATGCTCTTTCGGTGAAGTTACCGTCGGACACCACCCTTGAATCGGCACAATTTTCTCCCAGACATTTTTAAACGTGAATGATACTTGTTAACCTATCTAACTCCATACGATTTATGCCTCCGATTTTTTTTCAAAGTATGGCAACTAATTTTTCTCTCCACATTTCCCCGTCTTAAAGTCAACTACCTTGTAGCCTCTCTCTCTCTCTCGCTCTCTCTCTCTCGCTCTCTCTCTCTCTCTCTCTCTCTCTCTCTCTCTATCTCTCTCTCTCTCTCTCTTATACACAATGTATTTATGTCCCCATAGAGGGCAGGATTAGTGCTTCGTAGTTCCCAAAATGGACCCTTTTTAGAGTCTTGCCCGGGTTCTACGGCTGGGCAGAGGTCAACGCTAGTAACACACCATGCCACGAAGGAATGAAACCTGACGATAGAACTTGAAGTCAATCCCTCCGAAACAGAATAAGTAGCCTTCCCAAACTGCAATAGAAAAAAATTAAAAAAAGGCTAATTAGCTTTGCGCCATATAAACATAAACCCTACTGAAAAAAGTCAATCCTCGTATTGACTTCTGTGAACTCTCAGCCTCCAATAACTTCTACTAACGTTCCTCTGATGGCTGATTAAGTGGAAGGCTGAATCCTAATCTCCGTGAAGGTTTGGGGTCTCATAAATAATGGGCAAACCTCAAAAACAACAAAACTAATTAAATGTAAATTAAATCGACTGAACAGTGGCCCCGCTAACAGATGGTGGCCTCCATTATGGAGCTACTCCGCTGCTATTCTTAGAGAGAGAGAGAGAGAGAGAGAGCTTTTAGAGTGCTTCATAACTCCTGACGAAGAGAGAGGAGAGTGACAGGGAGGAGAGAAGCAGCCATCCGTCAGCTATCACGGCAGGCCTTTCTGTCGTGATGGTTGGGAGACACGAGAGGATCAGAGATCCCGCCACGAAAGCAACCGCACTGGTGGAGAGGAGATTTTCTATGGAGGGTCAGGTCCACAACGGGCGTGTCTGACAGTAACCTGCGAGGCCAGACGAGAAGAATCAACCGGAAGCACTTCCTCCGAGTCTATGTATGAAACCCCCGGTCACATTCCCACCCGCCCTCTATAAATTCTGTAATACCATCAGAGTATGAGAGAGAGAGAGAGAGAGAGAGAGAGAGAGATGAAGGAGGAGACACGAAAGGGGCCGTGGACGGAGCAGGAGGACCGGCAACTGGTGAGCTCGGTGGGACTTCTGGGCGATCGACGATGGGATTTCGTAGCCAAAGTCTCAGGTTCGAGTGGTTGGCGGGGAAAATCAAATGTACACACATCTAATAACATCTATCCGTTCCGGATAGGCTCGCTCTAGGAGAAGATTCTGAAGGCGGCGGCTAATGGTTAAGAACCCTATTTCTTCTTTTTTCGCGGCAGGACTCAACAGAACGGGGAAGAGTTGCAGGCTTCGTTGGGTCAATTACCTCGATCCTTGCCTGAAGCGCGGCCGGATGACTCCCCAGGAAGAGTACCTCATCCTCGAGCTCCATTCCCGTTGGGGGAACAGGTTCTTGCTGATCTTCCCGTTACGATCAAACTGCGTGGTTTTGTTTCCGGTTCATGGTTCATACAGTTAACTTGGATGTGCGATGATCGATGGGAAATTTTCATTGATGAAACCAGAAGAATTCTTAGAAGACGTCGTTCGGAATGCTCGTATTTTCAATCAAAAAATCCAGTTGTCTATATATCTAATTCTTTTTCATGGCCATGAGTGCAGGTGGTCTCGCATTGCTCGGAGGCTGCCTGGCAGGACAGACAATGAGATCAAGAACTACTGGAGAACTCACATGAGGAAGAAGGCTCAACAAGGGAGGACTAAGGTAGCGTCTCCACCGCAGTCCTCGGCCTCCTCCTCGTCTTCCTCGTGGCAGCAAAGCGCACACCCGTTCGAGGCCCCCTCTGAGAACCCGGAACCGTGTGGTGCCGCTATGGTGGCCGCGGTTCGGGAGAAGAGAGACGATGGCAAGCTGGAGGGGTACCCCATGGAGCAGATCTGGGATGAGATGGTGCCGCCGGCGGAGATGACTGGGCTGTCCCGCTACGAAGAGTTCTGCGAGGACGAGGCCTGCAACATTTCCTGCTCTCCCATGTCCTCCCCGCTATGGGACTACTCAAGAGACACGTCGTTTGGGAAGATCGATGAAGAGTTTAAGATGTTCCTCCCGTTCTCCATTCCCGCCTGGAGCATGGAGGAGAATCCTGCTGACACCCAAACCCTACCCGTCCATCTTTCCCCGTCCAATGCTTCTTCATCGACTTGCGGCAGATGCAGCATCATCAGGTAGCTCTTTCCAGGGTAAATCTAGTTTATACCGGGGTCTTGATCGACGAGGATCTATTGTCTGTCCGACATGCACATTCAGGCTCTACACACAGTTAAAATAGAGTCGTAGTGGAAACTGGGTGGCTAGGGTTTGATTTCCTCTTGTCGGCTGTTCCCGGAAGTATCGGAATGTTGCCCTATTGTGAACTTCTCTACACTGATACCCTCCGCCTTTCCTCGTCTACCTTCCCTTCTTTGCTTTTGCTCAAAAAATGACTCTTTTTGGGTTTAAGAGGCATCGTCGGCTTCCCTAGAACAACTGTCCAAGGATGTCGTTCTTCAGACGCCATTTCTGGATGCACACCCTCAACTAGGGATTCTGTATATGAGAGAACCTTTCGGCAAACCAGTCGGGCCATTTGGGAAACAGAAGAAAGGAAGAAGAAGAGGCGATCGTGACGAGTGATCTGCTCACGGCGGGGATAGGCGGGCCCTTCTGGGTAATCTTTTCTCTCTGGTGGGCGTTCGGGCCCCCCTCGTCTAAGAAATTGATGCGCTTAGTGCTCCACACGGCTCGTTTCTACGCCGACCGCCGACGCGGCTACTGGCCGCATCAAATCATTGGCAGATTCGGGTGACGCCCCAGACCGCAATTCCATGCGAAGAACTGGAAGTTCTCCAAAAGTATGAAAAGCTGGAGGACTTTGTACCATCCAACCCCTCGCACCAGTAGGAATATAGATTATATTATTTTCCCTTTGATGATTCTGCGCTTCGAATCAAACACCCATGTAAGAAAAGCTACTTTCTTCCTTCCACCGGTTTACGCCGAAGGCTCCCTGACAGAGAAGTTCATGCTACCAAGTGGAATCCACACCAGAATCCTAGGGTTTCTTTTATCTTTATTTCCGACTATAGGGTTTATCCATGCATATGGTGATCGACTGGCCAACATCTTTATCTCTCATACAGTTGATCAAGAGTTTAAAGCTCAACAACTATACTTGTACAAAGCCTACTACAACCTTGGCATCTGTCGTCAATGTCACGCTGAGAAGATGACGAATTCCAGGTTATTCGCTTAATCCCCATGAATCAGTTGACTTGTATTGCTTACTCATGACTATAATTTCTGCAAAAAAGGTAAAATTCTGCAGTGAGGGATATATATCGACTCGTCTGGTAGATCATGTGCATGCACCTTGGAAGGGAGCATGTCTGAGTAGAATTGTACTTTGATGATGTATTAATTTCAAAAACATCCTTCCCAAAAGCACATACTATTGAAAGCCATTATTTTCATCTAAGATGTTTAATGAGAAACATAATATTATAGTGCATAAAATGAAATTTCATAAGTGAGTACCAAGGTACTGTGTTGGCTGCAGAAAAACGAAGTGGACCTCATCATGTTTCAAAAGCTTGTGTGTTACATTGAGCCATTTCATGAAGTTCAGATGTATTGGGCGAGATTATGGTGGTATTTATCAAGACCCACTAACCCTATAAGATTGAAGAAATTGATGGATCGATGAAATCCTTCATTGAAGATGCTTACATGTGTTGGGTGACTATGCAAAATGGACGTTATCAAGTTCCATGAACCTTATGAGATCGATTTTTTTTGATAAATTGAGGGTGCCTGCATGTGTTGTGTGAGCTATCTAAAAGGTCATCATCAATGCCAACTAACCCTAGGATACTTCAAAAGTCATGAATTGATGATATCATACCAAGTAATAAGAATTATCATGATGCCCTCTACTTGCTTTGATCTCCATTGGGGTAACTTAGAAGGGTAGCCAAAATTTTCATCTTTTATAAAAGTTAACATATATAGCACAACGACATTATAATAAGGATAATGAGAATATTCATCCCACTAATAAAAACAATGTATCAATAACACATTATTTCAACTATAGCGACACAAGTTTCAAATTTACTTGTTGGAGCAGTAATTGTATTTAGCAAAATAATGTTTTTTTGTCTAGGAGCCGTTAGACATGTAAAGCATGATCCTGAAATTTAGAGTGAAACTCAAGAAGAAGAGCTACTTAAAATGCAGAAAGCTTTAAATAGTAAACACCATGTTTCTAAGAGGCCAACAATGTATTCAAATGTTCTTTTAATAGGAGAAAAAAACAGCATGAAAAAAATCAATATTCCTTTAATAGTCGTGAAATGAGGCCAACAATTTATTTAAATGGGAATAATGGAGACCTTGTCCATCACCATATGCCAAAACCTAGCTATAAGTCCATGTTCGTTTATGAAGATCTCCACATAGATTATGTTCAAGATGGAATAAAAAATGGCAGGTACCTCACTTAGTAAAAAAATATTTTTCCAATTATCATAGTATCTCTAGTAGGATACAAAATAGAAATTTTGTGAGACTTTTCATGTGTTTAGATTTAAATGTAAACACCTATCAAGGGTTGTTTCAAAGCTTCCCTATGTTACTAGTTCTCAAATATCAACAAACTTTCAAGGCAAATGTAGGGCAAACTTACATTCAGGGGTTTCAATGGGACAGACTAGGCATTGCCAAGCCCAGCCTCATCAAGTTGACTTTTAGGCTTGGAGCAAGACCTCCCTTTGAACATGGTCCCCTAAGTGGAGCTGCAGAATGGACCCATGTCAAGACAAGACCCAACCCAACCTGACCTAGGCTCCATCCCAATGAAGGGATATTACTATTCATATTAGTCAATTAATATTTTCCTAATTTAATCAAATCATGCCAACTTACCCATTTGGCCTAGTCAGACATCAGAGCTCCACCACTAGGGCCCATCTACCAAGCTCTTTTCTCCAATATTGGGCCCCATCCAACCCATTTTGAAGGGACGAGCGAAGTCTGATGGGATGTGCATCCCATTAACACCTTTTTCATTGGTACTCTCTAAAATTTGAATTATGACTCATGGGCTAGACTGACTGGGAAGCCCACAAGTGAAGCCCAAAATTAAATTATGGCCCTAGACCCAGCGACACACATCGCCGAGTCTTTCTTGAAAATGTAAAATGTGCCCAAAAAGGCATGATGGAGAAGAAGAGATAGAGAGAGAAGAGAGAGTATATTGCTGTAGGCAAAATCCTCTCTCTTGTATAAGCTGCAGGCAAAATCCTTGTTGCGACATGAAGGATGATGGTTCGCTGATGAAGGGCGGGAGCATCGCCCTGGCTTTTTCTTTTTTCTCTTTTTCCTCGCATTCTTCATCGTCCAGTTTCAATTTTTTTTGCACCATCCTCAGGCATTGAAATAATTTGCCATTTGCTTGACTTGGATTTGCCTAGTTGGATCTGCAAGGAAGGAGAAAGTGTTGGAGGAAGGGGATTCCAAGGGTTCTATAAAAGTATGTAGAAGAATAAACAGAGCAAAATCTTGAATTCATACTGCAAATGGAGAATTTAATGCACAGAAACAGTTGTGAAATTTACCTGGTTTTGATTGAAGTTCACTGCAGCTGAGCTTTCTCCGAGTTGTTACCACCCTCCAATGAATGACGATCGAGGTCTTCCTGCTTTGAGCCGTCTGCTGATATTTGGATGTTGTGCATCAGCACCGTGGTATCTTGTTTCAGGGGGAGAGAGTTTGGTTTGTTCTTCCCTCGGGTGAAGAAGAGGAGAGGAGGGGCTATAGTTATGAACAACAGACTGTTTTTTGGTTTTCTATCATGAACAACAGATTGTCAAAAACAACAAACAAAAAACAACCCAAAATTTGAAATTCTAGAGACCCTTTTCTCACATTTCAATCCCCTAGATATATATTACTGAAATTCAAAATTACAATTATAAAAGAGGATAGTTTTGATTGATTTTTGAGAAATTTATTGTTGTTAAAAATAGAACTAAAAATAGAAATCAGAACTGTCAAAACTATCTAATTTATAAATTTCTTACATCATATTGCATGCATGAAAAATTAAATCAATTAGATTGATTAATACTAAAAGATACTAAGAAGTTATTATTGAGTCAAAAGAATGATCTAATAGTATGAAATGTTGGAATACTCCTTGAATACATGATAGATAATATGAATTTAATTTTACAGATTTTTACTTCATGATCTTGATGGATAATATTTACTTGATGTGAAAATTTGATTGATTATTTAAGTTTAATGAAGATTTTTGCACCCTGATTTATAGGACTTGTGAGGAGAAATCACTTATTTTGAAAAAAAAGAAAAAAAAAGAGCAATGTGAAAAATCTAGAAACGAAGAGTACACATAGAGTGTGTGAGATATCATTCTTATTGTCGAAAATCGTATATAAAAAAACACTTGCTGTAAAATAAGTGGATAAAGTAAAAGCCCTGAAAATGAAGAATACACATGGAGGGTGTGAGACATCATTCCTATTGTCAAAATTTGTCTACAGGAAAAGCTACTTATCCATTATATATATATAAAATAAAATAAAAAGAAGATGGGAAAAATATAGTGCAAACTTCAAAAATCAAGCCATGGAAAAAAGGAAATATAGGATCAATATTATTCTTAGATGATTATTGATAATTGAAACATCTTGTAAATATATCTATGAGTGAAGAAGTGATAAAGATGTGAATAGAAGAAGTGAAGTCGAGATTGTTATTCTAAGGAATGCTTAAATATTTAAGTGCTTGACATCATTCTTAAATACTTGATATAAGAATCTAAAGTGTCTAAAGGTACATCATTTCTAATTATATTTTTATATATATATTAAAATATGATATTTGAGAGTTGTAAATTTTTATTTTCGTAATTCTATTGTTAAGAGACTAACAATGATTTAAGTTGAGGGGTGTGATAAGTCTTCATTATCATGAATTAATAATTAGTAAATAATATAGTATTAGCCTTAACTCATGATAAATAGACTTATATTTATGTTAAAGTGTGAAAAATAGTTTTCAGTTGATTAATGTGATTTTTTGGGTAATTATGTGATTTTATACGAATTTATATGATTTTTGTCATCTTACTTTTGAGATAAATAAAGAAAAAGAAATAAAAATAAAAATAAGACAAAATGGAGGGGGGACCCGTCAGGCTCGCAAGCGGGTCGGAAGCGTAGTGAGAGAATAGTCACAAGTAGGGGCTCGAGCGACTTGAACCGATAGGGGCACATGTGCGCCACTCCCCTTCCACATCACCAATGACCAATCAATTGTGAGGTAAGAAGTGGTCGTACATGTGCGAGAAAGAGACTTGATCAGAAATATAATATTACTATATATTCACTAGAAATTTTGATGCACAACCAATGTGGGACTAAACCTGCGTCACACCCTCCTCAGAAATGGGGGGGCAACCGGCGTGGGTTCGAATCCTCCTAGAGTCAAAATTCATATTTTTTTATCTAATTATCACGACTTTCCTACAGATCGTCGGTGAAGGATTAAGCAACCAGAATCATTGGATCATCGGCGAAAATCTCGTCAACGTGATTCGCAGAGCATTGTTACTAAAATTTTTAAATAATTCACGATAAAAGGATCACGAATCCATCAAGTAAAACATCTCTGATTGATCGACGAACAAGCCGTCATCAAGAAGAGGACGATCCGCCGAGAGATGAGTCGCCACCTCCTGAGAGCATACCAGATGCGATGAAGAGCCTCTTTTTGTTGTGCGGACCTAAGGATGAAGCTCTTTTACATGCGCCCCACCTCAATCCAGCTCCTCTCTGTCGGGTGACAGCCGTTAGAGAGTCGCAAAGTTGCCATTTTTCCATTCCGCCAAGTGACAACTACCGGAGACGATTTGACAACCCATTTCGTCGATCTCTAGACTTTGCAAGAAGATCTAGAGATTGCCCATATCGTCCTAGTCCAAGAAGAGCCTTCGAGGCCATGGACACTACACGACTATCCTCCTAAACGCTTGAGATTCCGGTGCATCGCCGACGTATCACCGCTGCGACGCCGGAACTCTATTTTCCTACTTTCAACTTACTTTATGCTTCATTTAGTGATAATTTGTGTGATTTTAATTTATCAAAATATACTTCTTTCACTTACGATTCTTTTGGCTTTTACATATCTTAATTTGATCAATTAAATCATTTGTAATTGCTTACGTAAGAATCACTAAGCAGAACTCTGTTTCTGCCCGATTCACGTTCACCGGGACACTGACATCATCCTGATGTTCGCACCCTTATTTTCTTTTTTTGTGAATTTTAAATATATTTCATTTTTATTTAATAGTATAAAATTCATAGAAAATAATATTCTTTGAAAAAAGTTCTGAATAATTACCAAATATTATATTACATCCATGTGATCGACTTGGAAAATTATCTCTATTTTTAAAAATTTTATTGAATTATAATTAATATATTTGTTTAGAAATACTTTTAAATATCTAAAAATTCATATTTTTTAGTTTTATAAATTTTGAAATTTGTGTGATTTACTATATAACAACTGAGTCACATCAGTTGGGTAATGAAATCTAGTGTAGTTCCAGTCGATGATTGTCTTTCGCTACTGACCTACGGGAAAGGGAAGACTAGGACTAGCCCAACTGGAAATAGAGATTGATAGCCAAGGATAAACACGAGAGAGAGAGAGAGATTTATCTTGTACAGTATCTGTGAATGAATGAATCCAATGCCACATGAGGGGTCCATTAAGGCCCATTATGGGGGGGGCGTGACGATGTTTTCCAATTGTACTGGGCCCAGACCGTGCAGCGTGGCGACGTAGGCTAAAAGATACGCAAATTAAACCTAGTACAGGATTCAATAGGCCCATGAAGGCCCAATAGACCCATTAACCTCGACTGCTGAGCTGCCGGGATCATAGTAGTTATCTTCCTGCCGTCGGAAGGGACTCACATCAGATGACCTTCCTGCCGCTGGCGCTTCTTATGCGGCGGAAAGGAGGGCGGCGCCGAGAAGCGGGTCAACAGAAGCGGTGGTGGTGGTCAGCAGAAAGCGAAACAGCCGGCGGGGAGCAAGCGGGTCAAAGATGAATGCTCCTCCCCCTCGGGAAGCAGGAGCTCCCCGAGGAGATAGCAAGGTCGTCTCCCTGGTCGGCCAAAAATATCTCCTCCCACCACTGGTGCACTTTTTACTGCCGTCCACTCGTTGCCGGAGGTCCGGTCAATTCCCCAGGCCCAGTAGAATGTCCTTCCACTCGTTGTTCCCCCTGTTTTGCCCTTCCTCTAAGGGGTTGTTGTGTAACAAGTGCATAATGTCCACTGGAACGTCCATGGATTTTATCATCAACTTGATGAATTAATTTAAGTATATAGGACTTTCCTATCAGGACAGGTTGTTCAAAAGGATCTCCAGTTCTTCCATCAAATATTTTACTTTTTCCTGGAAATTCGGGTTCAAATACCCATGGATTTTTTGTTTGCTTACTTGCTTCATATAATTCTGAAAACACTAGTTTTCTCGAAGCCTCTTGCTCGTATCTCTCATCAAAAGGAGCTATTCTATAACGTCTATTTAAAAGATCTCCCGCTAAGCTGAGCGAACATTCAAATATCTGTCCCACATTCAAATATTTAAAAGAGTTTTACTCATGGCCGTTGATCCCGTGGTGCCTTCGAGGAGGGGCGGTGGTGGTGGTCAACAGACAGCGAAACAGCCGGCGGGGAGCGGCAGTGTCGGCTGAAACAGAGCTTGGGGGAGAGGTTGTTCGTGCTGTCTAGCGTCACCTCCGCGCCTTCTTGTTCTGACGGATGTTCAAGGGATCACCATCTGCTCGACTTGGATTTGCCCAGTTGCATCTGCAGGGAAGGAGAAAGTGTTGGAGGAAGGGGATTCCAAGGGTTCGATAAAAGTATGTAGAAAAATAAACAGAGCAAAATCTTGAATTCATACTGCAAATGGAGAATTTAATGCACAGAAACAGTTGTGAAATTTACCTGGTTTTGATTGAAGTTCACTGCAGCTGAGCTTTCTCCGGGTTGTTACCACCTTCCAATGAACGGCGATCGAGGTCTTCCTGCTTTGAGCTGTCTGCTGATATTTGGATGCTGTGCATCGGCGCCGTGGTATCTTGTTTCAGGGGGAGAGAGTTCCCCCGGGTAAAGAAGAGGAGAGGAGGGGCTATGGCTATGAAGCCGATCGCTAGGACGATGAGTCCAACGCGTACCAGCGACGAAATATTATGAAGCACGAGGCAGCACCGCAGCATGAACACCAGCGGGAGACAGACGCTGGCGACAAGCATCACCCAATCTTTCAACCAGACGATGTTCTCCGTATTCACGGTCTCTTGCAATATCGCTGGGGCTCTGTCACGTGTGATGTTGGAGACCCAGAGGTCGATGATTCCCCAAAACAGCAAGATGAGGCAGAGGGCCACATAAACTTCGTAGAGCAGAGGGTGTTTAATTGGATGAGACGGCTCAGACAAGAGCAAGGCACCTGATATGGGTACCAGAATAGCACCCAATGCCAGGGTAGAATTCTGGGCTTGTATTCCTCCACCTTCTCTTCCGATGCGAGGGGGCTCAACTTGGGCACTCATTTCCTTTGTTTAAGAATGAAAAGTGAATCGGTAAATTTAAAAGATTAAAAAAAATCGTAAAACTCGTGGGGTTAAATTAAGAAATTTAAAGTTATCTACCACTGCCTACCATGAACCCAAAGATATTGAAATTCTGACTACCATGAAAAAGGCTGGTGCCTATCTTATCAGAAAATTATAACTTCAGTCAGCAATTTTTCATAACTTTTTTCATTTAAGTTTAAAAATCTAATTTCTGATATAAATTTAATATTTGCATTTATCCTTTATAATTTTAAAAATCATTGCTATAACACCCACAAGTGCTTCGATTCTAGGGTTTGCATAATTTTTTTGTACCTCATCTGATCCTAACTCCAAAATCCACAAGCCTCCGCTAACATCAGACAATAAAGGAAAATAAAAGAAGAACAAATGGTGGTCAACGATTGTCACTTGCAAAACAATTCCACTCTTTAGTGGGTAGTTCCATTCTCGAATGCCCACCCATAGATTTTAAGCCAACATTATCAAGTCAGTCGCAAAACTGCCTTACTGCTCAGGGAATCCAGTTACTTCAATTCAATGATGTTTCTGAGTAAAGCACGAACACATCAAGGAAATGAAAAAAAGAAATTTATCCTTTTAACAGAAGGGAACGTTAGAGACGAGAATTCAAGGGCCACTTGTTTTACCAGCATTAAAACTGAAATAAACCGCTTAATTACTGTGGTTTTTCTTGGTGAAGAATGTACCTTGTCTCTGCACCTCCTGCTGACAATTGCTGTCGGGAACAACTTGGCGACGTCGTTCCACCCTTATGCACGTAGAATCATATACGAGAATACAATAAATATGGGGACAGAAATCTGTAGATAGATAGGCAAACTGCAGAACAATTGTTCCTCTTTACATTAAGGGGGGGACGGGGGGAGCCATCCCGAGACTTTTTTTATTAATAAGAGGTTGGCATTGACGTCGTTGTCGGCCATCGGCTATGACGGCACCCTCTCTCTCCCATGGCGTCAAGGACTCATTGGGAGAGAGAGGGCGGAAGAGTTTCGGGATTTACCAAAAAGCCTCTTCCGCCCTCTTATTAATAAAAAAAGTTTCGGGATATGACCTCTTCCGCCCTCTTATTAATAAAAAAAGTCTCGGGATAGCTCCTCCTCGGTCGGGATGTGCCAATGAACTTCGATCAAAACCAGAAACCTTTCTTGCTTTTATCTATATAAGAATGCCAACATACGCCACCATGCGGACACCACCCGAACCGGAAGCTTGCTTCCGTCATATTATTATTTGCCCATTGTAGAATGTTCTGGATCCCCTTTTAAAATTCTCGTCATCACACAGCAATGGACAGCCACGTCCTCTCTCTCTCGTCTAAACGCAGCATCTGTACGCCGTCTGTCCATGGCTCCCCACACACATCACGTCAGCCACGCTCTCGGTTACATAACATCATGCTTGTCCGAAGTCAGCTCTCCGCCGTCTGATCCCGCCGTCCGAAGTCAGATGAGCATTCCCCGTTATCACCGCCGTCTGATCACGCAGCCGCAGGCGACGCTCATCTAACGTTAGCCCGCCGTCGACGGGGAATGCGAACATCAAGCGAACCAGGAACTTCTCGAACCTCCTCGCCCCTGGGCCCGGCCTCCACGTAGACGTCCCCTCAGTCGCTTCACGGGTCGCTTTTGGGCCCAATGAAGAATACGATCAATTGTTGTTGATCCCGGAATTTATCTTGCTGCAAAGAGGGACAAGCATTCCACTGACGCTTCTTCTTGCAACAGAGTAGAACGGCATCAACAGACTGTTGCTCAATAAATAAATCCTTGAGTTGACACCGTCGAACTTGTCCTTAACTCCGCGGATGCCGTGAAGCTCTCTCTCTCCCTCTCTCTCTCTCTCTCTCTCACTCGACCACCGCCTGCTATAAACGTCAGGTAGTGTGGTCTTCTTGCGGTAGTGTGGTCCGTCGAGGGAGGGTCGAGGAAGAGCATTCTCCAATGGCTGCTGTTGCGGAGGCTCCCCTCTTTACCGAGGCCGAGAAGGTCGCGAAGCTCCAAGCAGCGGTGGCGGGTCTCAGCCAGATCAGGTGAGACAGCTCCCGTTCGGCGGTCGAATCTGTTCGTTTTTATCCTCGCGTTCTTCGGAGCCTTGCCTCAGCCCTGTGATCTCTTTGCAGCGAGAACGAGAAATCTGGGTTCATCAGCCTGGTTTCCCGATATCTGAGGTGTACCCTTTAATAAAACACCAGCCTTTTCTTTTGTGCTCTCGAGTTATAACCGAGATCTCACCTCACCCTTTTCCCTGCCGCCGTTTTTCTACTGTTCAGTGGAGAGGCACAGCAGATTGAATGGAGTAAGATCCAGACTCCGACTGAAGAAGTCGTCGTGCCTTACGAGAGTTTGGCGCCTCCTCCAGAAGGTTTGTTCATACCTTCCGACCGACTCACGTATCAGTCCTACTCAGAGGAAGATCCTTTTGTTATTCTGTTTACTCATGCCATATCTTTTATTTTAACGACTTGGTTATCTCCATTCAGAGCTTGGGTCAACTAGGAAACTTCTTGACAAGCTCGCTGTCTTAAAGCTCAATGGCGGCCTGGGAACAACGATGGGCTGCACTGGTCCTAAGTAAGACAATTTTTTTGCCACTTTTTCTGCATCACTGATTTCTTTTTTTCATTGACCACGCGGTTGACTAAAACAAATTTTCATGGAACCATCAACACGGCTCTCCATTCCTTATTATTTTCTCGACTAATTCTAGCCGAGAGTTTGATACTCAAATTTTCACATTTAATATTAAAATCTCAAGAACCAAGTGTGTATAGCGTACAATACTTCATCATTATGTGAAGATATTGATATCATAGGAATCGATGGTCTTAGAGGTCGTTTAATGCTTAATTTGAGAGGAACGAACGGCAGACTTGTTACACTTTATCCACAGAAATAAGGACTCGATGTTTCACAGTGGGCACGGAGCTGATTGGATACATCTTTGAAGACCAAGTCCACTCGTTCTCATAAATTACAAATGGATAGTTAAATAACAAAAGTTCTCATTTATCTTTACTGCAGATCTGTCATTGAAGTTCGAAACGGGTTGACATTTCTCGATTTGATCGTTATTCAAATTGAGGTAACTTACCTGTGTTCTTCTCATTTTTGATATATGCATCTGTAAATTACACATTTTACATTCTTGTTTACAGTCTCTGAACACCAAGTACGGGTGCAATGTTCCTCTTCTTTTGATGAACTCATTCAACACGCATGAGGATACACAGAAGGTATTCGCTTCTCATCTTTTATGTCTTCTAAATCGTAAAATATGTTTGGGATTTTCACATGCTTAACCATCTAAATAATCTTTTATACAGATCGTGGAGAAATATTCCAACTCAAATATTGAGATACATACCTTTAATCAGGTAAATCATTTCTGATAGAAATATTTCTTTCCTCTTTTTTTCCTACTTAATTCTGACCGTGATGGTGTGAAACTCTATACTTCAGAGTCAATACCCTCGTTTGGTTGTTGAAGATTTTACACCACTCCCAAGCAAGGGACAGACTGGGAAAGATGGCTGGTGAGTACTCTTGTATATATTTTTTATTTAAGGATTGTCATTGCTTTGTTACATTGACTTTGAACCAGCTTCGAGTCTGTCTGATCCTCTGAACCATTTTACAGACAGGTCTACATGTTAGCATGAGTACTGTGAGATGTCCTTGACTTATCTTTTTTCCTGCAAAATATTTTCAACGGTCAATTTTTTTTTATATTGAGGCCAGAAGGACAGGATTGGCTACAATTCGGCCGTCTCCCTGCTGAATTTTCATATATTATTTAATTATCTATATGTAGATATCTACATCAGCTTATATATCTTGTCAATTTCACACGCTTTATTACTGGTCCCAATGTTTCTTATATACATTCTAGCATTCGGTTGATATTTTTCATCCAAAAAAGGTCCCTGTTCAAGCATTTGTGAACGCTTCACTATCATTCTCCTAGTTACTATGCTCTAGAAACCTCCGTTATCAGAATCATCCTAATTATCATTTTTCTGACTAAAGTCTTATGCATTCCTCAAGGTATCCCCCAGGTCACGGTGACGTGTTCCCTTCCTTGTTGAACAGTGGGAAACTAGATGCCCTAATATCACAGGTTTGCTTTGATATTTAATTTTTCCCATGACATACGGCCTCTCAACAATAAATATGGGGACAGAAATCTGTAGATAGATAGGCAAACTGCAGAACAAAGAAACAGAGAAAGAGAGGGAGAGGGCAGAAGAGAGGGAGAGAAAGAGAGTGTCCAGCTCCTCCTCGATCGGCAACGATTCCTGCGGATATCTACTTATAGACGAGCTTCGGGATATCACAAGATGCCGGTCAACTCTTGTGACGTCCAAGGCCGGTAGCGGCAGCGGATTTCTAAAGTAGATGTAGTCCGTGCTTGTCCGGCAGGATATGTAGTCCGTGACACCTGCGGGATTTGCGGAGTTCTAGTATCCGCGGGCGGAGCACTCTAGTCTTAAAACACTCCGCAGGTGACGGATCCGACGGCTAGGATATGTTGAGTCACCTGCGGAGTGTTTTAAGACACTCTAGTCTTAAACTCCGCAGGTTTGCGTCGCCAAACCTGCGGGTATAGCGGCTTCTCCGGACGGTTTATCAGCACGGCGGATATGCCCACGCGCGTGGTCCCCAATGTTAATATTGGACAATATATAATATTGGCCGCGGCATCTTCTTTATCCCGAAGCTCGTCTATAAGTACACAATCTTTCTCTCCCTCTCTTCTGCCCTCTCCCTCTCTTTCTCTGTTTCTTTGTTCTGCAGTTTGCCTATCTATCTACAGATTCCTGTCCCCATATTTATCGTATTCTCGTATATGATTCTACGTGCATAAGGGTGGAACGACGTCGCCAAGTTGTTCCCGACAGCAATTGTCAGCAGGAGGTGCAGAGACAAGGTACATTCTTCACCAAGAAAAACCACAGTAATTAAGCGGTTTATTTCAGTTTTAATGCTGGTAAAACAAGTGGCCCTTGAATTCTCGTCTCTAACGTTCCCTTCTGTTAAAAGGATAAATTTCTTTTTTTCATTTCCTTGATGTGTTCGTGCTTTACTCACAAACATCATTGAACTGAAGTAACTGGATTCCCTGAGCAGTAAGGCAGTTTTGCGACTGACTTGATAATGTTGGCTTAAAATCTATGGGTGGGCATTCGAGAATGGAACTACCCACTAAAGAGTGGAATTGTTTTGCAAGTGACAATCGTTGACCACCATTTGTTCTTCTTTTATTTTCCTTTATTGTCTGATGTTAGCGGAGGCTTGTGGATTTTGGAGTTAGGATCAGATGAGGTACAAAAAAATTATGCAAACCCTAGAATCGAAGCACTTGTGGGTGTTATAGCAATGATTTTTAAAATTATAAAGGATAAATGCAAATATTAAATTTATATCAGAAATTAGATTTTTAAACTTAAATGGAAAAAGTTATGAAAAATTGCTGACTGAAGTTATAATTTTCTGATAAGATAGGCACCAACCTTTTCCATGGTAGTCAGAATTTCAATATCTTTGGGTTAGACTAGTCCCATTTGATTAGGTGCTCACTGAAATACTCAAATTAAGGAGAATTACATCGAAACTGTTGAAGGCAGTGGTAGATAACTTTAAATTTCTAAATTTAACCCCACGAGTTTTACGATTTTTTTTAATCTTTTAAATTTACCAATTCACTTTTCATTCTTAAACAAAGGAAATGAGTGCCCAAGTTGAGCCGCAGCACTCCGACAAAGAAGCGGCGTCGCCCCCTCCCATCGGAAGAGAAGGTGGAGGAATACAAGCCCAGAATTCTACCCTGGCATTGGGTGCTATTCTGGTGCCCATATCAGGTGCCTTGCTCTTGTCTGAGCCGTCTCATCCAATTAAACACCTTCTGCTCTACGAAGTTTATGTGGCGCTCTGCCTCATCTTGCTGTTTTGGGGAATCATCGACCTCTGGGTCTCCAACATCACACGTGACAGAGCCCCAGCGATATTGCAAGAGAACATCGTCTGGTTGAAAGATTGGGTGATGCTTGTCGCCAGCGTCTGTCTCCCGCTGGTGTTCATGCTGCGGTGCTGCCTCGTGCTTCATAATATTTCGTCGCTGGTACGCGTTGGACTCATCGTCCTAGCGATCGGCTTCATAGCCATAGCCCCTCCTCTCCTCTTCTTTACCCGGGGGAACTCTCTCCCCCTGAAACAAGATACCACGGCGCCGATGCACAGCATCCAAATATCAGCAGACAGCTCAAAGCAGGAAGACCTCGATCGCCGTTCATTGGAAGGTGGTAACAACCCGGAGAAAGCTCAGCTGCAGTGAACTTCAATCAAAACCAGGTAAATTTCACAACTGTTTCTGTGCATTAAATTCTCCATTTGCAGTATGAATTCAAGATTTTGCTCTGTTTATTTTTCTACATACTTTTATCGAACCCTTGGAATCCCCTTCCTCCAACACTTTCTCCTTCCCTGCAGATGCAACTGGGCAAATCCAAGTCGAGCAGATGGTGATCCCTTGAACATCCGTCAGAACAAGAAGGCGCGGAGGTGACGCTAGACAGCACGAACAACCTCTCCCCCAAGCTCTGTTTCAGCCGACACTGCCGCTCCCCGCCGGCTGTTTCGCTGTCTGTTGACCACCACCACCGCCCCTCCTCGAAGGCACCACGGGATCAACGGCCATGAGTAAAACTCTTTTAAATATTTGAATGTGGGACAGATATTTGAATGTTCGCTCAGCTTAGCGGGAGATCTTTTAAATAGACGTTATAGAATAGCTCCTTTTGATGAGAGATACGAGCAAGAGGCTTCGAGAAAACTAGTGTTTTCAGAATTATATGAAGCAAGTAAGCAAACAAAAAATCCATGGGTATTTGAACCCGAATTTCCAGGAAAAAGTAAAATATTTGATGGAAGAACTGGAGATCCTTTTGAACAACCTGTCCTGATAGGAAAGTCCTATATACTTAAATTAATTCATCAAGTTGATGATAAAATCCATGGACGTTCCAGTGGACATTATGCACTTGTTACACAACAACCCCTTAGAGGAAGGGCAAAACAGGGGGAACAACGAGTGGAAGGACATTCTACTGGGCCTGGGGAATTGACCGGACCTCCGGCAACGAGTGGACGGCAGTAAAAAGTGCACCAGTGGTGGGAGGAGATATTTTTGGCCGACCAGGGAGACGACCTTGCTATCTCCTCGGGGAGCTCCTGCTTCCCGAGGGGGAGGAGCATTCATCTTTGACCCGCTTGCTCCCCGCCGGCTGTTTCGCTTTCTGCTGACCACCACCACCGCTTCTGTTGACCCGCTTCTCGGCGCCGCCCTCCTTTCCGCCGCATAAGAAGCGCCAGCGGCAGGAAGGTCATCTGATGTGAGTCCCTTCCGACGGCAGGAAGATAACTACTATGATCCCGGCAGCTCAGCAGTCGAGGTTAATGGGTCTATTGGGCCTTCATGGGCCTATTGAATCCTGTACTAGGTTTAATTTGCGTATCTTTTAGCCTACGTCGCCACGCTGCACGGTCTGGGCCCAGTACAATTGGAAAACATCGTCACGCCCCCCCCATAATGGGCCTTAATGGACCCCTCATGTGGCATTGGATTCATTCATTCACAGATACTGTACAAGATAAATCTCTCTCTCTCTCTCGTGTTTATCCTTGGCTATCAATCTCTATTTCCAGTTGGGCTAGTCCTAGTCTTCCCTTTCCCGTAGGTCAGTAGCGAAAGACAATCATCGACCGGAACTACACTAGATTTCATTACCCGACTGATGTGACTCAGTTGTTATAGAGTAAATCACACAAATTTTAAATTTTATAAAACTAAAAAAAATAAATTTTTAGATATTTAAAAGTATTTCTAAACAAATATATTAATTATAATTCAATAAAAATTTTAAAAATAGAGATAATTTTCCAAGTCGATCACATGGATATAATATAATATTTGGTAATTATTTAGAATTTTTTTCAAAGAATATTATTTTCTATGAATTTTATACTATTAAATAAAAATGAAATATATTTAAAATTCACAAAAAAAGAAAATAAGGGTGCGGACATCAGGATGATGTCAGTGTCCCGGTGAACGTGAATCAGGCAGAAACAGAGTTCCACTCAGTGATTCTTACATAAGCGATTACAAATGATTTAATTGATCAAATTAAGATACGTAAAAGCCAAAAGAATCGTAAGTGAAAGAAGTATATTTTGATAAATTAAAATCACACAAATTATCACTAAATGAAGCATAAAGTAAGTTGAAAGTAGGAAAATAGAGTTCCAACATCGCGGCGGTGATACGTCGGCGATGCACCGGAATCCCGAGCATTTAGGAGGATAGTCGTGTAGTGTCCATGGCCTCGAAAGCTCTTCTTGGACTAGGACGATATGGGCAATCTCTAGATCTTCTTGCAAAGTCTAGAGATCGACGAAATGGGTTGTCGAATCGTCTCCGGTAGTTGTCACTTGGCGGAATGGAAAAATGGCAACTTTGCGACTCTCTGACGACTGTCACCCGATAGAGAAGAGCTGGATATGGGTAACAGGATAGCACCCAATGCCAGGGTAGAATTCTGGGCTTGTATTCCTCCACCTTCTCTTCCGATGGGAGGGGGCTCAACTTGGGCACTCATTTCCTTTGTTTAAGAATGAAAAGTGAATTGATAAATTTAAAAGATTAAAAAAAATCGTAAAACTCGTGGGGTTAAATTTAGAAATTTAAAGTTATCTACCACTGCCTATCATGAACCCAAAGATATTGAAATTCTGACTACCATGAAAAAGGTTGGTGCCTATCTTATCAGAAAATTATAACTTCAGTCAGCAATTTTTCATAACTTTTTTCATTTAAGTTTAAAAATCTAACTTCTGATATAAATTTAATATTTGCATTTACCCTTTATAATTTTAAAAATCATTGCTATAATGCCCACAAGTGCTTCGATTCTAGGGTTTGCATAATTTTTTTGTACCTCATCTGATCCTAACTCCAAAATCCACAAGCCTCCGCTAACATCAGACAATAAAGGAAAATAAAAGAAGAACAAATGGTGGTCAACGATTGTCACTTGCAAAACAATTCCACTCTTTAGTGGGTAGTTCCATTCTCGAATGCCCACCCATAGATTTTAAGCCAACATTATCAAGGTAGTCGCAAAACTGCTCAGGGAATCCAGTTACTTCAGTTCAATGATGTTTCTGAGTAAAGCACGAACACATCAAGGAAATGAGAAAAAGAAATTTATCCTTTTAACAGAAGGGAACGTTAGAGACGAGAATTCAAGGGCCACTTGTTTTACGAGCATTAAAACTGAAATAAACCGCTTAATTACTGTGGTTTTTCTTGGTGAAGAATGTACCCTGTCTCTGCACCTCCCGCTGACAATTGCTGTCGGGAACAACTTGGCGACGTCGCTCCACCCTAGATATGAACCCTCTCTCCCCCATCTTCCTGCGGGGCGGCCCACTTACAGGGCACAAACAGGAATGGCCCTCCGAGGGGCCGGTGATCAAGTAATCATTATATTTTTATGCGCGCTGCAAGCTACATTCTGGGAACCACCAGGCCGAACGAGGCCTTTCTTTTGCCATGGTTTGGTTAATATCACTGGTTCATTAGATCTGGTTCTATCCACTTTCCTTCCTCCTCTCTAGCTACCCATGTGAGAGAGAGCGAGAAAGAGAGAAAGTTGGCGACTCACCATCCAGGAGAGACGATCGTCGTCGTCAGTCAAGAGCGCAGTCGGGGCTTTGAGGTGTGTCGGGGAGGACGCCCTCATGGACTCCAACGAGGCGATGATCCTACCAGAGTTGGGAGCCCCGCCAATGTTCGAGCTGTCTGCTGATATTTGGATGCTGTGCATCGACGCCGTGGTATCTTGTTTCAGGGGGAGAGAGTTCGGTTTGTTCTTCCCCCGGGTGAAGAAGAGGAAAAGAAGGGCCATGGCTATGAAGCCTAGGACGATGAGTCCAACGCGTAACAGCGACGAAATACTATGAAGCACGAGGCAGCACCGCAGCATGAACACCAGCGGGAGACAGACGCTGGCGACAAGCATCACCCAATCTTTCAACCAGACGATTTTCTCTTTGGCTCACGATTATTTAAGAGTTTTACTCATGGCCGTTGATCCCGTGGTCCCTTCGAGGAGGGGCGGTGGTGGTGGTCAACAGAAAGCGAAACAGCCGGCGGGGAGCGGCAGTGTCGGCTGAAACAGAGCTTGGGGGAGAGGTTGTTCGTGCTGTCTAGCGTCACCTCCGCGCCTTCTTGTTCTGACGGATGTTCAAGGGATCGCCACGAACAAGTCGCAACAAAATGGCCGAATTCTCAGCCGCGCGCGGCACGGCGCCTGCACAAGGCCCGGTGCCTGCACGCGGCACGGCACCCGCGCGCGGCATGGCGCCCGCACAAGGCACGGCACCGGCCAATACGTCAGCCAGTAGAACATCTCGCTGTAATTCGGACGGGCGAGGGTTCCCCTAAAATGGAGGGAGTGGTCAGATTTTCTGGAGCCGCCTAGAAAAGATACTTTCTTGGTCCTCGGCAGACGAACAATTCGACCTGACAGTTGGGGGGGCAGCAGCCGCCTTCGAAGAAGAAATCTTCATCAGGGATTAGTGTGAAGATGCAGATGACGATTACGATGCGCGAGCGCCAAGGGTGGGGTCGGATGGGGGTGGGGGAGGAGAAAGAACAGCCAGATTTCTGGTACCTCCCCGGGACCAATATTATATATTTGCTTCCGGTGGCTATTTCCCCGCGCCCGTCACTGCCATTGTCGTAGCTGTTGCAATGCCGACAATGGGTGCAGAAGAGATTTAGCGCTAGAATGTTAGCGGACAAGGGGGGATGGCGGAGAAGGGGCCGCGGCAGATTATTTATAATATATAATATTGGTCTATAAGTACACAATATATAATGATGGTCCCCAATATTAATATTGGACAATATATAATATTGGCCGCGGCATCTTCTTTATCCCGAAGCTCGTCTATAAGTACACAATCTTTCTCTCCCTCTCTTCTGCCCTCTCCCTCTCTTTCTCTGTTTCTTTGTTCTGCAGTTTGTCTATCTATCTACAGATTCCTGTCCCCATATTTATCGTATTCTCGTATATGATTCTACGTGCATAAGGGTGGAGCGACGTCGCCAAGTTGTTCCCGACAGCAATTGTCAGCGGGAGGTGCAGAGACAAGGTACATTCTTCACCAAGAAAAACCACAGTAATTAAGCGGTTTATTTCAGTTTTAATGCTGGTAAAACAAGTGGCCCTTGGATTCTCGTCTCTAACGTTCCCTTCTGTTAAAAGGATAAATTTCTTTTTCTCATTTCCTTGATGTGTTCGTGCTTTACTCAGAAACATCATTGAACTGAAGTAACTGGATTCCCTGAGCAGTTTTGCGACTACCTTGATAATGTTGGCTTAAAATCTATGGGTGGGCATTCGAGAATGGAACTACCCACTAAAGAGTGGAATTGTTTTGCAAGTGACAATCGTTGACCACCATTTGTTCTTCTTTTATTTTCCTTTATTGTCTGATGTTAGCGGAGGCTTGTGGATTTTGGAGTTAGGATCAGATGAGGTACAAAAAAATTATGCAAACCCTAGAATCGAAGCACTTGTGGGTGTTATAGCAATGATTTTTAAAATTATAAAGGATAAATGCAAATATTAAATTTATATCAGAAATTAGATTTTTAAACTTAAATGAAAAAAGTTATGAAAAATTGCTGACTGAAGTTATAATTTTCTGATAAGATAGGCACCAGCCTTTTTCATGGTAGTCAGAATTTCAATATCTTTGGGTTCATGGTAGGCAGTGGTAGATAACTTTAAATTTCTTAATTTAACCCCACGAGTTTTACGATTTTTTTTAATCTTTTAAATTTACCGATTCACTTTTCATTCTTAAACAAAGGAAATGAGTGCCCAAGTTGAGCCCCCTCGCATCGGAAGAGAAGGTGGAGGAATACAAGCCCAGAATTCTACCCTGGCATTGGGTGCTATTCTGGTACCCATATCAGGTGCCTTGCTCTTGTCTGAGCCGTCTCATCCAATTAAACACCCTCTGCTCTACGAAGTTTATGTGGCCCTCTGCCTCATCTTGCTGTTTTGGGGAATCATCGACCTCTGGGTCTCCAACATCACACGTGACAGAGCCCCAGCGATATTGCAAGAGACCGTGAATACGGAGAACATCGTCTGGTTGAAAGATTGGGTGATGCTTGTCGCCAGCGTCTGTCTCCCGCTGGTGTTCATACTGCGGTGCTGCCTCGTGCTTCAAAATATTTCGTCGCTGGTACGCGTTGGACTCATCGTCCTAGCGATCGGCTTCATAGCCATAGCCCCTCCTCTCCTCTTCTTTACCCGGGGGAACTCTCTCCCCCTGAAACAAGATACCACGGCGCCGATGCACAGCATCCAAATATCAGCAGACAGCTCGAACATTGGCGGGGCTCCCAACTCTGGTAGGATCATCGCCTCGTTGGAGTCCATGAGGGCGTCCTCCCCGACGCACCTCAAAGCCCCGACTGGGCTCTTGACTGACGACGACGATCGTCTCTCCTGGATGGTGAGTCGCCAAATTTCTCTCTTTCTCGCTCTCTCTCCCTCTGCTTCTGTCTCTGTACGGCCTCCCCTTGGGCCTCTGCTTCCTGGGAATTGCTGACGTCGGTCCGCCATTCGCAGCGCGACCATCCCTCGGCGCTGAACATGTTCGAGGAGATTGTGGGCATGTCAAAGGGCAAGCAGATAGCCATGTTCCTCGACTACGACGGGACTCTCTCCCCCATCGTCGACGACCCCGAGGTCGCATTCATGTCTGAAGCGGTTCGTCTCCAGTACCCTCCTCTTCCTCCTCCTGCCCTTCTCCTCCTCTGTTCCCCATTCACGTACTTCCAACAGAAGTTTTCTGTAGGCTGATTCGTTTCTTGCCTCAGATGAGGGAGGCCGTCCGGGACGTGGCCCAGTACTTCCCCACGGCCATTGTCAGCGGCAGATGCAAGGACAAGGTTAATATCTCATCCGACACCATAACTTGTTCTGTTTCTGTCTTCTTTCCTTTTCGACGATGGCTAGCGATAGGTTTTCAACCTTTGCTGCTCTAAAAGATCTCTCATGGCATCGGTGCAGGTGTTTGGCTTTGTGCAACTTGCGGAGCTTTACTACGCGGGGAGCCATGGCATGGATATCCAAGGTCCTGAGGTGTCCATCGGCACTAAATGCACCAGGGTATGCTTTCCGACCCAGAAGAGTGGATCCAGATATCCATTTATATAAATATATATCTGTTTCGTTCTACGGATTGTTCCTGGTTTAACGTGACGTGGATTTGCTGCAGGGAAGCAAATCAGTTCTTTTCCAGCCAGCCAGCGAGTTCCTCCTTATGATCGATGAGGTGAGCTCAGCTTCTTCCCTCCCCCGCCTTGTCTTACCAGGTCCTTTCTAACGGGTCTCTGTTTTTCTTCTCTGGTTACTCACCTCTGAAGGTGTACAAGGCTCTGGTGGAGAAGACCAAAGCCATACCCGGCGCGAAGGTTGAGAACAACAGGTTTTGTGTATCCGTACACTTCCGCTGCGTGGATGAGAAGGTGAGAGACAGAACCCTCAGTTAGGGCTCTGTTCTTGAGTTCTATGTCGCTTAGTAGAGCTTGCCCTTGCCATAACTGGGAAGGCCAGAGATTGCTCTCCTCACCTTCTGTGTTTGCTTGGCTCAGAGATGGGTCGGACTGGCGGAGCAGGTCGGGTCCGTCCTGAAGGGGTATCCCAAGCTGCGGGTCACCCAAGGCCGCAAGGTACTTGGCGGGCTTCTTCGTTCCTCCGTTCCCTTCCTTCTCTCAGTGATTTATGTAAACAAGATGTGCGCATCAAAGTGACTGAGCTTCCCACTGCAGGTTCTGGAGATCCGATCATCCATTAAATGGGACAAGGGGAAGGCCCTCGAGTTCCTCCTCGATTCTCTCGGTAAGCTTCACATTTGCAAACCCCAGGGACGACGACTCAACCTGAAGTCAAATGTCAGATTTGACGAATTTCTCCTTCCACTTCTCATCACAGGTTTCGCCGACAGCGAGGATGTGCTGCCAGTGTATATTGGGGACGACAGGACCGACGAAGACGCTTTCAAGGTACCATGGCTCCGGCTCCGCCATCTTTCTTTCTTTGTACCCCCTTGGTTTCTCCTCAAATATCAGCAGGTAGTTGAGGCCGCAAAGGTCCTCCACCGCCACCGCCGCCGCCTCCGTGGGCGACAACGCAAACCGTTAACTATTGGTATCCTGATGTGATCGCTCCTCCACCAGGTCCTACGAGAGAGAGGACAGGGGTTCGATCCCCAAGGATACCAGCGCATCTTATTCCCTGCGGGAGCCCCTGGAGGCAAGCTCTCTCTCTCTCTCTCTCTCTCTCCCAGCGGCCTTCCTTTTCTGTTGGGGTTGGGGGAAGGCTTGGTCTAGGGGATCACCAGTTGGGTTTGTCGGTGGATCGTGGGCCGAGACCCGCTTTCTGTCTCTAGGTTATTTAATGACTTATGGGCCATGCAGGTCATGGAGTTCCTTAAGCGGCTGGTGGACTGGAAACGCGTCTCGACGAACCCTCCACCCAGCGATTCACAGAAGTTATCAGGACTCCTTGTTCGTCCCTCTAATCGTGTGTTCGCCCCCACGGGTTTTTGCACGTGTGAGATGCGCGACCGCCGCCTCCTCCCAACATGCGTGAGTTAATATTGTCTTACTTTTAAGAGTTATCTTTTCCTGTCTTTCGATTGGAATCGAACTGTCCTGAGCCCTAGAATCGAACTTTTAAGACTTTATGCGTGAGAAAAATAATTGTCTTCCTCGGTACCTTGTCTTCTTATTCTCTCCTGTCCTGTCCTGTCCCCTCCCCTCCACCGTTGACGACGATGATGCCGACGGAGGAGGTACCAGAAATCTGGATCTTCTTTCTCGCACAATTTCTCTGCAAGATATGAACCCTCTCTCCCCCATCTTCCTGCGGGGCGGTCCACTTACAGGGCACAAACAGGAATGGCCCTCCGAGGGGCCGGTGATCAAGTAATCATTGTATTTTAATGCGCGCTGTAAGCTACATTCTGGGAACCACCAGGCCGAACGAGGCCTTTCTTTTGCCATGGTTTGGTTAATATCACTGGTTCATTAGATCTGGTTCTATCCACTTCCCTTCCTCCTCTCTAGCTACCCATGTGAAAAAGAAGTTTTTTCGCTTCCGTGAGCTCAACCCATCCTCGTGGGAAACATGATGACGGGTTCGTCGCGTTTTTTCACACGCGTCCTCGTGTTAGCTACGCCCTCCAGAAAATCTGACCCCTCCCTCCATTTTAGGGGAACCCTCGCCCGTCCGAATTACAGCGAGATGTTATGTTCTACTGGCTGACGTATTGGCCGGCGCCGTGCCTTGTGCGGGCGCCATGCCGCGCGCGGGTGCCGTGCCGCGTGCAGGCACCGGGCCTTGTGCAGGCGCCGTGCCGCGCGCGGCTGAGAATTCGGCCATTTTGTTGCGACTTGTTCGTGGCGATCCCTTGAACATCCGTCAGAACAAGAAGGCGCGGAGGTGACGCTAGACAGCACGAACAACCTCTCCCCCAAGCTCTGTTTCAGACGACACTGCCGCTCCCCGCCGGCTGTTTCGCTTTCTGTTGACCACCACCACCGCCCCTCCTCGAAGGGACCACGGGATCAACGGCCATGAGTAAAACTCTTAAATAATAGTGAGCCAAATCGAGTTGTGGCATTTTAGCTTCCTTCCCACGGGGACTTCTGTAATTTGAAAATATTTGAATCCCCCGAGGATGGTCAAATAAATAAATAAATTATTATTTTTAAATGCTTCGCACTTTTATATTTCTTATTTAAAAATGAGCGGGAAATTAATTCTTGCTGCTGGAATATTTTATTCTACATCGAGCAGTTAATGACGGCTTATGGGGTAATTACAGTTAATGATGAACAAAATCATATGGTCCGTATTTATCTGTCAGGTGTCAAATGGTGCCCCGCAGTGGGACCCAATGCCACGTCACATTAACTGTCCTGGAGATCCCACGTTCGGTGGAACGGTTAGCAGAGAGTCAACACATCATTAGTTCTAAATGACGATTTGCTCGCTTTTGTGGTAACCATTACTGTCGAATATTAGTTACAGTGTAATAATCTGCCGTGCCGTCTGCCTCCGTTACGCCGACATAACGACGCGAGCACGTTTGAGTGAGAGAGAGAGAGAGAGATTAAATAATATGAAACGGACACATTCTGTGAGAGTGGGATGAGAGAGCTCGAAACCCCGAGGGCCGCCTCTCGAGGGAGATCGGCATGGCGGCGAAGCGATCTGCGTGGCTTCTCTTCCCGCTCCTGTCCATCTCCTTCGTCTCCCTCGTGGTGGTGGTGGTGGTGGTCCGATTCTCGGGGCAGTGGGCGGCGAGGCCGATGCAGTTCCCCGGCGCCGCCGGCCTCGACGATCCCTCGCCCCCGGCTCCGCGGATTGCCTATTTCATATCGGGATCGGACGGCGACGGGCACCGGATCCTGCGGCTTCTCCGGGCGGTGTACCATCCGAGGAACCAGTATCTGCTCCATCTCGACCTGCGAGCGTCGCATCGGCAGCGGGAAGACCTTGTTTCTGCCGTTCGGTCCGTGGATTCCTTCGTGGCCTCTGGGAATGTGAATGTGGTAGGGAAGGCGGATTATGCCAATCGCGAGGGTTCCACCGCGATTGCATCTGTTCTCCACGGGGCCGCCGTGCTCCTCAAGCATAGCAAAGCGTGGGACTGGTTCGTCAATCTCGCCGCCTCAGATTACCCTTTAATTACTCAGGACGGTAAAATGCGCTTCTCTTTTTCCGTTGGCTACACTCTTCCCCTACCGGCTTTAATTTCTTACGAATCAGAGAAATGACCATGTGTATGGGGACGCTATCATGTGGTTGTCTCGTGGTATGGATACATCTTCAAAGTCGCCGCTAGCTGATCATCGGGCCTGTTAATCGTGTGTTATTTGACATAATTATTCAAAACAACAGAAACATTGTATATTTGAAGTTAAAGCTCACTCAGGTTGCGCAGAAACCAAAAGTTCTCTATCCCAGCGAAACTAGGGATTTCGTTTGCCCGAAGAGTTGGTCATAACATTCTGTTTTCTACCTATATTTTGTCACACAGGGGACGAGATCTGCACAGAAGGAATGGAGAATGTGCGTTCAAAGCTGTATAAAACGATTAAGCAGCTTGAGTGAAAGAATGTGAAACATTAAACTGAACATTGCGATTTCCAAATATGAAATTTTCAGAAGGCAATACTTTGTTCCATATAATAGGTCACCAGATATTTTTCAAAATTCCACGACCAAATGCTATCATTTTTTGCTTGTAGTGGTCGCCTCCATGCTTGTTTTTTCGCTGCCGTATTGGTTTCTAGCTTCAGTTACAATAACAAGTTTTCACTTGCCTGTTGATTACAGATCTTCTTCATGTGCTCTCATTTTTGCCAAGGGATATAAACTTTATTCAATGTAGTGACAAGATTGGTTGGAAAGAGTAAGCTATTTGAACTGTAACACTTCTCCACTCTCCATTATTTTCCTTTGCACGCTAGGTTGGACTGTCATGACATTTTTTTGGGAAATTATTGGCTAATTTCAGATCACGAAGAATACGATCAATTGTTGTTGATCCCGGAATTTATCTTGCTGCAAAGAGGGACATATTCATTGGCACCCAAAAGCGTCCAATTCCCACTTCATACAGATTTGCTACAGGTGTGAATGATTATCATGCTGTTGCCAATATGAATTTTATTTTGTTAATTCTGTCAGAAGGTGCTGTAGAATAAGTAAATAATGTAGCCCATATCAATCCAAGTTAAGTAGATTTAGCTTGATCGAAGCTGGAACAGAATCAGATTGGTCTGATTTGCTGATTCAAGGGAAGGGAAGCTGGTGTTATATCGATACCCACTTAATCTGGGTTGTTTCGTCTGATTCTGTGCGTATGATCACCAGTCTTAGCTAGACTATTTAGGTCGATTCCACATACCCTGTATTAAAAAGCTTGTCTGAATGTTACTCCCACAACATTCTATGTTGGTGCTTGATAAACAAATTAGCAAATCACAAATTCTCAGTCATGTAAACCATCAATGAAGAAACGGTGATTCTAGCTGATAGCACCTGGTCTGACTCTGTCAAAGGAGAGCAGGAGTCCCGCGGAAACTATACAACTGAAAGATGATAGATTTCCTTATATATCTCCATAAAGCCCTCAGAAGGCTTGTGCCCTAGTTTCCAATGTTGGATTAATATGCATCATCATCTGGTAAGTTGAGGGTGGAATGTCCTAAGATTGATTTCTCTTAGCAGTAGACCCATCCCTGTGATGATTGCTGCAGGCACCGGAATGTGGTTTGCAATGGACCAGAAAAACCGTCTACTTCATGCTATTAAGTAGACAATCTTGAACACCATGCTCGTAATTCCAGCCAGTAGAATCCCGGATCCGAATCCGAGTCAGAATCAGAGCTTCTATGGTTCAGCATATGAGAAATTCTTTTAATGAATTCGCGAGATTCTGCATTTATTGATATTTGCCCAGATAAAAATCGACCGATGTTTCTATCTAGCTTCCTTCACTGATAATAAATAGTGTTCATCCATCTGGATCCCAGCTTCTCCTCCCGCGCTCTCTCAGGTATTTATCTGTTTTTTTTGTTCTTGATTGTGACACGATCACGCAGGGTCTCCGTTCGTGATCCTCAGCCGCAAGTTCGTCCAGTTCGCCATCCTGGGATGGGACAACCTTCCGAGGACCCTCCTGATGTACTTCTCCAACATGAGGTCCCCCCAGCGGGGCTACTTCCACACCCTGGCCATCAACTCCAAGGAGTTCTGCGACACCGTCGTCGCCTCCGACCTCCGCTTCGGCTCGGGGGCAGCGGCGGAGGAGGAGTTGCCCTCGCCGGCGGACTTGGGCGCGATGCTCGGAAGCGGCGCCGCCTTCGCTGGGGGGTTCCGGCCGAGGGATTCGCTTTTGGACAGGATCGACGCCGCCGCGCTGCGCCGCCGCTGGGGGCGGGTGACGCCCGGCGGGTGGTGTGTGGGCGACGGTGGGTGGTGGAGCGACCCGTGCAGCGCCTGGGGGGACGCCGACGTTCTGAGGCCGGGCCCAGGGGCGAGGAGGTTCGAGAAGTTCCTGGTTCGCTTGATGGGCAATACCTCGGTTTGGACCAGCCCCTGCGGTCCTCTTTGAAACGAGTCCACGCCGTATCTCTGATGCTGAGCCCCCGTTTCCTTCCTCCTATAATTTTCCAGCCAGAGGCGCTCATCACCTAATTTTTGTGTGCTCTGTCTCTCTCTCTCTCTCTATGTTATAGGAGAGGAGCCCTACTCGGAGAGTAAGAGAGAGAAAGAGAGAGATCCGGGTTGTCAAGCGTCATGAAAACTGGGAGCAACTCCCAGGACACTCAACCTCTTCACATTTCTTCCGACAAGGGTGATATGTACTTAAGTAGGTTCCACTCCACCGCAAAGAGAGATATTGACACATGCAACGTAGCATTAATGGCATCGTTTTCTGTGTGTGTGCGTGAAAGAGAGAGAGAGAGGTCTCTCCACTATGACGACGGGTCCACTAAGAAATATTGATACTTGATTCTATCGAAAAGTCAATAGAGCCCTGGGTCATCAGATAGCATTAAAGAGAGTTTTCCATACCATCAGCTCAACACAGGTCAATCAACAACACTGCAAAAGATTTTGCTTACTACATCAACGCATGCAAGCAACGGTTCTGCTGGGAGTTCAAATATTAAGACTCATACCCTTTATTGGGTCGCTCTTGGCCAGTCCCATCCACTAGATTCTGGCTAATATCTATGGTTTTCAATACACACCTTATGCCATCTGCATTACCATGTTTGAAGCACCAAACGATCCAAGCAAATGTACAGTGATACTCGTCATGCATATAAGACTTGTAAGGGAACCAGAGAGAGAAAAATAACCTTTGGACCGATCGCGATCGAAGAAGGCTTCCTGTTAAAACCGGGTAGCAGAAAGCTACTTGTCACAGAGTAAGAACACGTTGAATTATTGACAGCATAACCAGTCGAGTCAGGTGACGATCAGTATCGTCATCTGCAATCAAGTGACACATCTCACACATGCTTTCGAATATCAGAAACATAGTTGCCACATGAAACTTGCCCTAAATTGGTTCAGAGGAATATGTATACGCCAGAAGAACTATGGGTGTGATCGTTCTTTCCCAGACGTTCTTGTGGGTAACAACACCCATGACTGTAAGAAACCCAGACCACCTTCAGAAAGAAGTTGAAGAAACACCATCGATGGCGACCAAGCCCCTTTCAAACGCACATTGGGATCTCTTTGTCAGCTGAGTAGGGTTGTGAAATTTGGGGTACATAGAGCAAGTTAGAAAGGTTAGATGGAATGCATGACGGTGAAAAAGTAGGTGTAACCATGACAATCTGAGCAACGACATCTAGGAACAGAAGCTAGGGAAAGGTAGAAAAGTTGAGATGGCAGGCCTATTCCATAGAACTTCATTATACAGCGTCGGTTTCTTTCATGAGAGCAGAATCAGAGTACACCCTGCACATGACCGCTCTTGAATTCTTCATTACACCGGATATGGACTTGCTGCTCAATATATTCCAATCACTTTCTCTGGCAGGAATGTGTGTTTCATGGCCACCGATGGATAGGGAAAATGGTGGGACGATGCCTCCTCTAATTGCTTGAAGAAATAGTTCAAAATCTGCATCGTATGACTTCACTTTTCGCTTACCAGGATCATCAATCTTAATTGTTAAATCCGCCTGGTCCTCGTGAACCTTCACAGTATTCTTCAAGGTATTTGGTGCATTAGAGAGAGCTTCCCAGAACTGTGATGACTCTTTCCCCTCCTCAACTGTTACTATGGGGCCCTGCGCACCTTCATATCGAACGACCTGATATGCTGCTGCTTTTGCATCCCTCGCCATCTCTGGTTCACAATTCTTACCGATCCACACGAATATGGAAGAAAATATACGAATGATGAATGCCCCTCTGGAATCCAAAGCTGAAGGAGAGGGCTCACTCAATATCTTTGGCACGAGATGGAGTGGATCGTATTCAGAATGAGGAGCCATCCGGTACATTCTTACCAATGATTTCGGACTAAGAGGGTCTGCATGGACTCTCTTCTGGCACTGCATCAACTGACATGCAAAACCCACGTTGGGGTTTGCGATCCCCCTTGCAGACTTCACCAGCTTGAAGGCATCCTCAAAACTCTGCCCCTTCCTCCACATGAGGTATGCAATAACGAGCGAGGTGGACCTGGACACACCCTGACAACAGTGGACGAAGACCCTACCTCCATGTTCCCTCACATCCTCGAAGTAGTCAAATACATCATACAGTATGCTCGTGATGTCCTCCGTGGGGCTATCTTTCAACCAGAGGGTTTTGTATACAAAGTCCGACTTGAAGTACTCGGGACAGTAATTACCCACACAGTTAAGGATATGAGTTATACCGTTTTGACGGAGGATTTCACGGTTGCGGGCTACCGCATCGCCCCCAAGATAAATGTGGTCGGCCACCTTAGAGCATTCCTTGTCGAAGCATGTGATCCGATCTCTCATTCTTTGTGCCCGAAGCGACGAGAGATCAAGCTTCAACCCATCACCGGGCTTGCTAGCACTGGACGTCCCATTTGGCGTAAAGGGCTGAGACCACTCTCCAACATCATCGGAACCGGCAACAGGCCACTCATCCAGGCTCCGCCGAGCGATGCTGAGTGGGGGTAAGCAGGACCTCGGCTTGCTGTTCTGCTGGGATCTAGGAAGTCGAAGGGATCGGTCACCGGATTCATTGTGCACCGTAGCTGCGGCGTAGCACCGGTTACTTGCATCGTGTTCGCTGCCCCAGGAAACGGACCAAGAAGCGGACCTCCTGTAGATTTTTTGCGGTACAGGCGGCGGGCCACCTGTTGAGGCAGCAGCAGCACCACCGCCACCATCCTCGTTACCACTCATCGCCAGAATCAGTTCCTTCCAACATCCACAAACCCCATTTTCCTGCCTGCTTCAGAGAACCGAACCCACGGTTCAACCTAAGCAGCATCAGGCTGACGCGAAAAAATATACATCTCAACGAACGAATATAATCTAAAATCGAGAACAGATCAAGCTCTTCCCGTCGCCGAGCAGAACAAGCTCGAACTCGTTTCTTCCCTGATGCTGTTTGCACATATGACCAATCGGTAAATACAACTAAACATCAAGAAACATCAGATCTTACGATTCCCAGAATGAGTGACGGCGGCGAATCTCAGATCTAAATAAGGCCGCGGGAGAACGATGACTGACAGAGAGCTCGACGGCCAGATGATCAAAAACCCTAGCAAAGGAGGAACCAAGGACGACGACGAAGTAAGATTGTTCTACGGGGCGTCTAAATAGGGGAATCGATCCTTCGCGCTACAACTACCGAGGCAGCGAGCAGAAACGAGCTTTCTAGAGCCGCACGTGCGGAGTCAAGATTCTGGTGAGGCCCGTGCCAGACATCTGGGCTGTCGACGCCAAACGTTGACCCATCGGACGGCTGAGAGGGATTCTGTATGGCGTCGAACAGGCGCAACGGTCAAACAACGACGACGACTAGGAAGACGGGGAGGCGGCGTCCGGTCCCAGGGACGAGCTGGAACTCGGCCCACTAATTTTTAAAAAGAGATTCGGGCATTTCAATAATTGAATATTCGAACTGAATATCGAAAAAATGAACAAGTGTGAGGAAACGTAAACGAAAATCAATTTTTTACACACGAAAATAAGCATGAAAATAAGCTTTGCTCAATGGCAAACTTATTTTTCATATTAAAAGTAAATAATCTATAAAAAAAAATTACGAGCGTATGATGCATGGATGCCTTTTTTATTTTTTTATTTTTTTATGAAATGATAGGGACTTTAGCGTTGACCCCTTTATTCTTCATATAATAAGGCTAGTCATTTTTCCACGAGTTTGTACTTCCTGAGATGTAGGGGTCAACCTTTTTTTTTTCCTTTTTCCGTTGACTTCTACCCTTTTACTCTCATTTTTTTGGATTAAAAATTTAATAAATATTATGAGCCTATTGGATAATTTAAAAGAGTATTTGAAACTTTAAATAGAAAATGGACTAAAAATAGATGAGTCAATAAATGGGAAATGAAATATAAAGTATTTAACACTATTGAGTATATTTTTACTATTATATTAAATTTACTGAAATAAAATTAAATTCTGGTATGATATCAGCGGTAATCAGATCAAGCCCGATAAATTGGGCCACTAGAAGAAGCTCGAGAAAAATATTATATAATTAAAAAAAACTAATTTTAATAATTATTTTAACATTACATTTTATTGTATATAAAACATGTAAACTACGGTTTAATATTCAAAGGCAAATCTAGACCCACATCTAACCAGAAAAATATTAGCTTTTTTTATCCTTTCTATTAATTATTAAAAAGTGAGTTCGATATTTACGTATAGTGTGCATAGTTTTACCAAGGTATAAAATATTTAATTCCTATTTATTCCCCGTCCCTGTCCAACCAGGCCCAGAGAATAATTAATATATAATACTACCGAGAGTGTGCCTCAAGTGGGCGGGAAAGGGGATTCCACGATATCGTTTCCTTTCCTTTTATGGAACCGGGGGCCGTACGGTCTGGTTTCCCCGGTTTTGAAATCCGAGAGCGCTGTTCCAAGAGGATCCGACAGGGGAGAGGTGTGCGGAGCTCTCGAGCTTACTTGGGAATGATCGGATCCCCACGACTCCGCGCTCCATGACCAGGCGAGGAAGGCCGTGAAGGCGGCGGCGACTGCGGAGGACGGTCTATTCTTTCTGGTGGGGAATGATGGGGGATCCCGGTGGCCTCGGCGGGAGTGGGGGTGGAGATGGAGCGGAGCTACTGCTCTTGCCGGAGTCCGGCGAGAGGAAGCTTCCCTGGCGGTTGAACTTCGAGGGATTCCAGCGGTCTGAGCCGGCGCAGGAGAAGCACGCGCGTGGGCTCCATTACTGCCTCGGTGTCGTAGGTCTGAATCTTGCTGTCTCTCTTCGGGTATCCGTCGTCAATCGTCTTTGAGCACCCACCGGATGAACTCTTGTTCTGACATGAGACTTCAGCGAGTGTACCTTCGTTGTCTTTAGTCGTCGAGATTCTGTTTTCTTTCTATTCCAGCCGTTTCTCGATTATGATTCTGTCTCGCCGTTGCCGGCGTGTACTCTGTGACAGTTCTTTTGTTGGCACGATCACGAAACCTGGTTTTCGTCCACGTGCTCGTGTTAAACTATTCATCATAAAAAAAAAACGTTTTAAAACTGCTCGTGTTGCTACTATTGATTTGCATGCTAAATTGCATCGTGAATGTTGGTAAGGAAATGTATCCGATTGTATCTGATCGGGCCTAACGCTGAGTAAACTGGCCGATCCTGAGTTCTGGCCTCTCTTCTAAGTTTTCTATCACGCACAGGCCGTTTCAATGAAAAATTACTAGTCTACTTAATATAGTGGAATAGGTGGATAACCAATTAAGCATTTGGATAATTAAATTAGGAGACATAGACATACAACCGAACATTCTGTTCGTAAATCAAATGAGAGACAATCATTTCCGAATTCATTTCTCGGATTTTTTTTGTGTGCGCAAATTTTCCATGTTTCGTGTACAGCTGTTATGTTTTTCTATTGAATGCTGGCGAGCTTCGCCTGTATAAATATAATTCATCACAGAAGCCTTGGACGATATGATCTAAAGCTACTCGCTTGAAAATTAGGAGGTGCAGATCGCATTAAAGACTATTATCGGCAGCAAGTGGAGATGTTGGAGGGATTTTCTGAAATGGACATCTTAGCCGATCGAGGGTTTATTCCCGGAATATCTAAGGTTTGCGACATTTTGACGTTGTTGCCTTCCCCTATTGGAAAATTCATCGATCAACTGACAGAGAGCACTTTTTCAATGTGTTCTCGCGTTTTTTTTCTATAACATGATTCTGATTCTTTTTCTAGGAGGAAAAAGAAAATACTGCAAGAAGTGAGGGTGCTGCAATATGGATTTCAAATATAGCAAACATGGTTCTCTTTGCAGCAAAAGTTTATGGCTCTATCAGGAGCGGATCTTTGGCGGTCATAGCATCCACATTGGATTCTCTTCTTGATCTCTTATCAGGATTTATTCTTTGGTTTACAGCATTGTCTATGCAAACTCCGAATCCTTACCAATACCCAATCGGGAAAAGGCGCATGCAGCCACTGGTAAGTTCATTCTTTAATTATTCTGCATGTGGCTGATTTCACTAGCTCATATTTATCATTGTTGAGAGCATCTTTCCAGTCTTCATCATTTTTAGTAATCTTGCCATATGTATCCTTTATAAACTCGTATCAAGGAATGTTTGTGGGTTTAAGCCTTTGGCTTCAAGTCCAAACATACTTTTTGTACACCATACCAGATGCTTTGATGAACATCACCCAAGTTAGACATCACCCAAGTTAGTTCTGGAACAGAAAGAAACTTGAGTCCATTAAGCGAGATCTCAGTAACTCTTTTTCCCATCGGTTTGTAGAGAATAGTAGATAATATTACTCACCGTAGTTAAGTATATGCAAGCAATCTCATGTGGAAACAACCAATGATACAGTGGGGATTTGATTGTGTGAACATGGAAATTTTAGTGTTTCAGTTCTGATAGAAATCTGAAAAACGCAGGGAAACTTTTTGTTTTGTTTCGTTGCTTGCGTAATTGATTACAATTATCTTTGGCCACACTACAGAGATTCAAATCCATAATGGGTATGGATTTGCAGAATTCAAATTAATGAATTCCAGCCACATGCCCAACTAAGCTGGATATACTGCTCGTGTGCTCTGGACTTTTGTGTCTCAAAACATAGGGAGAAGATCTGAACTGTACGAAGGACCTATTATGAAATTCATCCGGTTTTTTTACCTTTGGTCTCCTTGAACGAGTAATGTTCTGCAAGCTATCATGGCAAACTTTACCGTTTTGGGTAATTTAATTCCACATTTAGGATGAAAACCTAAATTTTTTGTGCAGGGTATATTGGTATTCGCCACTGTTATGGCGACGTTGGGTCTACAGATAATACTGGAGTCTGTCCGATCATTAATTTCTGACGTATGGAAGTCTTCCCTCATCTTTATTCATTGATTTCATTGATCATCCGTATTAAATATACTTTCTCTGTGATCTGAGTTAGGATGATTCGTTCAGCTTGAATGAGGACCGACTCCGCTGGATCATTGACATCATGCTATCAGTGATTCTTGTGAAGCTCGCCCTGGTCATCTACTGCCGTTCATTCACCAACAAGATTGTCAAAGCCTATGCTCAGGACCACTTCTTTGATGTCGTCACTAACATCATCGGCCTCTTAGCTGCCCTCCTCTCCAGCTATGTGAGACATTGGATCGACCCTGTAGGAGCCATTATTGTAAGCACATCCCCTATAACCTTCTTCCTTAATTTATTTTGTCTGAAATTTATCACTGTCGTATGACATGTTGACCGCCTGCTATCACAGCTATCATTGTACACAATCCGGACCTGGTCAACAACGGTGCTGGAAAATGTCAACTCTCTGGTTGGCTGCACGGCGGCGCCGGATTACCTGCAGAAGCTGACGTATCTGTGCTGGAACCACCATGAGGCCATAAAGCACATCGACACTGTCCGAGCCTACACGTTTGGCTCTCACTACTTTGTGGAGGTGGACGTCGTGTTGCCGTCTGAGATGCTGCTGAGACAGGCTCACGACATCGGGGAGACCCTGCAGGAGAAACTCGAGTCCCTGCCGGAGATCGAGCGAGCCTTCGTACACCTTGATTACGAGTTCACCCACAGACCAGAACACGCCCTTGGGCGACTCTTGTAGCACAAGGTCAGGGCCTCTCTGGTTCTTCTTCCTCCACCTCATCTCCAAATCCATCCGTGGAAAAATATCTAATTTCCATTTATATTGATTATGGTGTTCAATAATACGAAATAAATCATGCCCTTGAAATATATGTTTGTCTTTTATTTTCACTCATATCGTCAGGTTATTTTTTGTCTAATTTTTGTAGTCAGTCTTCGTGACAAAGCTATCAAAACTGCAATGTCAAAATGAAGAATAATTTCTGATTGTTCTTCCTTCTCCTTGTCTGCCCATCCATCCGTGGAAAAATATGTGATTTCCATTTATATTGATTCTGACGTCCAAAAATACGAATTAAATCATGTCATTGAAATATATTCTGTCGTTATTTTCACTCGTATCATCAATTTCTTTGTTCTGTCATCTGTGTTTTTGTAGTCAGTCTTCGTGACGAGGCTATTAAGGCTACAATTTCTGTATGAAGAACACTTTCATTGACGCGTGTTGAACACTTTCATAAACACGTGAATGTGTGAATATTTTCTGTTTAGTTATATAATTTAAAATGACGTTATTCTTGATTACATTCTGTTTTAGAATTCTGCGAATTTATTCACATTTATAAAATTTGCATTAAATACAGTTGAAGTGTAACGATGTTTCATGAGTCTATATGTAACTTTTCTACATTTTATTATTTGAATTTTATTTATAATATATTTATAAAAAAATGTTCAGTAACTTATAAATGTATCTATTGTCGGATGCTTGGACCAGATGACCAGCACTCCACTCTCGCTGAATGGTCTCATTTGCTCGGTTGAAATTATCAATGTGGGTTTGAAAAAATTAACATTTTTATAATTAAAGGTATTTAATAATGCAATTTGACTGAATTAGATGTTAAATTTCTTTGGCAACGCATATGATAAATAATGCGTAATATAAAAAAAATACATTTAATGATGATGCACCGTTGTCGATTTAAACGAGATAAGAACAAGTCGATCAAACTCTAACCAAGTCACAACGTTTACCAGTTGGTCCATTGGAAGCATAGAGTGAGAGAATTCTCTCACAAGGTTTGGTCTCGTCTGATGTAGAAACAAAGGATGTTTTGTGTTTGCCAGATCAAGAGGAAAAGCCGGATGATGTGAATCGAGCCACATCAGATCCTCATGGACGATGTGCTCTTGTACCAAGAGGAAGAAATGACCGTACAACTGTGGTTTACTGTCATCCCTTCTCTCTGTATGTGTCTTCATGATGCACTTGCCGTGGTTTTGTCTTTTGATATTCATCGTTCACATGAGAATTTCATACCAATTGGTTGGAATTGAAGGAATGACAACCCTGGGTATGTTGATATATGCAAAGGAGTTAATCTAGATTCCCTTGATGAAAGTATGCTAAAGGACTCTTGGTGGAAGAAGAGTCTAGTGAAGAGATGATAGTGCCTTTTGGTATGCTTACTGTGTCAAAGACAAACCACAAATTGATTGAAAAGTGAGAATGTTTACCTCTAGAACAACCTAGCATCTGTCTTATAAGATCATCCATTCTATCCAAGATGTGGAGAGGGTTTAGCTCTTAGTTTTAATGATTTGGGGTGATATTTTATTTTCACTTAATATGACATATTTCATGAGTTTGAAATGTTGGATTTTGTGGCCTTGAAGACAAAACAATATTTTTGTGATATATTCTTTCTCTTGCATCAAAGAAGCTTTAGTGAAGTCCTGTCCATATATGCTTTTGGCTAACTACTCTACCCAATTTCCACTGTGCATTGTGTGCTAGTGGTGTCATAACTAGACCTTTTCCTCTTTGTCCAAATAGACTATGTTGCTTAGAGATGGTCAATAAAATAAAATAACTATTCAGAAAGTTTCAAAAATAAATATTTATGTCTTGTGAAACAAGTTAATTGATACATTTGACCAGTGGTTGTTGGATCAAAAACCTACTTGAGTTTGAAAAATGTTGCTTATGTGATTTAGACAACAAGCAATAGGAAAGAGGAAGAGTAATTAACTCATAGCAAGAGCATTGAGAGCAAGAAATTTTGATGTGATTCTCTAGTCGACCTCCTATGTCTATGGGAGACAATGATGAAAACTGTATTAGACATGAAAGTTTACAAGATAAGCAATCTAATAACATGATAAATATAATGTCAAGTACATACCATAGTAAACTTAATGCTACCAACTACATTCACATATGAAACTTTGTTCATCAATTTTATCTCTTTTTTTGTCTTAATTGAATCTTGAACAACTAATTTGAAATGGTCACCACCAGAGTACTTACAATCTTGTAATCTTTTTTATACTAAATTGTTCCAACATTTTGTTCACATACTATTTTTGAGACAGTTACAACCTCCTAATGCTCCTCTTCTGTAATCATGATGACCAAAATATTCTTTTTTGTGCTCTAAGATCTTTCTTGTTGAATTCATCACTCATATGATATTTGAAATGATTAATGTATGATATGTGTTTGGTAGAGATCAATTTGTCATAATAATTAGATAAAATAACCAAATGAAAGTTGATAATATGATACTTTTAGTAAATGAGATAAATATGTGTTATTTTCTCATGATAAACTTGAGCTTTTTTGATCTGTCTATGCTGCATTGCGGCTGCTGCTAGACTCAATATCTCTTCAGTTGGACAATGTAATTTTAGCTCATGTTAAAATCATAGTTTCTAAAAAATTAAAATAGACATACATTCTTTCTCTTATAACTTGGGCTAAAGTCTTGCTATAGTGTTTCTATCTATACCTTCCTATAACATATTACTCACTAAGTTTAGATGAATTATAATAAGAGCACATTCTAAGTATTATTCGTTATCTTCATCTTTTTACGTATATGGCTGAGTTTCATTGTCCTAAATTATCTTACTTACTCTTTGTGGTGCTGGTGATGATTACATATTATGTCGTCAAATGGTAAAATCCTTCATCTTTCCATCAAATACTTAATGTCAAACAGATTACTAATGTTGACTTAATGGCATCAATAATGAATACGAACCAAATCTAAAGAAAACTATAATATCAACTTTTTGGAACAACAGTTTACTTTGATCTGTGCAATTTTGGTCATGTGACTTGCATGACAAGAAGAAAGATGAAGAAAAATCAACTCATAGAAAAAGCACTTACACAAAATTTTTAATGTGGTTCAGAGGTTAGCTTCTTATGTCTATGAGTGACAAGGACGAAAGTTCTACTAGATGTAAAAAGGATAAGAGAACTCTGACTAATATTTCAATAAATAAATCCTTAATCTTGGCCTTCAAAACTCTCACTAACTTAACCTGGGATATTCTCCTTAGAACTTATCTAAGTACTCCCAGATGAGATGTACAAATAGAGAAGAAGAGGCCCCTATTTTTAGACAGTCGGAAGACCTTGTAGCTGCTAATGGGCCACTTGAAACGCGTCCTAGAATCTCATAGTTGCGGGCCATTTCATGAGAAACAATCAACCAAGTCATTGAGTCATTTCCTCTTCCGCTTGTTGGTTCTGGTTTGTGTATTATCATGCCATTTATGTATGTGAAAATTGGTCCACAATTGGAGATTTTCCTCCTCTCATGGATGGCTGTCTCCGCTATATTAAATGTGACTTTCATGAATTTAACAAAGAACATGTGAAATTTTGAAGATAAATATTTTCCCTGCATTTTTAGTAGTCATGGACTTGAATTTTTACGTCAAAGTTTAAATATGTCCCCGAAAAACATAGATTTATGTTTTGGAAATACTTTTCTACAGTAGCTGCCGTATTTGATTCAGTGGTGATTTATTTTTTGATTCAGTGGTGAGGTACTGATAATATATAATTTGAATCAATCCAATGGGATGCCCACATTTATCGAATGGCATCATAAATCACCCTTTCAGTTTGGTGGACTGTAAATTTCTTTCTTGATGGCCAGTGGAGCCATTTTCCAGATCATGGTTATAATTTAATGGATTTTATGATTTATAATTAGAAATTTTGAAGTTCTACGGCAGCTCTGGTGCACATTTAAGGGGAAAAATCACCTTGAGGCTCTAAAAAGAGGTCGTCTGTAGACCAAATGCAACAAGAAAGAGGAGATTCTTCATAGCTCCTTTCAACTGCTTAGAGAGGCATGTGCCTCACGACATGCCTTTACAAATTTAGGTATTTTTTCAGTTTTGATAGAGATAATGCTAGTTTTCATTGTTTTCTCCTCGACATGCCTTGATAGAGGTCGTTTTTTATTTATTTATTGAGATCTTGCTTAATTTTTTGCTATTTTTACTAGAACAGATACGCAATTTCTTCAATAGACAATGAAGTTCTCATCAACGTAGTTTGTTGATGAAAACATCCAAAAACCTTCATAACATAACACTTTCACGAATTTTATAGCCTTGAATATGTTACCCGTCATTTCCAATGCTCACTTGAACCTTCAGCTTCCAATCGGCCATGATCAATTATACTTTGCCATGTGGAATCCAGCCTCTTTTGGGGAGAAATGAGGCGTCATTTCCATTAATCTGACAAGATCTGCACAACCTAACGCCATCAATCATTCTTGTTCGTTGATAAAAACGTAGGTTGATCGATCGCAAAGGGTGCAGCTAGATTTGCTCGATATATATCGTGAAGGGTACTAGAGTGTTCCTGTATCTGAGGTCCCATGTAATTCATCTCACGCAATCGTCGTCCTCCACAAGCTCATTTGATAATGTATGGTGGCCAAGAACCGATATTCCAGAGAGTCTGTGGTCAGGTGAGCAGCGCTCAATCATTCTTAGATAAGACCCCGTACACCTTCGAGCATCATCCCTATCTTTTCCCCTTTACATGGGACACCTTTCTCTCACTCTGGTTTGTCCACGTCCAGATGTGCACCTTTTTCTCTTGGAATTAATGACTCTCACTCTGGGTGGTCAGATCTGAGGTTTCCGTGTGGTGTCTCCTTCAGCACTTCACCGATTTTATCTAATTTGTCTGAAGAAAATAATCTCCCTACCAATATTTTAACAAATTATTTATTTTCTTTGGGATCAGTTTGCTGGTATTGGATAATATCATGCTTAGCCTTAGCTCCTCGTGCATTCAAATTCGTAATATCTATATACATATATATATATTTATTCATGTTGGTTCAGAGATGTAGCAAGATGTTATATGAACCAGAGATCCACACTTGAACGGCGACGTAGATCAGCGGCCGTCTGGGATGAACTGGGGGGATGAATGCTCCTCCCCCTGGGGAAGCAGGATCTCGAACTGACGGCCGGCATTCTACTGGGCCTGGGGAATTGACCGGACCATGGTCTCCCCTGCTGACGTGTTCATTGACCCGGTTCTTCTCCTCCTCCTCATCTTATCCACATCCCACTATTTCGCGATCTCCCGAGCCCGGTCTGCGAAACTTGTGATGGAGCGCTTCGGGCGGAGCTCCCCGAGGAGATAGCAAGGTCGTCTCCCTGGTCGGCCAAAAATATCTCCTCCCACCACTGGTGCACTTTTTACTGCCGTCCACTCGTTGCCGGAGGATAACGCAGGGAGAGAGGGGGGGGGGAGGGGGGGGCGCGCGTTGGCGGTGGCTCGCGCCGGGCTCGTCCCCGTGACTGACCAGTCTGAGCCGCGCGAACACGTGGGCCGGCTCAGCGGGCGCTCCTTGTCGCTTTCCGGTCCGGAGAGGGACGTGACCGGAGCTCGCCGCGGGGGTTCCCTCAAACCAATCCAGAACTTCCGCATGGGAGGATGGGGGACCGCCCTCTGAGCTTCTCCTCCCCGCCGCTATCATCAGCTGCGCGCTAATGGGGGGGGGAAGATGACGTCCAAAAGCAGCCGACGCCGATGGCCTGGCGGGCCGTTGGGCCGTCGGCCTATGCGTGCCGGCTTCTCCTCCTCCGCGGTGGATCTTCCTCATCTTCTCTCCACCAATGGGATTGACCTACCACGCCATCTCTGGCCCCGCCATCGCCACCTCGTATTGCTTCCCTTTTCCCACCTCCCCCGCCGGGATTCGCAGGTCGCTAATATTATTGTTCTCTATTAAGCTCCCCGTTGCACCTCCGTCATCAAGGAGAGCGGGGGACTTCCATTCATTTAGACATTCCAGCACCCTTCCTCGGTCGCGACGTTTGTCTCCTGTGGTTCCTTCTTCTTGTTCTTGTTCTTCTCCTGGCCGGGCGGGCATAGGGTTGGAGATCAGCGCGTCATGGGAGATGCCGCCTCGGCTTCTTATATTCGCATGGTAATTTTTTTTTGGTGGGGAGGGGGGGGGAGGGGAGGGGGGGAGAGAAGAACGCACAGAGCCTCACCATTACCATTATCTCTGTTACACCCTCCCTCCCTCCCTCCCTCCCTCCCTGACGGTCAGTCCTTTTGGTCGGTGGCTGGTTTTAGGTGCAACACCTGATCGAGAAGTGCCTCATCTTCCACATGAGCCAGGAGGAGTGCGTGGAGGCCCTCTTCAAGCACGCCAACATCAAGCCCGTCATCACATCGACTGGTCTGCCCCCCTCCCACCACGCCTCTCTCCCCTTCTCTCTTGTCTCTCTCTCTAACTCCCACGGCTGCTGCTGCTGCTGCTGCCTTCGTACCTGGTTCAGTTTGGAAGGAGCTGGAAAAGGAGAACAGGGAGTTCTTCGAGGCCTACGATCGTGAAATGCAGCACCGGGCCTTCCAGGAGGACGCGATGCAGGCGATCCACAAGCTGCTCTCGGAGTTCGCTTCCAGAGACCCCGACGAGTAGACCCACCGCCACCTGCCGGTGACTCGTCGCCGCCGGTGCAGTCGGACTGATGGGCGGCGGGATAACCGGCAGCCGTCAGCTATCGCCGCCTTCCGACGGCGGCTAGATGGGCGGCGGCCAGTGTATATAGCAAGCAAGCAACCCCCCCCCCAACGCAGCCTTGATTGATTACTTTTCCGGCTTCATCGTTTCTCGTCCGATCGCAACCATCCGGCGGCCATTAATCGATCAGGTGGTCTTCATCGGTCGAATGATTGGGCTTCGCTTTTTAGGGAATGTGTGACTCTTTCCTCAGATTCCCGGCCCCTCCTGCGGGTCATGCTCGTCGCCGCCAGCACAGGAAATATCTCCTCCTCCTCGTCGGAGACGAGCATGTGAAGACTCGACTGACTTTATCGCCTCTGACGGGCAGAGTACGGAATGTACGGCCCTTCAGCATATGAAGGGAGAGAGAGAGAGAGAGATCCTCGATTAAGGTAGGTTCGTAATGGGTGGTTGAGGGAGGGGCTATGGAGAGATTGGGTGCCATTAGAGTCGGAGAGAAGATTCTGCCGTCCAACGCCGGGGCTCTCGTGGGTTTAATTATACTGCAGAAGGGTTGGAGATTACCACTATGGGATTCTTCGAGGAGTAGGAAGAGGGAGGGAGAGGGGGGAATGTACCTCTCTCGTAGGTCTGAACTCGCCCAGAGGGAATGAGATCCACGGCGCCGCAAGACGAGACATCTTGCTATCCCAGAGAGAGTGTGAGAGAGTGAGTGAGTGAGTGAGAGAGAGAGAGAAAGAGAGAGAGAGAGAGAGAGAGAGAGAGAGAGAGAGAGAGAGTACTGAAGAGAAAAAAGAAAAAAAAACTTACTTTAAGAAAGAGAATCTCACGTGGAAGAGGTAAACACACTGCACTGACTTGCCGCCGCCCGAGCCTTCTTCGTACAGTGATAACACAAGTTGTGCGAAGAGATCCAAGTCGTGAAAATTCATTATTATGTGGGTCAATGGGCCGGTTTAAATCAGTTCCATTCGGCCCATATTAGGCGCATTTCCCTGTCCTGACCGGCCCCTCTCTCTCTCTGTATCTCTCTCCAAGTTTTATGGAAGTGTTGCTTTGTCCCCAGTGCATGAACTCTACGTAAGTTTATTTGGTTCGCAAGAATATTCATATTGGGCCCAAGTTAACTATGGGCTTATAATGGGCCGAGTGATAATGGGCCATCTCGAGGTTGGATTTAGCGGGCCATTTTTGTGTTTATCCGGGTCAGCGGGAAGGGTTTTAGGGCATCCGGTGGGGAGGCGGCGGAGGGGGGAGAGAAGATGGGGATGGAAGCTCTCTGCGATCTCCGTCGTGCTCTCCTTCCCAGGGTCCCCCGGGTATCCCTTTTCCGACCTGTGAAACCCTTCTCGGTCATTGTCTTCTCCCGGGAGCCCTTCCCCTCATCCGGGTTTCCTACCTTCCGGCGGCCGTATCTGTCCGTCAGGGCCTTCGGGGGCCCGCTGAGCAGCGTTCCTCCATCGTCGAAAGGGGAAACCTCGGATGGCGCCGTCTTCTCCCTGCTGAAGCCTCTGTGTGTCGTCCTCGCCATCGGGGCAGCTCTCTTCTCCGGCCTGCACAAGCCCTCGGCTGCTCTAGCTGTTCCTCCCGTCGCGGAGTCGGATACCCTCCCTTCACCCTCCCCGGCCACTGAGGAGTCCGAGGACCTCAGCGAGGAGGAGAAGGAGCGGAGCCTCGAGGACTACCTGGAAACTTACCCCGAGGATACGAAATCTCTTCGCGCTCTGATGAAGCTCAAAATCAAGGCGCAGAAACTCCCCGAGGCCATCGCCATAGTCGACAGGCTTATCCTCCTCGAGCCCGGTGAGAAGGACCTGTTTCTCCTCAAGGGCCACCTGCAGAGCTACGGCGGGGACACGGAGACTGCGAAGCAGATGTTTGAGGAGGTCCTCCGCAAGGACCCCCTCTTTGTGGAGGCCTACCACGGGCTCGTGATGGCAGCAGCTTCAGGTTCGGAGTCTGAGGGGTTTGCCCTCACAGGCATTCTCGAGAGGATTCAGGGTGCGATGGAGCTGTGCAAGAAGGAGAAGAAGAAAGAGGAACTGCGAGACTTCAAGCTGCTGGTTGCCCAGGTCAGGGTCATGGAGGGGATGTACGAAGAGGCCCTCGAGGTCTACCAGGAGCTGGTGAAGGAGGAGCCAAGGGATTTCCGGCCATACCTCTGCCAGGGGATCATATACACGCTGCTGCGGAAGAAGGACGAAGCGGGGAAGCAGTTCCAGAAGTATCGGCGCCTCGTCCCCAAGGGTCACCCGTATGCCCAATACTTCGACGAGAACATGAAAGCCATGAACATCTTCCCACAGATGGACGGGAAGGCCAAAACTGCTTCCCTCCAGAGGTAACCAAGCGTGTTCTGAATTGCCCAAGATTGCCCGGTCATATCTGCCTCCTGCCGTAGGTCCAACATTTCTTGTTATTCTTCCATTGCAATAAGGCAAACCCAGAGTGCCCTCTTCCTCTTCTCTCCATATCCCTGAGTATGCTTGCCTTCTGCTGTGATCTTGCTATGTCTACTGAGTGGGGTGTAGGAGCCCATGGGAGCATCAACTATTTCCTCTTCAATCATCATATATTTGACCTTCAACTTTGGTACTTTATCTTACCATGAATTAAACCCTTGTTAGAACTCTCCAGTGGTGTAGGCCCGAGCTCCATGAACTGTGATGAACACAACCGATTTCTATATATGGGCAATCTTGCTGCATACTCAGCTCATCTTCTGCCCACAGGGAGCGAGATGCCGAGATTATTTATTTATTTATTTATTTTTAAAAAACCCAAACATGGTTCTTCCCATTGATCTTAGTCAGGAAATTATCTCATTGATTCAGTCCATTGCTCCACCATACACTGTAGCTTCTTCCCAGATAATCCTCTGTATGTTGTCCCTGAGCTCTGATTTGGGCGAGCTATTGTTTCTCTCGCTCTAGATTATCCGAAACATTGCTGATATTATTTACCCAACTTGCTTAAAATGGCGGTGAAAGATGGCGGAGTCGCTCGGAGTTCATTTTTTCAGCAAAAATGATTTTTTTATGAAGGTCGGTATTATTTTGAATGACTAGTCTATAAAAAATCTCAGTATTCTTTTGGTCGTATGGAAAATGGGCCAATATGGGCCGATTTTCCTTTTTCAGTCCTGAACTAAATAGCCTGCTAGAGTCAGCCCACTATCTCTAATTGACGGATTCCTTGGATCCTTATCCTCCCTTCTTTCCGACCTCCACAGAGCAACGTCTTTAAATCGTAGCCATCTATCGGCCTGGGGCAACCAATCTGACAGCGTGGCCGGTGGGCCCGGACCCAATTACTCGGTAACTGATGCGAGCAGCAATAGAATTAATACACTTATAGAGAAATATTCGCATTAAAGAACTTTGCAGGAATATTAAATAGCATGACGAAAGTGCTCCAGTCAGATTACTGTGCGAGGGGCGATCGCCGACAGCTTCGAGAGTCGTGTCAGGACACACGTGGGCCCACTCCCTGACGCCTCCGACGTGGCCTGTGGGGCTCGTGGCGATTTACCCCTCCTCCCCCGGTGAGGGGTAGATTTGCTTACTATCCTTCCCCGGGTCTCGCCAGGAGAGCATTTCTTACACTCCAAAAGGCAACGTCCTCTTCCTCTTCCTCTCTCTCTTTCGCCCTTCGCCCTTTGCTCGCCGCCGCCGCCGCCGCCGCCGCCACCTACTGCGGCGGACCATGACGTCGTGGCTGGTCAGAGGAATGAAGGGGATGAGCCTTTCATGTACCGTTCCGGGATCAGAGGAAGAGTGGGCCGGCGTTGACAGCCGGGAACCGGTCGACGGCCGGGGGAGACCTCTTAATTCTCAGCCGCCGTCGCCATCGAAGCAGAAGACCCGCTTCCAGAAGAGCCGGAGGAGCTATCAGCGCCAGAGCGACTCTGTCAATCCCCTGGCTTCGACCCGTTACCTTCTCGACGGTGACGAGTCTTTTCTCGAATCGTTCCTTGACCTCGACGCGCTTCCAGTGTGGAGCCGCATCGACTCGGCTCGATTCCACTCGGTTACGGGGGACGACTCACCCTCACTGAAGCCTTCTTACTCTTCTGCTTCTTCTTCGTTTTCCTCTTCCGTGGCTACTGCTCCGCCGGTCGAGTCTCCGACGGCTGAAGAAGACGATTCCGCCGCCGGAAGAGTTTGCCCTCTCGGCAAGTCTCCGGAGCAGCGGCGGTCATTCTTGAACGAGTCTTCCCCACCGCCGGAGACGACGACGACGACTCTTCCCCCTACAAAGGAAACCAATTCTTCCACTGCATCCCGAGAAGAACAGGTTCACGCATCTCTCTCGAATAACGGAAATACCTTTTTAACCAGCCGGAATTTCCTGGTTCACATTCAAGGTATTACGGCGACCATCACGATTATTTCCTGGTTCGCTTCCTCCTGCGCCGCAGGTTGTCGTCTTGAAGGTTTCTCTCCACTGCAAGGGCTGCGCGGGGAAGGTGAGGCGGCACATCGCCCGCATGGAAGGTGAGATAGATACATCGAGAGAGAGAGAGAGAGAGAGAGTATGGTTAATTATTTTATTACAATATTTATGCTTGATGAGCAGGGGTGAGGTCGTATAACATAGAATTCGACGCGAAGAGAGTGACGGTGGTTGGGGACGTGACCCCTCTGGGCGTCCTCTCAAGCGTCTCCAAGATAAAGAAGGCCGAGTTCTGGGCCCCCGCATGATGGTCCCGCGTCCTCCTCACGGGTGTGTTTTAATAAGAAAGGATTTTATTTATTTATTATTATCTTTTTAAAATATTTTTGCAGGCGTTATTATCGATGCGTGTGGCTGTTAAGTGGCAAGTTTTCATTATATAAAATTTCTAACGTAGCGGTTCAGGACCCTGTATCCGCTGGTCTCGACGGTCGGTGCCGTGGACCCGGTTCATCGGTCAGAGCCCGATTCAGTCCTAGATCTCTTCACTCCAGGCGCAAAAAGCTCTCTTATTGGGCTTTTCACCACGTAATCAGATCTTCACGGGCTGAAGGCAGGGACGACTTCCTCGCCGTCGGATGGAATACGCATTCATGTCACGCGCAGAGAGAGAGAGAGAGAAAGAGGGAGAGAGAGAGAGAGGACATACGTGTCTCGATGCCAGGCATCCTGGGCTTCATCCCAGGGGGTTCCATGACACCTTAAAAGTCAACGAGATCGGAAAGAGAGAGTTGGGAAGATTTGGTTTGCCGCTCTGGGTTTGGCTCGACCACCCACTATTGCTCACATTTATTTGGATAATCTTTTAGTACCGTGATTTTAAATGGGCTCGTTGACCAGAATTCCGCTCAGCCCATTTTCTCAGGTGATCGAGAGAGAGGATCTTGATTCCAGACAGCCAGCCAGGGCTTCATCCCAGGGTGTCCATGATAGCTTTAAAGTCAACGAGTTCTGAGGGAGAGAGTTGGTAATATGATTTTAATTGGGCCTATTGACCATAATCCTACTCGGCCCATTTTCGCATGTGGTCTCACTACGAAGGCGGCGGTTCCCCCAGAGGTCGCTCGATCGTCTCTGGCCGTCTCCGGACGCGCCGTCGCCAGCGGCAACGTGTCGTCCAAGAAAGCGGCACTGGAACGAAAGGAAGATTTGTCTTTACATGAACGCTACGTGGCAGTCGCGGAAAAGTGGTTTTTCACTACCCGTTGACCCGCTGTCACCGCCGCCGGAAAGAGAGACCTCCCTCTTGCCGATACCCGCCGCCTTTCTCCCTCTAAAATTTGAAGGAATGAAATTATTCAAATAAATTAAATTTAGGGTAAAATAAAGTGCAACTGGAGGCGTCAATTGGTATATATTTAGGGATCCGGGCCCCACCTTTGACCTCCGGCGAGCCCAAACCGGCCTAAAATGATAATAGGGAATGAATGCCACATCAGCTTGCTTACACGTGTTGACGTGTTCACTAAGTCGTTACGTTAGGGCTTTTTTTGCTCGACGTAGGCTTGAAGAGGACGGCGTCGAATATTAGGTGCGGATTAAGTCATGATGCGGCATTAAATGGGGCAACCGATAGGTCGGTTGACCGGGTCGGTCCGAGAACAAGTCGGGTATCAACGCGGGGCCAAAGTGGGCCCCGCAGACCTCATTCCTACACAAACGCCCGCATTTGGAAGAGGACGAACAGAACACCACGTCCGCAAAGACTCCCCCCACCAGCGAGCTACCTCACCCACCTGGAGCTCCAACTTGGGATCTTCTTCTTCTTCTCCTCCTTCTTCATCTTCTTGTGGTACTTTTCATGGCGAGGGAAGGGTCCAAGCACGGGAAAGGAGGTCGGAGTGTGCATTCCTCCACCACCTCGTCGCCGTCGACAAGCGCTCCCTCCTTCCCGGTCCACACCTTCTGCGGCGCCATGATGGAGGAGAACATGCTCGACGCTGAGGATATCTTTACCTTGTGGGATCCGGTGGGATCTTCCTCCGCCAAGATGAGGCCCCTCTTCTGCGGAAGCCGAACAGAGGCCCGGCGGTTCCTGCGGGCCGTCGACAACCTCCAGCGCGCCATGAAATTCTTCGCGGAGGACTCTTCCATCTCCGGTACCGCCGCCATCATCCGCTGTCAGAACCTCATGCAGGCCGCGATGCGCCGCCTCCGGCGAGAGTTCCATCAGATCCTCTCCGCCAAGCGCGATACCCTCGACTCAGAATCCGTCTCCCACAACTCATCCTACTCCTCACTCAGCGACCTTGAGAACGAAGATGTCAGCTCCCCCACCGAGTCAGTCGGCGACCTCCAGCGAGCCTCCGATCTCCGATTAATCGCCGACTCCATGATCTCCTCCGGTTACGGCAAGGAGTGCGTCGACATCTACAGGCTCGTCCGCCGCTCGGTCGTCGAAGAGGGCCTCTACAAGCTCGGATTCGACAAATCCACCCCGAGCCAGGTGCAGAGACGCGACTGGGATCTCCTGGAGAACAGGATATGGAACTGGGTGGCCGCGTCCAAGGTCGCCGTTCGAGTTCTCTTCTCCGGAGAGCGGGTCCTCTGCGCCCAGATCTTCTCCTCCTCATCTGTCCGCGAGACTGTCTACGCCGAGATCGCCGCGGAGGCCGCCACGAGGTTCTTCGGGTTCCCAGAGCTGGTGGTGTCGAAAGCCAAATTCTCGCCGGAGAAAATCTTCCGGTTGCTGGACATATATGAGACCATCTTGGATCTGCTGCCGGACATCGAATCACTTTTCTCCTATCAGTCAACGTCCGCCGTCCGGTCTCAGGTTGTCGCCTCCCTCCTCAAGGTCGGGGAAGTGGTCCGGTTCTTGTTCGACGAGTTGGAATCGTCGATTCAGAAGGAGCACTCCAAGGAGGTGATTTCCGGCGGCGGGCTCCACCCGTTGGCCCGGTACGTGGCGAACTATATCTCCCTCCTCGCCGACTACAGCAGCACCCTCGAGGACGTATTCGCCGAGCACCCCGTCGAGATGCCTGCAGAGTCCTTACTCGAAGCAGGCACTTTCATGTCGGCGCCGCCGTCTCCATCGTCCCGGGGAGGAGAGGGCCCCCTCTCCACGGTATCTCTCCGGATAGGATGGCTCATCTTTGTCCTCCTCTGCAAGCTCGATACCAAGGCGGAGCACTACGGCGAACCAGCTCTGGGTTACCTTTTCCTCGCCAACAACCTTCACTACATCGTCAGCAAGGTCCGCCGGTGCAAGCTCTCTGATCTCTTAGGCGACGACTGGATGGCGACCCACGCGGCCAGGGCGCGACGGTACGGCGCCAACTACGAGCGGCTGGCGTGGAACGACGTGCTGGGGGCGATCCCCGCCGATCTCGCCGCCATCTCCGAGATGGACGCGGACGAGGTGGCGCTCCAGATGCGGCGGTTTAACGATTCGTTCGCCGCGGCGTGTAGGAGGCAGGCCAGCTGGGTGGTGACGGATAGGAGGATGGCGGAGGAGCTGAAGCTGTCCATAGCCGGGAAGGTCATCTCGGCTTACCGGCCGTTCTACGTGAGGTGCCGCGGGGAGGGAAGCTCTGGTGGCGCCGTCCGCTTTGCTCCGGAGGACTTGGCCAACTACATCTCTGATCTCTTCTGCGCCGGCACCGGGTCGAGCGTCTCGTCGGGGTCCGGGTCGTCCAAGGATGCATCGTCGCGGCGGTGCTCAAAAACTGTGTAGTTAACCGATTCAGACTAGAGAACCCTGACCTGTGTATCCGTGATCCTAAGGTTTCCGAGCACGGAAGCTTCGACAATGATACAAATAGTCAGCGGTATCGATTGGAAACTTCAAGGCACCCAGTCAAAAGCGCTTGATTTCCAATTAGTCAAAAGCACCTGATTTCCAATTAATCAAGCCAGAACTTAACGATATAGAATTACTTGTCTTTTATGGAAAAACAGTTGAGTAAGACAACCGATGGGGAGACCAAATCCAATTTTTTTTTCAAGGATAAGCTTCTCTTGAGGTCGTTATGACTTCATTGAACCCTAAAAGACCACTAGATAACATTGATTTTATCACAAGTGGCACCATAGATAAAACATTATAAGTAATTTAAGGTAAAAGAAAAATATAATTGATCTTCCCTCAAAGTAAGCCGCATATATTTATCTCAGTAATTTCTTCCTTGACGAGAATATTTGCTTAGCAAGCATTAGAAAGACATAAGCTGTGAAAAATATCTATAATTTGTCTTCTTTTAAATTAAATTACAACCTATATCAATGTGTTGTGCACTGGAATTTCTCATGTGTAAAACTGAAATTACACTCATTTGGGAATTTAGTAAGAAATCTTAAATTTTGTGACCTGGATTGGTTATATCTACCATAGTATTTGCCATGATAACCAGATCTAACGGTTTGATATTGTTGTTGACTTGATTATTAATTTCAGTCTTATCTTTCTTGCATATATCTGGTGATTGAAACTTTTCATTTTAATAAGTCATTTTTATGAATGTAATCAAATATAATTAAACATCATATGAAGTTTTTAGAGATGAATCATCAATATTTTTATGAATTATGTATACGATATCCATAACTTGATTAGTATTTAATCTCTTTATGTTTATTTATTTTATTTTAATATAATTGACACATGTCAAAATCTTTATAATTAAGTGGGTATATAATGTCTTTAGACATAAGTCAATTAATTATTTCAAGAAATATGACATAATCTTTTATGCCATAGTGAAATAGAATTCTCATTAATTACTGTACGTTTTTTTACTCGAACTTATATATATGATTTTATTTAATGAGACTATAATATCAAACACATAGATTATTGTTAATATATAAATAAATGGCACTAGTGCAATTGAATTCTGAAAGGGACTTAATTTATTATTTATAAACGAATAATAATAACTAAATTTATTTAAATCAAAATTAGATATGAAACTCTTTCTAAAAGACAATTTATGGTAAAATATATCTCACTCAAATTCAAATGTCTTTATTAGATTAACTTTCACTACATTGTCATCGCTCGCATAAGATGTATCTTCACCATTAATTAATTTCTGGCAATAGAGATAGATCTATATAAAGAAATTTATGTGAATAGTTACACCTAAGTCTATCTACCATGTATGTGTAGGTACATAAATTAAATTAGCATTGGAGTCAATTAAAGTAAAAATGTTATTTTTCTTTGCATACTAAAAGTAATACTTGTTGCAATCTTTCTCTATGTCTACTTCCTTTGCAAAACATATTCCTATACATTTTTACTTACTTTATACTTCATAGATCTTATATTTTTCAAAATAGTATTTATTTAAACCTTTCATTATTTCTAAATCTTTTTTCTCAATACCTTCAAGAAATTTTTGGTCATTGTGACGTTTTCAAACATAGTGCTACTAGAGGTTTCTAGAATGACTTATGTGCTGATCATAAGAATTGTTTTTAATAAATCCTAGTTATTTATATCTATCTTCTTTTTATGTGATGTGGTCTAAAATATAAACACTAAAGAGTCTAAAATTAGAGGTCAAATCACTTTAGAATAGATGGTAAAGATTTCTAATTTTATGTCAGAATTGCACACCTAATGAATATTGTGTAGCACTAACCCATCTTTGATGGCTCAAATTTTCTCTTTTATACTATCTATATTGATCACATAACCCAAAAATGTTAGACTTTTTGTTATGAAATTTATTTCGTCAAATTTTTATATATATTAACATAAAATTTTCCATTGGTCAGGACTTGAAATATTGATCATAAGGGATTGATATATACAATATTTTCCTATTCCTCACTAAGTCAAATTTAGATTTGATGATATCCACATTTTAAATCAACCTTGAAAAAAATCTGAACCATATAACGTATCAATTACATCATCTTGTCATTGATAATAAAATTATACATTATTGTGATCTTGTATGTTGTAGACAAACAAGTGTTAGTTACCATTCTTTTTCAAAACTAGGAGATCAAAAATAGAGTATTGACTCATGCTTTTCTAAATAATATTTTTTGACTCTAACTCATCAATTTGTTATTGTAAAATTCAATTTTCTTTTGGGCTCATTCTATAATATGATAAACTAGGTAAACTTGATCCTATAATAAAATCAATATGATACTAGATATCTTGCATATGAAGAATATGATCAAGCATGTCTTGTGCAATAGAAAATTCTTATAACACTGATGAATAGTTTTAGTTAATTTAAATATGTTTAACTTTTAAGTAATTATAAATAGTCCAAACTTATCATCTACAAATATAATTGCTTTCTTTTTTCTATTTCCATTTTTTGTCAAATCACTATCTAGTATTAGGCATAAGAGAAATTTAAACTATTTTTATAGAAGACATAAATATTATTAATTTCATGATATGTGGCAGAATTATAAAATTACTAGAGTCTTTGTAAAATCACATGATGTGGATCCATTTAGACATATCATATTGATAATTTTCAAGATATGTTTTCTCATAGAAATTTTCACCATGGAAGTTCTAGAAATTCTAGTTTTGAATTTTTTTTTAATCCAACCAATCTAAGCATGAATGTGGGCATGATTTTGTATTTAATCCTTTTTTTCAGATCATATTGAAAGAAGCTATATTATCACAATAAATAATCACATCATTTCTCTTGTTGTTCACTATACACTATGTTCTAAAAAAATTATATTATTATGGATCTTCTAGTTGTTTTGATGTGTACATTGGTTTTTAACTACCAATGTATAAGATATAATGTATTCTTTGTCAAACTCAATGAAATTTTCTTCAAGTTTACCTTAGTCTTTTGACACTTCATTTTCTTCATCTTCAATAGAGTACAAAATTCACATAGTCATATTTTATACACACTAGAACTTATGCTCTTTTTTTCCACACCTGTAATATATCTGAGTAGCATTGTGTATATAAAGATTACTAATTGAAGTTCTCCAAAAAGGTACAACTCCGTTTGGGTTTGGTAAATATAGTTCATTGTCTAATGGTTGAAGTTTAGCTAACACTAGATAGCATAACTTATTTTGTTTGAAATTTGAAATTTAGTTGCTAGAATTTTGAAATCTTGTTTTGCTTTTATCTAGTAGAAATTATGTATGTTCAAATGCCATGACAACATCATTTAATTTTAAAAGTGATTGTAATGCAACCTTCTCTATATCTCATCTAATATTAATTTTAAAATTAAAAATTATGTAAGACTTCAATTCTATTAGATTAACTCTTGAGGATAATCTATAATATTCTTTTGCATATGTTGACACATACTTAATACCTAGTATGCAGTTCTAATAATACTATTATAAAATTTATTTATGATCTGGTGGATGAATTAGAAATTTAAGTAATATTTCATTTTTATCCTAAGTGTGAATAAGTTCTTTGCCTAGTCTTGCATGAGTGATTTGTGACTACTCTCACCATGCAAAGGCCTCACCCTTTCATTTATAAGCCACTTATTTACCTTATTTTTTATTTGAAATCTTTAATACTTCAAAAATTATTTAACTCCAGCTAATTAGTTCATAAACTATATAATTCAAAGTCACCACTAAAGTTGAGTAAATTGACTTAAATCATGAGAGCCATCATCTTGAAAGTGAATGGTAAGTGACTATCATTGACATTTTCATTGGAAACAACTTTTTGAGTGTGCCTAAAATCAGTATCCTTCTGAGTACAAGGTTAATTTTCTAAAATTGTCATACATGTTAAAAAATAGTTTAATGTCTCATTTACCTCTTTAAAGTTTTGATCTATACACATTCTTGAAAATAAATAAAATCCCTTTGTGGAAAATGACATACTTTAGGAGAATTATTTACATTGATATGCATTCCTCTATCTACAAATAACTTTAGAGAAAAAATAAGATTGAAAATTTTTATTTTGGTATCACTTGATGCAACATTATGTGGATGATAATAAAATCGGATTTAAGTACCCAAAACACAAACTTTATAGAAGAAGTTAGGTTCTAAATCTATACGGAGGATGATCTTGAATTGACAAGATTGAAAGAAAACATTTGAATCTATGAGGTTGAATGAGAACCCTTAAATATTCATTAGGAAAACTTAAAACAACATGAATAAAAAAGGTAATTATGGATGGCCTTTGTTTTGACGCATGGAGTGTTTTGACGCATATAGTGAAAAAGTTATATATGAATTATTATTGAATGAGTCAAATCAAATTTATCTATATGCATCATGATTTTTTCATCACAAGATAAATTTATTAGCAAATATTCAAAGTCATATACATTAGCAATTTCCTGTGCAATCATATGACTAGTAATGAATGCAATGTAATATTATTTGAATATAAGTATAATATAACAAGTGACAACACGTGTGATGAAGACTCATATATATTTTAGAAAATCAAAGTTACTAGTGAGATTCAAACATGACCTTTGAGCAACGTGAAAAATGAAACATTAGTGTGAAAAATTTCTAAAATATCATAGACACATTACGACAGACATGAAATTTGAACTTATTAAGTAAACTATGTAGAAGTATAAAATATGACTACCGAAGTATTCAAATCAAAGCATGGAAAAATTTTGAATTGGGAACACTATAATGATATGTGAAAAACTAATCAATATATTCAACTTAAAATATATGATTAGTGACTAAATAAAAACTTGAATTCAAGACCCACAAGACAAC